AAAAGAATAAGGGAACACTTGATCGGTATACTCGAAATCGAGTGGTAGCTTTTTGGAATGAATCGCAAGAAGAGAGTAACCATGAATTACTGGCATGTTCGACAGCTCTTCAAATTCTTCACACCCTTACCAAGTTACAAGAACAGTGGCAACAATGTTCCTATCAAAACTTGAACGTTGTCTTGTCTGTGAATAGTGGAGAATTACTTTCTGGAAATATTGGAACCAGTACTCGATTGAATTTCACAGTGTTTGGGGATGCAGTGAATATAACTGCTGGTTTGGTTAGTTTGAACAGAAAATTTCAAACACGAGTCTTATTGGACAACAAACGTTTGAAAAAGTCAAAAATCACATGGTTTGCTATTTTGTAGATTTTATTGCTGTCAGAGGAAAGGAAAAGCCCACAATAGTATACAGCTTGGAGTGCGCGACTCGAGATGCTTCTCACATCAACTCGTCATTCGAGAATACTTGTCAGAAATTGAAAAATGTTTTTTTGCATTCAATTTTGCAAGAATTTTAGAAATTGTGACGCATTAGAAAGGCAAAATCTCATTTCGCCAAGCATTGCTGGTATTGTTGAGCATTTGAAACAACGAGTCTCATGTTTACTCAATGTGAATGCCATGACATTGGAATCGTTGGTTTTTCATGCAAATGGTTGACTTTTAGAAATTTCAGGAATTATTGCGTTCCCCAAATATCAACAATTGAAGGTAGAATGTGTAACCAAAGTTATAGAATGTCAACTGTAATCACTTGAGTTCGACGGTTACTGATAGATTTCAATTGAACCTTTGTGAACAAGCAGCAATTCTCCTGTACGTTCATTCAAACACATGCCATCCACATCAAAGCCAGTTGCTTTTTCAATAATCAATTCTCCTCTTGGACTAATTATTTGAACCACATGGTCCGTCAATGTCAGCTCGCTTTCCAACACTAGTATCAAGTTATTAGTGGATGGATCATGCAAAATGTAGAGCACAAAATAATTTGGTTTGATAGCAATCTCGTTAAGAAGATCACCATTTCTGGTCACAACTTGATGATTTTTGTCGAATCGACATATAATTAAATTCCTGTTACCATCCAATGTCACACCGTTGATCGAATTAAACGCTCCCAATTTTTTCACAAGTTGTCCATTAAAACCATTGACAACAAATACTGAAAGTGTATCACACACATAAATCACACCACTTCCATGATGATCGATTGCATCGTCGTCGTAATCAATGGTAATGGAGTCCAAAACACTGATCAGACGATACTGGAAGGTCCAAACATGCTGCACAACATCTTCCTGAGCTCCTGTCAATATTTTTGGAACACTGTATCGATATTTCCATAACTCTTTACCCAATGGCACAAGAATGGAGTTGTCATTTTGACAAATCTTGAAATTGCGAGGACATCTTCGAAGTGGTAACGAAAAGTAATTTTTGATTTCTTTGGTCTGAGCATCCAACACCACATATCTGCTCTGAGTGGTACGAGTAAATATTAATTGATTTTTGATATCTATTTGAAGACCAGCTGCTTGTTTGATATTTTCGATCATTGTTTCTTTATATGAAAAATTGGTTCTCAAAGCAACTCGTTTTGGAAGTGGAAAAACAACACCTTTCATAAACACTTGGAGTTCGGAATTTAAAAAGTCCACAGTACTAGTAATATGATCACATCACAGAACCATGATTTGGATCCAACACTATCCTGCTTGTTTGGATGATCAAAAAAATTCAAATTCTTCTTGGCGAGCGAATCATTCCGAGATTGTGACATTTTACTAAACTACGAATCAGAAACAACTTGAACAGGATGGTTGATGTTAAAATATTTTAAAAAGAAGAAAAATGATGTGTATTACCAATATTAATGAGTATCACAAAAAACAACTTCTTATTCATAGGTACAAATAGTCTTGTTTTCAATACACACATTTTCCTTTGCCTTTTCCACACAAACTTGTTGACCTCCATAACCCACATACTTGGTACAAATTCTCTGACCTGGAGATCTTTCACACACACTGAAGTCGATGCATATTCAGCACATCTTGGCTTGGTCACTCCCCATGATTCACAAACTTCCTTTTGTCCATATTTGGTACAAGTTTTCACAGATTTGGAAGATAAGCAAACAGAAATCTTCTTACGTTGAGTACAAACTCCTCCTGAAGTGGAATGCCATTTGGTACAAATCTTTTCAGTCTTGGGTTGAACACAAATATTCACAGTTTGATATTTGGAACAAACAGAAGTGGGCTTATTCGATGGTTTACACACTCGTCGAGTTCCCCATTCAGCACATTTTCCTTTTACGGTACGAGTGGCCCATTCACTGCACTTGTTTTCACAACATGCGTCAAAATAGACAGTTCTGCATTTCTTGATAGGTTTCTTGCTGCATGGACAGGTCGTGGTCGTGCAAGTCTCTCGTTTCGCTTTTTTACATTGCTTCTTATAGGCCTTACAGTACTTGGTTTGAGTTGGAGCCAATTGTTTCAAACATTGTCGAACAGGTTTGCATTCAGTTTGTGGAATGTTGGTTCTAGAGACACATTTAGAGACGGCCTTGTATTGCAAACAACCGACGACACGAGTGTCATATCGTTGACAAGTTCTCTTGGCTGTACTCGATGATGAAACACAAATTTCCTTTTCTCCATATTTGGTACATTCTTTTCTTAATTCTTCTTTAAGGCAAGAAGTAGTAATTCCCTTCTTGACACAAGTTTGACCACCTGCCACATATCTCTTACACTTGTTAATGAATCGTTGTTCAATACATTGACCTTGATTGACCAAATCCCATGAAATACATTTTTGTTGTTCACCTTGCATGACATATTTCAAACACTTGCCAGCTCTTTCAGAGTATCTAGTACAGACATTGGAACAAGTTTTCTTTCTCTTGACGCATTCATATTTGTAGCATGATTTTCCACTATTGGTAGAATATTTCACAACTTGCAATTGTTCAGATTCTGGATCACATGATTTCATTTCTGGATTTGGACATTCTTCATGAACGCATTTGAAGGATTTACACAAAATACCATGATAGACTGTTTTGACTTCAATGGTAATATCTCCAGCTGCACATTTGGGTTCTTCCACGAGTGGACAAGTGACATCGACACATCTGAATTTTGGACATTTTCTTCCATTGACAATAACATCCTCAGATTTGAGAACTTGTCCTTGTTTACACTTGATATTACGAGTCTCTCTAATCTCAGCTGGACAACCAATATTCACACACTTGTACTCGGAACATTCAATACTTCCATATTTAACTTTGACTTGACTCAAGACCCATCCTGGAGAACATTTCACATTCTTTGGATCGAATTCTTTTGGACATTCTAATGGAACACAGGTCATTTCTGGACACTTGGTCACTGGATTAGTTGAGAATTTACGAGTTTGACCGTCTGGACACTTTTCAAATTCTTGTTTTGGACATTCTGGAACGTTTCGAACACAAACTTTACGATCACAGAGTTTGTCACCGAATTGAACTTGTCGTGTGACTTGTTCATAACCTTCCTTACATTGTTGATCTTGTTGGAAGATGTCTGGACATTTAATTTCAGGTGGTGGAGTGTCCTTCTTGCATTTCTCGACTTTTCTCTTCTTACACACATAGACTGGACATTGCTTTCCATTTTTGGAAATGAGACGAACCACTCGTTTCTCAGTCTCCTTGTTGCACTTCAAATCAGAGTTCAAAGTAGGACATGTTTCGGTTGGAGGCTTTGGTGGCTCTACAACTTCCTCTTTTTGTGATGAACACTTGGTCAAATATCTAATTTTTTCAATCACACTTTCATCAATGAATTTTCTTCTTTTACATTTGGCAGGAGAGAAATTGAAAGTTTTTTCATGAGCTTACGGATACGAGTTGGAATGTATTGTCTTGGATTCCAATTATCTCCCATGGCTTGTTTTTGTGCGAGAAGTTGATCCAATTGTTGGTTGATGTTTTCCTCATCGGCCTTTGAGTGGGCTGACAAGAGACAGCAACAGAGGACCACCACGAACATCACGAAGAGGGATGACCTCTTGACGGCGGTTGCTGAGCGTGTCATCCTGCGTGTGTAAATTTGTTGTTGTTGTTGAATATTTTTTTTCGGCTGATGGAGTCACCCTTCAGCTGTCATTTCAAATTCACAGATCGTAAAGCAAAGTGAGAGGAACTTTTCAAGAAGAATGAACCACAACGAGATCTCTTATCAAGGTCACACTAAAAACCTTAATCTCAACAATGAATGCGTGCAGTTTCTCTAAAGAAAAACGGATTGCTTTTAAATCGTTGGAATAATTATTCAAACAGTTCACAATTCAATTTTGGTCAAATTTGGAAGTTTAATGTGTCGTTCAAGATTGGGTTCTTGAAATTCCAAATTTGCAAATTACAGTGTGAAATAGTACGAGTTGCAAACGACCCCTTATGCAAGCTGAGGTGACAACTCTTAAATCTTTTGAAAGGTAGTCCAGCTTTTCCAATGAAATGATTGAACATGTCGTCAATTGGCGATTGACATAATTACATGTCATGGTGTGTTACTATCACATTCTATTGTTGTAAATAAATGCTACATGCACTAAAAAGTCATTCCATAAATTGCAAATGCAGTAAGGCATGACAAGTGTCGTTTTTCAAATTTTTCAAAGCATGCATCCTTCCAAATCCTCCACCACTACCGTCCACATTCACTCCACACATGCATGATTCATGCATGTTTCATCCATTCGGGCTCGTCGATGAAGAAGCATTGAATGTCGCTGTCGTAGTCGTTGAACTAGTCGAAGACATTTCCGTGCAAACCTTAAAAAAATGATTTCTTACTTCCTCATCCGAAATGACATGTTGTGACCATTCCTTAGTAATTTCCTCATTTCCTCCTTCGAAAAATATATTTACATTTCCACCTTTTCTTTTTTTTCGTTTCGAAGCCGCATGAAAGGATGAGAGTTTTGGTGGATTTAAAATAAATTTAAAAGACATGGGATAGACAAATGGAAAAATTGGTAAATGTCGAATTTCATCATAAAATTGAGGCCACTTGTCCATTCCCAATTCATCTTTCAATTCGTAAAATCTTCTTTTGAGCGTGGATAAACTGCATTTCAAAACACTACTTGCTTGAGTTTGAGGTAAATGCAATACCCGTAATAATTCACTTTTGGAAATGAGAGTTTTTCGTTTGTGAAGGAAGTCACTGAAGATGCTGCATGTTCATTACTCATAAATACATGTGTTTCGTAGGGAGAGGGATTTCCTCCAACTATATTTGAATTGGATGCTTGTTGTCTTCTTTTCGTTGATGATGGAATGATTTGAGAAGAAGATGTTGCAAAGGAAGATGTCATGATCACTGAAGGAGGGGTTGATGGGGAAGGATTTCTTCCTGATGCATTCTTGGTGTTTGGTGCCAAAGGAGGAGTGTGAAATGTTTTCGCTGCATTCGTTGTTGTGGTCAAACACATGTTGTTGGTTGGAGTGACAACAACACATGCGGAACATGATGGTACATGTAGTTGTTGCTGCTGTTGCGGATGTGAAAATGATAGATTTTGAGACGATGATACTATTGGTTGAGACGGTTCCGTTCTTGTAAGATCTTGATGATGATGATGAAAAGATGTTGTTGTTGATGGAGGTGGTGGCTTACTTGTTACATGATTGGTGGATGGTGTTGTGGATTTCACTTGTTGCATGTGGTTCTTGTTAGGGTTCGAAGAAGACGATCGGTCTCCTTCCCAATGATGATCTTCTTCACCTCGTAGTGTGATGGAATGTGAAGCATGCTGTCCAGTCGTGATGACGCTTTCATGCATTTGAGGATGACGGGGTGTTTGAGAAGAATCTACTGTTGCATGCGATGTTGTTGTTGGTGCCATGTATTTGTGATCTTGTTCTGCCTGTGGTCGTGTATGAGACAATGATGATGGGTTGCTGCCACTTGTCATGGATGGTGCTTTATCAGGTCGATTCGACGATGGAATGGCAGTAGTAGAAGACATCCAATCGTCTGATGTGGATGGTACATGTTGATGCATCATGGATGAAGGCGGAACTATTGCTTTGATTTCGCCTCTGGCTGTAGATTCTTTTACTGTTTCCTCTCCTCGAAACATCAATAACGGATCATTGGCAGGCGATAATTGTTCAGCATCCATCTTGGAGATGACCTGATGTTTTTTAGCATGCTCTTGTTGTTGAAAATCCACACTAAAAGATGAAGGATGATACGACATGCTGCTACTTCTACTCATGCTGCTATTCAGAGAAGATTGTTGATGGAGCACAAATGTTTGTGCAACGACTCGGTTGTTGTTGATGTTGCTGTGGTTAGGTAAAATTGGACCAACAGCTGACAAACCAAGTGGTGGTTCTTTTTGTTTTTGGTTATCTTGGAAGGTTGTCACGTGAAGTTGCAACTGATGAGAAAGTCCTGTAGAAGAAGAAGAAGGTGGAAGGGACAGTGTTGTGGCTACTTGTGTTGGAGATACAGGTCTGCATGCTTGATTGAACATTTGGATATTGTTGTCAACAGCAGCATGCTGTTGTTGTTCACCTTGTTTTGGAGTAGGAATTTTCGACGATTTCATTTGTTGTGATCCAAACAAAATGGTTGAAGTCGATCCAATAACTGCATCAAGGATGCATGCATGATTGACAAAGTAAACCTTCAAGAAAAAACTTACTATTTGAGCGCGATGTTTCACAGTTTTAAAAACCGAATTTGGGAATGGGATGGCAATACTCTCTATATTCCAAGTGGGTTTCGAGATATGCCGTCGAGGACGATTAGGAACGGTTCAAGGACACACAGGACAATGGAGATGTAAATGGACAAACACGCACTTGGTCAATGACTCAATGAAAATGAAGTAAGAAATAGTTGAGTGGTTGATTGCAATCCATTCAATCCATTGATTCTTCACAAGCGTGAAAAAAACGTGTCAAACGGCAATCTTGTTTGCACAAAATATGGATGTAGTCGTTGTTGTTGTGAATGATTCTCAAAAGCAAAGGTTGAATGAGAATGTGCAGAAGGAGGAGTTGTTGGTTTTTTTTGTGTCTTCCAAATTAATAGAGTGTGTGGGTGCAGTTGGCTATTTTGGCGGCTCTTGTTGAAATGGTTGTACCGAATTTGCGTGCATGTCAGCCACAGCCGGTTATAGTTCAAATTTAGACGATGACTGCTCTGTTCAAATACTAGTAGTTGCTGCAAACAGCCACCGCTGCACTGGAACGATGGATAAAAGGATCGAGCTGATGCTGGTTGGAAGAAACGATTTTTTCTTTGAGGTGTTTGGGAGGTTTCAAAAACGAGTGCATGCACTCTCGCGAACCGAATTTGTCGCTAAGATGCACTGCCACTTGTCATGCTGTACTTTCTCACAAGCGGCAAAATGTTGAAAAAGTGGGGTCGAGATAACGCCTGTCAACAACATGCTTTGCCATTCCATGAAATGTTTACAAATTCAGAAGTTGAATCGATATGGAAATAATGATTGCCGTGTTCTCACAACGAAATTATGCATTTAGTAAGTTACAAGAGGAGATATGTCCCATCAGTCCATGATCTCAACAACCTTCAACATTATTCAACAAAATCCATCTTATCTCTTCTTGAATCCTCTTCAGTACTTCCACTAGATTCACGTTTTTGTTGTTGGTCAAAGATGTCTTCTTCATCGCCGTCACGTAATGAACTCCAATATTGATTAGTGACCATTCTTCGAGTGGAGTATTGTGAAAAGTAGGAATGTACATAGGGTGATTCTGGTTCTCTCTTTTCAATGCTTACATATTCTCTCAAGTCGTAACCAGTGTATTTTTGTCTAGGACGGAAGATTTTCAAGTTGGGATCGAGAATCATTTCACGCCAGTGAGCCAGCCATCCTGCCACACGAGGAATGGTGAATCTGTTGTTAGGAGGAGGTTGTTTGAGGTCAATGTTGTCGATCGATTGATTGAGTGGAGTTCATGCAGATCGATTGTAGAGATTGTAGAACAGTTCAAATGTTGAAATTAGGATAAATGAATGGAAAAAGATGAGATAGAGCTGCATTCATGAAACTTACAATACTGGGAACATGTCAGTTGGGAACCCAAGAGCTAGTTACCACAATTGCCAAATGCATAGAAATTTGAAGAATTTGTTGTTGACATTTGACATGGGACGAAAATGTACAAATATCACGTAGTGTTAGAATCAGTCGACATGTGTCAACAGATCATGTTCCAATAAGGTATTAAATCTTACCTTGATAAATCAACCCAGAATAAAAGTCAATGTTGGGGAACAACTTTCTACTCACAAAATATTCATCTTGGAGAGCTTGTCTTTCCAATTCTTCAGCAATAGCCCACAACTCACTCTTTCCACAAATTTCGAAAACTTCCTTGGCCACGCCTTTCAAGATCTTCGCACGTGGATCATAATTTTTGTAAACACGATGTCCAAATCCCATCAATTTACGTTTCTTATTTTTCACATCTTGTAAGAATTGAGGCACATTTTGAGGCTTTGAAATTTCTTCGAGCATGTGAAGAACTGCTTCATTGGCACCTCCATGGAGAGGACCATACAGGGCTGACGTCAGAAAAGAAGGTGAAAATTTTCAAATCAACACATGTTAAACATGTTTGCATGCAGATTTGCAATAGTAGAAAATTATATATCAAACAATATGGAATAATAATAATCATCACATAAATCAATGGATTGCATGCATACAAAACAACAATCATTAGTGATCCATCTTACTTACCTGCAGCTGAAGCACTAACGGCAGTATATGGATCTACAAGTGAACTTCCGACATGACGCATGGCAGCTGTTGAGCAGTTCAATTCATGGTCGGCATGAAGAATGAATAGTACATCGAGAGCTTTCGCTAATCTTGGATGAGGACGATAATTGGGCTCAGACAGTCTATCGAGCATGTACAAGAAGTTTTCAGTATAGGACAAGTGCTTAGTCGATGATAAGTTTACAAAAGTTTACAACAATAAGATTCCGAATTAGTCGTGAAAACTGCAATTGAAACTACTACTTACATTTACAGGAGTATTATAGGGACGTCCAATTCTGTGACGATATGCACAAGCAGCAATGGTAGGAACTTTTCCCAACAATCTGAAAATTTGCTTATTTCTCTTATTTTCATCTTTGTAAACATCAGTTCCGACAAGTGCAGGGTTGGCCTCCGCATAAAAAGTTCCCAACGCGCTCAGACCAGAAATTAGGATTCCCATAGGGTGAGCCTTTTGAATATTTAAAATTCACACATAGAGCCAAGGAAGATTATTCATTATAGATTGACATTCCAAAATTGAAAGTTAAAGTTTGGTGTGGATGAATATAATGAAAATATGAACAAGTCCACTTACATCATAACGGAATGTCTTCAACATGGATACCAAATTCTCGTGAATGAAGGTGTGAGTGGTAATTTGCTTGGACCAATCCTTGTATTGAGATTGTGTTGGCAATTCACCATAAATTAACAAATAAGCCACTTCGAGAAAGGTGGATTTCTCAGCCAATTCTTCAATACGATAGCCTCTATAACGTAATTCTCCCTTCTCACCATCAATATAGCAAATTTTGGAATCTGCTACAGCAGTGTTCATGAAAGATGGATCAAAACACCTATTGTTGCATGATTTCATGATCAATAAAGAAATGATCATTTACAATATCATAAATGATTTGCAACATTTATCCGTCATTTGAATATTTCAAAAGAAATGCATCACCGTTTGATCCAAAAGAAAAAATTGTGTTCCAAATACAATTATTTCATCATCGTTCATCACGATCAATGATAGGATTTCATCATCATCACTCCAGAATCAATCACTTCTTGAATTATTTCAAACAACATCACTTACATTATTCCAGTCTTATCCTCACCATCAACGACCATCTTTTTAAAGTGCGTACTATTGATGAAATAACCATCTTCAACAGGGATTTCAAAACTTTTGCCAGTACGATTATCCGTAACAGTCAATGTATTCTTGCTGCTGTTATTGCTGGATTGTTTCTGATCTTGATCGTGTTGGTTGTTGCTGATTTGCATTGGACTCGAACAAGAGGCTTGTTGGCTCATTTTTTTTTGATTTGAATTTCCTGGTTCGTTGACTGCTTAATCGATTCGTGACGGCACAACTTGTTGAGGAGAATAGGAATTTTGAGTCGGGAGATACACCATGTTGTAAACATGATTTCTGTGTGAGGAAGGGATTTATCTTCTGCGATCCACTGTTTCCTCAATACTTGGAAGAAGAATTAGTGTGAACTTGGTTTAATGATATTTCTAAATTACAGTTGAGGATCCATTTTGTTATGCTGGTGATGATAATGCAATGTGGTCATTCCATGCAATGCACAATTATTACACATGAAAATCTTTCAACTCTTTCAATTCTCCTCCCAATAAAAACTTGTTGGAACATATCACTCGAATAATGTTGCTGATGACAATGGCTAAACTTTGCAAAGCTTCATACGGATGAGATTTTGGACTGTTTTTTCTGTTTCCTTTTTCAGCAATCTCATTTCTAGAAGGGAATAGCAGAATCATCCATTCGAGAGGATGTCGTAATGTGACAAACGTTTGACCATCAATTTGATTGTCTTCAATGACCTTTTTCAGACAGTTGTGCTCAATTTTCTTGTGACGAAGGAATTCAATGACTTGCTTGGTTGTGAGTAAGCGACAATCGACGTCATTTCCAATGAAACCAAATTCGACACTATCAAAGCTTGTTGTCGATTCAAACATGCCTCCCTTCTCTGATGATGTAATATAAAGTGGTTTGCTTCCCTTATTCTTTTCAAATTCTACAAAAGACTCATTGAAATGATTTGCATTTTCAAATAAATTATTCAACTGCATGTAAAGTTTTCTGAGATCGTTAAATGTGACATTCTCATTAAATGCTATGAATTCGCTTGTGGCATTGACGTTAATCCTAGAAAGTGATGAATTTGCTTTTGTTCCATTCTTTGGTTCCAAACGGAAGAATTGAGAGGCTATCAAGTGATCCATGATGAAATTTTGTTGAAACATGAAAAAATCATTTTCATCTTCGGGATCGAATTTCTTTCCCATTTCGAGCGAGGATGAGGCGTCATCATTGTTCGGATCTTGTTTTCTATCCTTTTCATATGCCTTTTTTAATTTTAATAATTGATCCAAATTTTGCAAACGTTGTTTCACTATCGAATGAATTCGTAAATCATCAAATTTGTTTTGAGTACTTGTACTCTCGAGTTGTTGTTGTTGTTTGAATTTTGTTGCACTGGTGATGATGATGCAATGACAGAACCCGAACGACCACCACTTGATGATGGCTGTAAAAAGAGACCAATCAAGCCTTGAAGTTCAGTCATCTTTGGGTCATTTGAATTCTCCGAGTTTGAACCATTATTATTGTCATAAATAGAATACGGATCATAGAGTGAAGCACATGAATTTCGTGCCTCCAACATGGTATCCGCATTGGAGCGTATGGTTTGAAATGAAGAAAGTAATTTTGCTCCCGAGTCTATGAAAGTCAGTAACGGATTGTTCTTACCAAAGACCGAGTCGGTGAGAGGAGCCAAACCAATCCGTTCAAAGAACAGTTCAACATCTCTCTTTTGCCAATTCTCGGCATTGTTACTTTTGAATGAGGTGGTTCTTCCCAAAGATTTGAAAATGTTCATTTTTTTGTGGATCGTTGAATTTCTCTGAGAAGAAACAAACTCTGAGCTCAAAGATCAATGAAACGCACCTCACGGTGAGAAATATCAATGCTTTCAAAAATACAGCTGTTACAGCTGACAACGAGGACATTTCAATGTCTAGAACAGTTCCCATCTCACTCGTTGCAAGAAAACCCACAAGACCGACATTCTCTCACTCGACAATGACTCGCTTTATTTGACCATTCAGAAAAGACTCAACTATTTTCGAGAGGTAGATGCATGGACAACCAAATACTTTCCAGAACCATCTACATAGTCTACCAACTCTAATGAACTCCAAAACACAAATTTCTTAAACCTAAATTTGGGTTAAATGCCCACCACTCACTCAACACAACTCGTATGAGAGCTAATACAGAAATGCTCAACATGAAAAATGAAATGATATTCTCAACCTTAAACATTTCTAGAAAATTCAATGACTTGATTTTTGGCAGCATTGTAATCGGCAGACGCAATATTCGTCAAGGCATTATTCATGGAAGTGAGACCATTCGAGTAGACTCTTACTTCTGTACTCAATTCACATTCACTTAAATACGTTTGAATGAAACCTAAAATTTTGACAACATATTTAGCATAGAGAGTTGTCAATGCTACTCGTGGATTGGTGACATCTGCCAAAGTATATCCATTGCTTCCTGAGGCTGAATTGATAGTCACACTCACGTATGGATTTGGAGCACCAGCATTGAAAGCAACACATTCACTTGAATAAATATTTCCGTCAGCTGCCAACACTGGAGCAAAGATGGCAGTACACACACCAGGAGGAGTAGGTCTTGGAACAACCGTAGTTCCACTCTCAGTTAAAATTCCACCTAAATTGGTATTCACATAACCAAATGCAGTATTCAATTCTAAAACCACTGGATTAAGAGTATTGGAAAAAGTGGCACCTGGAGTGAGACCAGCCAATACTAATTGCAACAATAATTCAATCCATCGATTCAAACAAACCAACAAGGATCGACATTGTCTATATTCAGCCAATACTGCTGTGTTAAATGTGTATGACGTAATGGTAGAGAATGCAGTTTGACAGTTGGCACTTGTAGGAACATAGACATCGATCGGTGTTGGATTTGGAGGAGGAACACCAACAGTTGGTTCTGGAGGAGGACGAGGAGTACAAGTTGGTTTTGGAGGAGGAGGTGGTGGAGGAACATAATTGTTCAAGTCTGCTTTACCAAAGTTCACACTCATGAAGAGAAGTGTAGAGAGAAGCAGTACACCAATGATGGTGGCAATGGAGAGTTTCATTTTCAATGACCGTGTTCGTGACTATTAACAATTTGTGTGAAAAGTTTTTTTCTGTTTTTTGAAAGAATGGCATCCTTGTGTGAATGAAAAATTTAAATCCGCTTGATCATCATATTCCGGTGGTGCCCACGACGATCGTGGTGTGTTCGACTTGTCACGAATGGTAAGCATACGAGAAATAGTGAGTGCCTTAAATTTGAAAATGGTAGTTTTTGAGTGGTTTCTATAATTGGTAATTAACCGATATATTTCAAACAACCACATTCCAAATTCGTCAAGTAAAAGGAATTCCAATAACAGTCGTAAACGAACATGTACTTGCGCGTAATGCTACATACATTTGTAGTTGAGTTGTTGTTGTTGTTGCAACAGTCATGTTTCGAAAAGTTTCGTCCATTTCCCAATTCCTTTCAATTTCCAAACATTTCCTTCTCTATTTTTAACAAATCCAGATAGCCATCTTGTAAGACACTCACGGTACGGCCACCATTCAATTGTTTTTCATACTCCATTAATTGTTTGAAAAATCCTTCATTGGGCATGATCATTCTTCTTCGTTTTTTAACTAATTGAAACGCAAATAAAAATCCAACTCCCATCTTTTTCATGACATAGGAAATGACAATGGAGGATGAACGTGAAACACCAGCAGCACAATGTACCAACACCACACCAGAATTACTTATGGCCTCTTCTATAAAATCGAAACATTCTTGAAAGTATTGTGAAATTGGAGCATTCTTGTCATCATCAATGGCCACTCTCATGTATTTAATGTCGTTCAACGTTCCATCATTGGCTTGAACGTGAGCAACATCCGCATTCAGGGTATTATTGTTCTTGTCCATCATCATCATCATGGCATCTTGTTCCAAATCATTTTTCGTGACACATTGATCCTCTAAGGAATTTTCAATGGGATCCGAATTTTGAGAGTGAATAATTTTCTCACCATGATGTGAATGATGAACGTGATTCTTTTCAAACTTGTTTTCAATATTCTTGGTACAATTGACAATGTGTGTAATTTTTAAATAATCGATCGATTTTCGATTCGTTGCTTGAAAACAATCTCCCAAATAGACACTATTCGAAAAAATGCAACTTGGTAAATCTAATTTTTCATGGATGGGTTTTGGAATGATGGTCGAAGAGGTTCGAATAAGGGTTGTAAACGTTCTGTCACGATTGTGAAATGTTGAAGATGATTCGATCGATTTCGGATCCTTTGAATGTTCGGAATGGTGACATTTTTGTGTCGTGTCTTGTTCAAAATTTGGTGAAGATTTGGTTCTGGTCATGCCACCTGTCATGTCATCCAAAGCTGCTCCACAACTGTTCTTGATTTCTCCTCTATCCAATGTATTCATTCCATCCATTGATTTATGTGAATGATCATTTCATCATTATTTGAAAATATCATTTCCAAATCGATATCCAACCATTGTATAAATTTGAATCAAACACATCAACCAATCAACCAACACCCACCTCCAGAAGAAATCCTATTAAAATGTATTCTCAAAAAGTCATCCCGATTCGCCACAATAAAACTTCTTCCTTTTCTCTGTAGTGAAGAATTTGTTGTCGTCGTCGATGATGATGATGAAATTTCAACATGTTTTTCTTGTTGTTGAAACAAGGTCGAAGGTTTTACAATTTTATCAACAACAACAGAAAGTGTTGTTTGCTGATCCGAAAGATCTTCTTCGAATGAGCGGATATTGATGGCGATGAGGGTTCGATTGCAATTTGTATTCTCGTTGTTGTTGTAGTCGACGAAGAAGAAGAATTTTCATTCAATGTCGACTCCAATGTTGAACCTGTTGATGACGTTGGAGATTTGGAAGACTGATACAAGTGACGCATATAGGACCTCATGATCACTTGCAAGGCTCAGGTGTCGTTTGTAACTTTTCACACCGAGAGAGTGGTTGTTGTTGTTGAGTGATTTTTTACATGAAACAAATTTGGTGTTTTTGAATCAAAGATCTGTTGGATGTCATTTTGACATTATTGTTTCTATTTATCTACTAATAATAAAATTAATGATTGTTGAATGGAAACATAAATTTCTTTTAATATTGACATTTGGTCCATCGCTTGTGTGGAAATTTTTCATTATTTTCTTGAAGTGATTGAATGATACCAAGAGGATCATCCAGTAATGTGGTGGAAGAATGGTTCATTCGAGTGGGATCCTGTAATGTGTTGCTATTTTCACTTGACCAAGAACTACTCGATGCAGATGATTCTGTTCGACTTTTTCTATTTTTGTAATTTTGGTCAGTGGTTTGACATTTCCTCAATTCAAAACAATGATTAAGGGCATTCATCATTCGTGTGGTTCTAGCCTTCATCTGTTGTTTACATCTAAAATTTGATTCACAGCTAAAAATATTCACCAATAAACAGCTATTCTTCATTACTGGATGATTCTGAAAAAGGAAATGTGAAAAGTGTTGTTTTTGTCCATGAGGTTCAGATTTCACATTGGAATTCTTTCGAAAAATTTTGGACGAAAAATCCATCGTTCGTAATGAAGGAATTCGTGGGGAAAGAAAACTCACTTCACCTTGATCCAAAGTTTTGGAGAGATGAATGACAGTGTCAATGTCAGGATCGTAGACAGTGGTTTGGATGTATTCGAGTGTTTTTTCTTTTTTGGAAAAGATAGAATTTGGAGTTTGTGTTAAGAGACGAGACGAAGTGCAAAGTTGAATACGAGGAGAAGAAGGTGAGGATGGAGTGGTTGAGGGTTCACTGATGGATTTTGCTGTCGTTGAATCGAGATCCATGGATAAAGACACTGGAGTGACAGGTGACACTTGTTGAGGCATTGAGATTTGTGCATGATTACTAGAAATTACTAGTCCCAAATCGATTTCCTTATTTCTTGGTGTTCCTCCTTCACTCAACGGTGTCGGTGTTTGACTTTTGCACTGTACCTCACTCACATCTTCGATCAATTTCAAAAATTCCATCGATGCAAAAATTTGAATCAATTCATCTTTTTCAATTGGAACTAACATTTCTAATTTTGCAATTCTGAAACCAAATGATGGTTGAGACATATGTAATTCATATGGAAATGATTCAGAACTCTTCTTAATACATTGCCATTGAGTGTAAGCATTGTCTCTTCCCAATGCAATCGCATGTGAAATTTCATCGGCATGACAGGTGAAAGAATTATTGAAAAGATACAAGAGTTGACATGTAGGATATGAAAAATCCATTCGATTAAAGAATTCTGCTCCCTTGGTCAAAAAAAAGGAAGTACCAATGCTACTTCGAATGAATGTTGGAATTTGACTCTTCAAATCAATACAGACACTTGTTTCAACGTCACCAAACAAGTGAATAGGATGTAAATGATCCATAGTACAAGTCAACACTTCAATGGGATCATCATTCAGCATTGAAAATACATCACCCTCAACACTCAATTTCTTATTGACACTTTCCAACACTTCACACACTCGAACTTTGATTTTCGAGTCCAAATTTAGTTCAAGCACACTGTTCGAATTGATGAATGTATTGACAATATAATTGACTCGTTCAACCAAACTCAACACGAGCTTGTTTTTCTTTCGAATCGAACTCTTCTTGTAAAATGTCAATACTTGTTGATAATACGATTTGTAAGAATTCAGTTCATCCCAAAATAGAATAATTTCATCGCATTTGCTTCTGGAGAGAAATTCTTTAAAGACTTGTTTACATTCGTCGTTGGAGAGAAAACTTTCAAAATTGATTTCTCGTTGATTTTGAGAGTTGGTGCTGTGTATTGTTGTTGAGAGTGAGTAAATGAAAGGCATGTTGGAAATGGAGGTTAGAAGCAGAGGAATAGCCTAATGACATTTTGTTGAGATGATGAAATTTGGTGTCAGCTGTTGTGTGTGTCTTAAAATCTTCGCAGGAAGCTTGCTAACCTAAACATCTTATTTAGGTAAGACATTTGACATTTGTCACTCCAAACATCCTCATTTTACAGCATCACTTCAAGGTAATAATAACAGCGTCTACTACTTTTCAAGCAGTATTCTATTAATGACGATTGGTGTATTTGATCTTTGTGTTGGTCCTTTCAACATTCATTGTTCGAAACTTTTTAGTCTCCTCGAAGAGTTCCATCGATTGTATGCATTTGGAAAATGAAATCCTTCGAGAATCAAACAACATAGTTTGTGTAATTTCATACGAACACACGTGAATATATATGACCATAACGTTCACACTCACCTCATGGTTTTATTTGCTCCTTCTTTGCTTTTCTTGGTTCATTTCTTAATGCCAATTCGTGCAATGTTTTATCATCCACTGGTTGCCATTGAAATAGAAGAAAAGCTAAAAATTCAAGAATTTGTGTGTTCACCTTAATATGTTGAATGGAGTTGAAAGATGAGTAATTGAGTGGAGTGAGAGAGGATGGTTGTTGCTGTTGTTGTTGATGTTGTTGAGGAATGAGTTTCAGCTTGGCTTTGATTTTTTCACTTAATTTTCGTTTCAAAATTAAATTTCTAGTTTTTTCGGGTAATTGAGAGACTGGAGAAACGTGAAGAGATGGTTTTCTCATTCTTCTTGCAGTGATTCTTTTCATGGTTTGTGTCATGAGATGAAATTTGTGACAATTATAGGTAGCTCCATAGTTTGGTGTTATGATTAAATCTTGATTGTATTCCCCAATAAATGAAATTTCTGTCAGAAATGCTCCTCTATACATGAGGTAGTACAATATATAAACATGTTTGAAAAAGATGGTTGTTCGGATCAAAAATGACATCCATCAATACTTACAAATTAGGAATAATCAATTCCATCTCTTTGGAAAGTGCCTCCTGACGTAGCCCCTTAATACTACATTTTTCAGAAATGGTTGCCACAAGATTACACAATTCTTTTCCCATCAATTCTTGAGATCTTGTAATGGTAAATTTGTTATTGGTGAGGGCTGAAGAATTTGTGGCAGAATCACAAATCAATGTGGTACTAAAATCGTTCATGTGAAAACTAAGAGCTTTGCATTGTTGAATTCTTTCAAGAATTTGTGACCGTCTTTCCAATGATTCTTCCATTAAGCACATGCTTGTCAGATAATTACTCAAATTATTGAAAATTAAGACTAGCTTTTTGATGGCCATTTCTTGAATTTGTGAAGGGTCCAAACTTTGAGCATTATTGGCCTTATAGGCAAGAGTCCGTACTTCATAAAAACTCACATGTCTAAATAAGTAATCCATTAAAATGAATTGATGAGTGACTAAATCTTCAATGGAACACAATGATGTTGCTAAAGGCTGTTGTAAGTTTTCTGGAATGAGAATACATTTGGATTGTTTCGTTGCGGCTATGAGTGGATTTTCAAGAGTGCCATTATTATTGGATGCTACTCCATCGCTCCATGAATTTCTTCGTAGTACCAATTGATCGAGCATGTGATAACTTTCAAAATCGAGTGATTCTCTTACATGATCGATGAGCTTGAAAATTTTCAAACACTTTTTGTGAATAATTGTCTCATTATTGGAGAAGCTGCAGTGACATATGGCATATGATGCAAAATGTTCAATAAGTTCAATTTGCAAAAATGTACATGGTACCAAATTTTTGTCATACAAATCAATAGCTGACTCTCTTCTGAGTCCAAAGTCCTTGATCCAAATATAAAAGATATCTAACAACATTTCGACTTCGAATAAGAACTGTTTGAAAATGTCATGTTTGCATTCGGTGCTACTCTCAGCAAGCTTACAAATAGAGCTTGAAGAAATACTTGGAAAGCATTTCAACCAAAATTTTGAATGATTCTCAATATCCAGTGTGAATACTCTTTCAAATAATTTGTAGAGGAGCATTTCAGGTGACATTTTCGCGACTGCATGATTGGCAATGAACGTTTCCAAAATTTGTTCCATCGTTGCATTATACACTGGTTGCTTATTTTCTTTGGCTAAATGAAGATTGGCATTTCCAAGTTTACATAGCTCATTGAAAATATGTGGTTGTTGACACACCACAAAGAAGAATTGTAAATAAAAATTTGAGTTGGTGTGAAATTTGTTTCGGATAAGTTCCTCCACAACTGAGAAATCCTTGGTGTCTTTTGAATTTGTCAATTTGATAAAATAGGGAAAAGCATTGAGCATGTCCTCAATATTGTGTGAAGTTCCATTAGTAGAGAAGCCACCAGTAGAGGATACAGGATGATGTGATGTTTGTGGCATTCCTTCTAGCATTTCAGTGATAGAAGTTTTGGAAAAAAAGGTAAATTTGCTTGGACGTTTTTCTGGTTGTTGTTGTTTCGCGGCAAAATTTGAGGAAGATATTGTTAACGCACGTTTTTTTCTTAAATCATTCATTGCTTTCCAATGTTCTTCATTCCACACGTTGTACTGAATGTGAGAATTCCATTCAAATTTTTGTGAGTCGTTCAGTAATTGTGGTGCCACTTTCTCTTGTCTATGAATTCGATTTTGGATCAAGTCACAAAATCGATACATGAAACCATGTCCACAGTTGTCTTCTCCACAAAAACCTCGAGCCACTGAATGATGAATCAATGCTACATGTGACAAATTAAAAGCACTGCTCGATCCTTTTCTTGAAAAAGTCTGTGTGGAAGTCATTCGCCTTAATGCTGAATTTGAGCCACTCGGAGAAGAAGAATTACTCGACGAAGGTGAAGTACTGAAAACAATTTGAGCATCATAGTCTGCATCAATCACAATGAGGGCCCATCGTTTACAGACCCATCTTGCTACGCATCTCTGTTCACTTCGAGATATAAATGACAAAATTAGAGGCATGATATCAAAATGTTCCCACCATTTCATGCTATTCATGAGTTGTTGTGAGCTGTTACTGAGAAAATTCTTTTTTCGGGATTGAGCTGAAGTAGTGGAAGTATGGAGTGACATTGGAAAGGACTTGTCACGCAATAGTGATCTTCGTCGTTTCACATTTCCGGAAGATAAATCAGAAAATGAGCTCGAATTGCTACCAACTCCATCCGTACTGCTAATCGGTGAATGACTCTCTGATAGAGCATTCAAAATTAGAGTGTCTGAAGATTGAGAAGAGAGTCCAGGTGGCGTGACAGCTGACTTGGTGTGTGTCGACCGATCGATATGGATTTCGTCATCATTTTCGTGAGATGCCACCAGTGTTAAATTTTCTCCAACTCCTTTCAAACTCACTCGTTTTGAGAGAGAACCTGTTGAATTGCTGATACCACTATTATTAGTGAGATAGTGACTACTTTGACTTCTGACATGACCTTTTTTCGGTGGTAAGGGTGGCGGTTGTTTTGCATTAATATCTTGATGAGTGGATATTTGTTCACTTAAATGCAATTCCTCCAAATTCGAAGGTTGCTGCCTGTGATGTAGTTTACTTTTTCCAATCAACACTCGAATATCTTCCGTCAAGACATTTTGAACTTGTTTTAATCCACTACTGTCACTAATCAAATCCACTTGTTCCGTAATTGTATTTTTTGTGGGCACGTGTGTGTTGACCACACTCTCCCTGAAACTATCATGATCTCCACCTTGATCATTTTTAAGATCAAATTCCGCAATTTCATTGTGTAAATTTGCAATTTCATGTGCAGGCATTGAAGATCTTCTTCGAGCGGATTTCTTTCTCGGTGAAGAAATCATGTTCGTTGTTGACGATGTTGAATTTGATGTTGTCAATAATGCTTCCAAATTATAATGACTCGAGTTCAGTACTGAATTTTGTGAACTCACACTCAATGGAGATGATGACATGGTAGACTGTATGATGGATGAACTTGTTCGATGTGGAGAAAAGTTTTGAGAATGTCGAGGAGAAGTTTGTTGTGCTGCTGCTGCTGATGGTTGAAATAATTCACAAGTGCCAGTCGTTGTTTTTCTTCGAAGAGAATTTGATGAATAACCTTGTTCTGTCATGTCATGAATCGGATGATCATCTTCATCATGATGATTCATTCCATTGCGTCTTGATGATGAGGACGGAGACAAGATGGAATCTAAATCATCCATCATGACACTCAACGGAGAAGCATTCGAAATGAGTTGTATTAACGCATTATTATGATTGTTGTAACTCATGTTATTAGAATGGTTAAAGTTTTGATTTTGGTTATTAGCCTCCTGATGATGATTGTAATTCAGAAGAAGATGGATATTATTTTGATAGAGAGGAATTTGAAAAGTTGTGGTCGACGTCGTGGAATCAGTTTGGTGAATGTTCCCATTCGTCTCGGAAGTGGAGGGCGACATTTTGTTTCGTGGAGTTGAGCTCGAACAAGTTGACTGCTTCTTTTCTCTCTCTCACTGATGGATTTGAAAATGATGATCATGACTGTTGGGTTGCGCTTCCTCAGTGTTGAGTGATTCGTGATGGAAACTCAATGGACACGCGTGGAATTTAAGAATGAAAAAGTGGGAAGGTCTCGAGAGAGAAGGAGATGCTTGAGAGATCAAGAGTGTTGAGCGTCTTATTGTTTGTGGATTTTGTTTTACAAGCAACAATTGATACTCAGTGAAAATCATGATGACGCATGACACTTTGAACACTCTGGGCAGGGACTTTCCTCAATGAAATAGGTTGTTTCCTTGTTTGAGGTTAACAGAGTCTTCCCTTGTTCTGTATTCAGAATAACATTCAACAGATGGAACAAGAATTCAAACAACTCATTCCGAATGAACGAGCGAGCGTTCAACATGATTATGCTTTTTCGATTGAATGTTTTCTTCCTAGCACTCTAGCCTGGTATGAAACGAGTTATTGTCGTCATCATTCAACATGAGAAGAAACAAGTGATTTTTTAATAATTTTGAAATAAATATAATGTGGAACAACGGAGTAAATTGAAAGAAATTTGAGAGAGAGCTGTGTAGGTTCTTCTCTCTATAAATTTGGGTGCCATTTGTAGAGAAACTAGAGGTTGGACAGTCTGTTTGATGATGGTATAATTATAGAAGGAATAATGATTCCCTCTCATCACAAGCACGATGAGAGAGTGTATGTAATGTCAGAGTGTGTAAAGAATCATTGGATGATACACGGCCTCCGATGTTGTTGGTTGTTACAAGAACAATAATATTACTCATCTTCCAATCTGTGCATATCATCATCGGCATGTTCACTAGCCTCCAATCTTTCCTTTCTCTTTCTGTACCAATAAATCACTCCCACGACAATGGCAATCACAATTCCAATCACACCTACAATCAAAACTCCGACAATTGGATATTGGTTAATTTCCCAAAAATCCCAAACAAATGTTGAATTTGATGGAACAATTGTTGAATTTAGTGGAATGGATCCATTGGTGCTATTGGTACCATTAAAAGATTCCAACACATAGTATTCATGGGCCATCACCATCAAGGAGCTCATTAGAAGGATAGCACAGGCTAACACGGAACTGAAAAGGAGGCCTTGTGAGGAGGTCTTGCGAGGGTTCATTTTTTTGCAAGTTTTTGGATGTCGTTTTCTTGGGCGCCCTTACAGAGGATGCCAAAACAAAAGGCAAATATTACTTTCCTGTAATCTTATGTGTGAGTTCTTGGATCCAATGAATTGAGGCTCAAAATAATTGTCAGATTAATTGGTTTTGATGAAGGCAAATCAACATTCTGAAGGGAGGAAGAGACTCATATGGTTTCTCCTGCCTTTCAAATCATATTCGTTTTAACAGAGGTATTTGGTAACATTAAGGAATTATAAAGTATTGACTATCAAGCAGATTGCAAAATTCTTAGTAAAAAACATAAATGTTTATTATTATTTGTGTGCGTGGCAGTATCAACAAAAGTTTCGAGTCATTCGTTGATGACGGAAAAGTCATGTAGTGGAAAGTTACTGATAATGATTAGAAGGAGATGGGACAAGTTGCGTTGGCTGTCAACTTGAGAGAGGTGTGATGGTTGTGTAACAGTGGAGTTTTGAGAACAATGAAGAAGTCAAAGACATTGTTTGAAGTGACAATGGTGATGTACAAATATAAATTGTCACGCATCTAGATCAGTAAATAAATCCATAGATTCTCGGGCGGGCACGTGAGCTTATTCCACAAGCATCGCCACAAATATAAAATTATCATCAATGTCTAGAACCTCCTTGTTCTTTTCCTCAACTCACTGAAATATTTAAAAGATTAATAAAAGCTTTGGATTCTTTTGACAGCTTCTTGAATCTCCTCCAAAGTAATCTCACCATCTCCATTAATATCAGCAAAATCCAACAATTGTTTCACACGTTGTGAAATGATATGCTTGAATTTTTCAGAATCCACATCATGACCCAACAAACGGAATGTATCTTTCATACCTTGTTCTAATTCTTGCGATGTAAGACGTCCATCACCGTCAGCATCGTACAAGAGGAATGTCACTTCAATGATTTTGCTTGGATCTTGTTCAGTTTGTGTTGGAGCCGTGATGGAAAGATAGAGAATGAATTCTTCGAAACTGATACTTCCATCTGTGGTGGTCGTGTAGTTGTATAATGCAACACAGATCATGTGTGCAAGTTGATTCAATCATGATGTTGGTGGTGATGATGATGAAATTGTGTTAGTATTTTCACACACATTGGTCCACAAAGTGTGATCGTTGTCAAGCGCGATTGTGTGTTTGAACGAATTTGTAACGGATTTTTATGGAACACACCAGTTCAGTCACCAATGTAAACAACACCATGTTGTGGAAAGTGTTTTGAATATAGACACATGCGCGGAGATGATATGTCATCAAACACAATTTCAGTAAAGTGTCATTATGAACATTTTTACATGAACAATTGTTTGACATCCCAGATAATCATCAAATTTCAATATATCTAATCATTCAACTGAAATCAAACACACACATACCTCTATTACGATCATAGGAACGGAACAAGTGATCTATAGGTGCTTCCTTTGGAAGATTTGGGAAAATTCCAATGGCCTTTATCCACTTTTTGAATCCATCCTTGTCCATTTCTTTATCACCGAACATATCGAGCCATATCTTTCTGTAACGTTTAATATCCTTCTTTGAGACTGTGAGAGTTTTCACACCATAATTGTTGGGTTGTTTGGTTATTTGGTATGATACAAGAGAGTTGTTCAGTTGCGTTTCATTAATTATTGTGGAATGATGATAACGCGATTTGATTTAGAATCGATGATGACGTTCCAATCATTGAGTCGAAGATGGGATGACATCAAGCGAGTGAATGAGCAAGAACACATTTGCAGATTGTTTGTATACACACGCCATCGTGATGACCACCATTTGACAAGGTAAATGATTTGGAATGGATGATGAATACAAACAACAACATAATACACTCGCTACTACTTACGTCTATTTTCAGCAATTTCTTGCCAGTCAGTTAATTGTCTTCCTGAAATTCCCTTTTGATTTTCGTTTCCCATTCTGCTGTTATTGTTGTTGTTTTTGATTCGTGATTGATGTTGTTGTTGTAATAAATTGATTTCAATTTACTATTCGAAGAAATCTTGAAACAAGATGGTGTGATTACAATATATACAGGGCGGCTGCTGATCAGAAGTGATGTTGTTGAGTCCTGTAACGGAAAAGAGTGATGTCGTTGTTGGTGCAGGGGCAGAGACGACGAGGCAATTTATTTTTTTGTGACTGTTGACTATTTGACAGACGTTTGATCAAGGCGAACACATTGTTTCCGTTTCGGAATCAGTGAAACGTGAATGCCTCCAAGAGGATTTGCACAAACAACGCTTGAAGAGGCAAACGTGTGGCAGTTTTACACCAAACAGACAAAGTGTATTAACCAATACTTTATATTTTATTACGAAAGAGATTAATTTCATGTGAAGGCCTCCTAGCTCAGTTGGCAGTAGCGCTGTCCTAGTAAGACAGAGGTCTTGGGTTCGATTCCCAAGGGGGCCAGCAATATTTTTCTTTTGCTTTTGCTTGCAACAGGGTCTCGAAGGGCAAAGAAGAAGGAACCCAAAGAAAAAAAATGGAACCTCAGTCATCATCCGCTGCAGCAACTGTTGATGAACAAATGCCACTTTCATCCTCCTCTTCCAACTCACCTTCTTCATTAACGTTACCATCATCACCATCAGCATCCACTTTGCATCAACAACAATCCACCAACACTCCACAATCAAACATAATGCCTCCCTCTGTCGGATCCAATATTACCGATGTGCCATCATCATCCAATAATCATCAACAACAATCGCCATCATCTAGTTTAAATAATACAACGAACCTGCCTACCAATCGGCCAGAATCATTGATATCAAATATTTCATTTGCGGGATCATCCATTGCTTCAGCCAACACCAATCACAATACTTCCAACGGAGGACAACATGAATCTTTTCCATCGTCCCATCAGACAGCAACCTCTCCTATTGGAGTTTCGTCATTACCATCTCAAAACAAACCCCTGAATGACTTTGAAAACATCTATTCTAGTTTTAAAAAGAGAAACAGAGAACAATATGAACAACATCCTTCCTCCTCATCGAGCACTACTGAATCCTACGTTAAGGACTTGGAAGACAAGGTTGATTTTATGGCACAATTAATTACCATTCAATCGGCCAAGATGAGAAAAATGGAAGTAAGATTGAGAAAATTGGAATCCTTGTTACCTCAAGCTGGTGACGAATTTGTAAATTCAAATAATTTGCATCGTATTCCAATGATTGCATCGTCCTCTGGTGGTGGTGCCAATATTGATGAAATTTCAACTATTAGCGATGATCTGCCAACATTTACGGCAACACCAAAGAAGGAAAAAGGAAATAGACAACCCAATGCTTACAACATTTTCATGAAAAGCGAAATTCAACGTATTAGAACAACACATACAGAGTTGACACAAAAACAAGGTAAGTTCATTTTCACTGGAGATGTTCGATTTCATATTGGTGACACTCAATTTTACATGATATCAATAACGCCATTGGTCATTATGGCCATATTTCAATTCCAATTGGGTCAAATTATGTTGATTGATTCATGTCGTTCATTCATGTCATGAATGATCCATGGTCGATGAAAAATTTATTGCATTCCAATTCCTTTACTGTAAACAGCCTTCAAATTAGCAGCAAGTAACTGGTCACTGAAAAAGGCAGAAATTATGGCAGCTCAGAAGAAAGGTATTGATCCAATTACTCTCGTGACAGGAGCTTCCTCAGATCTTAAGGCAGGATCTAGCGCAGTGAGTACTCCAAGTGACACCACCATTCCTGATAACCTCTCTTCTGGAACTCCTGCCATTCTTGATGAAAAATAAGGAGGAGGAGCACCATCCACCATTTCTGTGAAACCATGTTCACAGTTTACTACCACCCATGATGCTACCCAGTTATAAATTCTGTTCTAAATTATTATTATTATTGATACATCCTCAGTCCATTTGACCTCCACTGTCAATATGTGAATCTTCAACAACAAAAAATTTCAACACCTAATTTCGCCATCAGAGAGGATTTGTTTTCATTCATTCATTGAATATCTTGCTGACGACGATTCATCTATGATGAAAGTTATACAAGTGATGAGAATATAAATTTATTGACTCAAACGTTTAAAAATCATCGAGTTCGGAATGATGATCATCACGAACATTTATATCAACTACGATTTAAATCATCAACACCTAATTTTCTAATTAGATATATTTTCATTATATTGATTTTTGAATTTTCCCAAATCGGCAATATTTCACAACATTCACACAACATGACCTCACATCATACCGTTCCGAAATGTTGCACATGTTGTTGCTCTAAAACAGGAACTTTTTTAATTTATTTATGGATTGCTGTTTTATCGTTTACCATCTCTGCAATGCAATGGATTTATCAGGGTAGGTGTGAAGTGACCAAGTGTCTAATATTTTCATTATATATTGTTCTCAACTATAATCGTTATATGAACCAAAAAAATTTTGAACTATTAACCATCATGAAATTAATCAAAAATATTATGATACGTTTTTATGATAATAATATGATTATAATTTTCAATGAAATTCGAAATCCATATTTGGAACAGAACCAGCATTTTATGACCCATATATTTATAGACCTATTTCAGAAGATCATTTTTCACACATTCGTCATTCATCGCAGCTGCTTTCATCGTCGTCGTCGTCCAAACAACGATGGAATTTATCGATTCATTCCTCTTCCTACTCGAATTCAGCACAATCATCCTTCTCTTCACACAACTCCTCTCCTTCATTTTCACACATTATTTATTTTAACCGATTTAACACAACCACTTTTGTGAAACAACAACCTGTTTCATCGACTAGTAGTACATCAAGTGAATCTTTAAATTCTCAATTTTCACATACTTTTCAATTATTTGAAATGGTCACCATTCAATCGAATATGAATCATGACTATTTTTTTGAAACCAATCATTTTACTTCACTGATTGTACAATTTCATGGCTATGCAGAATATTCTGAACGATATACTTTCTTTTATGAACGATTTTTTAGTCTGAAAAAAGAATCCATTTCAACAGCCAATCATACCGAATTTGACAACTTGTCAAAAATTGCAATTTATTCCTATGATTTACGAGGACATGGCTATTCGAGTGGCAATGGAAGATCATTTTGGAGAACTTCTCATGAACATTTACAAGATATTGAAACGGTCATTTGTGAACGAATTCCTTTCATTTTAAATTCTGTTCTAAAATCACCCAATGCAAAAGTTTATTTAATGGCACATTCTACGAGTGCTCTTAATATTTTGACATTTGATTATTTGAAAAAAGGAAGAACACATCATGAGAATTCTGAACAAGTAGAAACATCTGAGAATTTTTCATTCCAATGTTCAAAATTTCAACAACAAGGAGAACCACTACACAAATTATCGACTCATTCTCGTGCATCAGATGATTCATTATTGAAGGCATCACCAAATTCTGAAACAGCAAGTTCAGAAAGAACGAGTACTGATCAATTAGCAAGCAGAAAATTCACACCACTCATGACCTTGAAAACAATGATTCCTAATTTTGGTGGAATAATTCTCACTTCACCTTCAATTGCCTTAAAGGGATTTTATAATGATTTTTGGAGTCGAAAAAGTCCTTCGTCTTCCTCTCGAGACACTTTACACCGTTCAGCAACCACCCGTCCACAGCATCATGAAAATACTCTTAGAAATCATTTAAATATTTATTCATCGAGTAATAGAGAAGAAGTTGAGGCAGAACATGAAGTATCTTCGTTTTTTGAAATGCAAATTTATTTAGTGAAATATTTAATGTTACCTCTATTTCCTTCACTGCCCATTTATCCTTCCTTTGGCGCATTATGTTTACATCCGAAATGTTTACAGAGATATAAGGACGACAGGATTATGTATAAAGGTCCGTGGAAAGTTGGTCCTTGGGTTTCCATACTTGAACAAATGAGAAATGTTGTTCTCTATTTGAGATATCATGCAATTACTGTTGACGTCAGAAAAGATGCTGGCAACCATGACCATACCATGAATCGTAGTCGTTGTACAGCTATAACTCCTCCTGTCTTAATCATGCATGGAGAAGGAGACAAATTATTTGACTGGTCACGAACACGAGCGTTATTTGAAAATTATTTTGGAAATCGAATGCAGTGGAAATCTTATGAAAATTTGGGTCATGATTTGTGGCATGAAGAAGACAATATTCAAATTGCAAGAGATTTGTACCATTTTGTGTCGAATCCAGATAACCACCACGAACGTGGTAATGTTTAAATTGCCAAGAGATTTGTATGAATTTTCATCACTAAATACATGTATGGCATGGACTGTCACGAATATTTAAAACTCAAGAAGTTCAGTTAGGCACTTTACTACAGCACATCTTTGAGATATGTTTGCAGGCCACGATTTTTGAATGTGTAAAAAGTCTCTTCATGCCTATTACGGCATTGTTGAAAGCGAAACTGCTCTACCACTTCCAAGATACCATGCGTATGAACCAATTCACAAAGAACGGCTCTAATTCTCTCTGGTGTAATTGTCGAGTCCAGACAAGTTGCTCCCTTGACGATCGTTTTCAAATCAAAATAGCCACCGTTCAGCGCAGCCACTTCCAATACAAGTTGTTTCTCATGAACTAGCTGTTGAAGTTGACGCGAATAATATTCTGAGTGTGTTTGTGGTAAATGTAATTGAGACACAGAAAAGCTCCGGTCAAAGTCAAGCATATTTTTGTCATTTACCCTTAATAACTTCATGTCATTTAAAAAAAGTAATAGTAGAGAGATGGATAGAGCATTTCCTTCAGTTTTCTCGAAAATAAACTGTGTTAAGCAAGCTTCCACTCCTTCACAATTTGGTGTCAAATACGAATAACAATCTTCGGACGTGGTCATTTCAAATATACAATTTTCTACCATTTCTTTCGACAAACTAGGTAACTCCAATGTAAGAGTGGACACCTCACACCATTGCTGAAGCTCATTCAAGGAATCTTCCTCGTTGGAGTGAATACTTTGAAGTTCCATCATGATTGCATCATCATGAAGACTCGGGACAACCTCTTGAGTTAAATTCATGGTGATGAACAATAGACCAGGACTCATTCCTTCGGTGTGAGCGAACTTGAACAAATACTCTAGTACTCCTCTCGAATAGGGATCATATAAATGGATGTCGTCACAAAATAATAACCATGGTTCTTGGTTGGAATATCCAAGATGTTTCCATCCACGTAGTAGAATTTTGCTTACAAGTTGTGAGGCTTTTCGAATTGTTGTAGACTCATCTAAACTATCCACTGCCTCACTGGTACGAAAATGAATGCCTAAAATTGGGTTCAATAAAAAACAATATTTAGCCAACGTTTCAAATTCTTGATCGTTCTTAATAACACTTGACACCACTTGTTGTTTTTGATCCGATGATAGTGTACTATATACAGCATCGAAACAAGTATAATCCAAATCAATCCCTAGTTGCCTTAGAAAGAATTCTGTCACGATCATTTTCAAATTTTCATGAAATAACGAACATGGCTTTGCTAAGCAGAATTTAGAGTTGTTGGTCAAACATACAATCTTGTTTTTCCATTTTTCCAATATCTTGCGTAGTACATATGTTTTACCTAATCCTTTTTCTCCCTATTAGCCAGCGGCGGATATGAAGTGAGTCCACTATGTCATATAAACAAACATACCTTAATCACAATAACCTTATTCTTTTCAATACTTTTGTTAACTTCACACCCTTTGAGTGATATTAATTGAGAAATCATAGTATCTACTTCTTCCATAAACAGCTGTCTACTTGTTCTGACATTGGTTTCATGCTCCTTACGTAAACCGCTTATAGAAAAGTTAAGAGATATTTGCTCGGCGTTTTCTCCTGTGACACTTGCCGTAACATCGTTATTACGCAAGCTCTTTAACAGCTTGACGTACTTCTCATCGTTAATTGTAATAATTTCCTTTTCATAATTGTGAAAAACTAGTTCTGCAACCTGTGGCTCGCATAATATGTAACTTTCATAATTCGAGTACGATTCTCTCATGAGTTGCAAAGAAGTGTTTGCCACTCGTCCAAATAGGCCAAAATCTCTTCGTATTTCAGATCCAAAATTTGCAATTCTTAAACAATAACCAAAAGAAATTCCAATTCCAATAGTGTCCACTTGTTGTGCAATCTCGTTCAGCATGTCAAATAAGGTCTCATACTCTTTCATCTTTCCTATTGCAAATGAAAATATCACTGTTATCGTATGCTGAGTATCTTCAAACATTTTACATAGCTCTTTTTGATCGTATTTACCCATTGCTTGATGTACAATTCGGACTAATTCATGACGACCTGTCAATTGAAGATCAGAATCCTCTGGAGAGGTCATGAGGTTGTTTTGGCCAATTTTCAAGGAACAAACAAGATCAGGCATATAGTCAATTCGCTCCTCATCTGTTGTAGCTTTCGATAATAGAGGTGGAATAAACATTTTGATAATTCGTCCAAAGGATGCATGGAACGTAATGTTTTGAACTCCGCTCTGTGCTACCTCTTTTTTAACCATATCTGCAACCACTACGCCTTTAGTGGACAACTCCTTATCACCAACGGTAAGAACGCTTTGCTTGACACGATTGTACACAGAGCGAGTGAACACCACTTGACCTGCTTTGCATTGTTGGATCTTTTCATTGGCTTCATTGAAAGCACTGCCTGTGAAGAGCCTAAACCAGCGATTCTTGTGGCCACCTACATGATACGCTTTCACAGGACCAAATGTGACAATACAACGAACCTCGAGTTTTCTATTTTGCAAAGATTTAAACGTTTTTGAGAGATCTGTTTTTTGAATTCTTAATCCACACTCAATGGCTGAAAGAAGAGATTCGTTAATCGATCTCGTGGGGTCAATTTGAGGCGAATGAAACTGACATACAAGTTCTTCAGGATCAAATCGCTCCAAATCACCACCAAGACTGTAAATGATGCTTATGAGAACAGTATAAATATTAGAAATGCTCTTGCACACATGTTGCACTTGTTGAGACCGTCGGCTTGATTCTAGGTGTGAGGTGTGGTGTTGGACTAAAGAATTCTTTGGTTGAGTAGGTGTCACATGACTGAAAATATTGTTATTGTGATGTAGTGCAGAATTATGGGACGAGAGGGTTGCTCCTCTGTTCCATCGTTCAGTCGAATCGTCCCTCGGCTCATTGGTACTATTATGAAGTTGATCGTTCGACATTAGTGAATCTACAAGATCATGAATTCCATTAATTTTCACTAGTAAGATGCAAGCTTCATCGTGGGTGAATTCACTTAAAGGGCAATTCTCTCGGTACGCTTTGTCGTCCAATACCTTTGTGGATGATTCTCCTTTGTTAGAGGGAACAACCGAAGAATCGTTCATTGGTTGGGAACATACTTGGAGTGTTTGTGGTAGCGGTGACTCCTTTCCTGGATGCTCTTGGTGAAGAGATTGAGTAGCTACATGGGAATTGGGTTCGTACTGCTGCTGTTGTTTCATGTTACACGAAATAGAGTCTATGCTGTGGTGTTGTATGGGAAGGAGAGGAAGATGGTTGTTGTGAGGGTGATTATTTTGATGGGCTATATATGGCATTTGAGGATCCGTCGAATAAGGAAGGATGTTCGTGGTTTGAAAATTCATGTGAGAGGTAGAGACTGTAAATGAAGAGGACTATCATGATGAGCCAAATGATTGTTCACTAGGGTTTCAAATGTTGACATGTGATAGTGATGATGATGATGAGAAATCGGAACCATGGCAGTTCGTCGTTCTTCCAGAGGGTTGTAGTTACTCGACCCCTCACTCTGAAGACTGCTTCTCAAATTAAGCTGAGAAGGGCTTTGAAACAAGGACGATGAGGACGACCCTCCCAAATACACCTGCTTCATATTGAACAGTAAATGTTGAGGAAGATAGGAGGCCAACATTTCGAGTTGAATTTCTTCGGGAGGCTTTGTATTCGGAATTAAGGTCAATCCAGCCTTAAATCCATTAAAACTCACCCGCTGAACAGGAACCTTGAAAGAGAGTACCTTCTTTACCTCGGCAGCTGCTCTCTTCTCTAATTTACGAATTTCTTCGGGAGAAAGTCCTGCTGCTGTCGAAGGCTCTGCTGGATGCTGTTGGAGAGTTTGAGTTTGGCCTGGAGAACCTTCTTCGGAGGAACGACTCAACATCATACCACTCGAGCATGATGATCCCATCGTAAGGTACGTGTTGATTCTGAGAGTATGACGAGTAAAAAACGTATTCGGGAGTATCGTTGAGGCTCAATATTGAGAGGAGTTGTAATGAGAATGATCAAGTAGTATGCACTGAAGAGTAGAGAGAGCAGCAATAATAGTCGTAATAGTTGTATTGGATGAGCGTGATGAAACAACACAATGAAAACAAATATCAAACAATACTTCGGATACAAATTCGTCGTGTTCCACTCAAAATTGGTTGCTCAATATCAAATAATAACACACTCAACAACATGAGAGGTGTATTGTATTTTTAAATAGGGTTTTCGTGGTGGTCGCCAAAAAAAACAAAATGGCACAAATCTCGCGAGCTTGGCATTGAGGTTCATTTCAGACGTGTCCGTACTTCAAATATGGACATGATGATGTCTCTGGACAATACAACCTCAAAACACCTCGTCATGATTATTTCAAATTTAGAAATTCTTCTAGGGTGAAAATGTTCCAAAAATTGAGAAATATAAAATCTCAAACATTCGAACATGAAGATCACTGTTGAAGTGAAGACTAATCTTTGCCTTCTTCTTCTTCTTGATGATCCTCCCTTAATATGGCATGATATTGTTCTAGGTCATGATTAGTAAAGGCAGAACATGTCTCAATATGATGTTTCAATAAATAATCCATTTCATGTTTGGTGTGTTCAATTTTTTGAGACCATGAAACATGTAATAATATGGAAGGAGTGGTAGTACTACTGCTTGAGTGCTGCTCTAAGGATTTTTCAAGAGAATGTATTCCTTTTTCGTGTGTCAAAGTGCTATCTGTAGCCACTGTGGTGACCATATCTGTTGTTGTTGTAGCTGTCGTGGTCCACACACCTTCTCACTCTCCAATAACTTGTACATTTTAAGGCGTGATAAATAAATTCGAAACTTGACTCCGTGTGCATATTGAGCACTTGCATAGGCCAGGGCATCTGTGTAAATTTGTTCAATACGAGGATAATACTCTGAAATGTTGGTGAAGGAAGAATAACGACTTCTCAATACATGATATTCGGCATCCAATCGAAGTAATTCTCCAATTAAATTTTCTTGATTGGATTTTATGGAAATGCTCATCCAGTGTTCAAATCTTTCAAAGTCAGCGTTTACCGTGCCATGAATACTTTCTTGTTCTTCGTTCTCTCGTTTACACCACATCAAGATGACTTGAAAATATTGCAACCAACATTCAAGAATGGCATAATTGAAAATGAGATTGGGAGAGCTATAGAGTTCATGGATTGGAAAAGTGACTCCATGTGACATATCATCTCTCTGAGTTCAGAAACATAGTCTCTGGAGGCGTTGGAGCTACCAGTGATTGTAGATTGAGTGGCCCTCACAAAACGAACATATTTTGCATAAAATTTGCTACCAAGTTCTTGCAATGGTAGAGTGACATTATTCGAAAAGATGGTCATGACTTGCAGTCCTTGTGCTGCCCTTGTCTCCAACTCATCAATTTGTCTACTCAACAACAAGTAATAACAGGTGAAGGTGTAGAAAAAGATGAACGAAGGTAGATGCAGCCGCATTTTCGAATGTTCTGTTCCCAAATTGAAATAATACTGAGCCTTTTCATAACGTCCCATGCACCACAGTGACCGCATGGCAAATGTACATGAAAGCAAGAGAGCATCTCTTTTTCTAAAGTTATGAATACTCATCTTGTGGTATTTCTCTGGATCAGACAAATATTGATTAATAATCTCGTCAGAGAAAAAGGCCACCTTGGAAAAGTTTCCTTTCGTTTGATTGGACATCATGCAAGCAATGTAAGCGTACATTTGCATATAATCAGCACCGATATCGTTTGCGAGATTCAACAACTCTGAACTGGTGACAAGAGCTTCATCTGTTAAATCATAATAAAACGAGTGAAACCAAATTTCACAATAAATATCAAAGTAGAGTTCTCTGTTTTTCTTTGGACAGTATTTGAGAGCATTTTTGAGCGAGTTGTTTGAAGTAGTCATCAAATTATTATCTGAAAGTGCTTGTAAGAAACCTGCATATTTAAGGTCAAGTTTTGAAAGAAATTCTTTGCAACTTGCTCTATTCATGCCGACAATGGTTTGGGATGCAATTTTGTTTCCATCACGAACAGAATTTTTCCTGTTGAGACTATTGGACGAACTAGGTGCTATTTCGTACTTGTCTTTTTCAAACCTATCATTAATTTCCTCAATACCCTTAAGTATAGTTTCAAGAGTAGTGAACTTGGATGCTGTGTTGTTCCAATTATCCAAGTAGTCCCTAAAATTAACAGCATCGTTCCTTTTCTATCGCCATACCATGTCACAATAATATTTTCGAGTATATAAATGAGGGATGTAAATAAATGTTTTGCCTTGACAATTTCTGCACCATGATTACCAAGCAGATGTAAACCTTTAGAAATGAACAGTATAGCACATGCTACATGATAAATATCGTTTCTGTGAAGAATTTGATCACCAGATAAAATCTCTTCCAAATGAACCTTGTCGAAATATTCACCATAATGTGATGCAATCTCCAAAATGTACCAAGTGGATTTCTCTCGGTTTTTCTGTTTGACACACATGGTTGAAATGATATCGGTGTAATACTTGATGATGGCCATGTGTAATTCTCGTTTTTGTTGACTGGAACTACAGAGTATAATATATCGAGTATCATGGATGATTTAAACTTGTAAAAGGATGCCTTCTCAGAGGAAGAGGAGCATAAAAAGCTCTTCTCTTTTGTCTCGTCGATCAACTCTAATATTTTGTATTGAGTGACCAAATCGTTGAGTATTTGAACGATCCTCTGCTCCTCTTGCTTGAGTGGTGACTCGGGAAAGATTGTCAACAATGTCTCAATATTAAATTTCATACCACATGCAGAGGCTACTTTCAACACAAGTTGTGTATCATGATCAAGACGATCAAGTTTGTGATGCCACAAGGATGCCATGGAAGCAGGTATTTCGAGGCCATCAAGGGATGTCGTCTTCACTTTCAAAACTCCATCCTCTACAAAAAGTTTTTGCTGGTCATGTAAGAAATGTGTTCCCATGGTTACAAACATTTGATTGCCATCAGTTTTTTCATAAATGATATCTAACGCTTTCTGATCGACACTTTCAGCATTCGAATAAATCTGTAGCAAAGTTTCAGTCTCTTTCTAGTGAATGGTTTTAAATCAATGACTAGGTCAGCAACTGAAGTCCAGAATTCAAGTTCTTGTTTCTTTTCTTTGGCTTGAATAATATCGTCATCGTTCTCATTGATGGGTCTCGAGGTGATCAATAATATGCCATTTGTCATGGCAGGAGGAAGCTCCAATATTTTTCGAAAACTGCCCGTGAATAAGGATCCACATAATGAAAACTATCATACAATAAAAACCATGCCTGATTTTCATACTTCATATCCAACCATGACAGCGATAAAAATCTGGCAACCAAGTTTGCTGCAAGGCTGACACGTTGTGAAGACTCTAATTTTTCTCCATCGTTTGACGAGTCCTCAAAATACACTCCAAAAACGTCATTAATCAAAAATAAATGCTTTCGGTCACTCTCAGATGTAAATGTTGAGAGCAACAACTCTTCTTTTTGTTCTCGTGTTATCGAGGAATAGATGGCATCGATGTTGTCATATCTCATTTCCAGTCCATACTTTTTACAAACTCTCTCAGCAACACTAATCTTGACATTACCCAAGAATAAATAAAATGGTGTTTCAAACTCAATGGCAGAGTTATAGACACATGCAATTTTGGTTCTCCACTCTTTGGCTAAACGTGTGAATAGATCGCTCTTGCCCAAACCAACGTCTCCCTATTGATACAATGAGACGTATCCAACAACAGGTGTGTGATTCGAAAAAGTTTAAAATACACACGAATGCATAACCAAGTAACAATAGGTTTTAAAATTGAAAATTCATGAGCCATTGTTAATGCACTGTGATCCATTAATAAAACATACCTTAACAAGTATAACCTTTGATCTTTTTCTTGGTTCTCCATTCTCAAACTCTTGCAGCTTGCTTGAAACAACCGAACAAATTTGTTCAAAAATGTCTTCTCGACCAATAGGAGCACGCAAAGCTTCTAACGAGGCATCACTAAATTCATTACGCTTCTGGCACTCACAAGGTTGTTGTGAAATGAGCATCTTGTTATTTGTCTCTTGTTGCTCTGTTTGACTCGAGATTGGAGTATTGTTGGAAGAAACGATCGGATCTAAGGATGAATTTTCTGTGTACTGTGTATTTTTCATGGCCGTTCCATTACTATCTGTCTGATTCTTGAATGAATTGAAATACATGTGTTGGTTTTGAATGGAAGCATCAATCACTCGAGAGACTTTGATTGGCTCAGATTTTCCCTTTACCTTAATCGGTTCAAGAGTCTCCACAGGAATTCCTTTCAATAATGAAGAAGTTTCTTCGTCACAAATGATACATCCCTCAAGTTTTTCAGATTCTTTCATTAATCTTGCAGCTAGGTTCACCTTGTCACCATAACAAGTAAATTCTTGTCTCTGGCTACAACCTACACATCCAATAAAACATTTTCCTGTTGCAATTCCAATGCCAAACTTAAATCCGCCTTGCTTGAGCTTGGTAGTTAATTCTGTACCTGCCTTAACAGCCCGAATAGGATCTGAAATGTGTGTCAACGGGTAACCAAAGGCGAATACGAGAATGGTTCCCTTCTCATCGGCAACCATGTTAGCAATAAATCCTTCGTAATGATCCAAAATCTTTTGAATGGTCTCTAAGTACATGTGATAGGCATTCATTTCATCATTCGGAGTTGCGTAGGTGTTCGTGTCACTCACACTCAAAAATCCAACAGTCAGAGGTTTAATTTCATTGAGCCAATCTTGCTGACCTGCCTCAATCTTTTTTCGAACTGGAGGAGAAACAAACTTTCGAATCACGCTGCCGAATGAAGCATGAAAACTAATTTTGGGGAGAGCTAGATTTGAGGCCACTTGTCTTTTGGATGAAATTGCAAGATATACCTCCTCATTTACTCCCTCAACTTGACGACATGTAATGAATTGTTTGCATCGTTCGTAGGCTTGTTTAGTTAAAACAACTTCTCCAACTTTGCTATTACTGAGAGCACTTGCCATTTCTAACAAGGCCTGCCCATGCGTAATTCGAAGCCAGTAATCGCTCACTCCTCCAATGTGATGAGTTACAACTTTTCCAATCGATATTCCACAATGAATATGTAATGAAATTTCATTATTAATTTTGAAAACTCGTAATTGTTCTGTTCCCTGAATTTTCAAAGCACACTGAACAGCTGCTATCAAACAATCGGTCAATGTTCGATCCTTTCGTGGATAATAAAATTGACAAATGAGAGCGTCACCTGATCATGATGGAAAATATTTCAAATTATTTTGTTTATCCAATGTCAAATTGTTTATCAGAAAATTGTGACCAAATTCTATGAATTGTTGTACCTACCTGAAAATTTCTCGACATCACCTGATCGACATGAGAACAAAATGATTGATTTAATAAATTTGTCGATCGCAATATTCAGAAATTCACAAAATTTGCCATCGTCATCATATTAATTTATATTTAAAAAAAACAATTAATTTGACAATCCCACATACCTCCAAATTCATAAATGTATGATATTAAAGTCGTGAAATAATTATTCATATATTTTGTGAGTAGCTCAGCTCCGTTCGGTTCTTTGGATAAAGTTTCCGTGAGTGGCGTAAACCCGCTCACATCCAACATTAAAATACAAGTGTCATATGAAAAATTGCTCAGGGGAGAAATTTGGGAGAGATTATTCTCATCGAGAATTTTTTCTACGCCTTGCATTTTCGAGTCTTTGGAAATGTTGGAATAGTACACACTTTTCATGTTATAAAACAAATGTTGAGGTAAGAAGGATGAATAAAGTAACAAGTTAGACTCTGTCATGAACGGTTCTTTGTTGACACCACTGTGACTATTCAAAAAATTAAATCCAACAAAATTCAGTCTTGGTTCGGGAATTTTGAACGAGTAGGCTTTCCTAACTTCAATTCCAGACGGTTTGGAGCTGATGGTCGAAGAACCTGTCGTACTCACGGAAATGGTATCCTCCGAGATGTGATAACGATTCGCTTTTCCCTCTCCATGGACATTGGGATTTTCATGATCATTCAATTTTTCAGGAGTGGGTGATGGAATGGAATTTCCGCTTGTTGTTTTCATGTTGGGATGTTTTTGAGGTTCATGATGATGTGCCGTTGTGTCAATATTGGCACAAGAGGCAGCATTACTACAACCGGAGCCCATAATGATGATGACGAAGTAGTTGTTGTTGACGAGGAAAGAGGGTTCTACGAAAAGTTCCACGGAGACGTTTTTTTTGTAGTTGTCAAGGCGGGATATCAACTATGTTGTCCTCGTAATAACGGAAAGCTCAGACCCAACAATGGGAAATGACAAGTTTTTTTGTCAATCATGAATTGTTTCAACTGCCATTATTTCAGGCCATCACCTCAATACTTATTGTGAGTAGTCTTTGAATTTGGAAGATGACAAGGGATGAAATCTCAGGACGTATCGAAAACCTTTCATTCACAAACGTTCTAAGGCAGCAATGAGTGTTAAGAAAGACCAATCCATGTAAAGCGACATTATAACAAGACCAATCATTACAAGAATAAATTAATTGATTCATTCAAATGACAGAATGTCAAAACAAAATTATTACACACACACATAATCGGAGGAGTTGAAGCAATAGATTCACAACAACTTAGAGATTTCTTCTCTCAGTCAAAACACGAACAATGGAACCCATTCCACTCTTTTCCAAGACTTTTTCGTGCCACTTGAACAATGGCTTGGAATCCAATTCACCGCTCTCGAAGCATCTGTAAATGTACTTCATGAGAATGTCCAATTCTTCAATATCAAGAGCATCAACACTCTTTTGAATGTCGCTTTCCTTTGTGTTGAGTAAAACCGTGGCGACCACATCGGCGCTCTTCTTTTTGGTTTCCTTGTTTTTAGCTGCGAGAGGTGGATTCTCGAGAGCCTTCTTCAAAGCATCGGTATACTTTTGTCTGTATTCAATAATTATTGAACGTATTCAGCCCACACATATGATGAGAGTAAAGAATCAATGTGTGTGGTTCAATCCGTATTGGGGCAGGAAATGGAACACGGTTGATCAAAAACGATCGTGTTGGAGGATCAAGAATTTAAAATCCAACAACAGTATTATTGTTGTTTGAATGTAATGGTAATCATTGATCATTCAAATCATCATCATCAGGTCATCAAATCAAAATAATTTCATCAACATGATGGGATTCATCAAAAATTATTCAATATTGAACAACACGTGTTCTCTCCAAACAATCTATTCAAATAAAAAAGGCTTACTTACGAACTCACCAACGATTTGACAGCACTGTCCCTCTCTTGAATTTGCTTTAAAAATTCGCTATCGTCCGACATTTTTTTTTGTTGTTTGTGAAAAAAAAATCAAATCCTCATCACTTGTCATCATTTAAAAACGTGGAAGAGAAAATTGTGAAAAGAGAACAATTCAACCACTGAAATCAATGGACGAGGACCTTATTCGAATAAATCTCTCTCAAATTTATTAAGGGTTAGTTGTTGTTGTTGTGTGTGGACAATATCATTTCTTCTTTCTGTTAAATGCTTGATTGACAAAATTAACCAAAGAATACTTGATGTTTGTTGGTTTTTTCTTCTTTTCATCTCGATCATTCATATCAAAATCATGGAATGTGTAAGTATTAGTAGTGGAGGTGGTTGTTGCAGGAACCACATTAGTAGGTTGAAATTCTTCATAGAATTCATCAAGATTACCAAAATTGAAATCTCCATCTCCTCCACCGAGTTCATTTTCCAATAATCCACCAGTGCCAATACCAGTTCCTCCTCCGCTACAACTTGAAACATTTCCAGCACCAGTACCACCACTAATATTCGTCTTTTCAAAATCAAGTCCTCCAAACAAATCAGTAAATTCTTCAAGAGTCGTTGGAGTCGTGGCACTGCTTCTTCGAGTGGTTCCTCCAATACTATTTCTCACTTTACGTTGCTTTTCAATGCTCTTTCGACTCTTGTCAGAACTGTTACTCCTACGAGATCCTTCACTTCCTGCACTCAAGGCGCCTGGTGAAACGGGTGTGAAATCGTCACCATCGCTACGATCGAAGGACTTTTTTCTTCGTGAGCCAGGACCAGCAGAATTGCTTCTCTTGGTTCTGCGATGAATGGAATTGTTGGAAGGAGAGGGTGATGATGGAGTACTTCCACTGTTATTGTTATTATTATTGCCTCCATTGTTAGTAGTATTAGTTGTGGATGAATTGCTGCTACTGGCATTCGTTTGAGAAGTATTTTGTGGGTTGTCACCAACGGCCCAATCTCTATAGGTCTTATCTTGTGCAATTTCCTTAATGTGATTATTGTAAAAATTAGTCCAAGTGTTTCTCTTGGATTTGGTGTGCATGGTTGGTAAACTTGGAGAAGAGGAAGCATTGTCATTTGCAGAATTGTTGTTGACATTGGATGGTTGCTGTGATTGATTTGAGGATGATTGTTGTGAAGTGAGTGTCGTATTTGCTGCCGCCACAGTGATACCACCATTATTGAGACCTAATGGTCCATTAGAAACTCCATTTTGGGCATAATTTTCAAAGACAAATGTAGTGTTGGAATTATTGTTGACCACTGGTTGTTGAGAAAATGAAAGGCTCATATTTGTACTCTTATTGGATGGAGAATTCATAACGTTTGGAGAGCTATTGTTACTGCTATTGGCAGAATTGGTGTTGACAACGATGAGACGAGATTGCATTTGAGGGGATTGCAAATTTCCTTGTTGTTGAGAAGTGTCAAAATTGACATTCTCCATGGGTTGTTGTTGTGCTGTTGCATGATTCATTAATGGAGTGTTATTGACAAATCGATTGTTGTTAAATTGTCCTTGTTGCTGCTGTGGAGAGGTCATTCCAACACTTGTGTTGTTGTTGTTACCAATGACCATCGTATTGTTGTTGTTATTCAAATTTAAAAATCCATTATTGTTGGCATTCACCAAATTTGGTGAATTCATTGAAGTCGAGTTGACCAATTGATTTCGTTGTTGAAGAGAAGGTGACGTTTGCACTTGTGAAACTTGTTGTGGCTGATTTAACACATGCATGACCACGAAATACAATTTTCGTTTCTGATCCTCACTCATGGATTCGATCAATTTAAAGGCCATGGTATTAATGGAATCTGTTGAAGAGCCCAAAGTTGAAATGTTTGGATTGAATTGTTTAAGCCAATCCAATACTAGATTTTGATGATTGACATTTGAAGATAAATATTGGACCAGAATATGGTACAGAGTTTGGTCAATTTTGTTTGGATCATTTTCTGAAGGTGTTGTTGTCGAGTTGTTGACAGCAGTGGTCATCACGTTAGCATTGGATGACATGATCAAATTTCCAAATAGACCTCCATTATTTGTATTGTTATTGACAGTGTTGGTGGTGTGACCGGTTTGGAACATCAAATTGCTCAATGGTTGTTGTTGTTGTTGAGAATTTGTCAAATTATTATTCACAAAATGATGATCGTTCGAAGTAGTGGATGGTAACGAGACAAATGTCAAATTCTGTTGTTGTTGTGAAGAAGAAGGAGAGGTCATGAATACTTGTTGTGGTTGATTTGGATTTGAAATCAATGCTTGTGTGAAATTGAAGGACGAAGTCGACGATTGTGGTTGTTGTTGTTGACCTGATGATGCCGCAAATATTTGCATTAATGCTTGCAATTGCACTGGATCGATACTATTCATACTATTGGCATTTGACATGTTGGTTCCTTCGTACGTGTTTGCAAAGGATCCCATCGAGCCTGTTGTAGTTGTATTGGTCGGAGAATTCAAAAGTTGACCATTGATCAGGAATGTGTTCGAAGTATTAGCAGTGGGAGAATCGAGAAATCCTTCGATAGGCATTGTAAAATCATTTCCAAAGACTGGATCATGTTGATTCAAAGTGTCAAAAGTCATGATAAGAAACGAAAAACACACAACTCGTACTACACACCTAAATTATTGTTACTTTCATCCATCATGAATGTAGTATTGTTCGGTAACATTTGATAGTTGTTGTTACTACCACCACTACCCATTCTATTATTATTATGATTCATAGAATTCATTTGGTTATTGCCGTTATTCAAGAGCATCATTAAACTATTCAAAGTATTCTGATCAATCATCAATGTCGTATTATTGTTATTATGATTCATTGTAGTATTGGCATTTGACATCATTTGAACATCCATCGATGACGAGTTCAAGTTCATTGGATTCCCACCAGTAGTGCCATTGAACATATTCATGGATCCAGTATTTCCCATCATGACTTGTCCGTTATTATTATTCATTGTTGTTGCGCTGTTAGAGTTATTCGAAGTACTAAAGGCTTGAAACAAGACATGGTTGAGTTGAGAATTGTTTTGTACGACTGGTTGTTGTTGAGAGAGATGATTCATATTCGTCGTTGTTGTTGTTGTTGTTATTGATGAATGAAAATGATGATTGGGAGAGTTGTTGTTTTGCTGCTGCTGATTCGGAGGAAGGTTCATCATCTCACGAAAAATTGTTGTTGTTGATGATGAATGAATGACTTGTTGTTGTTGTTCTTCCAATTCTTGTTGATGTTCTGGTTGTTGTTGTGGAGATTTCTTTAGTGAGAGAGGTCGTAAAATTTAGAGAGAGTGCGGAGGAGTGGTTGAGGTAATTTTGTAAAGTGGAAACGAGTTCGTGTTTGGCATTTGACACACAATGTGATGGATGAACAATTTAGGTAATTGGAAAACCATCAAGAACCGTGGTTCATAGCGGTAGAGATGTTATTGTTGTTGGTATTATCATTGCATAGCAATAAATACATCATTGAATGTCGTCATTTAGAAAATTCCAAGTGGTTAAATTTCGGAAAGAGGAGAATAACAAGAACGTTAGTACACTATTTCTCCTCATCGGCCGGTGAGACGCAATTATTCAACGTACCAATACGGTTGATCAGGTGTGTGTATGATGAAGAGTTTACTGTAATGGACACAAACGCCAGCTGTCAATTGCTGCAAAGATATCGGAAGGATATCAGCAACGATTGTTATGAATTTTTTAAAAAATGTTGTAAAAGTGCCTTTCCACCGAACAGTCAAATTTTCAAATACTGATTTCAAGATCCATACATGTTGACAATGATCCATGTTAGGAATTACATAGATTGAAGGAGTCTGGAGAGCGGGTATTCCATTTGTTTGAAAATACAACCACATGTTTCTAGAACCAAGATACTATTATTAATAATGATCATTTCTTGGAGTGTAATTCCTTCTTCTTAATGCTGTTGAGATTATTTCTTCGTTCAAATTGTCATCATGTTGTGCTTCGCAGATTGGAACATGTATGCACTAGCGAATGAGAGTTATGATCGAAGAAAGGATCCGTGGAGATGTCTCTCCTCATTGCTGTGGTTTTGTGTGTCCTTATGGTTTATGTTGGAAATTGGTTGATTTCGCTGCAATGGGGAAGGTTGATATTGTGTTAATAATTTTATGAAACCTCGTCCATTTTTCGGTGGCGTGAAACGATGAATGAAATGTTTCCATAGTTCAATATGCTTGGCCTGTTCCTCTATTGGTTGATTGTAAATCTTGTTTGTAAGATGATTCTTTTGGATAAAATAAGCAAGATGAACACAAGAGAGGGATTATGGTTCTTTCATTATGTTTTCACATGTGTGTGAAATCCATTAAACCTAATTCTGGAATGAATTTGTTCCATTCATGACGTGCCATAGAATATTTGATTGGCATGAAAAGATTTGTAACTCATTCGGTGTGACGGAACATGTTGGGAAATATCTCCGTTTAGTACATAAAATCTAAATAAACGAAATCAATTGGAAAGAATACAACGAAAGGTAGCTTCATTTCTTACGGTTCGCTCGAATTCTTTTTCTTACTGGAGATGAAGTGGCTTCGTGGAAGGAATTAAGGGGAACATTTGAAGATCCGTTCGAAAATGGATTTTTGGAAAAGTCAAATGGTTGTTGAATTTTCTCTACTGTACTTTCATTCATCAACAAGTTAGTTGTTTGATTTTTTTCAGTGTTGGTGGGTGGTAGAATTTTTGTCAATAATGTTGAAACTTCACACATGGCTTCTGTAGGAGTCACTCGTTGAACCAAATATTTCCAGTCTTCAAGCTTTGTTGTTTGTCCTTCTACTTGTAGATTATTAATCTTGTGGTTAAGTATGTTGATTAGACGAGTGGAGTCATGAAGTTTGAAATGAGGTGTAAACTTCAATTGTTTGAGTCCATACAGTTGCATGAAAATAGTTGCTGCTTCGGAAGAGCAAACACTAGCCATTCGAGACATAAACTCCGAAATTGTGTGGTAATATGTGTCACAAAATAGCATGTCGTACAAAATATCCTCTACCATGTCCATGTATTTCTTATGATGTTTCAAAATTACGGAAAAGCAATCGGTACGAGCGTTTGAGCATTGCAAATCACAAAAGAATTCTCTGAACTTGATCTTGACTTGTTCTTGTTCAAAGTTATTCCAAATCAAATCTACAATTCTGCATACATCTCTAATATGTGTTAAATGGGAAATTAAATCATGATTGATAATCTGTATCACATGGTCTATTGTGAATGCATCAAGATGGATGATTGAATTAAAGTACGGAAGTTGAATTGAATCTCTGGATAGTAAGAAATTAATGAGATCAGTAATATCTTTCTCATTGAGCATGGCTGCATGAAGGACTGAAAAAATATCTGGATTGCTTTCACGATAGTTCTCGATGAAAAAGTATTTCATGCTGCTAGGCATGTTCGAAAAAGCGAGAGTACCTTTCGGCCATAATGAGGCCAGTAAATTCAAATATTTTCTCAAGATGGAGTGTTGTGAAATGAATATCAATACTTCTGTGGAATGTGACACTAATTGAAAATCTTTCATCAAATTCATGTTTTCAATCTTGCCCATTTCAGTGATGGAATTGAAAGCCATTGGAAAAACTTGAGGAAATTTGGCAATCATCTCTTTCTTGTGTTCTACAATCGCTTGAAATAAATTATTAATTCCTAACTTTCCCATATACATCAATACTGCAGCTATTTTGTATACATCAGAGTATTGGTGTTCACATGTCGCACCTATTTCATTGTCACAGAGATATTCATTCATCATGACCAGCTCACTTGATTGTAAAATTGTTGAAATAATGTGATCAACAAGTTGATTCAACAATTCAGTGTCTAATCGAACCTTCTCCAAAACAAGATCCAAAAACTCTGGCAAGAGCACACAATTTCTCATCAAAAACATGAATTTGTCCCAATGTATCTTCTGTTGAGAAAGGAAATGTGTTGCCAGAGCATGTTGAGTTTGAAAATGCAATAGAGTCTGCTTCCTCGTGTTCTCTGAGTCTGTATATCGAGAATGACCAATTTCTAACAGAGATAAATTGTTAAATAAAAAGCTGGCAAGTTCTTCGGGATAATTTTCACTGAGCCAAGGTTCAAATATCAGGAATAGCTTGTCTCTTCTACGTCGTGCTTGGACCATTGCTTGTTGAAAAGCGTCAAATGATGGAACAATGAGTGAGAATAACTCAAAGCTACTTGCGGGTGAGGTTAGGTTTTCCAAGGACTGTTCCACCAATTCCTTGTCCTTGGTGACATTTCTATTCTCGTATTTTTGAAGATATTCACAATAGAGCCGAGTGTTTGACGAAAACATAAATTTGTGTGCAATACCAGAAATAATGGAATTAGGATTGTCAACGTAGGGACTAAGCTCGTGAGAAATGGTATTGAGCAACCATAACATTACTTCTTCATCACCATAAAAAGACAATATATTTTCGAAGAACAAGTGAAACTTCACGAGGGGGTTGTTAGACAATGGGATGGTGTTATGTTCTATTGCCAAGCTTTTTCCAAGTATAAACAAAGCGCTTTCAAAATCCTTCTTCTTGAGCAACTTGGACAAGTGATCCAAGCGAACGAAATCAATGATAGATTCACATAACACATCAAAATCTTTGACTTCGTCGTAGCAGCGAACTTTTTCAAGCTCCGACTTAAGGAAGGAATAAATATCTAGAACAATTCCATGCTTTGGTGATTCTGCACAGCAACCAAAAATGGTTGGTAACGAGAGTAGGGGTGGCGTTTCCTCAGACATATCGCGTATGTATAATGTGATGAGCTTTTTTGCTGTTTCATTATGATTGTTACTGAAAGCTGATTTCAAATACTGCTCCCTTTCACTATATGTCGTTGCTGGTAATAGATATGGTTTCTCCAAAATCTGATCAAGCAATGCATGGAATCCATAGAAGCATGCAAAGCGAAAACATGTCTTGGAACAATAATTGGGAATTGGAACAAGAGATTGGTCTTCGTGTGAAGAATGAATCATCTTCTCCATGGGATGAACAAATTGATTCAAATCAAACAAATTGAAATCATGTAAAGGTTGTAGTAAGTTTCTCAATCGCTCGTTTGGGAGTAATGAATTTTCACTTCTAAAAAAACCGCTGCATTCAATCTTCATCCACCTCAATACAAATGACTCGACACATTTTGCATCTTGAACAAAATGACAAGACAACACTGCAAGTCGACCCGTCCAACTGACGTTTGCAACAGAGTGAAAAGCATCAGATCTCGTGAGAAAACTTGCTACCAATCTCCATTCATCAAATGATAATTCTCTCATCATCATATTGACTCGAAAGGTTGAGCGATAAGGACTGTTGGTGAAGCGATCAGTGCCAGGCTGACACATGGCAACACCTCCGAGATTGGAGATGGCCTTCTTTGAAGACACAATCCGAAGGCCCATACTGCTCATCATCCTTCCTATCATCTCCTTGGTCGACTCTCTCTGATCAGCCAACAGAGGACGGTAGTTCTCTTGCTTGGTAACATCGGCCGAAGAGATTGGATAAAAGTAACAGAGTTGAGGCTCCAGAGAGGATTTTTGACAGCTCGCTTTGATATTTCCTTCTTGCAACGTTGGAAACATTTTTTTCTAAGTGACTAATCGTCACATCAATCCGAGCGTGAATGTAATCACGTTCTCTCATTTCCAATGGGTCGTTCTTGAATGAACATTCTTTCGTACTGATGATGTTGAGCTCGCATGAACCTTGGCATTCGTTTGTGGTTCACAAGCTGCTGATGATGGAGCAGTGAAGGAAAAAGTATTAAATGTAAATGGAGAGCTTCCACTAGAAAATGGGTTTTTGGAAAAGTCAAAAGAAGGTTGCGTTGTAAATGGATTTGCTACTGCTTTGTTGCTCATAGTGCTTCCCGACGAGATCGTGTGATTTGTTAACATTTGATTCTTGAAACCTCCTAAATCATTGATAGGTTGAAGCAGTGTCAATAATTTTGAAACCTCATCCATTGCTTCAGAGGGTAACAGTTGTTGAATGAGCGATTTCCATGCGACCAAGAATTTAGTGCGTTGGTGTTTGTTGGTCTTGCTTTTAAGGGCATCAATGAGACGAGTGGGGTTACGAAGTAAAAAACTTGTTGGTGTAAAATCAAATTCTTTGGGGCCAAATATCTCCATGTCTTTTGCTTGTGATGAGCAAGAGTCGTTCAATCGTAATTTAAATTGTGAAACTGTATCAAAATAGTCGTCACAAAGAAGCATTTCATACATGATATCTTCGATCATCTCCATGAATTTTCTGTGATACTTCATAACAACCGTCACATGGTCGTAAAGACCTGTTGAGCTGTATAAAACACAAAATAGGTCACGGAACTTGATTTTGACTTGATCTTGTTCAAATTTGGTCCATAGTAAATTCACAATTTTGCATACATCTCTAATATGTGTTAAATTGGAAGGGTTGAAAAAGCTAGTACTTGGAATCTGCAGCAAATGGTCTGTTGTGATTGAATTAATATGAATAAAAGAATTGAAGTAGGCGACATCCTTGGATAATAAATATTGAATTATTTCAGCAATTTCTTTTTCACTCATCATGCTTGCATTCAGTACAGCAATAATGTCTGGGTTGCATTGCGCGCTTTCATTAAAAAAGTATTTCATTTTCGTGTTACTTATAGACGTAATAGTTGGCCAAAATGAGGCCAATAAATTCAAATATTTTCCCAAAATAGGATGCCGTAATAGGAATATTAAAAGTTGTGTTGAATGGGTCACCAATTGAAAATCTTTCTTCAATTTCACATTGTAAATGTTACTCATGTCAGTGATAGAGTTGTACATCAATGGAAAAACTCGAGGAAACTCGACAATCACATTTGCCTTATGTTCAGCAATAAATTGAAATAACTTGCTTAATCCCAATTTTCCTATATACATAAGAACGGCAGCGTCCTATAAACATCATTGAGGTTCAAGGGTTGGTTTGTCATTGATTGCTTGTTGTTCAAAAGATAACTTTTCATCATAGTCAGATATGGGAAATGCAATATTGTCGAAATGATATGATTGTACAATTCTTCTAAAAGCGTACTATCGGTTTGGAATTTTTCGAAGAGAAATTCGTAAAAATCGGATAAGCATTCATAGGTTTGCATCAAATATATCAAATCGGCCCAATTTTTAACCTTGTCAGCCATAAATAGAGAAGCGAGCTTTTTTTGCACACGTGAGTTGAATAACTTTTTAACGTGTGAGCTCTGAGGATCCGTATAACGATCTGAGCCTTCTCTTAACAATGTCACCCTCTGAAATAAAAAGTCAGCAAGTTCTTCAGGATAATTTTCGCTTAGCCAAGGTTCAAATATCCCAAACAACATGTCTGCTTTGTCATATGTTCGCAGTAATGCCTGTTGGAAGGCATTAAATGATGGTCTAATGAGCGAAAATAATTCAACGGTAAACGTTGAATTTAGTGAGGCCAAGGAATGTTCGACCAATATTTTATCCTTGTTGACATCTCTTTTCTCGTATTTTTGAATGTATTCACAATACATTTTAGTATTTGCTGATAACATGCATTCTTGTGCAATATCTGAAATGATTGAGTTGGGATTTTCAATGTATGGAGTAAGCTCAGTAAATAAAGTATTGAATAGCCATAACATAAATTCTACGTCACGACTATAAGCCAAAGCTCCCTTTAAGGATTTTCCTAACACGGATAGGGATGTTGGTTGTAATTCGTTTCCGTGTGATGATGTTCGGTTATTCTTACAATTCAAGGCCAGATATTTCTGAAGTACGAACAACGCACTTTCAAAATCCTTCTTGTTGAGCAACTTGGAATAGTATTGGCCCTCAATAAAGAACGTATTAATAGATTCGCTTAAAATATCATTGGCTTCTTGGTCCTTGAGCGTTTTTGCAAACTCTTGTTGAAGGAAGGAGTACATTATCACTATAATTCCAGATGTTTGTGAGTCAGCGCACATAACAAGAATGGTGTGCAAGGAATGATCTGAAATCTGTAAAAGATTATTGTATGGAGTATCCTCGAAAATTCTGCGAATATAAAGCTTGACAATTCGCTTAGCTGTTTCGTCATTGTTGTTACTAAATGCTAACTTTAAACAAAGATTTCTTTCAGAAGGTTTCATTATTGATGGTAACAGAAATGGCTTTTCAATAAGCTGATCAATCAATGCATAGAATCCCAATTCACAAGCACATTGAACACATTTCATCGAGTAGTAATTGGGAATTGGAACAAGAGAGTCTTCATGTGAATAATGAATATTCTTCTCCATGGGATGAACAAATTGATTCAAATCAAACAAGTTGAGATCGTGCAACAAATACAACATGTCATGCAATCTCTCATTGGGAAGCAGTGAATTTTCACCTCGACACTGATCAGAATGACCTGCTGCTTTAGCTCTCTTCATCCACTTCAACACAAATGACTCGACACATTTCCAATCTTGAACAAAATGACAAGACAACACTGCAAGTCGACTCGTTCTATTAACATTGGCCAACGACTTGAATGCCACAAATTTTGTAACAAAACTTGCCACCAATCTCCATTCATCAAAAGATAATTCCCTTCTCGTGTCGCCACGTCCCACAACTTTTAAATAAGTATCGCCATGAACAACATTTCGAGGCTTTGATAAGAAATTAATCGTGGTGGTTGGAGGCATTAACGAAATTGGATTCCATTTCAATTCTGTTGTAGAAGACGATGCTGATGGAGAAGAGGTGGTAGGAGGACCATCCCGAAGATTCATGTCTTGGAAGAGACTTCCGATTGTACTGTGAGACTTGTCTTGTTGTTCCACTTTCTCATCAGGCGAGGAAAAAGTTGGATAAAAGTACTCGAGTGAGGGTGTTGAGAACATTTTTTTTGAGAAAATAATTACAACAATTTTTGTAAAGAATTGATTGAAAAACTCTCTGTTTGCCTTTTTCAAACTATTGAACTGTTATCATCCACCTCATCATCATCCTCAGTAATTTGATTGAATGAAAAAGTTGAAAATTAAAAAAAAATGAAAAAACAGGGCCTGATATGGTTGAAGGCTTCTGCATCTGCAACCATGATAGGGAGTATAGGCTCCGTAGCAACATCATCATCGGGTTCATCTTCAATTTTTATTCCATCGTATTTGGGACAAGCCATTACGAGTCGTTCACGAGCTCTTTCCGTAACACAGCAACGATCGTTTTTAAAGTATTATTGTCGTACGGAAAGTTCAGAGTTGGAACGATTCAATAATATAGGCAGTGTTCATAATTACCGAGTTTCATCAACATCCATCACTTGCTCTTCTTCCTCACAATTCCTCCATGCCACCAATACTAACAACACGAACATGAATCAAATAATTGTTGGCAACAATAATATTCATCATTACCATACTTCACTCAAAGCTTCAAACAATTCGGAAGGAGGAGAGGCCGGAAATAATAAACCTAAAAAAACTCCCAAGAAAAGAAGAGGTGCCGACGACGATGAAGAGGAACAACAATTCTATGTGAGAAATGCTTATCCAGAATTTGAGTTAAAAGCACCAATGAGTGCAAGAGAATTGGGACAAAAGTTAGACATTTCACCTCATGAAATTATCAAACATCTTCCGAAAGGGTACACCATGGAAGATATCATTTCAATGGAAACAATTGAAAATATATGTCTTGAGCATTTGAAATCGATTCCCATACGAACCAAGCCAAAAATATTATCTGATGACGATTTAAAAGTACTTGAAAGATTGGAAAACAACTCTCCTCCATCAGCAAAAGATCTCCAAAAGAACGAAAAGGAATACAAAAAATTGTTTAAGCCAAAAGCACCTGTCGTGACAATCATGGGTCACGTCGATCATGGTAAAACAACTCTGTTGGACAAGTTGAGAAATACAAACCTCGTCGAAAAGGAATTTGGAGGCATTACACAACACATTGGTGCCTTCCAAGTCAAGCTGCCCTCCATCTCGCAACCCATCACATTTATTGACACACCAGGACATGAAGCATTCACTTCAATGAGAGCATGTGGCGCACAAGTGACTGACATTATTGTCTTGGTTGTTGCAGCAGATGATGGTGTCATGCCACAAACTAGAGAAGTGATCAGACATGCACGAGAATGTAACGTCCCAATGATTGTTGCAATCAACAAGATTGATAAATCCAATGCAGATATTGATATGGTGGAACGACATTTAATGAATGAGGGAATTGTTTCAGAGCAGAAAGGTGGAGATATTCAATTTATTCCTATTTCAGCGCTCAAAGGAACTGGAGTTAAGGATCTTATTGAGGCCATTGGTCTCCAAGCAGAAATATTAGAATTGAAATCAATATTTGACAATATTCCAATGCAAGGAACAGTCATTGAATGCAAAGTTTTGCAAGGTTTTGGTATCTCAGCTACATGTATTGTTCGAAGAGGAAATCTTAAAACCGGTAAATGGGTTGTCTCTGGACTCTCCTATGGAAGAGTAAAGAGTTTGCGAGATTCAAATTTGAAAGAAGTGAAGGTTGCATATCCAGCTGATCCTGTGGAAATTATTGGTTTTACCAGTATGCCAAAAGCAGGAGATAAAGTCATTGAGGTTGACAACGAAGAAATGGCAAAACGAATTGTTGAATACAGAATTGAAATGATGACTATTCAAGCAGAAAATAAGAAAGCCAAAAAGTTTGAAGAGAATTTGAGAGAAATAGAAAAGCGAGAAGCTGAAAGACAAAAGGAGCTTGAAAAAAATCCAGAACTGGCTGAAAAAGAAAAGGCAACAGAGGAAACACAAAAAGAAACGCTCGAAGAAGATAAGAAGTATATTTTACCAATTATTTTGAAAACAGATGTGGTTGGAACGATCGATGCATTTAATGAAATTATATCTGCATTCCCTACCGAGATTGCTCAGATACAAATTATCAAACAAGCAGTAGGTCCAGTCTCTACAGCTGACATTCAATTGGCAAAGATTGTGGAGGGTACTCAAATTATTGCCATGAATGCTAAAGTTGCACCAAATATTGCCATCGAAGCCAAAACTCATAATGTCACAATTAGCACATTCAAAGTGATTTACCATTTAATTGATTTCTTAAAGTCAGAATTGGTCAAAATGATTCCACCAACGTTCGAAGATGTCGTTTTGGGAGAAGCCATTTGCAAACAACCATTTACGTTCACTGACAAGAGCACTTCAGGTAAAAAAACAGTAATTCCCATTGCTGGCTGTACTGTGACCAAAGGTTCCATGTTGGCAAAAGTTGAAAAGGGAGATTTTTATCGAGTGTTGCGTGCGGGATCTGCTCTGATTGAACGAAGTTCCATTAATTCGCTCTTCCACTTTAAAGATCAGGTCAAGGAGGTAAAGAAGGGCAATGATTGTGGTATTTCATTGGAAAATTATAAGGAAATTATGAGTGGTGACATTATTCAACTTGTATCCAAGCAAGAGAAACAAATGACTTTTGAAGAACTTGTTCAAGAATCTGAAAAGAGAAAATTCAAATTCAGAAAAAACAAATAGGCTACTATTAATTCAATTTTGAGAGGATTATTTTGTCATGAAACGATTGGTAATCATTGTGGCAGTAGTGGAATACTGCTGTTGTCCAACACAAAAATAAACCAAATACAACGAATGCATGCACAATGGATTCATTCATTTGACCTTTCTAATAATTTGGTTTATTATTTCCTGTCCAACGAAGGCTTGGCGAACAAGGATGCTTGCTTCAATTTTTTGAGCTTCTGCAAAATCAAACTAATGTCAGTTTCAGTCAAACTATTACCAATCAAATACAATGACGTCAAGTTTGTAAAACTGATACTTGAACAAATGTACATGGCTCCTTCATGTCCAATACTACAATAGCTTAGCCCGAGCTCTGTTAAATTCTTCATGTTGTTGCTCGATGCTAATGCACCAATACCTTTAGGACCAATTGAATTCCTACATAAGTTTAACACTTGTAATTGTGTCAGATTTGGGCTTGTTGCAATACATATAGCTCCTTGCGCACCAATGTCATTGTTGATCAAGTAGAGTTTCACTAAATGTTGTAAATGTACACTATTGGCAAGATGATGAGCACCTTCATCGCCGATTGCATTTCCACTCAAATCCAACTTGGTTAAATGCTTAAAACTTTCTGAGATTAATTTGGCACTTAAAGGACCCATTCTATTTTCATTTAAAATCAGAGATCTCAAATTGGAAAAGACACCAGCAATGATTTCGATCGTACATGGTTCCATATTCGTTACATCTAACTCTGTGACATTTTTCAATCGAATTGAACCCATTCCATCCAAAACTTCATAATTACCATCCATTAGTAATGTTGTAATATTTTCCATATATTTGGAAAGAATAAATGGTTTAAAAAACGATTGAGGCCATTTGTGTGTACAAAGAATATTTGTGTATCGACTTTGAAAGATGGAGTCGAGAAACTTCTTGGATCCATCTTTCAACTTTTCAACCGAATACATGCGATACCTGTTTTCATATTGAATGGAAATTTGAGTTGGACTATTGGGTGAAAATTCCATTTCATTACCAATCGATGGCGAATGTTGTCTTTTGCTCAATATATATTCACGTTCTTTCTTCTCGCTCTTTGAATGTATCAAAGCTTGATCAAACACTGTGGGATCATTGGTGTCTATCAATGGAGAGTTGAGTTTGTGCTTTTTCCAAGGATATTGATATCGAAAAATTAAACTAATATCCTCCATAAGTACAGTCTTGGTTCGATCTGAAAATACAAGTGTCGTGACGTCATGAAGTGAATAAAGTAGCATGAGCATGATGGATTTCAACTCGTTCAAAATGTTGGTCCAATCTTTTCGTTGACAAGCATCAATTTTCAACATGCTACGACAGAGAGAGAGGAGTCGACTCACACATTCGGAAAATACAACCATTGTCTCATTCATCTCAATTCCTCTCTCATCCAGAGAGAGGACATACCTTTTAGCACCTTACACCTTACACTTTAGTGCCGTTTGCAATGGCACGTAGTCCCAAAAAGGAGATACAAATAGCACTTAACACTGGAGTGCCAAATGCAAACAGCACCTGACACTTGAGTGCCGAGTGTCATCAGCACCTGTATATTTTTTAATTTATTTAAATATTATTTTGAAATTACAAACCTCCGTCTTCACGGTTGTGAGCAACGGGCCTCAAAATTCTCTTCACTACACAATCATCATCGAGTATCACGAACGCAATTTTTGGACAATTCGTCTGACAACGACAATACCAAATGATCATCTACGAAATTTAGTTTATGGAGGGAAGAATAGACTCACGCTCATTTTCTAAGGTGAAGCGTTGTGAGGCAGTGGTTCAAATAATGTTCCACCGTTCAGCACCTGTTTTCTGAGTTGATGTTGCGCCATACAACACGGCGTTGAAAGAGATTGAGATGAAGTTGTCGAACAGGATGTCAGAGCTTGCTGAATGAACTTGAGAGACGATTTATGTTGAGGAAAAACACTTGCAGTACAGGAAAACATTTTCATTTGGTTCAACAGGGGAGTGAAACTTGCCAGCTTTTCTTCATAGTGACATGTACTTTTGTTCAATTGTTACAAAAACGGTGAGAAGAACAAGAGAATGGTGCTCAACACTGTTGTTGGCTGATGTAATCGAATTTGAGTGATTTGGGAATGACGGTAACAGCAAAAGTCAAGCTGAAGCAATCAGAAGGGTACAATTAAGGGAACTGGAATCACTTTTTGTTTCGTAGTCATACTTCTTAACGGCTGAGTCTATCATCATGAAAGAACATATCATTTTTGCTCTAATCCTTTCATACGAAGTCAGCAAATAGGAATAGATGATGGATTATCAGCTTTTTTTTTGTTTGATGATTTTATTGACAATAGAATGTTAGTTCACAAATACTCATTTCAACATCATTCGCACACTCAGTGTCATACATAGACTTACTAGGTCAATACAATCATTCATTTGCAAGTGTCAATGCAAACACTGACATAAGTGTAGGTGCCAATCATCCAGAGAGGATGAAGTTCATTGTAATGTCAAAATGTCACATGTCTGTTGTCAATTCCAAATTGTCCATCATTCGAATAATGCAATTGATGAAGTAAACAAAGCAATTCCAAACACATGACACCAAAACTCCAAATATCTGAACGTGTGGAACGTCGTGTCCCCGTCTCTGGAGGAAAATAATGAAGTGTTCCACTTCTCGAACGATTACTACACGAATAATTGTCATCCGATTCATCCAAATCTGCAAGATAGACACAAAAATTGGAGAATGATGAAAAATTCAGTGCATGTCCATCATCGACCAGAAAATTCTCAGGTTTGACATCATTATGACGTTTCTGAGCAATTTCATTCCAACATTGCAATCCATTGGCACATTGATGCATCATATCCAACACCAAACAAAGAGAATGAATATTCCATTGGATCATGTCATGATTCTCTCGAAGAAGAGAATGAAAGGAATCTTTGAGACGTTGTGTGGCAAAGGTTCTCAAATTACAAGTCATGTAAGGCATTATGATTTCTGTGACTCCCGCTTCCTGATTGGTACAAAGATCGACAATTTCGATTAGATACATTTGGAGTGGAGAGGAACGTGTTCGTAAGACTTGATACGTTTGATAGACCTCGCTCATGGGATCGTCCAAGACTTGTTTCATGAATAATTTCCGTTGTGGAGTCGTGCTGCTACCAATACTGTTACTATTATAATTATTACTGTAACTATTACAACCATTACTGTAAATATTATTATTATTACTCATTACAATGACTACCATTCGTTCGTTGGGTCAACGAGGAAACATCAGAAATTGGTTCAACATGCCAAAATCTGGATGAAGAACCATGACACTCAATTCCATGAATGGAAGGTTGTCCTCCATGATACCAATACTTGTTATTGAGTGATCGATATAATGGAGAAACCCGATGATGCTCATGAGCAGCACAGGCATGAGCCGAACATAAATTACGACGACAACAACAGCAATGAAAGCTTGCTGGAGTTAGGTATGTATTGCACTCGGAACAACGTTCTTGATTAATGATGGTTGGACTGGTCAAGGAAGGATCAATGATGGTGAGAGAGAGTCCACCACAACAATGTGGATCATGAAATCCGAAGGAATATGCGCAATGATTCGGATGATGATTGGAATTGCAATAATCTAAACCACATCCGCAGCAATGAAAGCGAGCGAGATGGGGACAATTGGGAACATGACATGATCGTATGAACATTTTTTGAATCGCGTGGGTGTTCTTGGTGTGAGAGAAAATTTTGTAATTTTATGCGAAACCATCTGCGTGAAACATGTCAGAAATCAAATCATTCAAAATCGAATTCGAATAACTACAATAAAAACTAGAAACAGTAACCTAATGCTCGTGCTACGTTTGAACACGCGTCAAGAATCTCCTGTTCTGAACCCGCGCTTCCAATTTCAGCAAAAAATAAGGCATCGTTACTCGACAAACAACCAGGTCGTGCTTCTTCAACGGTCATGGACCCTTTTCCAAATTTCTTGACACAATACGCACCATTACTCTGTCCCGTGAGGAAGAATTTATACAAAACACCAAACGATGCCTGCGACTTATTAAGAGCTAACATTGCACCGTCAGTAAAAGAATGTTCCAATGAATATGTTTTAACCTTGGAAGAGTTCCGTAGAGTAATAGATAAACCGTTCTTAGGTAATGTACAATTGAAACTACTATGATTGTTGAAGTGAGAAAATCCTACTGTCGTTGATGAGTTGTAAATTTCCTTAAGGCGCGTTTGAGAAGAAATAATTATTGAATTTTCAATTCTAGCTAAATATTCAAGATTTGTTTGAAATTGTTCTACTAATAGCGCACAATGAGAAAAAAGTACATTCTGGCTCTCAAATACATTTTTGTTCCATTTTCTGATAAACACACCGCTGAAAGTATTTCCTTCTCCTGAAAATGTACAATTTTCAAATTGCATTTGCTCCTTGGATAATTTGACTGTTTCACTACCTAAAAGTTTACAATTCTCAAATGTGCATCCATTAAACATCCAAGGTCCAACAAGTTCACATTCAATAAACACACAATTCCTTGTCACAAATTGACTCGAGTCAGAAACAAATTTCTTTCCTCTGAATGTATAAGATTCGAGTGTCTTCATTCCTTTACAAAAAGCATGAACAGTTCTATCATTCATTCTATCTTCAAGTTCTTCCAATTTTTGAATTTTCTTGTCGAGCATGTCCAATTTTTCTTGTATCTTTGAAACAAATTCCTTATTACCAACAAATGGACATGTTTGAACATGGGTGTTCAGTTGCTCTCGTTTTCCTTTCCAATCACACCAGTGATTCTCATCGCTACAACTAACAATGGCCATTGGACACAATTCTTTTTCGTGCTGGTGTTGTTGAAGGGGGCTGATTTTCGCTCCACAACCCAAATGACACGGAATTGGACATGTTTCCATGTGTACATCCAATTCGTGTCGGGGCATCATGGAATGACATCTGACACACGGAACCATCACCTGCTGCAAGCTTTCAACGACAAATTTTGGAGGTTTGCAAAGACTCTCGACCGAGAACGGGCAATGACAGAAGGAACATGTTTGATCATACGGAGCACATTTTAAACAAAATAACAACTGACAGGAAGTGTGCATGACGGGATCTTGCAGTAATTCCGAACAGAGGGAACATTTGAGAAAAGAGGGAATTTCAAATGCTTGCTCTTGAGAAATCGAATTTGACAACCGCATTTTTTTTAAAATTGTCAACGTATTTTAAAGATATTCTTGAGAGGGGATGAAATATAAATTGTTACTGAACCATTTACGCTTCTCAAAGTTTAAATATTCTTCACTGTTATTAATTCACACATTATTGTTAAACTTCAAATTGATTTGCCCAATCAATCACATTCTCCACTAGGGAAATAATATCCTTCTCGTCTTGAGATAATTCTTCGTCTTGTACGTAGTCGTGAATTAAATTAAGAGTGCTTGGCAAATTCTGTGTGTTTGATGATTGAATGATGTAGAGCATTAATCCATAGAGTGTCGTATCTGAGAGTGTGTCAAAATTGGAGACTTGATTCACGAGTTCAATAATTTTGGCATACATGGCAACGAGAGAGTCAATGGCTGAGTATGGCGTTTTTCCTACATTGATGTTGTCGAGAATTTCAATGGCTGGCTCAAAACTATCGGCTGCTTCAATGATGGCCATATCTTCAACTCCCAAATCTTGTAATGTCACAATTCCAATAGCATTCAGCTTTTCTTCGGTGGTCTTGTTTTGCTGTTGCGTTTCGTATACTTCCACCAGTGTACGATATACTCTCTTGACAATACCTTCAGTGAGAGCTTTGGTGACATAGTGTCTCAATTCTGCCACTTGCAAAGAGGCCCATAATGGAGTGAGTTCAACAACGATGGCATTGGCCAGATCGGAAATTTGCTTATTGGCATCATGGACGCTCAACCATACTGTATCTTCTTTCACTTGGAATTCCTCATTGAATTTTTGAACAAAATAAATTAACATGGTGTTAATTGGATGCTGTGAAATGAGGTCTGTAATGCTCAACATGTGAGTTCGAACACTTTCCCATTGATCTGCAGGCGATTCCATAGCCAATAATTCTCGATCGAATAATTCGTCACGAGTCTTGAATGTTCTTTCCTTGTGATAATTGGCGATAAATTTGGTTCGAACACTTTTCGACCATGCATTATCACCATCAAGAGTCACGTCAGCACCATCACCATCCACTGATGCTTGAAGATTTAGACTTTTTCGTTTTTCTTTCGCTGAAAGCTCTGGATCGAGACCGAACGATGTCACTTCGCTTAGCGATGGTTTGTATGCATTGTCCAAAGGTGATGGGACTCGAGTATTAAATGTGGCACCAGGAGGTGCTTGAAATTCAATGGTAGGTGACGACAATTCAACACTCTTTCGGTTGGAGAAGAAGGATGAATGTGTGGAGGAGGTAACAATCATGGACTTGGATAGAGGATTGTTGGAATTGTTTGAAATTGGTGTCAAAGTTGGTGAAGATGGCTGTGTCATGAATGACGAAGATAATGCAGCAGTGCTTGATTGGAATGACATGTTATTGAACGAATTGGATGATGCTGCTGAGAGGGAAGTAGGTGTAGCATTGAACAAAGTAGTGTTGGTGTTGTTGGATACAGAAGAAGGTTGATTCAATGGATAGGCAAAAGAAGCCGATGATCTCAAAGAATTGTTTCCAGAGTTTGGAGGTGTCGTCGTGGATGATGATCCCGATGAAGAGATAATACCAGTTCCAACATAAAACGAAGAAGTAGTGGACATCATGGAAGGAGTATTGGCTGTGAAGGATGATGGGTATGATCCTCCATTCGTTGATGACGATCCACCTCCTCCAACATTGGAATTATCATGATGATAATTTCCAGAGTTTGGAATTTCCTTTTCAATAATATCTGTAACTCGTTCAAAACACATTTTCGTAATTTTCACTGCTTGAACCACTTGTTTGTAACTCTGTGCATTAGTCTTCAATTCTTCATAGAGTGTTTCTTCTTTCAATAATTGTCCGAGGGCTTGAAAACATGCTGCGTATTGTTTGAGAGCTTCTGCAAAGTTCCGTTGCTCATCTCTCTTGATGGCTTCACTGCTTTTAATTTTGATGGAATGAATATTGAATGCTTGGACCATGATGATGGTGGTGGTTTGTAAATTTAATCACGTGTATAGGGTGTATGTGCGTTGGGTGGATTGGATTTAAATATTCGGAATAAGGGGTTTAGAAGATGATGATGATGCAAATATTGATCAAATTTGTATCAATCAATGAATTCAATTATGAATAATTATTCGCTGAGTACTCGTAAATGGTTTTTTCTTTTGATCACAGTAACACGCTATGATCTGTTGTTGGTTCCGAGAGCGTATGATGATGATGTTGAAATAACTTCAACTTTTAAGTCAACTATTCGCAAGAGATGTGGAATGAATTTTTTTTGATTTTCGAATTGAATTTGAAACTGAAAAAGAATTGTTGTTAGTTTTGACAGTTCAAACAAACTTCTATTTACTAGATTCATAGCAACATGATTCATAGACCATCATCTACTTGAATGACGCCAATTTCAATAACAAAAAATCAATCACACCTGGACACAAACATTGCACAGCAGCAAGCAAGGGCCAAATGAAACTCTTTCCGTTGGAATCAATGTAGACATGTTTGCCACGATTCGAGGAGAATAAATTGGTGAACATGACGCAAGCCACTTCCTCTGCATCTTGTCCAAATTTATCCATAATTTTACCAAAGGCTTTCTGACAATTCTCAATTTCGTGTGAAAACTTAGAGGATGAATCAATATTCCCCTTAAATGCCATTCCAGTTTTGGTAAATCCAGGATACACACAACAGACGTCAATTCCAGTGGAATGCAATTCTCTTCGAATGCCATCATTCCAACTAATCAACGCTGCCTTTGTCACTCCATATGGGGTTCCCAAATAGGGAGGAATTAATACACCTGCTGGAGAAGCTACATTCATTATAACAGATTGACCATCGTCATATCCATTCAGACGAGAGAGGAGATGAGGGAAAACGGCCTTTGTCATTTTCAAATGTCCAACAACATTGGTGGCTAACATTTTCTCAAACACATCTTCTTGTTGTTCAATGAGAGAAGTGTACAAGCCATCTCTGGGGTACGAGATTCCTGCACAATTAACGAGCGCATCAATTCGACGGACAGATTGTTCAGAATCAATGAAGAGTCGTTTTTGAATGTCTTGAACTGTGGTAGTTGACAGATCGAATGTAAAATATCGATAGGTTTCATCATCCTTGCTGCTTAATAGACCCTTGTCCATGTACTCTTGTTGACGTTGAGCGAGGAGATGTTCGTTGCAATCCACAGCAATCACTCGACACTGATGAGATAACAACTTCCTAACTAACGCTTCTCCAATTCCACTTGCAGCACCTGAAACAACAATACATTTTCCTTTTGGAGCGATATCATGTCGATAGCGATAAAAAGCTGAGAGAGCAAAAGCAGCCAATAGTAGGACCAGTAGGGAGATGGAAAGAAGGAAGAGCATCTATGATGAAAGATAAATTGTAGGGGTGAATGGTTCGTTTGTTTTTTTTTGTGTTTTTTGGATGAACCGAAGAGATGAGTGTCTCGTGAAATTGGAATTCTGAATCATCGATCAAACCAAAAATTTTGCGTCTCAAGTTTTCTTGCGTTCTTGAAAAATATTAATAGAAAGAGGTTCAAAAACGTGAATTCCCAAGTACTCAATATCAAGCGATTGGAACATGATTTCTTTGAATTTGATTAAGTTACAGTTTTGAAACTGTCGAAATTGAGGTTTTTGATAGTCTGAGGTAATATAACAGTGGAAGTTCGTTGTTCCATTTAAACAAACTTCAGTTCAAAAAAAATGGAAGGAAGTGGAATTTCTTGTTTTCATTCACCCCTGTATGTGAGAACAAACCACGTTACTTTTGATCAACGGATGTTATTGATTGGAAGAGAAAATGGTTGGATCAATCGGGTCGTATTTTCATATAAAGCTTTGGAAGCATCGGCGATGAATGATGATGAACGTGTAGTGAATAGTATTGCCGGCAATGATGGTGCTGATTCAAACATTTTTCTATTAATTGAAAATTATAGAATTCACGATCGTGATCGGGTCAATTCTATTCAATATGTGCCTGATTTGGACATGGTTATTTCTTGTTCGGATGATCGAGTTTTCTTTTGGAAATTTTGTGAAAATTCAAAACAATTATCGAACACGGATGCATCTCCAATAACTTTATTCAAATATTATGCGAGTTTCAAGAGAAAAAGTCGTTTTTTTGGAATTTCAGTCTTTTTGCCCAATATTGCAGTTGTGTTTTGCGAAGATGGAACTTATTCTACATTTTCATTGAACAAAGAAACTTCAACAGAATCAGAGTGTGTAACCATTTTGACAAGTGACCAAAGTAGTTTTGAAACAAAGCAACCACATCACAAATCAATACCCACTTTCTTTGCAAAGAAAAGTAATATTGGTTCCAAAAAACTGTTACACATAGCCGGTCATGACACCAATCAATCGCTTTGGACTTTATGGGATGATGGCTCTATCGTATTACTGGCATTGCAAAAAAACAAGTTCCAACCTTGGTTGGGAAGGTTAAGAGTAAGGAGTTTCATTGAAAAATTTAAAGGGAAACATATTACTGGAATTGACATTTCACCAATCCGTCTGTTAACGATTGTCATGCGCGACAACATTATTATATGGGATGCTATGAGTGATTGTATATTCTTTTCTGTTTCGCTCCAAAACATGTTAGAAAATTCCCAATATCTAACGTCCAACAAAACATGGGTCACAACACATCCAGTGAGATATGAAGTATGGTTAGCTAACAATGGCGATATTTCTAGAATTTTATTGGAATCTAAAGAATTACAATATGTGAAAACGATTCACGGATTTTCATTTTCGGCATCTAATTGGCTGTCGTGTGATGCGAGTGATGCTATTCCAATACTTGTCCTAGGAACCTCTGACGGTTCTTTATTGTTGATAGACGGTCGTGAGAATGCACAACGATTGGTTGTCAAGCAAATAGAACCCAAAAGTCACAGCGTACTTTGTGAAAATTTATTTAGCTTGTTGTGTCGTCGAGAGGTATATTTAGATTTAACTTTTAGCTTTGACAACGAGAGATCAGTCCTGATTTAATATCAGTAAGACCATAATCAGTCATTTTGTCAATAATTAACCATTTCATTGAGCTGCTGTCTGTTTCTTCATTCATGTGTTTTGAATTGGAAACAAATTTAATGTCCTTACGGAGCGCATAATGAACTTTGAAATGGTGTCAATAAGTTTCATAAAAAAAGCTTCCGCTCCAAATTCTCACAACCATGTCATTGACCACAGCTCATCTACACACACATGAAACTCTGAAAATTGAATTTCTGACGAATCCCTTCTCATTCATTCGATCTCTACTGAGTCCTCTCTACATTCATCTGTTCAAATTGTTTCTTCCATCAGAATTGGTTTCCACGAACAAGAATCACCTATCGATTCATTCCGATCAATTGTGTGAAATTATTTTACAACGAACACTCTCGTTCGTTCATTATTTTCATGCCTCTCTTCTGAATCGATGGTTACACGCTGCTACAATTGTACCGTTTTTTTGTGGTATTTTTCTTACGATGGGATATCTTGTGAAAGTAATTTTGGGATTGGAATGGACATTTCCTTTTGTGGTCGTGTGGAGTGTATTATTTGTGATCTTTGCAATGGGAATTGATCGATATGTATCCATGATTTTGGTTGGTTATTGTGTTGCCATTTGTTATATCTGCCAAGTATTGTTGACTTATTTAGACAAGTCAAATGCCACTACAATTTTCAATAGTGGACAATTTCACGTCTTGTTGTGGGGTCTGTCTTTATTACTTGTTGCATTTTTAAGTCAAGTAGTATTAGGCCATGTCTGGATCGATTCAAAAATCCCAGCCTTCTTAATTCAAGAAGCATTATTAATTACACCCATTTACATGATTCTGTCATGTGTCTTGATGGAAAATCCATTTATTCGATATTTACCAACATTGAAACAAGAAATTGAAAGCAAGGCAACGAATGAGAATTTCCAAAAGTTCGCAAGAATTCAATAATACACATTTAAATGTTTCTTTTTTGGTCAGTAAGGACTGACAAGAACTTACGAAAGTTTATATTGTAAACAACGAAGCAACGAAGTCAACCAGGATTACAATGAAAGTTTTTGAGTATTGTCATTATTATTTGACTTCGAACGCTAAAAAATGAAACTCGTTTGTTTCACGGGTGGCCAACTCAAGCGTATTTTTTCGTGAACACAACAAGCTGCAAGAGATAATTTCGCTGGGGATTTTTAATAAAACTACGATCATTGTACGATTTTATGATGATTTCAACCCCTCAAAACTTGCCAATGCAACATTTTGTTGCTGACACGTGAGGGAAACACAACTTAATTATTGGTGCGTCAATAAGTTGAATTGGCATTACAAGAGCCGTGGTGGTAACGTCGTAAAACTTTGTCACGTCCAGGGTGGTATAGTATTGAAGGGGCCCTTTCCCCTCTTCGTCATTATCAACACCATCTCTCTCAAACCACAACTCTTACATTGAGAAATGTGTTGTGAAATTGTTGCTAAAATGTTTTCGAACTTCTCTTATTGTCTCGAATCTTGGTCATTTTTACTGAAGGAGTTGGCCACCCGTGGTTTGTTTTCGATAAAAATATTTTCATTCGTTTAAATTCGTTTGAACTCGTTCAAAGTCGTTTATGGCCTTATATCACTCCGTTTTAATAGTACCTTGATGGAAGGAATACCGAATTTATTGTTGTCCACCACTATTTGCTAGACGTGAAAGAGTTTTTCAAACGATTTCATGAGACAACGTCTTGTTTTCTGTTACCAAATTCAACCCAAGACTTCGTTGAACAGACTTTGAGCATGCTTTTGTGGTGTTGTATACAATATCCTTTCCAATTGGTTTTGTTGATTTCTTTTTTAATTTTTGTGATCAGACGGATTCGACCGCTGAATTCCATGTTTGTTGTTGAAACGAACGAGTTGAAACGAGTTAAAACGATTTCAACAGTAACTCTCATGTCAAAGATTTCAGCATCCTTAGTACCACCACCCCACCCTTACCAATTTAAAAGAACGAAAATATCTGGATTCTTGACCTGGTTGAGTTACAGTATAATTTTAAGATGACTCTGAGTTCGTGTTTTCTGGACGTGGTTATGTCAGAAGTTGGCTTTGAGTGCAGTTGTAACACTGACTAAGGGGATTGTTACTAAGGTGTTGAGAGTTTCGAGGATACTTGCACCTACGAAGAGTTCTATTCTTTGCTTCTCTTGATTTTCGGGGCCGGTTGTGGCTAGTATATGCAAAGTGAGTTTGTCTAAATGGCAGCAATAGATTAGTTTATTCAATTCGTTGAAAGAAACTTGCAGCTAAGATATTGTTGGAGAAATAAACTCAAGTTTCTTTCAACGAGCTGTTGTTTGGGACGATTTGTACAAAATTTCAGTCTCTTCCAAGTTTTTGGAATGTAACAACTCCTAACTTAAACGTTGTCTTCACAAACTAATAGTAAAAACTAATAGTAAACCTGCAACGAAAAATAGCAATTTCCCAAAAAGGCTAACCAATTGTAGCTAGTGCCACTGCAAGAAATTCATTTGGAAATGCCATTCCAGGTATTCTACAACTAGCTGATAGTCATTTGATGATTCAGGTTTTATTGGGCAAAAATAATTTAATAAATCTACAATCACAATAAAACAACATCCACATTCCAGAGAACACCACCTGTAATTTCAAAAACTCTAGAACGTAAATTGACTTTCAAAATCTTGTTCCATCATTTGATCTTGAGTCGAGATCACTTTGAGAATTGTTTTCCGACTTGTTTCCTGTAATTCACCTCCGAGAAATATTTCATCCAAAATAAAGTAAGCCTTATGGAAATTCAATATCAAATCCAACTCGCAAACATTTCCAAAATATTTATCCAAAATTTCAACAAAGTGATGAATCATTTCCATCATCATCAATTCATTATCTTCCTTATCAATACAAGCTACAAAATATAATGATGCATATCGTTTGAAAACTAATTTATGTTCCTTAAAGTCCAGAAAATTACTCAACTTGGATGGTCTTCCGACCACCATATGAGCAACGTCTTTGACAATACGAGCTCGTTCATTTTGTGAGTAGGTAGAGAACCATTTGGCGAGACGAACTTTTGATTGTCGGGAAATGAGTAAAATAAAGTGGATCATTTGTTGTGTGTGATGGTGGTGGTGGTATTCAAGGGAGATCAAGACGTACGAAATTCAGTTTAAAATATAATTATAATGTGATGATGATGAGTGGATGTTGTTGAAGTATTTTTTTTGTAATGATAGAGTGACGCAATCAACACACCAACAAACCCCACGATGAATCTTTAACACACAAGTTCTCCAGTTTTCAATGTTGAACAATCGATTGGTTGAGCAAGCACAGAATCCTCTCAAGGAAGATTCAGTTCTTCCAGTAATTGTGACGCCTGTGAATATACAAAGATGGTTTTTGATTTCGTTACTGTTCGTGGAGGAAAGATATCTTTTTGTATTATGTAACAAGTCGATAGTCGGCTACAACGGCGATCTTTCTTGACGCAACTCCCAATAATTCCCAAATATCATTTTGTTTAAATCCACAAAAAATTGGAAATTCATCAAAAAAAAAATGTTGCAACGAACTTGCGAGGTCGAAACATCATCTCCGAACCACGCGACATCATCTTCCAACACAACATCATCATCGAGTACATCACTCCTCAACAAGCGAATTTCAGCACCTGGTTCATCCCGACAATCACTTCTCGCTTCTCAACAATGCATTTTCTTTTTGGGATGTCCCTTCTTGGGAAAGACCTCGCACTATGAAAGTATTTATGAATTGAAGGGGTTTGAGAGGATTAGTTTTGAAACGGATCGGAATAAGAACATTTCGAGAATGTTTGATCTTCTCTCACAAAATAGAAAGATTGTCATTGATGACGAAAAAACCATGTCATCTTCCGAAGCTCGAAAAAAACTTGTTGAAAAAATCAAAACGGATCAACCACAATGCTCAATAGAATGCATTACATTTTACCCTAAATATGGAGATTTACAAATTGAAATTGCTAAAATATTTCATTTATGCGAATATTTTGAATTGAACAATTTTGAAATGAATGAACGATTTGAATCACTCAATCAATTTTTAAAAGAAATTGTCACTTCACGAGAGGAAGAAAATTCAAGCACCTCATCAATTCTCACTCATCCAGCACCAGATGAGGGCTTTGGAAAAATTTCCAGTCAAGAGCTACCGCTTTTTGTCAACAGAAGGGAATCAGATTTTTGTTATCAATCGCTAATTATTGATGCATGCTCTTCTAATTTATTCACCTACGATTCTAAAAAGCGAAAGGTGCAATTTAAAAATCCCTCAGTGATAAGAAGTCAATTGTTAAAGTGGTCAGAAACGTTTCATGAACCTAGAGTAATTTTCATTTTTAAAGACAAGGAAAGTTTTCGAGTCTCCCTTAACATTCCTGCGAACCATGTCAACTCCCTCAACGTCATGCATTTATTAAGAGATACCATCGTTGACCTAGGCCTACCATTTCCAATTTATTATTGTACTGATAGTGAGAGTAGAAATTTAGTTCACATATTTTGCCAGGTATGTTGTGAAAATAATAATTCATTACATTGGATTAACATTTTGATTACGTGTTGACATTTTCACATTCTTTACCATTGCGTGAATGACATACATTTCGTTCGACACTTCTCCACAGATATTCTACATGTATTCAATAAGAATGGAAGAATCGTTATTTGTGACCGATCTTCCACTACAAGACATACCCAATGACATTTTTCGAATTTTCTCTAAATTACATGTCACAGACCACTCCACATTGTTCGCTGACGAGCAACACCATGACTTTCAAACACTGCTCTCATCACCTCCTCAAAATCACAACTTACCAGCCATTACTCTTCAATTTTTACCCAACTCTAAATCAGTGGATGCACCAAAATCTAGAAGGTATCCACTCCTTAATCAACTCAATGACAATGAAAATGTCACAGACCAACCCTATTTTGAATATCAAAAAAGAGGAATGCAACACGGAATTGTGTTACCAAGAAATTTTATTTCATATTTTGAGTATAAAGAAGACTTTTTTGAGCATGAAATATTGATAACCACCATAATGGAGGATGATGAAAATGCAGAATATGCTGATCAAAGAAAAGCCATTCTTTTTGGTGATGAAGATTTGGATAAAATGATGCAAGATGAGGACGATACGGAATCACAAGATGCCCTTGCAAAGTTACAATATTTGAGAGAGCTACGAAAGAAGAGTGATGAGAAGACAGAAGTAACAACAGCCGCAACTATGAAGAATGAAGCCATTCCCAGTCGATCGAAAACTGATCGCGCAGTGACACAGTCTTCTTCAAAAATTAGTGAAGTTACAGATCCTTTCGGAAATAAGGGCTCCACAACAATGAAATCTCAAAGTGGCGACGGAATGGAACTATCAACGGCGTCACAAATTGAAAATGCATTTCCATCTCAAAACGTATCTTCCTCTACCGTCTACACCACTGTGGTTGATAGCTCCATACTTTCTCAACTACGCATTAACATGTCCATATTTCACATTATGAATCATTTCGGAGCTGTTTATTTTCAACGTGGGCGAGACTACAAGAACGAATATAGAATTGACAATTTCCGAACAAAGATTATCAATAATGTTGCATTTAAATTGTACAGTACATGCATAGGTTCAAGAGAAGAACCTTACAAACAAGAGAGTATTATCAAGGATGGAAAACTTTTGAAAGCAATATGTAAGTAGTATTTGAAACTATTGAAATTAATTATTCACTCGTGTATCTCGTGAATTATTCTCCATTTGTCACATCCAGGTAATTGCCCCATTGGTAGTGAAGGTCTGTGTAAGCATGTTTGTGCTCAAATATTAGCATTCAGAGAAAAAGAGCAATACACGAAAGAGAAATCAGAATATCTCAATGTTTCAAAATCTGAACGAAAATTACCTCCACCAATTGCATTTACCATGTTAGAGCCCATTCTCGATGATTGGTGTGTAAAAGTCAAAGTCATCAAGAAACATAATGAAAAAACATGGGCCAATGAGAGAGGCTCAGGTCGAGTATGTGCCATTACCGTCGAAGATGAGCTCTCCTCAAAACGACTCAAGGTCATCATGTTCAATGACTTGATTAATGAATTTTACGACAAGATGGAGGAAGGAGAAATTTATTATATCAATAAGGGTCACTTGATCAAGAAAACCAATGATGACATGTATGAAATTCAGTTGTGTACCAACTCGGTTGTGAGAAATATTCATGAAGTGGGTGTGAAATTTAAAGACACTACCTCAAAGAATGCTACAGATTTTAAGAAAATATTTAATGAGGTCGTTGAAATGCCACATCAGCACGGTATTCAATTTGAAGAGTTTAAACCATCAACATCATTGTCAACAACAGCAGCATCAAACATGCCACAGAACTCTACATCTTCTTCATCATTCATTGCTCCATCTCCAGAAAAGAAGAGAAAACATATGGATGCTATGAATGAAAATACTGCTGGATCACACATGACAAACCATGATGATATTCTTGAGAACGAACAGATTTCAAAACCAGCATTGCAACTTGCACCTAATGAATCGCCAAGTAAGAAGAAAAAACAAAATGCTTCTCCATCGATCGACACTCGTTTCGAGCATATCCTTAATGGACTACCTACACAAGAGAGTCAACATTCCATCATTGCTTCTCAACCCATACTTGCCAATTCGTTATTTCATCCATCACACCATTCAGTACCCAGTCAACAATCTTCATCTTCGAATGAGAGTCAACGAAGCAAGAGTAGTGTGGGTACTGTGATTGCACCAACTCTTGTTGTTGATAAGAGTCGATCTTCACCCGAAGCGCTTTCTCCTGTCCTGTTCACAGGAATTGGAATGAAATATCAACCACCACACACCTCTCCAACACTTACCTTATGTGACCACTCAGAAGAAGAAGAAGATTCACAACATCCATGTGAACTTGTTGACATTTCACGTGAAACAGCACCAGAAGTGACGTTATCTTCAACCAGCAACAACAGTCATGAAATTGCAATTTCGATGGTCAACCCTAAGAACAATCCATCTCAAAATACTACCACAGAGAATATCATTAGTAGCACCACCACAACAAATGGTAACAACACAACTTGCGGCAATTCACCGCTCTCCTCGACCACTCCCAAAGGAGTTTTCTTTTTCGTTGATGAAGAAGAGGATACAAATTCACATATTAGTAGTAGCACATCTTTACTGCAAGACATTTTCTTCACGCCTCATAAATCAAAATTGGCATCAGAAGCTTCATCTCATCGAAGTATGGACTTTTTCTCTGGGCGTGCATTAGCTTCACCTCCACTCCTTTCAGATGCCAATGTTGAGGAAATCATTTCGAGTACGGATAACATGTTGCAACCACAAGAAGCACCACAAGAGGAACGTCCAAAAAGTCCACATTCATTAAGCCAGCACAATAAGCCACCTGTGGTCGAAGTGGTATATCTGAGTGACAATGATGGTGTGGAAATTTTGGAGCATGCCACACCTCAAAAAAGGAACAAGAAATCCACAAGAAGAAGCATCACATCATTGACCTCTTCTCCGGGCATAATGTTGGAAGAAGAGATCACACCACGATCAACAACAAGCGCTGCTAATTCCACACCACTACTCACCACTCCACCTCTCGCTAACTTGACTCTATCGACGCCTCCACAACAACCATCGTCGAGCTCGAGTACATTGTCCTCCTCAGCCACAAGCTCTTCCTCCTCCACTTTGAAAACTCCAAAGAAAGTAAGCTTGAAATTTTTGTTGGATAACAATGACATGTCAGATCTGTAACAAGGATCAACGCAGTCAATAATTGAATTATTGCAGCATCTCGAATATAAGGCGAATACACAAAGAGTAGTTGGACTTTGCAGATCCAATTTTAAAAATAACATGATATTCAACGTTCCTGTTAGTAAAGAAGTGGCCTTTTGGAATTGCATGTTTGATGAAAACTGCACAATTTTATTTTTCGTTTTGAAAAAAAAATACACAAGCACTCGCAGAAGGTTTGTCATTTTAGTTTTTACGAAATTGACTCAAAGGCTTTCATTATCCAAAACTTCTCTCGTTATCCAATTAATTTTTTTGTTAATCTTGACTTTGATTACGCTTGGGGGCTTCCTACTCCGTAAATCCATTATTGAATTTTTATTGGTTTATCATCATCATCACGGATTTTTCATCACCCCAAATCACCACATTTCTACGACTCTACGGCTGCTCTTATCATCAACAATAGTAACAATGCTCGATATTAATTTATTCAGAGAATACAAGGGCGGTAATCCAGAGATTATTAGAGAATCTCAACGAAGAAGATTTGCCGATGTTACTCTTGTTGATAAAGTCATTGAATTGGACGAAGTGTGGAGAGTTACTCTTGGTAAATTGAATCATATTAAGAGCTTCACTGGAATTATCAGCAAGGAAGTTGGCAATCGAATGAAAAACAAGGTCCCACTCGGTGATGATTTGGACTTGCCAAAGGAAGTCACTGATGACATCCACGCTCTCTTCACAAAGGAGGCCCTCGAACAAGGATCTTTGGCAAAACTCAACACCAACCAACTTAAAAAGCTCTCTACACACATTACCGAGGTTCATATCAAGAATGCCGAAGAGGAAGTGAAACAAAAAGAAAGAGAGCGAGACAATGTTTTGCTTCAAATTGGTAATATTGTTCACGAAACTGTTGTTGTCAGCGATAATGAGGATAACAATGGTATTGTGAGATTGGTTGGTAATCCACGACCAAAAGTTGATGAACAGACCGGATACACATGTCTCAAACATATTGATATTATGAGAAAATTAGGAGGATTGGCCACCGAAGAAGGTACTCAAGTAGGTGGTGGAAGAGGTTACTTTTTACTCGGAGATTTGGTCAGAATGAATTTGGCTCTTCAAAATTATGCCATTGACTTTTTGTCTAATAAGGGATACACTCCAATTTATACGCCATTCTTTATGACTAAGGAACAAATGAAGAAGGTAGCTCAATTGTCTCAATTCGATGAAGAATTATACTCTGTCACAGGAGAAGGTGAGGACAAGTATTTAATTGCCACTTCTGAACAACCAATTGCTGCTTTCCACTTGGAGAAGCGTTTTGATGAGAGTGAGCTTCCACTCAAGTATTGTGGCTTGTCCACATGTTTCAGAAAGGAAGTTGGTGCTCATGGAAAGGACACTACAGGTATTTTCCGTGTTCACCAATTCGAAAAGATTGAACAATTTGTTGTAACCTCTCCAAAGGACAACAAGAGTTGGGAAATGTTCGAAGAAATGATTGGAAATTCTGAAGCTTTCTATCAATCTCTTGGAATTCCATACAGAGTTGTGAATATTGTCAGCGGTGCTTTGAACAATGCTGCTGCCAAGAAATTCGACTTGGAGGCTTGGTTCCCAGGAGCTGATCCAGGCAATGAATACAGAGAATTAGTTTCTTGCTCTAACTGTACTGATTACCAAACCAGAAGACTCGAAGTCAAGTATGGCAAGAGTAAGAAGCAAGGTGGTGAGGTTGAGTATTGCCACATGTTGAACTCGACATTGACTGCAACCTCTAGAACACTTTGTTGTATTGTGGAAAACTATCAAACACCAGAAGGAGTGAACGTACCTGAAGTTTTGCAACCTTACATGGGTGGCACTAAATTCATCAAGTTCAAGAATTAATCCATGATACTATGAATCTTGTTGGATGTATTAAAAATTTGAACTTCTTTTTCATGCTGTTGGTGGAAAATATTTTATGATGATGAACTCACACAAAAAAAATGTTTTTCAACAACATGAATCAATCTTGTTCTCGCTGTCAATCCGAAGACACTCGAATCATCACCACAGCTCTCTATCACTGCAACACTTGCAATCTCCATTTATGTGGCTATCACGGTCAAAATCATGGCCTCTCCCATTCCGATCATCATGTGAAAAAACTCAACGCATCCTCTCCAGGAATTGTGTTTGAAAATAATTCACAGCCATCGAACTTTTTTTCAAGATCAGCAGAATCAACGACGACTCCATCCTTCTCTTGGAGCACACCAAGTAGTACATCCTTATTTTCCTCATCGTTGTCATCATCGTCTTCTTCGTCCTTGTTTTCCTCATCGTCGTCTTCTTCATTTCCGTTTTCATTTGGAGATTCCACACAACAGATTTCAACAGAAAATTCTGTGAAGAAAATCAATGAAATTACCCAAGTCAAGTTACTTCTTGTGGTGAGTATCATCTTTTATGAATGATGGACATTTCATATTGTAAAATTTCACAAATTCCACAAATTTCACAAATTACAAAATTTCACAAATTACACACATATATAGGGTGATGGAGCTGTTGGAAAATCCTTATTTGTTTCACGATTGAGAAACATTCAATTCAATACGATCGAGTACAAACCAACCATGGGAGTGGAAGTTTTTGATTTGGATTTTGAAACCATTGCTCATGGTCCAATTCGTGTCAGTATTTGGGATACGGCTGGTCAGGAGAAATTTGGAGGTCTTCGAGATGGATATTACATTTCAGGTGAGTGTGATGTGATTTTATTCGAGAAATATTAATAATAATATTATTTAATGATAAAATATAATGATATTATTATTGACCTATCGTATGATGAACACAAATTGATTTCACATGATTTGAAAATATGGTTTCACACAATATACAGGACAATGTGCATTAATCATGTATGACATGAAATATCCACAGTCGTTAAATTCTGTTCCACATTGGCATCGTGACATCTCTCGAGTATGTGCAAACATTCCAATTGCCGTATGTGCAAACAAGTCAGATTTAATGACAAATGATAACGAGGTGGAAAGTATGGAACAACGTGCTCAAATGTTGTGTGCCAGAAAACAAATGAAACGCTTTACAATTTCAGCCAAAGAGGATTCGCTTGAAAAATTGCAACAAGTGATTGAAAGTATGATTCAGGATTTGAAAAAAGATCCAACATTGAAATTTTTGAGTATTTTTAAATTGGAAACTGAGACACGCATGAAAAGTGTCTTGTATGCAAAAACACAAACTTCATTACAGACCGATGTGATCTTGTTAACTCGAGATGGTGACAATTCATATCAATAAATAAATATTTATTTTAATATTATGATACATGGTACGACCTTTTGCATAATTACACGTATAAATATATTCTAACAGTAAACGGCTGTTCCATTTAAACCTTGGCTCATTTCTTATGAGTTTTTAGCAATTCATCAGCCTCTTGTTGTGAAATTATTCTCAAGAAATTTCTGGCAACAAACCCCTTTCTAAAAGTAAAGAATTTGTCATGGCCAATATACCAAAAATAACCATAATTATTGAACAATCTAAATACTTCTCCTTTTTTCACAGTAATGGAGGTGTTGGGTAAGTCTTTTCCTGTGCTATCCTCAACAACAACCACCCATTTCTTTTCTTTTCCAAACATGGTGTCAGTATAGGTTGCTACATTTGTTGTTTCAGGACTTGATGCTTTCTCTACGGATCTAAAAATGTGACACAACTCGATTGGAATTTGTGACTTGTCAATTTTGGTACAAATACGATCATGACATCCAACATGAATATTATTCGAAGAATCGACGTATTGTTCTTGCGAAAGTCTTTTAAAATCATCCATCTCATCCTGTGTCGCTTCTCTAATTTCATGACCATTCTGTTGCAACAATCTCATCTTGTCATCATCCACGATTGGAATTTCACCAAGTGGATTCGCTCCCAACAGCACTTGTAGAGAATTCGCTTCTTCTTCATCCCTCCTGTCATCATCATCATCATTCGATTCCACTTGATATTCAGAAAATACTGGATCCAACAAGACATCCTTCAACAACCGTTGCAATCCTGAAATAAATTCCACTCGATCAATCGTTTGATCATCATTAACATCCAAAAATTGAAAAATCAAATCCAACGTTCGTTGCCTCAATGAACCACTAGCAGGCACAACAAATTCTTTAACAATCCAAAAAACAGTCTTTCCAGTACTCACAATCATTGGAGCCATTCGTTTCGTTCCAATCTTGTGCCAAATATAAAAGAATAAATCCAACAAGAACAGTTCTGATTCTTCACGGTGAGATGATTGGACTTGTCCTTGTCTAGCTTTTCAAACATTTTGGAAAATCGATTGTTTTTGGGCAATTCCGAGGCTTCATAGGAAATACCATTGGCGAGATCTTGGGAAATCTTTTTAAGAAAGGAGGAATGAGAGTTTCCCATTTTTTTTTTTGTAAAAATACATTTCCAAATTTGTTTCGTGCATTTGTTTCATGAAATTTCAAAATTTGTAGAGCTTGAGCTCTGGGAATAATTTGCAAAAAGAATACATGAATGAATACTATTGCTATTATTATTTAATAATAGTATCGTATCAGGATGTGTGATCGAAATCAATAGTCGGGTAATGAACGACGTAACATTTTCAATACATTACCTCCCATAATTTGAGAAATTTCAGTTTCTGTGAAATTTTGAGAAATGAGTGCATCCGTTAAATGTACCAAATGATCACTGGCTCCAAAGGCCTTAATCGTACCATCCCAATCACTTCCAAGAGCAATATTTTCAACTGAATTTCCTCCTAATAAATTTTTCAAATACTTGATGGAACGAGCCACTGATTCAAAACCATGTCCACAAGTGGTGTATTTGAAAAAGGCAATTCCAATAACACCTCCATGTTTAGCAATTCGTTTAGCAAAATCATCTGAAAGATTACGAGTCGTGTTGCAAATTCCTTTGAGTCCAGTATGTGAAATCATGACAGTTGTGGAAATTTCTCCTCGTTCGAGCATGTCCAATACTTCACTCATGGCCTTCTCGGATGCATGTGCCAAATCAATAATAACTTTCAAATCAGAAAGTTTTCGAACGACTTGTTTTCCAAAATCAGAGAGCCCATATTTTGTGAGGCCATGAAGTGAGCCACTGACTTGATTGTCACCAAAATGATTCAAACCAAACATTCTCACTCCCATGTCGTAGAGCTTTTGAACATTTTCGAGTTGGTGCTCCAAAACTGTAGCTCCTTCAATGGAGTACAATCCAGAAACGAGATTCTTGTTGTGAGCTCGTTTCGAGACAAACTCTTCTAAAATTTTCTTATTCTTAATAATGGTGAACAATCCCTTACTTTCTGATTGATAGTCATGTAATAATTTACTATAAGCACGAGCTCGTTGGAATGGAGAAAACCAAGCAGAGTAGTCATATAATTGACTCGCCATGAGAAATGGTAAAATATCTGTAGAATTGACATTGGTTTTCATATTGAGCGTGTGTGGAATGGAATTGACAGCTGCAAACACTTGCAATGCTTGATTTCCTCGTTGCATTTTTGAAAGTGAGACATGACCTCTGTGTTTTCATTGAACATGACATGTCGAAGTATAGCATGACCAATTGTTTTTCAAATGAAATTTAAAATTTGTAAAACACATACTTTTCCGTTGTCAAAAATCCTCCTCGATGTTTCCACATCAAAGTATCTGCATGTAAATCCGCAATGAAAGGAATATTCTGATGAATGGTCATGGCCACAGTATTCTTCAATGTGTCAGGTTGTGTGTAGATTTGATTTGAGAAGGTATCAAAAGCCCAAGGTAATGCCACAAAAAAGATGACACATGACAGGACACTCCGAATGAGAAATGATCTCACCACAGAAGTGAAACCTGCATGAGAATGTGTTGTATGTTCCAACTCTTCATCTTTTTGATCATTATCATTTCTATTCGTTGGTTGAGAAGATCTTGAAGATTTACAAAATTTAAATAAAGAAGAGACGGGAAAGAAGATTAAAAACATGCACAAAATGGTGATGAAACAGGACATGACCCAACCAATGTAATCTTCTAAAAGGCTTTCAGTGCTGAACAAGGACGAAGATTCATCTGAAACTGGCGAGGACATTTTTTTCAATATTTTAACTTTCCGAAATTAAATCTGATCTTTTCCTACTATCAATCAAAATTCCTGAAAACAAGATTTAGAATTCATAAAATCAGGACCTTGCATAATACTAGTTAGAGTTGTGTTCTAAGATTTTTAGGCCAAATAATCCCAATATTTTTAGATTTGTTGATAGAGAAAAAATTCACCCAAGTTGCACATTCTCCTCTCTCTCTAATACCAGCACACTGAACGCGTTCGGGATTGTTCCAAACAACAACAATTACTACTATACCAAAACACCACTGATCGGATTGTTTAGAGCTCGAGTTTTTTCATCATTTGAAGAACCATCATCTCGTTGCAACTCCTTTCCGAATCAGAGAAAATGATCACATCCAATACAGGATCTTCTCCAACGGTTAGCCTCTCTGCTACCAATAGTACCACCAACACGACCACCACTACCACGACGAACCATTCTCCTATTAAACCCAATCCTTCACCCAACAAGAAGATCATGATGAAACCGACGATCACTACTCCTCCACCTCCTCCTTCTCCGTGTCTGATGAGTCAATTCCCAACCACATCGTCATCATTGGGATCAAGTCCTCTCAACACCAATTCCCTAGTGCACTCTTCTTCTCCTTTCAACAAACCACCACTGCAACAACAACCACCGATTCCTCATCATCAACCGTTTTTTCCATTTCACATTCCACCCATGCACCCATTTCCAGGAAATCCAATCATGACTAACACATCCTCTTCTTCCTACTCAACCGTAAATTCATTAATTCCTCCAAATCCAATGATGATGGGAATTTACCCTCCTTCTTCATCTTCGTTCATGATGTCACCACCTGGGATGCCAAATCAACATGTTCCGATGAACATGATGGTAGGACATCATCCCTCTCCACTACATCATAATCCATTTACCTCTCCAATGATGACTAGTCTTCCTCAAGGAATTCCTATAACCACAAGCTCTGGAACACCACAAGAGACTGCACCAACCATGTCAAACTCAAACACCACAACATCTCCTCCACATGTCACCTCTAGTACACCACAAGCAACTACTACTAAGAAGACCAAATCTTCATCATCATCAAGAAAAAAGAAAAAAACAGCCCAAGCACGGAGAAAAAACCAAGCCCACCAAAAAGAAAAATACCCCACACCAGTCAATCCATTCATACTCATATTATTTCCTATTTATTTGAGATTGGACTATCAGATAGTGCAAAAACGTTGGAAAATGACCTCAATAATCCTCAACTCTTAAATGTGACAAATACATCAATGAAGGGTTTTGTGAATAAGCTCACTTCAGAGTTAGAAAAGCTTTCCGTGTCTTCACCTCCTCCAAAGAAAAATGTCACAAGTGTCAATGCTACCAATGCGATTGTTAAGAATGAAACATACTCAGCAATAAGCGACACTGCCCAGCCTTCATCAACCAATCGACCTCTCTCAGCAGCAACTCCATCTATTGCACAATCGTCTCCCATCACCCGACATATTACCAACAATAACGAATTTAACGATATTTCTCTGAAAGTGCATGACAATCCAGTTGCCAACAACAGCACGAGCAGCAACCAATTACCAACACAAAACTATGAGGCAAGCCAATTTTTGGCCATTCTTCAACAAAGTATTACAAAGCCTCAAGGCAATACGCACCATCATGATGGTGTGGCGACATATGTCGATGAGCGATTGAACAATTTGGAGCAAGCACTCTCTATTAGAGAGAGTAAGGGAGAAGTTTTTTCAAGATTGAGACAAGTCGAGGAACGAGTGTTAAAGATTGAGGAAAGCCAAAATATGGGAGTAGCCTCTCAAAAACAGGAAGCCTCCAATGATTCTGCCAATGAAAATGCACGTGAAGCCACAATGCCACCCATGAACGAAACACCATACAACTCGGATGAATTTTTCTTTAATGATGAGCTTGACAATTTCTGCTTTACGATGGACGTTGATCCTCCCCTACGATCGGGAGACAGTCACGATCATCATCATCATGAAGAGGATGACTTCTCCCTGTTTGAATAAACTGTCTCTGTTGCTGACAGCATGCTGGTTGCAATTCACACAAATTGTTGAATTTGGAATTAAAAAAAATTGAAGAACTGAATTCAACAAAAAAATTCATCTCCTTCAACACAACCATTCACCACACTCCCAACATGAGCAACAAGAGAAAACGATTTCAACAACTCGATGAGGATGATCTCATAGAAGGAAGAGCAATATACAGCAGCGAAGAGGAATCCTCTGAAGATGAAATGGATGTATTTAATGACATTCCTCAAGAATATGATAGTGATAGAGAATATAAAAACAAGAATGCATCATCATCGAGGCTTTTGAAAGCCCCTTCAACAAATAATGATGACGATGATGATTTTGATATGGCCGACTCAATTAAAACTAAAAGTAAATTCGATTTTAAAGGCTCCGATATTGGCAAACTCGTCCGTAAGAAAGCACATGAAAATCCCAAGATGAACAAACTCATCAAATCTACTTCAATTTTCAATGAGGATCAAGAAGATGGTACAGAAGAACCAAGTGATGAGGAGGATGATGAGGCTGCTTCCGATGGTGATGACCGAGTGAAGGACAATGAAATTTTATTGCGAGCCATGAGAAATGATTCCGATGATGAGGATGAATTGGAGGATGGAGAAGAGAATGGAGAGAAGAAAATTTCAGCTTTTGATATGCCTCCTGAGGCGTTTGGAGAGGACGATGAGGATGATTTTGAGGATGATGAGGAAGGAGATGATGATGATGAGAACAATGATGACGATGAAAATATTCAAGAGGATGAAGAAATGGAAGATGATGAGCCAGAGGATGAGCAAGATGATGATGAAAATATTCAACAAGATGAAGAGGAAGAAAAGAACAGACAGGATATTATCAAAACGTTGGGTAAGGCAAAAACCTCAAATGACAATGCATCGTCCTCAGTTTCACAAAATGCAAAATCGGACGAAAACGAGGAAAAGGATGAAGAAAAGTATGACAAATCCTTCTTTTCAGAAGTTCCAGCAGATATTGAAGCCTCAAAATCATTCAATGACATGAACTTGTCAAGACCACTTTTGAAGGCCATCTATGAAATGAATTATGAACATCCAACACCCATTCAATCTCGATGTATTCCACTGTTGCTGAAAGGAAGAGATGTTTGTGCCAGTGCTGTGACAGGTTCTGGTAAAACAGCTGCTTTTATTTTACCGACACTTGAAAGATTATTATACAGAGATCGATCGAGGAAAGAAACACTTGTTCTCGCGTTGTTACCAACGAGAGAGTTGGCTGCTCAATGCTACGAAGTTTGCAGCAAGTTTGCCCAATATACCGATATTAGATGTTGTCTCATTACAGGAGGTAATTTGAAAATTAACAAACAAATTCAAGTATTGCAAACCAAGCCAGAAATTATCATTGCAACACCTGGTCGAGTGGTAGACCATTTACTGAACACACCAAATTTTGGACTTGACGAAGTTGAAGTTTTAATTTTGGATGAGGCTGATCGTCTGTTAGAATTAGGATTTGAGCCTCAAATTAAAACAATTTTAGACCATTTACCAACAGCGAGACAAACCATGCTCTTTTCAGCCACCATGACTGACGATGTGGAACAATTAGTGAAACTCTCATTGAAAAATCCAATTCGTGTTGCATGTGACCCAAGAACTGGTGTTGCTGGAGAATTAACACAAGAATTTATCAAACTCCAAGACGATGAAGATATCATGGCGAAGCAAGCTATTTTACTCTCACTCTGTACCAAATCGTTTACGAGTGAGGTTATTGTTTTCTGTAATACCAAATCCATGGTTCGAAAATTGAAAATGCTTCTCTTCCTGAAAGGTTTGAAAGTTTCAGAATTGAGCTCTTCTCTCACTCAGGCCGTTCGTTTGAAAGAATTGTACAAGTTTGCAAGTCATGAGACGGACTTTTTAGTATGTACAGATGTTGCTTCCAGAGGTTTGGACATTAAGGGAGTGAAAACAGTCATCAACTTTGACATGCCTCTCAATTTAAAGACCTACATTCACAGAGTTGGACGTACGGCTCGTGCCGGCGCTCCAGGTACTGCTGTTTCCATGTGCAGTGAGAATAGTCTTGCAATTTTGAGAAAGATTGTTCGACATGCAAAGAAAAAGGGGCAGACTGTTCAACAACGAGTCATTCCTCCAGAATCAATCGAATTTTGGACACAAAAGATTGAAGAAATGAAACCTCAACTCAGGGAATTGGAACAACAATTGAGACTTGAGGATGAAATGCAACAAGCTGAAATGTTGACGACTAAGAATGAAAATATGGAAGAGTTTAAAGAAGATATTATGAGTAGGCCACGAAAAGAATGGATCATGTCCAAGTCACAACACAAGGAACTCAATGAAAGAGCAAAGGCCCAAATGATAGAGGAAGATGAAGACACTAAACCTTCACACAAGAAACGAAAGCTCGATCCAGAAGAATTTGAAAATGAAGAGGAAATGATGAAGAAACCAATGCATGTAGATCATACAGACTTTTTAGAAAAGAAGCCACTCGATAAGAAAAAGAAGCAACGACAAGCATTCAAACGAGAAATGAAAGAAGCAGGTATTAAGAATTGGGACAAGTTCGTGAAACGTCAAGTCAAGCAAGACAAAGTCATCAATAGAATGAAACGAAATAATATCGACTCGGATCTAGTGAAGAAACACAATAAGGAAAAAGCTCTTCAACAAAAGGAAAAGCGAAAAGCTAAGAAGGAATACAAGGAAAAGAAAAAAGCACTCGCCATGAAAACGAGCTCACAACGAATGGATAAAAAGTCAACGAATCGAGCCTCCACCGAAAAGAAAAAGACTAATAAGAAACCATCTCATGGAGGTTTTAAGAGTAGCAAGAAATATAAGAGAAGATAAAAGTAATCTTTTGGAATTTTATCATGAACTACAAGAAATTAAGGCAATTTGGCTGAACCTCGTTGTCAAAGGGTGGTTCTTCTACAAGTTCACCGTTGGCAGTGAATCATGTGACTTGCCAGCATTGTGCATGAACCTGTTAATCTGAGTTTTTGTGATCTTTTAAACAATTATGTTTCATTTTTGTAATACGTCAATGTCACGTTAATCCTGGTCTTGAACGCTGGTAATGATAATGCTCTCCTCCAAGGCGGTCATTAAGTAGGTTGTTTAAACATGTTTAAAATTCAAATTGTCCTTCAATTAATCCACCCTCGCGTTAATCATCAATTGAGTACGGTGAGGACAACAGTTATCCAGAGAGGATTCTTTTGGCCATTCAAACGCGTTAAAAGATACTGCCAAACAAGCTTTGGAATGACACGTGACATTATTGCCAATTTGACACCAAAAAAAACAGCAGCATTCACGTCGTCGAGTCTGCTTCGTGAAAGCACACACCATCACTTGCTTCTTCAATCCCTCTAACTGCTTCTAATTGCCGCACATCGTCATTATTCAAAGAATTTAAATAATCATCCACCACCACCAAAAACAACAACGTGTCCATAAAAACTAAACCTTCAACAAGTTTTTAAAACCCTGATTCGTTTCCGATCATTTCGTCTTACCATTTTCTACAACTTTCAAATTCTTTGTTGTTGAAATCATCTCACAACTCGAGAACACGAATCCTTGCGATATTCAAACAACAACAATAACAACAACAATTGAAAATTAACAACAAGCACAACACAAAACACAAATTCATAAAACACAAATCAACACCAACACGATGGGAAATCATTCGAGTTCTTCAATGAAAAGAACTCCTTCCAAATTAAGTTTATTGAGAATGAATTATTCTGGGAAGGGAATGTTGAATGGAAATTCTCAACAACAACAACAACAACAAAATTCACAACAACCACAACAACAGATGAGAGTGATCATGTTGGGAACGGGTGGAGTCGGGTGAGTTGAATATTATTATTGTTTGAATTGTACAGAGTATTAATATGGAAATTTAAATCATTGATGAAATTTTGGAATGATGATGAATGGATCGACACCGAATGGTATATACAATTGGTTTGGAAACAACATGAAATCGATGGTACTTTTGGCGTTTTTTGACATTTGGCATTTCATGTCACCGTGATGATGAAAAATCATCATGATCGATCTCATCCTGGTTCATTCATGAACAACAATTACAATCACAACAACAACAACAACCACGGAATCCTTCCTTCGCGTCATCATCCTGATCCGTCGCATCTTTACCAAAATTCCAAACCACACATCCATGACATTTGACACTCCCAGAAAAAGCACCTTGTTCAAAAACATTAAGCTCTTATTCAACGGCGGTTTCGACTCTGACGAGTTTCTCTCTTATCGAGAAGTCATTCTCTCCAACATTGTCCAAATGGTTCAATTCGTCTTGCGAGCTCTCATTACACTCTTTCCCGAACACAAAATTGAAAAACCAGAAAATGAAGAATTTGCAAATAATATTCTGAGATTGGATTGTGAAGATTTTATTCATATTTTGAGGATTGTGGATGAGAATTTTATTGCACGAGTTCAGAAATTGTGGTTTGAGGAACAGGCTATTTTGAGAGCGTATCATTATAGACATCGAGTAAGTGTGTTGATGGATTTGAAAAATTGACCATTGACGTACGTCGTTTGTGAAATTTTATCTAATGATCGGATGAAATATGTGAAATAATGGCGTTTCATATATTCATATAGTATCAATTACCTGTTGAGGATTTACCCGATTTGATCAAACAAATGGACCAAATCTATGCATTGCCAAAAACAAAACATGTCATGTCGTCGTATGTGAAAACTACTGGAATTGTTGAAACAGAATGTGTTTATAGGAATACTCGGATACGTGTGTTTGATACAGGTATGTCTTGGAACAATTATTTACTAATTTTTTTTATGACATTTTTTAATGTACCATTCATTTGAATTTTCATGAATTTACCTTTTTTTGAAAATTGTATTTGGAAATTTACATATAGGTGGTCAACGCAATGAACGAAAAAAATGGGTCCATCTCTTCAGCTCTACAAATGCCATTGTTTTCATTGTTTCACTTTCCGAATACAATCAAGTCTGCTATGAAGATGACAAATCCAATCGAATGAAAGAATCCCTTTTACTTTTTGAGGAAATTGTCAACGCGTCATGCTTTGAAGGAGTTCCAATTTTTCTCGTATTCAACAAGAAGGATGTCTTTCTTCACAAAATTCAATATTTTGACATTAGTGAAGCATTTTCTGATTTGCCCAATCACATTCGACTTCACAAACCAATCAAAAATTTTCACAAACTCGCCAACGATGCCAAACGAAAACACAACATTCAACAGAAAAAACATAGACGAGTACCAGGAACTCTGGAAAGTGCACAAAACCCAAAAACGATGGAACGATTTCAAAGAGCTCGCTCAGCATCGATTCAAAAACAAAAACGTAAAAATTCACTAGCTGCCGTGTATGGTTCATCGCCGCAGTGCCTTCCTCGAATGTCTCCATCGAGATTTGTTGTGGAAAATCATCATTTATTATCAGAAGAAGAACAATTTAAAATTCGTCAAGAAAATTGGCAGAAAATTCCAAGTGATTTATTAATTTATATTTGTTTCTATTTGGATGCTGTGGATTTGTGTACTCTGAGTACTGTGAATTACGAAATGTATATTATTGCAACATGTGATACGGTTTGGAGATCCTTGTGTTTTAGTCTAATGAAAGATATTGATGAAGAACATGTGGACCTTCTATATAAGGAAAGATATCATTTATTCGAACCTCAATTGACAGGTAAAGCGAGCAATCCAGAAGAAAGTCCTTCGTCGTCATCAACCGCGTCGTCGTTATCCATAATTTCATCGGTTTCGACACCAACAACATCAACTGCAACAACCACAAAATCCACACTCAATTCTTCATCCTCAGGAAGTATTTTGAGTTCAGTCATGTCAAGTGTCAATGCCAATGACAAATCTCCCAGTTCGATGAGTAAGGCCATTTCAATTCAAGGAAATGTGTTTTCAAGCCAAACTCAACAAAATACGAATGCCAATTGGATTAATAATTATTTCAACATGAATCATTCGACAACTACTCAACCCATTCCATTATTTGGAGCCAAAGATGGAATTGAAATTTCCATCACTAGTGCCACCAATACCACAAATCATCCTTCACATCATTTCACAAATTCCACAGTAAGCATGTACAGCGATAGCAGTAGTGAAGAAGATGTTGCCAATACCATGTTAACAAGTTTACATTCATTCATACAAGAAGAACGAGAAGAACGAGAATTTAGAAAAAGAAAATGGAGATTCTTTTATGAAATTGGAGGATATGTCTATCGAGATTCAATCAAGTATATTCAACAACAATTTATTGATTTGGCCAAAGATGAAGAACGAAGAACACAATTATGGAGAGACGTGAGAGTCACAAGTGCTACCAATGCATCCACTGTTCGAGAATTATTGGAATATGTTTTTGACACGATTATTGATGCACAGAAACGAATTTTGAAATGGATGAATTGTCAAGTCCTTCTCCCAATTCCTCGAAATCTCCAAGACGAGTGGCTACGAGTAAAACTAAAATTAAGAATTAATGAAAATGGAAATTCAGATTTGTGCATGGACACAAGTGGACCCAAGCACTTGAGCCAAAGAGAAGGAATGGTTTGAAGGCATATGTGTTTCATTTATAGTTACTACTCTTCCTCTTGAAATGGATCTTTTGAGAAATGGATGAATGGATCTTTAATGTTCTTTACAATAAGATTAAAAAAAATGTCTAAATCACCCAACAACAACCATTTGAAGGGAATGTATGGTTTAATGAACAACCATTGCAATATTACCCTTCCAAAAGATCGTTCAGTTATCCTCCACTTCAATCAAATCCATTTCGGCACTTGCCATTCATCCCGATCAACGAACGGTTTCAGTATACTTGAATGTTGTTGGAAAGCATCTCTTGATCCATAATGTAACCAAGTATCAATTAGTGGGCACCAAGAAGTTTGAACTTGTGCAAGAGTTGCATAGCATTGAACCTCGTGCTAAATATGTTCATGAACAATCCATGATTGTTGTGGAGCGTTCTACTTTCATGAAATACAATTTGATAAGAATTGATTTGAATGAAAATTGTGCAATCATCAAGTGGAGGTTTCCACTGACAACACACGTTGAAAATAAGTGGTGTATTGATGTTGAAACCGATCAGTTATTTGTTTCCGTTGGGGATAGTTTGAAAGTTCTATCCTTACATGATGGAATGGAAGTGGCACGTTATGATTTACCATTGAAACAACTTTCATGTTTAGAAATTAACAGCATCGATTCGAATGAATTGATTGCAGTTTCGCATACGCGTGCTGAAATATCGTATGTGGATAAGAGGAGTTTTCAAATACGTTCAACGATCAATGTGGAATCTCAAATGCTTTCGATATTAAAGAAAAGCATGGTGTTTAATGTTAAATGCATGACTCAAGATAGACGTGGTCAATTATACCTTGCCATTCATTGGTATTCTCCTGCAATGAAAGCACATTCTGGAATTTATGACTCTTCTTTTTATTTAGTGACTTTGAATAATGATCGAATTATTTCCATAGAGGAAGGTTTGGTAAACTTTTACACCAACACGATGGAAATAGATTCAACTTCAAAACTATTATTCATTATGAAAAACAAAAGGAGGTATGGACAGCACGATTGAAAGACGTTACATTATTCGATACTATTAACCAACCATTCTCAGACATGATCTTTGAATTTTCAAGAGAAGAATAATTATTTAAAACTTTCCAAACAAGTTCATTTCACTTTTTCAGAAATGTTGGATTTCACACAAAAAAAATGTCAAGCAATGCATCATCATCATCATCACCCGATATTAATATCAAACAACAAATTCTCCAATTATTGGATGCATCAGACACGGGTGGAGATTATTGTACTGGTGGAAAATTGAGTGTGGATTATTCTGTACCTGCCATTGAGATTTTACAACCGAATGATGGTACCTACAAGCCATTGCCTCTCCCGATCGTTTATGAGGAACAAGCAAAGGATTTGATCAAGAATTGTTCAAAAAGTCCTTTCGGAAGAGGTGAAGCAACGATTTATGATGATAATGTCAGAAAATCATGGCAATTAGATCCAATAACTTTAGAATTATCAATCCAAAATGGAATAACTTGATTACTGACTTGGTGAATACCAATGTCAAGAAGGAGTTGGGAATTGGTCCAGAAAAAACAATTACATTTTCACTGTACAAAATGTTATTGTATGAACCAGGAGGATTCTTTGATTTTCACAGAGACTCCGAGAAGGAAGATGGAATGATTGCAACATTGGTGGTTCAATTGCCAAGTTCATTCACAGGAGGTAAGCTATTCTGTGTGTAACATACTTTTGTTCATCGAAACATCAAATGAATGTTGTGAAAGGTGAAATTATTGTGAGACACAATGAAAGAGAGAAGAAATTTGATTGTCACCATGAACAACCTATAATGCATATTATGTGAGCTTTTATTGTGATTGTTCACACAGAGTTGAACCAGTAACCTCTGGATACAGATTGGCTTTAATCTACAATTTGAAATATTCTGGCTCTGATAAGATTGCCGTTGTAGATAGCAGTCATCAAGTTCAGACTCTTGAGAAGATTATCGAGTCTTGGTTACAGGCACCAATGTATTCAAAACTTTGCTACATCTTGCAACACAAATATTCGACAGTCGGCTTGAGTCCAACATTACTGAAAGGAAAGGATGAAACTGCTTTTCAACTTTTTCAAAAAATCAAATCGGTCAAGCTGTATTTGGAATTTTGGAAAAACATGAAACTTCGTATGGATCAGTGAGCACAGCATTGACGAAACCACACTCGTGTACACAGCTCAAATTTCTTCACAGGAAAACAATCAACGTTTAGCATTGGTTGAGGACGAAATATTTCCTGATCCTTTGAGAAAATCCATGACGCTGACTGCAAGAGATGTAAGTGAATGATGATGTGTGTGAAATATTATTATGTGAAATATTTTCGTGTGAAATATTAACACCATTTTACACAATCTAGATTGAACACACAGGTAATGAGGGAACTACCATTGAAAGATCATACAAAAGTGCCTGTCTACTGATTTGTCCAACCGAATTGAAACCTCTATTGGATCTTTCTAGCCGAGAGTATTTGGAACCTCTCTTTCAGGCGTATAGCAGCAATCCAACCGAACATAACAAACGGCTACTGATGGCTTATACCTCTTCGAAACTTACTTGGTCAGTAGATACTGATCGTGAAACACTGTATTTGGAGAATGCCGAATTACTGACCCAGTGTTGCCTTGCACTTTCATACTTGCCACTTAGTTTGAAATGTGTGGAAAGATTATGGATGAAAACAGGCTTGGAAGAGAAATCTCGAGTGGATGGTGTTGTGAAACTGATCAAGAATCATGGTATTGAACACTTCAAGCCATTGTTTGAAAAATATATCCGACAATGCTGTAAGTTTTATTCAACAATATTTTCATATTTATATTTTCATATTTAAATTCATATTTATGAATATTCACATCCATATTTATTTAAAAAGTCAAATGGAGCTATAAATTTGCCAAAGACATTAAAGCTATTGGCTCCCTCGTTGTACAGTTGGAAGATCCCACATGGGTCGATGTTTTTATCACCAATTTACCCTCTGCCAAGACCATTTCATCGGTTGAATCAGAGGCACTCATTGGTCTGGCTCTAGTTAAAGAAAAGTTTCCTTCCACTACAGAAAGGATTGACAAGTTGATTCATGATTATTTGCGATCATCTCTGGCACAGAGATACCATCCAAATTTTTCTCCAGAAGCAATCATCAAATTGAATATGGTGGAATTGTGTCCAATGGTATTTAAATCTTTTTGTTCTTCTCACCCTATGAAAATGGAGGATGTTGACAAGTGCTTGTTACTGATAAGACATTTTGGATGTGAAAAAACAGATCCATTTCTAAGTAAGGCCTTTTCGAAAACAACTGGATCACAATTACCAAAATTGATCAAAGTTTTGGAACAATTGATCACTAAAGATGGAAAGGAAGAGCAATTTCTAGCTTCCAAAATGGTTGACACTCTTTTGGAAAGTAAGGACGATCATGTCGATGCCGTAATCCAATTATTGACATTTTTTAGAAAGAAACATCCAACGAGGGAAGTTGAAATTGTGAAAAACATTATTGAAAAACGAAATTATTCTGCAAAACAAATCGTGGATTTAATTCAAGGATTGGCTAAGGAGAATGGTACGAATTGCTTTTGGACAGGTTCAGGATTTCGATTACTTTTGGAACATGGATACAAGTTGTTACAAAATGCAGCTTCAACTTCTCCAGAGGCTGTCCTTGCATTGAATTTGGGTGGAAATAACAAGTGGATATTCAAACACGTCAACATGTTATGCTCATGTGAAGATTGTAGCAAGGTTCAAACATTTCTACATTCTACGAACCAAGTTTTGGATTTGAAGGAACGAAAAAACAAAAGAGAGCATGTGGAGAAAAACTTGCCAAATATTGTGGATCTTCAAAAACAAACAATTACGACAGGATCTCCACAAACATTAAGAATTACAAAAGTACTAAACAGTGCAGAGGTCAAGAAATCCTTGATCACGGAAATGCAAAAGATTATGAAAGAATTTGTTCAATATGCTACGTTATCGAATCAGTCCCCTAACACCATACCAGCAGCTTCATCATCTAGCGAGCATGAACCACCAACAAAGAAAATCAAACAAGAACAACAACAATAAAAGACCTGAGAATTCATTGCACACTACCAATGTTGAAAAATTGAACACAAAAAGATGAATTTAATGATGGTTGTACCGAAATTAATGACACAAAGAGCTCACTTGTTTGTTGTTGGAGAGGAGGAACTTCCAGAAAAAAACTTTTTTACATTATTCCACGTGATTGAATCATCCACCACTTGAAGAACATTGTCCAATCTCAATTGAGGGAACCAATATCCTAATAACAGACACAATGTCACAACAGTCACAAAAGGAGCAAAATTAACTTCCGTTCGAAGTGTTCCCTTATTACTTTCATGATACAAATGTTCCATGGTAGTCATAAATCCTGATCTGAGAGAACTTGGTTGATAGTCCGTGAGATAGAGAATGAGAGCGAGTGAAAATCCAGCAAATAATCGAAATCCAACGGGTGTCGTAATATCCATCCATTCGGGAATGTAGCCATTAGTGGCAAGAGCTCGTAATCCTCCATCGATACCTCTTGCAAATAAATAGAGGACTATTTGGTTGTTGACCTGTGAAAGATTTTCCAAGAGTCATGTGAATTTGTGAAAATTTTCCAATCCATGCGAAACATGTTGTGATGAAAATAAAGAAAATAAATCACCAAGCATGTAAAAATGGTATCATACCACACATGTCAGTGTAAAATGTGACAAGTTGAAGACAATCATAAAAAAAAACACTGAATCAAAAACTTACAGCTCCTGAAATTCCCTTACTTTCACCAAACGCCACATAACCTCCAATAAATCCAGCAATCCAAGAATCAATACCATTCCGTATATGTAACTGATTTCGACAAATATATGTAATTAATTTGTAAATTCCTACAAATGATCCTAGATTTTTGCCATGATGAAACATTTGTTTGATGACAAATCTCACTTTTCTAAATTCTGTAGGTGTCTGGAAAATTGTTGCATAAATTAAAGATTGTAAAATATATGGTATTCTTATTCTAACTCCTGTCACAATACCATTTCTGTAACCTCGATATACACTTTTTAATCCATCTTGAATGGATTGTTCTAACATGGTTGGCGATACAATTGAAGAGGAGGACGAAGGAGGAGATGATTTTCCATCATTTGTGACAATACTGCCAGTTGTCACTGCGGATGGTTGTGAGGAAGGTGATTGAGAAAGTGCAATTTGTACATTGGCAGCACAAGGATTCAAAGAAATTAACTGTTGTTGAGACAATGATGAGCTGCTACTACTACTACTACCAATAGTAGCGTGTGACATGTCAACTGTGGATGATTTTTGTGTCATCATCATCATTAAAGTAATTCCATCTTCTTCATCAGCATTTCCTTTTTCGGAATTTTTACTACTCTTCTCAACAGGTCGTTCATGAACGTTTGAACCCTTGATGAGATTCTTCTTTGATCTGTGAGGATGATCATCATCTCTCCTTCCCATTTTCTCAACCATCATCCGTTGTTCTTCATCCTTTTCATCATCAGAAAATTCATTCTCACTAAATTCATACAAGGCTGTCGGAGTGGCATCTTCCATCAAGGTAGAGGCTGCCATTTGATCCGACAGAAAATCCATTAGAAAATCATCGGCATTCATTTGTTGTTATTTGTTATTTGTTGTTATTTGTTATTTGTTATTTGTTATTTGTTGTTATTTCTTTGAAAAGATCGATTCCGGATTTGATGATTTTAAATATAGGTTCCCTCCAATAATAATAATGAATACTAAATGTACAATAATAATACTATGTAGCGGCTCTTTATGGATTTTTCATGAAACAGTTGTTTCACGTGTGTGAGTCGCGAATGATAGACCTTGTCGCAATGATTTTTGGTCGGAGGCAATTTTTTCAAATTTTCCTTATTTTCCATGGTGTGATTGTAATGGATAGTTCATAAAACATCATTCGAACACTAGTGTTCTGTGGCATTTAATAGATGTGACACGTCTTCAAAATTCTGAATTCAATAGTTTTATTGATTAAGAAGATTGTGTGGAATATAGGAAGGTGATGTCGTCGTGAAAGGTCGACCATTCATCAGCTTTCTGGTGTAGGGTGAAGATGACGAGGATGGTGTGTTTTGGTTGGCAGATACTAAACGTTGTAAAGCGAGTCCTGATCGACTTCTTCTTCGTGGCATGCCATACACGTTTCCGAGGTTGGCATGACGAACACGTTCGTATTGAGTAATGTCGCTCACCAAATAAAAGTTTGTTTGTTGCAAGATTTTGAATATGAGAATGGATCCAATAATTCCAATACCAGACAACACCACAAGCTCCCAAAATAATCCAATACTGAACTTGGAGGTTTCATACAAGATGTGACACACTCGCAATGCCTTTGGAAGTAAGAAGAACATTTCTTCAGAGCAATAGAAGGCTACAAATCTTGCCAATGAGCTTGGATAATTTTTGGCCTTAAAGGTTCGAAGTTTTTTAAGTCTCCATGATTGAAGCATCATGGTCATGCATGCAAGAGATAGTAAAATTTCAACACTGTAATTTTCTCTCAAATTAAGCCAACGCAACAAAATTTCAAAAAAGTTCAAAAGTGTCACAGCCACTCCAAGCAAGCTCTTATTTAAGAATCCGTAATGAGATCCAATAATGACCAATGTTAATTCAAATAAAATGGAGAAGATGAGCGCGTTCGTGTAGGAAATGATGAAGGTACATATTGTTGACATGAAAAACATAATCTCTCTTTCATCCAAAGTAAAATAGTCAAACAAGAGAGGAGTTTCAGTGTCACGGACTGGAATTTTTTGTCGCTGTTTCACAACACTCGGGTCATAGTCAGCATTATCCAAAGCAAATACAAAACGCATAATTACCAAGAGAAGGGTTATGCAAACCTCTCCCATGACAAAAGAAAATACTCCTCGTTTGAATAATGGCTTGGTATTGACTGCAAAAATCGAGTTGTACAACTGCACCGTGACAAGTGAGAAAATTGTGAAAAATATTCCAGCACCAATAGTGAAAGTAATCTTGTCAATGGAGTTAATCTCTCTATTTTGAGCGGGTGATGATGCTGGAGTGGGGGATGATACAATAATGGTCGACTCATCAGGAAATTGTTGTTGATGATATTTGTGAATATTTTGAATTCGATACGAAAATAAATAATGGATGAGAGGTCGCAAAATTTTTGACACCAACGACTGCAACCACAACAGCATGTCGTTGCTTCCAGAAGAAGTGGAACCAGTCTTTGCAGCAGAATGAAACGATGATCGTGTGGATGTCGTTCTGGCAGAGGGTCTTCCATCATGAGTCACCATAATGGTATTGTCATTTGGATTCATCTCAGATGGAGCAAACATCACGTTTCGAGTATGTCGAGCATTAACTCCATCTCCTCCCATCATGATTGTGTTATTCATGGGATCAAAAGATACGCCCGATGGGTCATAATCAAAAGTAGAATATTGCTGTGATGCCGTAGATGATGAAGGTAGATAGACTCTCTGATAGGTCATCGGAGAAATGGAAGGCTGTCTTACATCGTCATGATAATAAAAACCGTTCGTAGCAGGACCTTGAAAAGATGATGATGGAGAATAATGATTCGGGTTGGTATGATTATAGTACATGGTACTTGTCGTTGGTTGTTGTTGTTGTTGTGATGGACGGGGTGATGATGGAGAGAAGGAATAACTTGAGCGAATTTTTGTGCTGCTTCTCAAATCTCTTTCATTTCCTGTTGTTGTTGTTGTCCAGTAACCATTGGATGAAGAACCAAAAGGTCCACCATCATCATTCTGTAAGCTGCTTGGTGAAAAATTGAGCATGGTGTTTTAATGATGGAAATTCGTGAAGAAAGAAATCTCGTTTTGTCGCGTGATGGTCTTCCGAGTTTGGTCCACGTGCGTGAGCAGCAATCTTAAATTGTTTAAATTTTTTTTGAATAATTTGAAGGGCCAAATTTTGGCGGTCTTTTTGCTTGTGAGAAGATTAATAATTTCACTCGGCTGTTTGAGGTTTTCTTCCATCATTTCACTTTTAGTGTTTTATTGTAAACAGAAAGGGGTGTCTGTATCAACACCAGAAATTACAACTCGAAATAAAAAAACAAAAAAAAATAGAGACATTTCAGTATTAGATTTTTTTCGAGAGAAATTTCATCATCTTCCCGATCATCATCATTATCAAAATCATCATCAACAATCCAACAAAATAACACCAGTCCAACAAAATGGGTCATACAGCCTTTGAATATTTTCAATTGTTGGATGGCCTCAACAGGGTGGAATCCTTGTGCGTGATGGGAAATACGTTATTTGTAGCAACTACGGACGGAACTCTCTCCTTGTACAATTTACAATATGATAAAAAGGCTGGAAGCAAGGAACGATTTACATGTACATCATTCAGCAAAAAAACACAATTCAGTAAGAGACCAATCACACAAATGTGTTCCGTACCAGAGTTGGGTATTTTGATTTGTCTCACAGATGGATTTATCAAGTTATATACATTGAGTATGTTGAGAGAAATTGATACTCTTAAAAATCAAAAGGTAAGATCTCATCTTACTGTTCCAGCAATATCATATTGGTATATTGGGAATATGATAATGTTAAAATAATCATAATCATTATGATGAAAATTTAATTTCTTGGCGTCATCATTCCATAACTCACCAAAAAATCATTTACAACATCAACAACTCAAAATATCAACACAATTGTGAACTATAGCAAAACCAACTGAAGGGATGCATGTTTTTTGCCTTGAAAAAACACAATGGAGAATTCACAATGGCAGTTGCATCCAAGAAAAAGATTACAATTTTACAATACGGAAGCAAGGAGTCCACATTTAAATATCAACAAGAATTGGTATTGCCTGATGCTGCCAAATCGATAAATTGGAGCGGAGACAAACTTTGTGTTGGATTTAAGAAGGAATACTCTCTCATTGACACTCAAAAATCAGGAAGCATGCCACAAAAATTATTCGACACTGGAGTATCTCAACAAACAACACTCGGTCTCTCGCTACCCAATGAAACCATTGTGGTCGTGAGCAATATTGGAGTGACACTTAATTTCTCGGGAAAACCCACTCGCTCACACGGAATTGGGTGGAGTGAATTTCCCAACATGATTGCCTATTTGAAACCTTATCTCATTACACCACTGTCAGTTTTTGTTGAAATTCGAATTTTGAGCTCAACCATCAAGAAAGAGACTTTTATTCAAAGTTTGCCCTTGAGAGATATTGTGGCCACAAGTCAGCAAAATTTCATTGATTTAGATCAACCAGATAACATGGATCAAGGAATGGGTGTGGGATTCAAACTGAGAACAGAACTCGATCGTGATGACACCATTGATCCTGAAAATCGAGTATTTCTTGCATCGAGAAGTGGTATTTATGTTCTCGTGATGAAACAATTCGATTTACAAGCCGAAGAGTTGTTATCGAATCAACAATATGAGCTAGCACTTCACTTGTGTGAAACTGTAGAACATACAAGATACAAAATCGAGGACTGGAGAGTCAGTTCCATTCACACTCAATATGGTTTTCATCTTTTCGCGAAGGGCGAATTTGACAAAGCCATGGAACATTTTGACAAGACCAAAGACGATCCTCGTATGATCATTTCACTCTTCCCTGATTTATTGCCTCCCAAATCTTCATTCAAAGTCTCTCTGCCGTACAGTGTGCAAGAACAAGCAAAAATTGACCAATATCTTAAAGACATTGAACAACGAAATAAGGCTCTTCAAGCTCTTATTCAATATCTCCTTCATAGAAGAACACCTGCTGATAAAGAGCTCAATGAGCAAGCCCAAGATGAAGCAGAGGCAGTAGATACTGCACTCCTGAAGGCTCTACTCTACACCAATGACCCGCATGTGGAGGATTTCCTCTCATCTCCCAATCGTTGTAATATTTTTGACAGTCAGAAAACACTTCACTCTCATCAAAAATTTAGAGAGCTTGTCATTTTCTACAAGACCAAGGGGCTTCATGAAAGAGCTCTCGAGCTGTTAAAATTGCTTGGCGACAAGTCATCATCTTCAACAGCATTTTATACGGATTTGATGGGAGTCATGCCAACTGTCAATTATCTACGAGATCTTCAACAGGCAGGAGAGGGTAAGCAATATATCATGGAATTCAGTAAGTGGGTCTTACAAGCAGAACCACTGAGAGGTTTAAAGATTTTCCAAGTACCAAATTGTCCATTCAACGTCAATGAAGTCGTTTCACATTTGGAATTATTCGACCATGCCTTGGCAATGAAAATTGCATACCTGGAACACTTGATTAAGGTTGAAAAATCGACAGATCCAAACCTTCACAATCAACTCTTACTTCTCTATTTGGAATATGTCAGCAAATATTCTTCTCCAAAATCCAGCTATGAAGAAGATAATACCAAAGGACTACTTTTCACTTGCAAAGATATCAAACATAGAATGAATGATTTCCTTTCACACTCACAATATTATCATCCTGAAAAGATGCTTTCGCGGTTTCCTTTCGACTCTCTGTATGAAGAGAGGGCCATTTTACTCAGCAGAATTAACAGACATTCACAAGCATTGACCATTTATGTCACAAAATTGGAAAGTATTGAGAAAGCAGAAAAGTACTGCATGGATCACTATAATCCAGACGGTACCGAAGAGAGTAGAGAGATTTTCTTAATTCTTCTCAAAATGATTTTGCAACAAAGTGGCACCAATACTGATAGCAACAACATGTTCTTTGAAGACGCCATAGGATTAATGGAAAGACACTTTTCTAAAATTGATCTCATTAAGGCACTCAAATTAATGCCCGAGAATGTTCCAGTAATTGAATTAATGAGATACTTTGAAGCTGTCATGAGATCACACACGGAGCAAAAGAGAAAGGTACAAATTATGAAGAATATTAGTCGGTCAGAAAATTTGCAAGTTCAAGAACAGGTGATTGGCGAAAGAAAACGACTTGTAAAGATCAAATCAGACAGAATTTGTCCAGTCTGCAAGAAGAGAATTGGTATGAGCGCTTTTGTGTGTTATCCAAATGGTATTGTCACACATTACATTTGTTCCAAGAATCCAAATATTTGCCCAGTGACTGGTCAAAACTTTTTGAAATTGTAAATATGACAAATGATTGATAAAGCGTGGCGAATTATTTATTTCTTGGCTTTCCAAATGATAGTAATTAATTAACAATAAAAATGAATTGAACCAAGAACTTGCAAACAGATTTATATTGAACACCCATTTAAACACCTTCAGAACTCAACTGAGGCATACATAAATTATAGAAAACTGAATCTTTAAAGACTTGTTCTCGTGTCTTCCATGCACACCAACCTCCTGAAATGATATCTTCCAAATATTCAGGATCATTAATACTTCCAGTGAAATGTGGGTCTAAAATCAAGTACGAACATTCTCCTGTCATTTCATCAAATTCAATTCCTAACATGGTATAAGCCAACACTCCTCCACCAATCATGATTGGACTTCCATTCACATCAAAATGATTGGCAATGGCACGAGCATGAGCATTCATTTCATCTCCTCGATTTACATACAAGACCTTACTTTGCACTCCACACCACTTTTCCAAAACAATGGTATTTTCAAAAGCTCCAATCCATTGACGAGAGCCCAAGAAGGATGTCTGTTTGTCACCACAATCCACGAGACATTTCTGAATTTCTTGATGAGTGGGTAAATTGACTACAACTGCCCCAGCATGATACTGTGCGTGTGAAATGAGTGTTTGTAAACTTCTGTAGGCACAACCCCAACCTTCATCATTGAATTTATCTTGGCAATAATGTGAGTATAAATAATCGCCACGAACAAGATGTAAATTATTTGGATTGGTCGATTTGATGGTCGATGGATAGCCCGCATAGAGATGAATGTTGAGAATCTTCTTATTGAACTCGGTAATCTTGGTTTTTGGAGAAGGACCAAAAGTCAATGCTTGATTGGTTCGAATGAATGGTTGTTTCAATGAAAAGTATAATCTCTTGTGATATTCTTCTCTCAATTTGATGGCATTTTGTTCATTACGTTGCTCAAAAACAATGTCATCACTATAGAATGGATAACAACAGGTGAAAACGTGTGGATAGTCTTTTGGAAGATATTGATAAAATCCAATGTGTCGAATACTTTTTGAAGAACCAACATGTGGTAAAAGGAAACTGTCATTACCAAAATATTTCTTGATAAAGACAAGTTGGTCAAGGAGACCTTCAATCATGACCTGTTTCAAATGTTCAAATTAGTCAACTTGTTGTTGCCAACATGTTGAAAAATTGGAATGTAACTTGTGGTTTCAAGTGAGAGCTTGCAATTTGTATTCTTCTTATCTGAGGAAAGGTAAATGCCACTTCCATATTGATTGGGAGATAGATTTAAGAAAGCGTCAAAATGTAGGAACTTGGAAATGGTTTTAACAGTGGACATGTTATCCTCAGATTTGTGTTCGTTGAGTTTAAGAAATTCTCCAAGTGTTTGTTTTGGAAGTTTTTTCTTCTTGTTCTTTGAAGAGGTGTCTTTCTTGTTAAAATTGGTATCAACCTTCAATTGTTGAGTTGAAGTGTCCACTACTGTTAATTTTTCAGGCAAAATTGATTCTAGCGATGCTTCATGACCACGAATTTCAATAGGAGTGGATGAGCTGGCCGTCACATTGCTTGAACTATTCGACTTGTTCTTTTTTGAAGACTGTTCAGAACTATTATCAGTAGTTGATACTGCAGTTCTAACCACTATCTTCTCTTCAGATTTCAAAGTTTCGATATAGCTGTCAATTTGCTTTTGGAAAGTTTCTTTCATAATTTGATCACTATTTGTAGCTTGCACGTCAAACGTATATGGAATGATCAAATCACAATGCAACCTAGCAATCATATAAGGTGACGTCGTCGATGATAGTTTTGCTTGCTGTTGTAATTCATGTTTGTCTCCCACAATGGGAATTTCAGAAAATTCACGAATTGTGTCTTGCCTAATGACATGAGCTGTTTTATCCGAGACATTGAAATTGAACACTTCCATCATTGTCGATGATGAAGTACCACCTCCGACCGTGACCAATAATTGTTCAAAATGATTTTCTTTGGCCAACAGAGAAGGAAATTGTGATGAAACCCACGAAGCTACAATCTTTTCCGTTTCAGGAGCTTCCGATCCAATAACTACTTCACTGCCATGATATTTAGTAAGTGTTCCTTGGGTAGTATATAATCCTACAATTGCTAAACCTTTCGGAATCATCACGAGCCTCATCAAATCCAATTCCGTTTGATCCACATTCGAGAGACTTTTCATAAAATTCAAAATAGAAACATCGTGGTTATTGTTTTCAATTCCGATCAAATAACCTAGTACTGGATTGGTGGATGAGGCCAAATGTTTAAATAATTGACCCAACCTATTTTTGATGAGTGATTGAATGAGAACCGAAGAAATTTGTGATGAAAGCATTTTTTTTTAAATATTTATTTTAAAAAATTGAAATATTTACAACTGTGACGACCTCATCATACGACCATCCCAGAATCTCTCATGTTTGGAAATTCATAAAACTTGTTATTCATCCAGTTTCGAGCAGACACATCATCTTGTTGGAACATGAAATTTTTCAACATTTTCACACTGTTAACATTGGAGTCATTTAAAAACATTTCCTTCCATGATACACTGGAGGACCAGCTTCGTCATATTCTTCCTTTGTTGTGAACAAGGCGGAAGTTGTCGATAAGGATCCAAAAATTGAAGCTCCAATCCATGACAAGTATTTTCTTTCTGTACGTGCCATGATGTTCAATTGAGTTGTGAGGAGATTTCCATGATTAGGTAAAAGTGTCAGTAATTCTTGTTTTAAGCGATGACTAAATCCAGGAAATAATGTATTTCCTCCTGATAAAATGATATTCGAATAGAAATCTCGTCGTAAATTCATGTCACACGATTGAATGGAATTAAAAATCATTTCATGAATTCCATTATATTCCAAATCGTTCAATATTGAGCTTGGATTAAATAATAATTCAACAGGTTTAGAACATAATTCATTGGAGAGTGTAATTTCTTGTCCATCTGGTAATTCATATCTTTTTTGATTGCAATTATTTTGTGAATCATGTTGTGAATCATTTGACTGAGCACAATAACACAATTTTTCTTTCAAATCTCTCACAATTTCTCGATCCAATCTCGTCTTACAAACGAGTCCCTTCTCATTTTGCAATAAATTCATGAAATATTCTGTCACATCCCTACCTGCCAAATGCCAACTTTTCAAAGCATACATCAATGCATTTCCTTCATAAATTGGCAATACATTTGTAATACCATCTCCAGATTCCACAATCACACCACTCACTTTTCCACATCCATACATGGACATGACTGCTTGATTTCCCAAATAAATAGCAGGCACTGAAAATGTCTCAAACATGATTTGAATTATTTTTTCTTTTTGTGCTTTTGGTTGCAATGGAATGTGTGTCAACAAGATTGGACATTCTTCAGGAGCAATTTTCAATTCATCATAAAAAGCACAATGCCATAATTTTTCCATATCATCCCAATCTCGAATTATTCCTCTGGACATGGGTTCCGAATATGTGCAACATGATGATGAACCATCATGATTAGAACATTCTGAATTTTGAATTTCATTCCAAGAAATTTCAAGATCGGAATGATGCTGCTGCTGATACAATGGATTAAATTCAAGATGACACGAGGATGGCAACATGGAAATGGCTGAATGACCTGTGAAGGCATATTTCGGTGGTATTTGGAGAGGAGAAATTTGAAATAAATTTTCATGAAAGGTCGTCGTCGTTGGTTGATCGAGTGTACAATCCATTCCCAATCGACCGACGAGAGTTGGAAACACACTACGAGGACATAATTCTCCTGTGAAACCACATTTGAGTGTGCCAGAGCCAGTATCGATCACGACTTGAGCAATGTCATCATCGATAAACATTTTTTTGTTAACTTAACGCCAAAACCCATTTCATGAACAACGAACTTGGTAAATGCCAAATGTCAATATTTAATACTATTCAAATCAACCCAGGATGTAGAAAATTGTCAAACCCTAACTTTAAAAAATGCAAAACTGATCTCGCCACACACGCGCATTTTTACCATCTCCATAAATTATTTCAACAACACAACTGATCGGAACATTGAATAATCATTCATCATGCTCATTTAGATTTTGTATTATGCGCGTGCGAAATTTATAATTATGAAGAATTTGTTATTCCATCATGATGATGAATCCAAACACAACAATGTGCAACGTTATCCTTCAACGTTTCCGAGTCATCATCATTTCAATACTCATGTTTGTTCCTATCATGATGATGATGATCGGGATGATGATGATCGGACTCTCTTCAACCACAGCAACAACGATCAATCGTGGGTTAGCGTATTGCGCCATTGCTAACTCATCGGTCATTCCACTCACTGCGAGCCTCTTGCAGGAACAACGACAGAATGGAATTTTATGTCCTTTCGGATTCATGAAACGAGCGACCTCAGTCAGTAATCAGGCAATTCCTATTGGTGTCGTTTCAATGTGTGAGTATAGTAGAAGTATTGAATGAAATTGTGGATCGGCAACCGTGTAACATTCCCGATGATGGTTCAACAGAGGTCCTTCCCACTCCCATACTTGATCCTAGGAATTGCATTTTCGACTTTTTGCATTGCTCGCCTCGTACTCGAAAGTGTACCTTTACACATACGAGAGCACAGGGAGATCGATGTGTTGATCGATTTAATTGTATTGGATCGAGCGATAAGCAGAATGTGCTACGAGCATTGGCTGTTAATTGTCATGAAGGAAGATGCACATCGTTGAAAAATTCTCCCTCATTGCCGTTGGCTCTCAATGTTGGGGTTATCCTTTGGGTAGTAGTGAAGACTATGCTCGGTTTTTAAATTATCAAAACAACACGTTACTGACCTGTGTAGAAAATTCCATTTGTACCTCGAATGGTAACAAATTACCTCATGCCTATTGCATTCAGCTTCAATCAAAAAAGCCTCAAAACTTGAATCATGCGGGGCAGTAAGCACAAAAGATCGAATTCAAGACATGAGCTATAAATTGTGTAAGGACGGATTGACTTGTGGGCAATATGTGAAGCCAGGTGGCACTTGTGTGGAATATGTTAAGGCCATTGACTTTGAAGATAGCTATCGATTTCCATTCAATTTTCATCTCTCTATACCTGCCTTGATTTGTCCAGATGGTTACAAATACAGTTCAACATTCATGGGAGACAGGATTGCATGTCTAAAGAATGGAAGTGACTTTTGTTTCACCAATGCTCCTTGTGGTGGCTACGATTACTTCAACATCAAATCAAGTTACAGCTTTAAACCTGGTCTAGAGATCTCAAAACAATTTGAAAGACTAACAAAATGTGACACAGCGGACAAGAAATGTGTCAGAGTATTTGCAAAAGAGAACGGTATGAGATGTTTAGACCATTGGGAATGTCGTTCGTCCTACTGTTTCAACAAAACGTATTGCACAGAATTGCCGAAACAATTTTCTTGTGGACCAAGCGTTTCTAATCCAAGCGTCACTGATTGCCCTGGATACTCACATTGTGTTTGTACCAACTCAACACTAGGCATTTGTTCGAATGTTTGTTTTGCGGAATTGGCCGATTTACATACATGTGCTTATAATTTGGGTGTGTTTGGAGAGACTAGTCCAGTATCAATCATGGAAAATACATTGCTTCCATTCATTGACAATGCATCCTCGATATTCTCTCTCGAGAACGGAACATGCAAAGATTACATGACCAAATATTTTGAATGTATGCAGTCCTTTCAGCAACGACTCGGATTAGAAATTCTACCCATTGTGACTGGTACTGATAATGAGCGAGCCATTCCAATACCTCAACCGGATGATGAATATTTATTTCGAGTGCAATCATCATTTGATTTACGTAATGATGTTGACCGACCACTTTTAATTTCTAAGCTTAATGAATCATATCGAATAGATACCTCACGTTTCTTAGAACCAAGTGCGATTCAATTGACCACTATTGACATGCTATCTAATGGCTCTCAAATACTAACTCAAACGTCAAGTCTATATATCAATGTTAGAATCTCAGAATATGTGATGCTTTCTACAGCAGAGAGAATGGTAGGACTGATGCCCAGATATAAATTCAAAAGTGTAGACTTTAAGAATATTCATGCATGTGCATGTTGTTCAGAAATGGTAACAAAATATGTAGAAGCTTCGCTGGATGGAGGGATTTTACTCAAAGCGAAGAGAACTGATTTAGTTGCTGAGATTTATATCAATAAGGTGGATTTAAGTATCACTATTTCTGGACTCGAACCTATTATGGGACATAATTCATTCCTGAACCGCAATTGGTATGAGAGATGTGACATCATTCTTGTTCCACCGGAAGACATTGACGTTGTCACACTTTCAATCAAGAATAACATGCTATTACTGGACAACAATGCATCATCGCCAAGTACAGTCAGCGAATTAGAATCGGCATCTATGAACGATTTATTTGTAATTTTTTTTTCAAATTTACCTTCCAAAGTATTGGCCGTAACTCGGGATGTGAGAGATGCAGCCATGACCAATCAACAAGTATTTGCTAAAGTTTCCTCATTAATTCAAGATGCAATTTCTCAACAGTACAATCAAGCAATGAAACTACTCAATAGTTCTTCTCGAACGAACAGTACCAACTTAACTCTGGTAGATTGCTCTCTATTTAATTCGACATTGGATGTTAAGGCATATCATCGAACAATATTCTCCTTCCCATTGACATTCGATCTGATATTCCCTCTCCCCTGTCCTCATCCTCATTTATAATAGAATTTGATCAATGGTTTTCCATGAATGCCCTTAAACGATATGGAAATTCATTGGAAGAACAAGTAATGCAACAATTGTTGGACATTCTGGCCAATCCAACATGTTACAGTAGTTACAACTCGTATTTAGGCGTTTTTCACTATAATGACGCCTCTCAATATTGGGATTTAATTTTAAAGGATTCAATGTTGTGGATTGTAGTGGCAAGTTGCTTGTCGTTTTATACATTGTTATTGTTCCGTTATAGAAATAGTATTTCGTTGAAACGAAGATTAATTACTCCTTTTATTGGTCCATTTTGCATGATGATTATTTGTTTGGTATATATTGAACCAATCTTAATGTCACTATTCAAAACCATTGGTAGGAACATTATTCCTTTCATTCCCGTACCTAACCTATTCATGTCACTACTTGCTGCATCCTATATGATTGTGACTATTAGATTTTATTTTTTGAGAAATTTATATCAAATTAGGAAAGGCTTAGAAGTATTGGATGACAACAAGACGAATTCAAGCATGAAAATTTACAAAGGGCTTACCAATACATACGTGACACTGGCCTTAATTGTGGTCGTGACGGTGTTGTTATTTGGAGCATGGTTTGGAATATTTTATGGAATTATGGAAAGTATCATTATTGAGCGATTCGCAAGATTTGAGTGGACCCTCCAATTTGACGCGTCGTTGTTGGCATTGACGACTCAATTTGGTTTTTTGAGTTTAGTTTCAATTCTTTGCTTATTCGTTGATGCTATATTCAACTTGAAAAAAATTCGTAAGCACGTAGGTATTTGAGTGAGGAATTTCATGGATTGGTAACTTCCTTATTTTAGGGTATTGGCTACTATTTTATGTTTGATGACCCGTTTCATTTGAGAATGGATATCTTTTCGCAACTATTAATTTTCTTGATTTCCATTCTCGTTGTATTGGACATTTTTGTTTGGAATACCCTTATAGTTAATCGAGTTGGAATTTTACTCTTCTTTCTGTGCTCGCTAATGATATTTGGCGGAAATGTCATGCTTGTTGAATTCATTTCCTATTTGCAATACAAGAGGTGGTTGCAAAGATGTTGCATTACTTTACAAGATGATGACAACCACGATGCATTAACTCATGAATGGTACGAAAACATGAAAGATATACATTTCAGAGATTTGCAAGAGGTATGTTCATTCATTCCATGTTTGCCAAAATTTATCTTCTCACGAATGCACAAAAACATAGCAATATGCCACGAATTTGTTCGCTTTGGAAAATTTGCGACTCTTTGAAGCATTCGAAAAGTTTGAAAAGAAGAAAAATCTGTCACTCAATGATTTAATGACGTTGAACCATGTCATTCTTAGTGTGAATTTATCGTCAGATTCTAAGAACACATATAATGATCTTGTTGCACACCTCACACTCAATCCCCATGAAACGATACCATTCAATCGATTAGAACCAATCAAGCTCGAGCTTGTTGCTGAAAATATTATTCCTGAAATTTATTTGGCTCTCAAACAAACCAGCTATTTTGCCAAATGGAAAGAAGTCACCATTTTACAAAAAGAAGCGAACATTATTGGCGAACTTCCTATTGAAATTGAAATGCAAGAACTTTGAAAAGTAGCCATTGAATCCTAAAATATGAATTCATGTTACTAAACAGTGCTGACGTAGCAGCCAACACCACGTGTCCCAAGCACATTTGAAAATTGTGCGCGCATTATTGAACTGTTAAACGCACATATTTCTGATTCTTGATCGCACAGTTTCATTAAAAAAATGTCAATCATTGAAAGCGTCTTCCATTCTCTTCATTCATCGCCTCGATTTTGGTTTGCCATACAATCACTGGTCGGAATTGGAGCATTCTCTCTTTTTGCTCATGTCATGCTAAAGAATCGAAGATTTACATTGTTTTATGCCTTGTTTACATCGATTCATTGCTTGTTTACAAATTCGTATTTTGCAGCAAATCAATTTCCAATTCTTCCAATTGTTGGTCACTTTTATTTAAATGCATCAGTATTTGTACATTTATTTGTGTTGATGAAATGGAGAAAATTGAAACCAAGGTAGGCGTCGTTACGCATTATTATTTGAAAATTATAAATTAATGATTATTTTTACAATGATTATTACAAAAATGAAATTTAAAGTTGGTACTTGTGGAGCATTTGCCTTCCTGGATACTTTTATTTAGCTTGGGGAGCAATGGGATCTATGCTCTCCATTCCTCATTCACTTTTAAGAATTGCATTTCGACCACTCTTTTCACACCTCGATCCCAATATGACCTATTTTCATTTATTAACTTTGAGTTTAACATTGTATTCCTTCTACTTGTCGTTTGTGAGCCCAACTTTTGGAAAAGAGCAAGTACATATTGATTTGACTCATAATCGAAAGAAGAGTGAGGAGGAACTTGTAGATCAATCTCAAAACCATGACACTCTCATGACCATGTCATGGAATTGACAAGTGACAAGGTGATCCACCAAGATGAATCTCGTATTCTTCGAGTATTCCAAATTACTGATGCGCATATGGGACCTTACATGAGTAAGAAGCGATTATTTAAAATTTGTCAAAATATTGTCCATCACAAGCATCACATTGATCTAGTTGTAATTACTGGAGATATGGAAACAATGGACACACATCATGATGAGGACTCATTAAGAGAGGCACTTTCTCCTCTTAAAGAAATTTCTCACAAAGTTGTAGCTTGTTTAGGAAAGTAAGTATTTTATAATTTAAATAATTTAAAATAATTAATGTTAAATGAATATTTTATTTAACATGGCCAATTTCGGATTGGACAGCCATGATTATGAAGTATTGGAAAAAATTAGAAGAGCTTATCAAGAAAATTCAATTACCTTACTCGAAGATGATCAAACAATCATTGAAATTGAACGATGGTCCAAATTGAGTGGAGAAAAATCTCAAATTCAAATTGTTGGTTCAAGTTTTTCATTTGCAGGAATGGAGCCATCCACACGACACATTCAAGAATTGTGTAAAAAGTTTCCACGAATCGATGCAAATACGCCACGAGTGTTACTAATTCATAATCCTTCCATTCTCTCTTCTTTGGATACTATGGATTCGTGTGATATTGTATTTAGTGGACATTTACGTAAGTATCAATTGAATTTCTTAATGTAAATTTGGAACATGAATTTCTTAATGTTAAATATGTTAAATTTGTTGAAAATGAAATAATTTTGGAATTACATCATGAAAGATGGTGGACAAATTGGAATTGGAAGAATGACTTTGTAAAAGGTCTCTATCACACACTGAAACTATTAGGAAAGGAAAAGACCCTTTTCAAAGCTTATCCACCAGATCAAGGTTTATATGGAAGAAGGTAAGTGTTGGAATCACGTTATGGGATGGGAAACACACTGACACACACATGAAATAGAAATTTGAGATTATATTCCCACAGAGGAACAGGTCACTATGGTTTTCCACTTCGACTTGGTATTTCCTCTGAACAATCTCTTATTCATTTATACTTTTAACATCATTCACTTCAGCTCAAATAAATTTATTATTAAATCTTTACAAAAAAAATGAGTAGTTCATCGGCTTTCTCTTTGTCATCATCATCACAAAAAACACTGCACTCATTCATTTTGATACTCTCCGTGGTGATACGTGGAATATTGTTTTATTATGAATTTGATAAATCATTGGAGGATGAAATTCACTTTTCTACTCCGACCACAAGTTTCAAACGATGTAGGTGTAAATTTTGTTCGGAATATATATATTGATCAATGTATGAAATGATGATATCTACATTTCTTAACGATATTAGTGAAAGAAGGATTATTTCTCTCTCGGATCGGTCAATCACCATATTCCAGCTCTTCTTTTTTACAACCTCCTCTTACATTAGCTCCCTTTGCATTGGCCGATCAATTGGCAAGTACATTCTCAACTCATCATGAAAGAAATTTACAACTTTGGATGTACCGATTCATTTTCATAATATCAGATCTTGTGGTTGCATTTTTCGTGTATGGAATTGCTAAAAATTCGGAATTACTATTGCAACCTTTTTACAAAAGAGTCACAACAGCAGGAACATCGAACACCACAACAAATAGAGCTTCTCGAAATTTGCCACAAGAAAATACTCCTTCTCAAAATTTACCTATTTTTTTAATGTCACTGTATTTATTGAATCCTGTAATGATTGGAAGTTGTGTGAGCATGTCGACCATTGTTTTCAATAATTTGTCAATTGCTGGAGCAATATACTTTGCAACAAAATCGAACATAGTATCTAGTACCTTATTTTTAGCATTTGGTTCATATTTGACGCTGTATCCAATTACATTACTTGTTGGAATTATTTTAATTGTGAGAAGTTTGAAACTGAGACGTAATGAGCCTGCCAATATGTTTGCAATCTCTGGAAAAAGTATTATCATGCTTCTATTTTGGACATGTTGCTTACACTATGCGTCAATTTCTCTTCTGGAAAGCATTAGAGGGGGTGACAGCTTGGAAGCAAAAACTACAATTCCAACAGATACCATAATTTATCCATTCCTCTCATCAACATTGGGCACAGTGATTGGAATTGAACGATTGAATATTCTCTATGAATACTGTTATCAATGCTACTATTATCCTTTCACCCTTCAAGATTTAACTCCAAATTGGGGGACGATGTGGTACTTCTTCACAGAAGTTTTCAACGATTTTAAGGCCTTCTTTTTGCTAATTTTCCACTTGCATGCATTTATTTATGTCATTCCTCTCACACTCAGATTCAAAAACGATGGATTATTTTGGTGCCTCATTCAGACAGCAATAATTTCTGTATTTAAGGCATATCCATGCTTGGGAGATTTTTACTTTTACATGACACTCCTTCTTCTATTTATTCACATCTCCCAACATATGAGATATGGTTTCTTTATTGTGAGCATGTTACTGGCATCACTTTTCGTGGGACCTATTTGTTTCAATACTTGGATTCACAAGGGTACAGGAAATGCCAATTTCTTCTACTTTGTGACTCTCATCTTTTTAGTTGGAAATATTTTACTCATTGTTGAATTTGTGTTTGCACGACTGAAAGCCACTCACCTCTACAAAAAGAACCAGTAGAAGTCCTTTTCACTTTTGTGTCATATCCAAAATACGATTATGATTTACCATGCGAATGAATGGCACATGAATAAAAAGAGCTGTATGCTGTAGCTGAGAGCGAACTACATCTTGCGAGTTGCAGTTTGCGAGGATAAGCCTTGCATGGAATCTCTACTCTATTACAGTTTCCTAAACGATAATGATCGTGAGATAAGGAATGACCACATCGAGGATAAACCGAAATAAAACACCTAAAGGTCTTGTTTGAAGAGAGGGATCTCAAATTTTTTCACACTCGGAATTGAAGGGACCTCTTGTGGTTAGCATTAATTTGTTTTTTAAAAGTGTTTAAGAGAAAAAGGTAAAAAAAGAACCAATTTAAAGTAAACTCGCGCACGCATCTCTTTGTTCTGGACAAACAAGAGGACCTGTAATTAATATTTTGCTTTTTGTCAACAAATTAAAAGGGAAAACATTGGATCAATTTTAAAAAAAATACCTTCATCATGATAACATCATCCTCTCAATCGTTGGGCCTTCCCGAATCAAGTACAAACAGCAGTGATCACTCACTGCAAGAAATTGAAAGAAAAATTAAAGCCTATATGCACATGATGGATACAAATCCACAAAAAAGAATTCGGATCACATTGGTTCGGACATCAATTATTTAATCTTGCATCGCCATCTTCAATTTTGAACTCGGATCAAGCCCACAGTAATATAAAACATGAAACATCAACTCCGCTTGATATTAAAGGATTCAATGAGAGAGTAAAAACTTTTCAAATCGCAACATGGTTCAACAAGCCTTATAATGTAAACCCACTCGAGTGCGCAAGATACGGTTTTATCAATTACAGCCAAGACAAGATTCAGTGCTCACAATGCCAATCTAAATTAATTTTGAAAACAGAATTTGAAAAAGTTAGTGTACCCAGTGAGGTCATTGAGAAGCGATGTGAATCATTTAGAGAGGAGCTAAAATCATGTCATTTACATGATTGTATTTTCTATAACCAACCATCACCATTACGATTCACCCTGTTCTGTCATCAAGATACTTCATCTGGGAAGAATAAGAATATTATTAAGTTGCATTGCTTTAATTTTCATAGAATGCTCAAGAAATTGCTTCAATTACAATCGACACACGATCTAAAATTGGACTTAAGCTCTGAATTTTTAACCAAATATCACAACTCCAACAATGAATTCGTAGAGACTACAATGAATGAAATGAAAAGTAATGTAGAGCATCTGAAGAGCTCAGAATCTTCCGTGACAGCATCTTTATTTTGGTTGAGCGTTTTTCACTGGGAAGTACTGCTAAAAACCTTCAATAATGGCTCAGAAAAGGATTACTTTTTACATTGCGAGCATTGTCAAATGAGTCACTATTTGAAGAAGGCGATTCGTGGACGTTTATTAACCACTGAGGAGCCATTGAATCCTGCAGCCATGCATCGATGGTGGTGTCCCTGCGTACATCACAACAAACTCTTAACAGATTATGAGCAGATTAATGAGGATGAAGAAAGCAAGTTTTATTCTAAAAGTCTCATAAAACGACAACTGAATGAGCTCCCTGGATGGAGTCAAATGTTGGACTCTCTTAAGCAAGACAGCAAAATCTCGAATCAACACGCTGGGATTGGTTTGGCTCTACTAAATCATGAACATTTGCCCAATGAATATGATGCCTCTCTTCTAGTGAAGAACATTTTACAAAACTCACTGAGCTCAATATTCGTCTCTGAGAATGAACGGAGGCAATGGTTGAGGAAGCAATATGAAAACCCCAATGAAACGAGGGAAGGCAAGGTAGCTGTTCTCGCATCTAAGCAAGATGCAAATGATTTGCAACCATCTCTCGAAACAGTAGTTCCTCGCGTGGAACATCCAACAGCTCCAGAAGCAACCAGCTCCACTAGTGGCAGCAATAAGGAAGATTCTGAACCTTCCCCAACAACGATGACTACAGTCAGTCCTGTACAAACGCCAACAACTGTAGAGGCCCCAACAACAGATCAACCACCACATGTACATACCAGCAGTGACGTCACACGATCAACTTCCCATGAAAGCCTCGTAATCAAAGATCCAATGTCGTTTTCAATTAATTTGGCACCGCGTACTCCAACCACACAATTGGAATCTTCCTTCATCAGTCCTTTCTCTACAACCACAAATTATCAAGAAATGGGAACTGCGTCTCTAACACGGGCGGATAAGGAAGGTATTCAATCGCCATTATCAGGTCCGTACGCAGCAGAGGCAGACGAGGATGCATTATCGTTATCTTCAACGCCAAACACGTTTTCAACAGTCATGCAACTGGAATTTACTTCTCCAACAACAGCAACTTCTTCACTGCCCAGACACTCGAAGAACCCTATACTTTGTCGCCTCCCATGGTTGCAACCTCTCCAGCACTTGATTTGTCAACCAATGATTCAGAAATCACAAATCATCAAACATTCACAGCAGACGACATGTTGGAAACTAGAGAAACAATGATTGAAGAAGATCAACAACTACCAATGCATGAGACAACTGCGGAAGCATCCTCTGGTTTATTAACACCAGTTAAGGCCGATACTTTTATTCAACTAGAGCCCTCCACATCCCATACAACACCCTCCATTGCATCCGTGTCTTCGCCTGTTCCATCTAATACCCTGGCAGTGACCACACCAACGGTAGCTGCCCATCCTCGTTATCGACGTCCTCCTCGAAACACCAATCAATACATGATAAGTCAACCACAGCGAGAAAGGCTGAGATTTCAACTACAACTCCCTCAAAACCTCCATCCAGTATTTCCTCCTCGTCGAAAACCACTAGTAGTAGTAGCAGCAGTAGTAGTAACACAACACCAAACAAATTGACAAGCACTCCAAAAGATTCATCTCACAGCAGTGGTTCCACCTCAACGCCAAACAAATCAAGAAAACAGCAATCAACTCGACAAAGTTCAAATAAGAAGCAATCAACGCCCAATTCAGACAATACTGCGACATTGTCAAATACGCCATCTTCCAAACAATTTCGACAATCTGGCAGCAACAAACAAGGTAACGCCACAACCAATAGCAAACGAAAAAACGCCCAAACCACAGGCAAAGCAGCAAGAAACGCAAATAGCAACAGTATTGAAGAGCTGTCAATTCAAACATTCGCAAATAGTTGTGCAACGAGCGCGTCAAGAAGCGGTTTTCTTTATCTAGCTGAAACTCCTCGGGTTGATTACTTTGGACAGCGAAAACACGGTTCCAATATTCTACCACAGCTTCCAAAAATCACGCAATCTTCAAAAAAACAACGTCATTGCGTCGTAATAGCCTTCTGAAGACGACACGATAATTATTCTTCGGTGTGTGGTACAGTATTATCATATCCCAATATCCAGAACCACACTTGGTGCATATCCGCGTAATAATTACTCCACAACACCATCTGAAAAGGCAAGTGGTGTGAGTGCGAAGAAAAGACTAGTATTCATTTTTGAACAAGTACAATTTATTTGTACAATATCCAATCAATAGTGTAATAGCAATAATTAACACTATTACAATAACTATTTAAAAATCCATCAACCGGCGACATAATATTCCAAAAAACAGCCACACACTTGATTGTTTCTCATTCAACTGCACACACACAAAAGCAGCATCAGAACGCACAAACGCACAAGCAATCAATTCCTTCTTCTTTTGCTGCAAAATCTTTCACATCAAGAAGGTCCAATCTACATTATCATAACCACTCACATTCCTTTTAAAAACCCAACTCTGAAAAGCAGTGGCTTAACCAAAATCACTGAACAACAAACCACCAACTGTCAAAAGTCAATACTACTGCCTGCAACAAACTACGACTTTTTGAAATATTTGAGAGAAACTGATATCAACTGCAACCACTTCTTATCATAATTTGCATCAGCGAAACACTCTTTTGTGAAAACATTTATTCTCTCACAAATTCACAACAACTGACAAACTTTCACACCTTCCGCATTCACACAATCACGACTTGAAGGCAACAACAAGAGCATAATTATGGGACCAACATTGTTGCCTCCTGCACAATATTCACAACGACAAAAGCATCATCAACAGAAAGCACCTTCCACAATAATCATTTCTAACGACTTTCACAACATGATTATACCATCTCAGACTCGTCAAGAACATCATTCGCAGTCACCTTCCAGTAAGGAACCTGTCGTGCTCACCAACAGTAAAGCCATTGAATTGTTATTTGGCAATACTAACAGTGGCAGCAATCAACACGTTCAGGGATCCATTCCTCCATCTCTTCCTCTCTCTCAACAACATTTGACAAAAGGAACAAATCATCAATTGTCTCATCATCATGAACCAAGTACAGCAAAACATTCTCTTGCGCTCATTGACGGTGTGAACAGCAGCAATCTTGGTGGTTCACAACATGCACCACTTGTTGAACATCATCATCAACATGCTACAACCACTTATTCTGCATCTTCGACACCATTGCCTGCTACGAGTAGTGTATTATTGGATTCACAGGACAACACTACTTTGCATCATGATGGATCACAACAACAGATCGCTCACACAATATCCACGAGTTACAAATATGGCAATTTTAGAGACCGTCCCAATGATTTTTATCCTCCTCCTTCCAATGAATTACATTCTCACTATGGCTCTACCGTTGGTGGCCATCCTCATCCTCATCATTACTATAGTCATCATCATCATTATCAACAACAACAAGATGTCTTCACTCAAAACTACGAGTATTCACAACAACTATGTAACAAGTACTACGACGAATAGTAGTGGTCATAGCCATTCAAACAACAACTCTCCATCGAGTCAACGTACCAATCCTTTTCATCAACAGGAAAAACATCAACGAAATCCTCTCGCATCAAATCCTCCTCCCTATCATTTTCACACACATGCGTCCACTCAACAAGGTTCTGGAGGCTCAGATGCACAATTAGGATGGAGAGTGGGTGGTTCAGTGACTGGTTTTGGAGGTGGAGGAGTACAGAGAGCCTCTCCAACCACCAACTCCATGATGATGATGCAGGGTACTTCAACAACAGCAAATGCAGGAACAATCTATGGTGTGGACGATGAGAGAATGCATTATGAAAAACATTTGAGAGAGAAGGAACGAGAGGAGAGCATGCAGATGCATCATCAACAGTATGACTCGAATCGAGAACATCATCCTTCTTCTCATGCTCGTCATTATCACGATGGGTTCATGTTATCCAAGATGGAATCTTCTAAATATCTGAATTTATCAAATATGGAAGGTCATACTTTCGATGGCAATTTAGCTCAACATTCAGCATCATCCTATCATCCTACTGAATGCTATTACCAGATGAATCATCACGAGTATAGTAGAAATATGCCATCGAGCTCCTCTGTTGCTGCAAGTACTTTGCATCATCATCAAGAACCACATTATTATGATCATTACGCTCCAAATCATGCATTACAACCTTCTTTGAAAAAGACAAAAATCATGTCTCATCAAGAACGAAAAGAATTCATGCATGATGACCATCATCTTCAACACGAGCACATTTTGGTGAAACAAATCATGAAGAACATGTAGAACAACAACAGCAGCAACAACAATACGAAGAGTATGCCTCTGATTCCATGAAACAGTTACTTGATGACACTCAAAGTGATCATTTACCAATGGCTACAAGCAGTCAAGAGCGTCAAAAAACTCCAAACAAAGCAACTACAAGAAGAGAAGAAGTTCGACTACGAGTAATGCCACCAAAGAATCTAAGAGTACCAAAAAGAAGTCATCTTCTGCTGCAAAAATCTCTCGAAAATCTTCCTCCTCAAACAGTAGTGTTCACAGTGCCGAAGACAGTAGTAGCAGTACGACAAATACAGCACCACTCGACTCCAAGTCAAAACCTATTGACCTTGATATTGAAGAATTGGATGACTCTGTCAACATTCCTATTCGCGTTTTGGCTTACAATTTAGGACTCACAAAGACGTCTCCAAATCATGGAGATATCGTGACATTCGAAGAGCTCTCTTCGAACGAATGATTGAAGATCATATCGATTTTGTAGACACTCAGGAAGAGCATTCACTTTTAAGAGAGAGACTTCCTCACAAATTGACCTATAGCAATTTCTGTAAGAGAGTCATGCTGTTGGTCTTTCATTATCTAGTGCGAGACGGAAAAGAACCAAAATTTTATCGACGACCACTTGTGAAAAGAGAACTTATTGAAAATCTGTTACGAGAAAAAGATCCTCACTTTTATTCCATTGTTAATCCATCCATTGCTCGTGAATTGCATACTCTCTTGAATACAAATAGTGAAATGAAATTTAAGCAAGCGATTGCCATTGTTTTTGCTGGTATCCTTAATATGGAAACATTGCAAAGTCTTCACAAGGTAACAACAACAACAACGAATGTTTTACCAAGGAGAAGAGCAACAAGCAATTCCAAACGATCTTCTTCCAAGAAGCGATCATCCAATGAGGATCTATCCGATGGTGATGATGACGATGAACAAGATGATGAACAAGACGAAGACGATCAAATCGCCACTTCTCAAAGAGACCCAACACGTGTCACTAGCAGTGCTTTGAAAAACAGTCAGTCTCGTAGTCGACGACGACGACATGTCAATGTTTCTTCACAAAGTCAAACCACAAGTGACAATGATGAAGAAGAAAAACAAGATGTTTCTAATATGAATGACTCATGGAAAAACCTACAAGACCTCGACGACAAGCAAGTAAGAATTTGAAACGCAAGTTACAAGCAGTGGTTGAAATTTTGGAACATGAAGATGATGATGAAGAGGAATGATGATGCATATGTCAATCCTCAATTGAGGTTCGTGTGATCACTTTTAAAACCGTTACTGGAATACAAGATCACCAAGATATCATGCGGGAATAAATAATAACTTGAGTTAAGTTGAAACAGTGACAAATTTTGTGTATTCATTGAAAAGTGTGTATTTTGTTATTGTAAAATGATTATCATGTAAAGAATGACGATCTGTGTGTTGAGATAGAGATATTTTGTTTTGGTGTGAACTCCTCATCAATTCCTTCTACACCTAAATTTAAATTATACAAGTTATGATGAAATTACACAAATGTTGATTCAAAGCTATTTGATAAACAACCAAAATCTCTGACTACAACTCTTGTTGAGTCGTAGCATCCGTGGCATGCTTCTCTCCATCATTTTGTGTTCCCAAAAACATTTTAGCAAAAGGTTCCGCAAATTCTCTAAAACTCAACACATCATCTCCATTCACATCCAACTGATCAAACAACAAATCCAAAGCATTCTCTGCCTTTGTATTCATTCCCAATTTCTCTGCAAGTGAAGGATCTTGTTGTAACATGACTTCCATCACTCGTTTTAATTCTTCCTTTTCAATGACTCCATTCTTGTTTAAATCAATTCGAGAAAAGAGTTGTGAAATGACTTGTTGTTGTTGTGGAGAGAGTTGATTGTAATTGGAAGTGGATGATGATGAATTGAAATGACAAGCAGAGGAAGTAGAGGCTTTTCGAGTGAGCATGTTTGTCAAAATTTGAATGATTGTTGTTAATGGTAGTTTGGTTTGGAATTCAAGAGTAGTTGAATTTTTCAAAAACTGATCGATCACTATTCAGAAGGAAAAGAGTGAGAAGTTAGGAAATGTTGATGCAATGTGTGTTCAATTTTTTTTAAATGATTTATTGTCAAGTGACAACTGTCACTGATTGGATAATAAGAAAAGTCATGATAGGCCACTACTATTTTGCAAAGACGACAACGGACGAGTGAATGACTTTTTTAAAATAGAAAACAAAATTTCCGATCCACCCTCTATGTGTTGAAATGCATGTTTCTGTAACTTCTTTACATGCAACGGTCGTTCTTCTTTTTCACATGTGATCACTCGAGAATTCATTCATCGTTGTTCTCTCGACCATCAACAATATTTGTCCGTTCACGCGGGTGTGTGGATTATTTTCTCAACTCCTCTCCGGAGTGTGTTTCGAAATAGATTCACAAAGCTTATAAATCAAATGATTGACAAACATTCCAGCAAGGTCCCAACTTGATTTTTCAAACACACCTTCGACTCGCCTTTTGCTCCATGCATTGAATGGTTGTTCTTGAAATTGAGAACACAATGTGTTTTAAATTTGTTGAACCAAAAAAAAATGCAACACAAAGAAAAGAGTTCTCCGACGACGACGCATTCAAATTCCAAATTCAAGCTTGGTGAGGATCATGCAGCAGCGAGAGTAGAAGAAGAAGACTCCTCCTCCTCATTGAGTATCAGAAAAGAAAAAGTGCAGTTACAAGATGAAGAAGAAGAAGAAGGCTTTCAGGATTCTTCCATTGATCAGGAAGGAATGATTCAAAACGTTCCGAATGATACCTCCAAGGAATCATTGGAAGAAGAACACATGAATCAGGAGGAGGAGGAGGATTCGAATCGAGAAAAGGAAATTGAAAATATTGATCAAGAGGAAAACAACTCGGCAACTTGCATGTCAAGAATGAAACGAGTTTGGAAACGTGCTGGACAAGTTCCTGTGTTGAAGCATGTCGTGGGATTTTTGAGTACATATGGAGCAATTTTCCTGTTCAATCATGCGTTTAGGTCTCTCTTTTTTATGGTAGGTTTGTTATTTTTGAATGAGTGAAGTGTATTTCTAAAATTGGTAAATTTTGTGTGTGTGATGGGGAAACTATGATATATTTGAAAAATGAATTTTCTGAACATTAACATCCTTAAATTTTCCATTGGATTTTTGAAATTTTCGAAATGTATTGCATGAAATTAGAATTTAATTTCCGGTTTGGGAAATTTCTTTTCAGAAATTGCCATTGTTAATTTATTGGAAACTCGAACTGCAAATTCCACTCTTTCCTCCAACTCAACGAGTCTTTCTATTGCTCCAATGATTCATTCTCCCTTCTATTCTTCCATATATGATACATTTTCTCCAAATGTTAATTTATTGAAACTTTCCACTTCTAACATTTTTACTCAATTTTGCAGAAAGATGTTGACATTCCAAATGCAGACTATTCTCACGATGGTGCGTCAGGAACGGCCATTTCTGGAGTTTTTATTGCATTGTTACTTCCAGGTAGGTTTTGTGTTATTTTTCTAATTGTGTAATTTTAAATTTTTAAATTCATCTTTTTGGAACAATGGCAAATGTGAAATTCATAATACATAGGAATATTTCTAATGCCAATTACTGGAATTGTGGCTGATTTATTCGATCGAAGAAAAATATTATTAGCAAGTGACATTGCCAGAGGTTTCATTGTTTTACTTTTTCTCATTGCTTACTTTATTAACGGTCTGGAATGGCTCGTTTATCTCACTATATTTTTACAATATTGTTTTGGAGCATTCTTTGAACCATCACGAGAAGCTCTCGTTCCATTAGTTGTCAAACAAGAAGATTTACCCATTGCCAATGCGTTGGACTCTCTATGTTGGCTTGCAGTGAGTTTTTTCGGATCTTCACTCGGTGGCCTTGTGGTCAGCTTGTTGGGAATTCCTGCAAATTTTGCATTTGACAGCGCGTCCTTTTTTATCTCCGGATTTTTCTGTCTTCTTTTATTCCAATACAAACATCTTGGAAGAAGAGGAATTGATGATAGAAAAGTGGAACCACCAAAGAAAAGCAACAAAGAGGATACAGAAATGGAAGGACATTGAACAGTGAACATCCATCACCAGTAGTATTAGAGAGCTCGTCATCAGCTTCTCCTTCAACCAACGAGATGAGAGAACCAGTAATAGATCAGCACTCTGTGATTCACTCCTCGACAGGAATGTTAGACCACTATGACGATGTGAATACAGAATCTTCACCAAATATGGAAATGAAAGATCTAAAAAAAGAGGAACAAAAGACCATGCTCAATCATGAACAACAACACTCCAATCATCTCGATGATTCTCCAATCATGACAATATCCGATGCACAATCTACCACTTCCCATTCTAGAAAATCACGCAACTCTCTAATTCTGCTATTCATCGAGATGAAAAAGTATTTTATTGAACTATTTACTGGAATTGTCTTCTTTTCAAAGAATCCTTTAATTTTCACATCCACCATGGTCAAGGCATTTGCTGGATTTTTCTGGTTTGGTTGTGAAATTATTTTAATTCATCTCGTTTATCAAGTATTGGCCAAGAACGATAAGAGAATGGGAGGAATATATTTTGGTGTTGCCAAAATGTGGGCAGGAATTGGGAGTGGTCTATTTCCAGTCATTGTTGAAAGACTTCTTCCAAAAACTTATACCACACGTACACTGAGAGCCATTCTCATGTGTGCTGTCTTCTTATTCCCAGTTTGTTTTTCATTGTATTACGTTTCAATTATATTTGCAGTAGAAGAGGATACACGAGTTCTTGGATTTGCTGGAATTTGTCTTTCACATTTAATTTTAGGAATTTCAACAGGAAATCTCTGGAGCTATTCCATCACTCATTTACAAATGGTGTGTCCCAATGACTTTCTAGGAAGAGCCATGGCCTTAGATATGGGATTCTTTTTAAACATTTCAGATTTAATTGCCGTCTTTACATACGGAGTGATCTTGACAGATATTTTCAAATTCAGTGCCAGTCGTTTGGTATTGTTTCAATTGGTCACTAGTGTTGGAGCGGGTTGTTTGTTTGCTGTATGGTTTTTCATTTTCAGAAAGAATGTCAAATCGAGACAAGATTATTTGCAAGAAGTGTCTACATAAAAATAATAAATCATCAGATGATTGTAGAGTGGATGAAGAATACAAATAGTCCATTGTATGTCTGTTGTTGTTGTTGTTTATTGAAATTCCAGGTGATCCATGAACGATATTTTTCAATTTCCATTTTAAGAACATTTCTTAATTTGCCATAGAGAATCCAATGAATCATGGAACACCTGAGGTATCTCGAAATCATTCAAGTTGCAATGAATAGATTCACACACAAGCACACTCCACAAAATGACTCCATCCAACAACGTTTCTCTTCATCCTTCTCTGCATTTCGAACAGCAACAACAAGAACGATCGAAATCAAATCTAAAACCTCAACTCGTTCGAACTTGTAGCGATCATCATCCTACCAACCAACTTGTCAAAATTCAACTCTGGGATTTGATCATTCCTCATCATGATTCTTTCCAACCATTATTCGATCATGTTAACAATTCTCAAACTCCTTTCCATCGTGATTCTTTTCAACCTTGGTGTTACCAATTACTTCGATTCAAAATGTCTCCTCATACTCCTTCATGCCCTCCATCATTGAGTCGCCTTCTCAATGGTACCTCTTTTTCATGTCATTTCCATCATGTTCATTCCTTTCATGGAAATTTCAATTCTTCACACAACCACACGTGTTGGAATTCTTCGAACTCAACGAATACCAACACCAACACCATACCTTCAAACTCAACAAGTTCCATCTCCTTTCAATCTCCCTATGATGTGAAAATTTCATATTCTCTTCATTGTATTTTGATTAGTGATTATTTGGATCGATCGATTCATGTATTTGAATTAAATTCGAAACAATATCGATCGACATTGCGAATGCAATTGCATAATCCAAAATTTTTATGTATTGCCGAGTCGTATACGACAAGAATGGAAAAGTCAGGGAAATTTCATTCGAGAGATTTGGAAGATGCCTTAATAATGGATGTTGGAAGAGGAAGAATTCGAATGTTTGATTTGAGAAGATTACTGACACGTCATGCAAAATCAGTGCTAAATAATGAGCACGTTCATGTTGAAACAAGAACATTTTCACAACATGATGCCTTGGATGGAAATGAGAATTCTAGCCCAAACTATATATGGCAATCCAATGATTTTAAATTTCCAAGAGGAATTCAAGTTTCGATGGAAATTGGTCACGTGTTTGTATGTGACATGTTTGACGATTGTATTCAATGTTAAATATCATGAACGGAGAAAAGTTGAGTCGAATTGAAATTTCAAGACCTCATGCTGTGGACTTGTTGATTTCACATGACGCGAAGAATTCTTTTCAGAATCTGACTCTTGTCGTGAGTAGCGATCAGGATGGAATTCAAATCTTGACTCAGTCTCTACATGACCATTCAAATTCCTCCAATCTCCAATTCATGAACTCTTCTTGGATTCGTTCATCCATTCGATTTGAAGAAGAACGATTACCAGACGACGATGATTATGGTCCCATTCATCCATTTTCACTTGTAGTGGATAAAGTTGGTAATCCAATGACAACAGAAAAGCATGTCGTTGTGAGTGATAGTTATCATCACAGAATGAAAGTTTATTCTCTTCATACTGGAAAGCTTGTGAAAACTTTTGGAAAATTTGGAGAAGGACCATCGAATGAATTTAAATGCACTTTTGGATTGTGTTTGAATGAGTGGAGTGGAGAATTGTTGGTATGTGATTAATGGAATAGGCGAGTGTATGTTTTCAAGTAAGGCCGTGTTTCAAGTATTGCCATTAACTGAGTTTTAACATTAAGAGATTTAAAACTGGCTTGAACACCCATTTGAGCTTGAAACAAAATGCAAAAGTCTAAAGTTCAGGAATCAAGTTGTCATGTTAATTTTATTAAATCAGTCCTGGTTATTGACCACATCAACCAATTTACTTGGTCTCAGCCTTTCTCTTTTCCTTCAAAGCTTGGAGCTTCTTCTCATCTTCAAGTCTCTTTTGCTCTAATTGCTTCTTTCTTGGACCCAAGAACTTGTTCTTCTCGGCGGTGGTTTGGAATTTACCCTTACCAATCTTGGAGGTGGTATCAATGAACTTGAGGGTAATTTCTTCCTTCATGGATCTGTTCCATCTGTTTTCTGGAATCAAAGTCTTTCTCAAGGTGACAACTCTTCTGGCAGGACCTTGAACGTTACCCTTAATCATGACCCAATCGTTTTCAACAACACCATAGTTAACGAAACCTCCCATTGGGTTGATATCCTTCTCAGTCAAGTCAAAGTCAGTCATGGCAGACTTCTTTCCTTCTTCAGTGAGGAGAGACTTTCCAAGTCTGTAAATCTTCTTGTTTTGATGAACTCTGTGGAAGAAACCCTTTTGACCAGCTCTGGCAACAGAGAATGAAACTCTAGCTGGATGCCAAGCACCAATACAAGCAACCTTTCTCAAACCTCTGTGGGTCTTTCTTGGCAAACGTCTGACACCCCATCTAGAAACGACACCCTTGGTACCCTTACCCTTGGATACAGCAATCACATCAATTGGTTCGTCCTTGGCAAAGACAGCATCAACTGGAACAAGCTTTTCAAGGTTAGCCAAAGCAAACTTAATCTTTTCATCAATGTTACCACCGTTGATTTGAATTTCAGCAACGTGGGCCTTCTTGTTATTAATGGACTTGACCTTGGATGGTTGAGTGTGAGCAACAACTCTAATGACATCAGCATTCTTCTTAAAGCTCTCCAAAGTTTGAGTTCTCTTTTCTTGAGCAGCTCCTTCCAAGTATGACTTGGTGAGCTTGGTGAATGCTCTCTTCTTCGAGCGGCACCAGTCCTTGTAGAAGACTCTTCTGAATTCGTTACCAATGTTCTTAGCCCAGACAGTACCAATGGACTTCAAACCAGTTGGAGTTTGCTTGTAACCAACAACACCGACAACAACCATTGGTGGAGCTTCAACAATAGTAACTGCATCGAGACATTCCTTCTTGTGCAACTTGGAACCTGGCTTGTTAACTTCTCTGACAATGTGAGTCATACCAGCCTTGTAACCCAAGAAAGCAGTCATGTGGGACTTCTTGCTTTGGTCATCCTTTGGGTAGGCCTTGATTCTACCACGTTCTCTTCTGGCCTTCTTTCTTGGCAAGAAAGCAAGTGAACCGTGTCTTGGTGCTTCGAATTTTCTGTGAGACATATCGAGTATGTATTTTTTTTCAACGATTTTTTCAAAATGTTGGCAGTCAACTTGATTTTTGAGATTTTACAATGAAAGTTTCGGTATCACATTTTGCAAGTTCAACATAACCTTTGAATTTTCATCACCAACCTTGAGTAAGTGACCACATACAACAAGTGAGATCAATGGAGAATCGAGAACAAATATCACTTTTGAGATACTGAACAAGACTTCAATTCACAGGTTTTTACTTTGACAATGAAAAAGGCTTCAAAGAAAAATGCCGAACAACAATGAAGAGATTGATTCCACGCTCGGAGCCTCTGAGCTGACTCCAACAACAGCGTCATCTTCTTTACAACCTACAACACCACTATCAGCAATTTCTAACGTCTATCAATCACCATTGGATCATAATAATAGTGATCACCATGATGATCATCATGATAATAGATCTGATTACTACGGCCGAGAGCTTTCGGACTACTCTTCTTCTACAATGTCCAATGAGAATAGTAGCACAATTACCAATCATCCTCTGAATAACAATAGGAATAGTATTAATAATAGTGATCATGATCATTATAATATCAATGATAGAAACACAACCACCACTAGGAGACAAACAAACCGACTTGATTTTACTGCGTCCACTCCAGCAGCTTCCTCCACTTCTACGCAATCCCATGCACCTTCTTTCCAAACACCAACAAATACATCAACAATTTTCAATAATGACTTTTTCCAAAATCAAGAGGTGAGACGCATGCACAAGCAATTGCACTCAATATTATCAGATTTGTTTTCAGAGCATCACCATTTGTAACAAGATATTTGGAAGAGCTTTGTTACTATATCGGAATGCTTTTTTTTGTTTCTCTTGTATTGCTACATGCTGCTTTTTACATATCACCGCGTTTTTTAGGGAATCCATCACAACAATCATTAATGATGTCAACATTGACCAAATCAGAAATTGTAACAAATCATGTACAGCAAATCAAATTGATGAAAATTTTTTCGTCTCAAGAGGCTCAAAATTTGACCAAACATTTCTCGCCCTTATTAAGAACAGCACTTTTTGGAATTGACTTTCATGGATTTAATTCCAGCGCTGGCGGTATTTATCAGTACTACGATGATGGCCACAACAATTTTTTCAAAACTGGACAGGCACAATTATTGTCTGACGTATCTCTGGAAAATTCTTCTGCAACCCAAAAAGACATTCACATTAACAATACATTGGCGAATGATCATAACGTAGTTGTTAGCGAGACTGGAAAAATTGAAGAAAATTTCACACTCTCAACAACGTCACAACCTGCTTCCGTTCAACAAACACATGACAGCCAGGACTCAATACCTCATGATCCAACAAAAGACAACGACCATTCTGCTCACACATTATTAGATAATTTAGAGACTACTAATGGTGAAAAAACTCAACCCGCTGTGTTACCGAATGAGCAACAGCCCGAATCAAAAGAGGATATCAATTACATTGAGCTCGTCCAAAAAGTTTTCAACCTTTTGGAAATACTGTACTCGATTTATTTATTCGTCCATTTTCTGTAAAACCTCGTGTCACATGTTTAGAGCATAGAATTATGGAAAAGTATCGAGATGAACTCGTAAAAAGATATGAAAACAGAACAGATGCTCTCACTGCTGCTTCAGTTCATTCATTTCTTTTAAGGATGTATATTGAAGGCCCAATAGACAAGATGATGAAAGAATGGGAACGAGAATTGACTCTAAAAAAGAACAAGTCACAAACTTTCTCGAGTGATAGTACTTTATCAGCTCGTCATCCAAGCGATACCACACCACAATCACCTCCGAACGCGCAAGAAGATTCTACATCATCCATGCACCAAGAGACAACTCAAAGTGAACCTTACTCTACAGAAAACATCAAACAAGACTCATCTCAACCTGCTCTACAAAGCACCACCACAAATATTGACGTTGATACTTCTTCAACAGTAGAGACAGGAGAAAACAATTCAGACGACTTGACATTCTCTCTTGATTATACAATGGATGCTATCAAATCTTGGCTACTCTTCAAGTATCAACATTCTCCTCTCTTTAGTGATATTTTCAATGACACAAGATTATTTGTCTACACGACGAGAAGGGTTTATTTTATATTTCAAGAGAGACAAAGCAAACTTTATCTATTCCATCCTATACCATCACTATTGATTGGAATGACTCTTGCTTGTAAGTTTTTTTTTCGAAAAATGTCTATTCATTATTCAAAATTGTAATTATCATTTTTGGTGACATAATTGCAAATCATTTCAACACATATATTATCATTTTTTAACACAATTTCAAATTCAACACATATAGTGATATATTGGGAGGGACATTTCCATATCTTCTCTCCTTCTTAATTGGTTATGACACTACCATACTGAACACATTTGTGCAATATAATTACGATTTCAATCACAACTATACGATCAATAGTGGAGTATTATATTCCAGACAATACGATGAAATTTATTATTTGAAATACGGACAAACGGAAGTTGATGGTATGTTATCAAATACAAATTTATGTGAAATGTCGAGTCATTACAACACAATTACTTTTGTGAAATTATTTCAAAACTTACATTGTCTTAATTCATAGCCATTTCGAGAGGTCTTTTAAAAATTGCTCCATTAATAGTCTATCTGATGGTATTTGTTCTAGTATACTATTTGGTGAGGAGCACTCAAATGAACATTTTGAACATGATTGTCGACTTACAGATGAACGTATTTTCTGTACAACGTATGGCCCGTTCATTCATGGTTCACTTATTCCAAAATTTAATGTTTGTGCCAGTGTTATTGGGAGTTATTCACTTTATTGATAATTTCTTTTCTGGAGATCAGAAAGCTAGTTTATTAATATTTTGTCTCATTTGGCTTTCTCAAATATTCATGAACAATGTTTGTAACACAAGATTTAGCAAAGCAGTATTTCCATGGGTTTTGCACTTTTATTGTGCCACATATTTTATCTATTACTTTAGACATCCACATGGATATTCTTACCTTGCTTTTTCTGCTCTTTTCTCAATTATAGCTAGAAAGATGCTTTATTTGTGGAATACTTATGAATATAGTTACATTATCAATCATCATCCAATACTGAGAGATATTTTGGGAACTGGAGGAGGTGACGCAAATAATGATGATTTTGATATTTTCGATAGAATTAATGCAATGGTACATCAACGCCAAGGAGTGACTCCTCCTAGAATTCAAAATGTTCAGCAATTCGTATTTAATTTGACTGACATGAACAACGGCCATGCTATTGAGCAACAAATTGGTCGTTTCAATATTTCAATCTCTCTTGCTCAAAACAACAACAACAGCAACACTGTCAACCATGCACCAACAACTCCCACACATTAATAGCTACACACTCTCTTGAGGCTAGAAGCTTAGGACTCTTTTTGCAAAAGGTTTTGCTGGGAGAAAGGACGATTTTCACCAATAAAAACTTCGAACCTGAACGACGGAACTTCAAACTTTATTATTCTACACATTTCTTTTGCATGCAAACAAACAAATGATGCTCTCCAAAACTGGCCGACTGAACATCCATTTGTAATTTGGTGTTATCAAAGTTAGGGCATGAAATGTTCATAATCTCAACAGGCACGTCTACAAACTTTGGAATTTCATTGAAGAAATAAAAGCCTTGTTGATATGGCCAGCTCACAAGCTCCTGATACGAGTTGTCTCCGCACACAAAGATTCGGTTATCGTTTGTCACAAAGAACGAATGATCAAATTTGGCAAATGCCTGCATGATTTCTCTTCTGCAAAATGGATGTATTTCATAGTCGTTGGTTTGAGGTTGGAAATTGATTTTTGAGGGTAAGAATACAGCTTGTTCTTCTGTTTTAATTCCTAGTTGACCCTTAGATGCTTGACCAACACAGTAAAGGAAGAATTGAGATGTCACAAATAGAGAATGATTGGCTCCTGCAGCTATTTGAGCGACCGGATATCTGTTAAATAGCATGGATGGTAACTCAGAAGGAACACAAACTCTCTTGACTCTCTCAAAACCACATCTATGCATGAATCAGGAGTAAAATTATATTGAATAGCCGTTTCCACCAGAAATTGGATTGAATTGGATTTGTTCATTTAGAATAATTCGAAATGATACTACTTCAATCTACTTACTGCCCAAATCTATTATCTCCACATGTAAATACTCTTCCTGAGTGTGTCAAGATGATAGTGTGGTGGTCTCCACACTTGACATCTTTGAGCACTTCATCACTAAATGTTGCGACCTTGGTTAGTAATGGAATAACTTCTCTGTGATCATCAATACCACACTGCTTATGTACATTAGATCCACATGCGTACAACTCTCCCTCGTGGATAGCAATGGTGTGCTTACCACCTGCCGCAATTTTGGAAATTGGAGTTTCGACTTCTTCCCATTTGGCTGCTGATATTAGAGTTATGGGATTGGTATGTCCTAATGCAAGTTGACCATGACTATTGGATCCATAGACATACAACTTTCCGTCACTTTTCAACATCAAGTAGTGACATTCATCTTCGTTGCCATTACAATCAATGTCTACAACGCTGTCCAAGTCCAATTCAGTCAAGCATGCACTTTGTGGGCCTCCTAAAATGAAAACTCTTCCCTCCTTGCTTAATAACATGCTGGTAGAGGAGGTGCAACAGACCTTTTGAATAGATGGAACTGTTTCGAAAACTGAATTGATGTCATCCAAAAATCCAAGAGTGGGATGTAATTGACAATGTTGCATTCCAGTTTGGTGGTTGAAATTGCATCCAGCGACTACAAGAGCACTCTCACATTCGTTTTCATCTTCCACACTCTGAGAGAAGTTGTTTAAGAGACTTCCAGTAGGTATGAATTGTCTGAACTCGTCAAAGTATGGATGTTGTAAAATTTGTTCAGCGGTCAGTCGTTTCTCTTGATTAATACACAGCATTCCTCTCAGAAGATCAATCTCGTCCTTGGTACATGCTCCAAACACGTAATCCAAATGTCTATCTTGAGAGACGTCAAAACCCTTGTCTTGAATTAATTGATCTACAAATGCTTTTACATTACGTTGCTGGGAACACCAATCAGATGAGGTTGGTCTTCCAAACAAGTTAATAATACTTTCCCAAACCTCAGATGATGTTGATCCTTTGAAAATGGGAATTCCTCGTAGAAGAAATGCGAATATTGTGCCCAGAGTCCAAATATTGTTAACTTGTCCACTATTATCGCCTCCGGTGACGTCTCTGAAAATTCTTTCATTCTTGCTGGCAAACACATAGTCTCTGGAATAAGTTTTGAGAGGACTAAAGTTCAGAGTTGAGCTCATATTTCCCAAACTTCTTCTTGGGGTACGAGGTGAAGTAGGTGCTCTTGGTGATTTGGGACTTTCGAATATGGATGCATTTCTATGATCGGCAGACTTTGGCGAAGACACTCCTCCCTCAGAGCGTCTTCTTGGAGTTGGCATCCAACTATATACAGAGTCATCTTTTGTATAACCAGTGACTCCTGTTAAATCAATTAAACCAACTTTACATCCATTTCCGACCACAATGACGTGCGGATCCACACAAAATCTATGTAGGGTTTGATGAACCAAACCAGCCTTATGAAGCTCATTCAAGGCACAAACCAATTGGAAAAATACATATTTTCGCTGTTCATTATTAAGCATTCCATCGAGGATCGCATCGACGAGTGAGAGTTCTGTTGCATGAAGGGAAATATTCAATATTGACCATGAGTGAGTTTCATTCAGCATTGTTTTATCCAGTAATGATGTCATGATGGTTGGAATTACAGTTCGAAAATCCATTTTCGTTCATTGATGATGTGTATCGATGGCCAACATTAAGAAACTGTGTTTCAAACAACACTATCTCCCAAATATTACTTACGCATATCAGCCTCGGAAAACACGAGATACGTTGCATGGCCATCACTCTCCGGAATCACTCTCTCAGGTTGAATAATGTTCTCTTGATGGAACGATTGAACGAGTTGAACGTTCTTGAAACACTTTTCTTGATTATCCACTGGGTTCTTCTCATAGGGAATGGTGAGCTGGTCCACTACTTTATGCCCGACCTTCATGATCAATACTTCCTTATCTTGTATGTTCTTATCCCGAGCAGTGAATAATTCAATTTGAGGCACTCTTCTCAAATTATCTCCAAGAACGGCTTGATCACTCTCCAATACTCTCGTAAAATTCTCGTATTTACTTTTAATCTCCTTTCCCAGTGTTGAGAGCATGTACTTGTAGCTGCCAGCGCTAATAGGGCTTCCCTTATTCGCAATTGTATTGTGGAGGTTGTTGAGCAAAATGTCGGCATTAATATAATTTGCAACCTCGAGGGCGTATCCTTTGTTCATCATTTGCAAAGGTTTTGGGGCTGATGATGAGAGAGAGGAAACACAAAGGTAGATACACGGAAGAAAATGGCTCTTCTTTTTTTGAATGAAACGAAATAAAATTACGAGGATGGAAAGCACAAAATTCAAAAATGGATTAATGTTTCTGTGCAGGCGATGTGGGCCTGGGAGATAACCCACCACGAGATAGGTGTTTGGTTCTCATGACAGAGGGGTTGATGATGCACCTTGCTCAAAAGTTCACTGTCTCTCAAAGATCCACAACAAAAGCTGATGACTTTATTGTTGGGACTGTTCGAGCCTCTTTCTCTCTAATTCCTGAAGGAGGTAATCCTTAAATTGAGCTTTGGAATTGAGAGCTCTATACTCGTGGTAAGTGATCATAATGTAATATAGTTCGCTGATGGAAATTTTGGTGATAGCAAATAGGTGTAGGATATCCTCCATCTCTTTCTTCAAGTCTTCATTCTTGAATGTTGAATAGTGGAGAACAGAGTTGGTCACTCTGGCTGCACAGCACTGTTGAGTTAATTTCAAGGTGATGTCACCACCAAATGCACCGCATCCCCAATTACCGGTAGTTATATCTGTATTATTCATGTTCTTAAATCCCAAGTAGGCCTTATTGAGGTCACGTTTGATCATTTCAGGTTGGAAGTGTCTTTTAGGAATGGCATCCATAATGATAATATCAATGGTGTGACCTCGTGGCTCAAAAAGACCTGTAAATTTAAATGTGTTCAGGTATCCTGTATACTCACTGTAACGAACAATATTTTTCATAATGATAATTTCCGAGTCGGAAAGAGACTCACAAATGAGAAGAGTCAAAAAGCTTTCAGGACAGCAGCTGAACAGAACTGGATGTGTGTAAAACATTTGTATAAATATCATGTATGTAAAGACAGCAATAGGTGTGTTTTGAATATGTTGATAAGTTTTTCATGAAATATTAAATCTTGTCACATACCTTCTTCTTGAGTAAGGGATGGAATAATGGAACCAATATGAATGAATCGGTTGGCAAAGTCAACAAATCCACGGCATGGAACATCTTCCATACGACCGCTGTGCACCCGAACCATGTTCTTTGTGGCATCCTCATCAGAAAAGTCAATATTTTTCATTTCCAACCAATTGGGTTCATCTTCTGGAAGCAGATTGTATCGGGTAAAGATGATATCTTCTCGCTGATTGCATAACTTGTCTCCATCAATCGCTTGTTGATAGAAATAGCTGAGCTGACAAATAATTCTTTCAACAGCTTCGTCCAAACGACAAACATACAATCTATTAAAATCCAAAACACCATAATCTTTTTCCTTTTCCTTTTGGAAGTGATTGTGAATTTCCGAAGAAATGTTCAAAAAGAACGCATTCGCTAGAATACATCTCACATATTTTGGTGGAATTGAGAGAGAGACGGACTGATTCATTTCCATGAGAGGAAGCTTCTCAATCAATTCACTTTCAGGCACCTCCAATGCATAGAACGCGATTTTTGGAAGTAAATCCCGATAAAAGTCAAAATTCTTTGAAATTTCTCCCTCATTTCTATTGCGAATGTATTCCGTAAAGTTATCAATGGCAACCTCAAGACCAGGAAAGCCAAATCTCTTCTTGGATGGATCATTTTGGAACAAGTGCAAAATGTCTTTCAATTCTTCAAATTCCTCCATCTCTTCAATGCCTTCAAGGATGGCTTTCGAAATTTCTGTTCCTTTCAAAAAGAAGTGATATTTGAAGGGAGCATGAGGAATGAAATCCAATGATCTTGATGATGAAGGAGTCAATGGTTCTTCGCTTCCATCATTATGTCCATCATTATGAGGTTCGGTTGATGATATCATTTCCGTAGTTAAAAATTTCCAAATCAAGAAAATAATAAATGATGAGGTTCGGCTCAACCCGTTCAATAAATTCTCAATATTTGTTGTTGTTGTTGTTTCAAAACAATAAATTTCTCTCTGCAACACTATTACGCAAAGTTTTTCGTGAAGATGATGCGAGGTTACAGCAGTGTAGGTGGTACAGAATAAAAAGCGGCGTCCAAAATAAGTTTATCACTGTTTCAACACTTCTGTTCAATCGTGAAAAGAGCAACAAAGCAAGTTCTCAATGGGATGCACAAGCGAGAGTTCTTGATGTTGTATCGTCGCAATATTTTTTGTGGACAACCGAATTGACAATAACAACGACAGGAAGTCGTTGTTGTTTATCCGACCATATTCATCCCATCAGTGTGGACGGATGGTTGAATCATGGGAGAATCATGATGATGTGAGTTGGCGCGTTGCACAAAAAAGAATAAAATTGTGGCGACTCTAGAATGAAACACTCATTCCGAAATGCAAAGTTCCAACCAGCTCAAAGAGATCCTTACTGTAAAATCCTTAACAATGAACAAAAACACCTTTCAAAAAACATAATTCACTCTCTTATTCTCTAATTGAAAGGTAATCAAAAGCATCCGTTTTGATTGGAACAACCTCAAGAAAAAAAATGAAACAATTATCATCCACATTCAATTATGGAAGAGCTGCTGTTGAGGGTGCTATGTCTGGGTTCAACAAATGTCCTGCACAACAATACTCACTCCGATGCTCTTCGGACCACAAAATTCTCTTAAAAAGTCTTCATGTATCATCGTTAACGATGAGAAGGTCTTCCTCCATGTTGTTGTTGTTATCTCATCACACAACATTTCTAAATGTTCATAATTTTGGAAAACAGGTGTGCTCGGGATTTTCGTCTTCCTCATCGTTATCGACCGAAAAATGTTTTTCAATGAGTATGAACAAGCAATTGACGACTATGGCTTCTAGCAAAACAAACAATTCGAATATTAAAAAGCCTAGCACAACCACCTCTGCCACCACCACTCCTAACTCTAATTCGAAAAAAGAAAGAAAGGTACAAACACTTTCCAAGCAAGATCATCAACAAAAAAAGTCAACAACCAATGAAATGAACGAACAATACAAAAGTGTTCTTTTCTCTACATTATTTAGTGTAGACAACAAACTACAAAAAGAGACACTTCTTTCCGAAACAAAGGATTTTCTGTTAAACAAAATGGATGACCAAGAGGCTATAGCCACAATTTCAAAAAGGCTTGACATTTTTTCCAAAGAAGACATCAAAGACATTATTCACTTTCTTGATGAACAGAATTTATTGATTCCAGCAACAAAAAAACAACTCGCTCACACAATGTTGACAAAAATTTTCAATTGTGCAGGACCAGAAGAAAAAAGTTTCCTCATTGACAAGTGCTTATTTTCACAGAATTTTATCGAAATGTGTAGTGGACGATTTTCAGGTGCGACTGTGAACTCCTTCATTCCTGGATTTAATTTATTAGAGATGAAAAAATTACTAAATCTCCTCCAAGGAAACACAATTGTGGAATTAACAAAAAGTGCAGGGGGAACGTTTATTTTAGAAACATTGGTCAACAATTTGCATGATCCTTCCTTGAAACAAGAATATTTTAAACTGATAGAGCCACTTTATGCAACATTGACGACTGACCAGAATGGAAACTATCTTGTACAGAATTGTATTAATCACATGAACGCAGATGAACGTATTCGATTTATTGACCTACTTTCTCAAGATTTTAAATATCTGTGCCAAACCAGCGAGGGCTGTATTGTGGCGAGACATTTATTGAAAACGTCAACAACTTCTGTAGTACGACATTTTTTTACAACCATACTCCTACCAGATATTAAGATTTTTGCTTGTGACAAGTTCAGCAATTTCATCATTGAGGAAAACTTTTCCAAAATCTATCACATTGAACGACGACAAGTGTTGGAAGGAATCAGCACCCATCTTGTTGAAATTTCGAGTACCACTCATGGCAGCATGTTTTTAAAACAGTTATTTCAAATGATTGAGAGAAGTGAAGAATTGATGATCCTGTCCAGTGCAGTGAAGAATAATATTCTGGAGCTCTCCAAGAATGCTACATCGTTTTTTGTTGTGGATGAATGGTTCAAACGAGTACTCAAAGTTACCAATTTACGAAAAGAACTTTCGAATGCAGTGACTTCTCATGTTCTCTCCATGATTCAACATGCTCATGGATCTGTGATTGTGCAAAATGTGTTTAAGAGTGAGAGCGTGGATCGAAGTGAGCTTGAAGGAATGGTTTATATTCTTTTGAATCATTTTGATCGAATTCTCAAAGATCCAAAATCGTCCGCAGTATTGAAAGCTGTTGTGGAAAAGGGATTTGCAGAGGTGATATTCTTGAAAATGAAGGGCAAACATTTGAGCTTGCTCAAGACTTGCATGCATCATTTGTGATTTGTGCGTGTTTACAACATGGCAAGCAAGGCACTGTGGTCCAAATTTTGAGGGATTGTTGTTGGATTCTACAGGTGTTGTTGCTGACACGAGCTCGTCAGATACGCGAACCAATCCGTCCATTCCATTGTCCAAAGAAAAAGTTCTCACTCTTTGCCGACATGAGCCCTCTACATTTGTCATGCTGATGTGTTGAAGGGCATTGAAAAATTTGCTATCAAAGATCAAAACTGGGAGCAGCTCCTCAACCGTTTAGCAAACATCATTACCGAGTCATCACAAACCATCCAGAGTCACAAGCTCCTGAAACTCGCCAAACAAATTTTAAACCAAACGTCTAACAGTGAGCAATAAATTTTGTTTAATGATGAGGTTCCTTACTGGAATTTTCACGCCTTATAGTTGACGTAAATATTTGAAGCAATGAAAAAAGGTTCCATATGGAAAATCAAAATAAATTAAAGATTGAATTGCTTGTGATACAGCTTGTAGGCCTTCAAGGCAATGTCTCCATTTCTGTCAAATTGTTGCAACACATCGATCCAAGAGAGTGGAATACTAGAACTTCCGTAAATGGCTCCACACAAACTACCTGTCACAGCTGTATAGCTATCGGAATCTCCTCTCATATTTGCAGATTTAAGCATGGCATCCACAAAGTTGTCGGTTGTGTAGACACAGTGCAAAGCCATTGCTACAGCGTCCATGGCATACGAGCCCTATATTGTGGAAATACGAGAAAAACGTCAAAATTTTGTGTAAACAATTGTTTCGCGAAAAATTGACAAATTCAAGTTGTTTCAGTTGTCATAATTGTTGTTAAATTCTAACTTACCACATAACCTGGCTGTTGCTTTGCTCGAGTTCTGCAAAATTCAAAATCTGGATCCTTCCAATTCCAATTTCTATCGTCAACATTAAGATGAGCATTGGATTCATGTTTTTCCTCTTTCATGGATTTACACAAACACTGCACACTGTACAAGTCGGTCTGGAATTCACTCAAGTCTTCCAGAACGTCCTTCTTTGAGTCAGCTCTGTTAATGGCATTTACAGTAATAAATGCAAGTAATCGACACAATTCAGCAGCTTCTTCTCCCTGATGAGTAGTTTTGCTCTGTGCACTCGCCACAGCCATGGCCTTGTTTCGATCATCATGGTACATGACAGGAACAGGTGAATGTCTCATCACACTACCATTTCCACTCGTATTCTTGTCACCTGATTCAGTGAATTCAATCGTTGGATCTTCGAGGAATTCAGTCATGGACATGGAAATGTTTCCTCCAAGTCCAACTGAACTTCGTTGTCGATCAGAAAGATCCGCGCTAAATCCAAAAGCATTGCAATAACCAAGATACCACCAATTCACAAATCTATGCAAAGTGTAATGGTCAGTTGAATTGTTCATTGCATTGAACCAAGTTGAAAAGCCAAGGTTAGGAAATAAAAGAGTTAACTCTAAATTTGTCGTCATGCACTCACCTTGTTCTCAAATCCAAAGCATTAAAATCTTGTTTCACAAGAAGAGAATCAGCTATACAAAGTGCCATGGAAAAATCATCCGTCCATTGACCTGGTTTCAAACCGAACCGATTGTAATTAGACTTTTGCCAAATTTCAGCATGATCTAAGCCTGTCAATTCCAAAACATTGTATCGAACTGGACTAAATTCCAAAGGAGCACCTAATGCATCTCCAATGGCCTTTCGTATGGGAAAATTTCAAATCAAGAAGTCAATATTTCCAGCCAATAGGTAATCATATAAAGGTTTTCAATTACGAAATGGAAGTCAAAAAGTTCATCATGAAAATATACATGCCAAACAAACCGATTCAATCGACGATCATCATCATTGGATCATGAACAAAAGCAACACACTTACATTTCCCAGTATACATCCCAAGGCACGATCTTCCTTCGGATCTAACAATTTGTTTCTCAACTTTTGTTGAACGAGTTCTCTTTCGGATTTTATCTGTTCATCATCTCCGAGAATGGAAACACCAGACAAAGCATAAGAAGCATATTTATTACTCTTGATCACTTCTACAGCTTGTTTTGAGCTAGAAAAGCAAGCTTCAATAGCTTGTTCTCTTGTGGCAAATAATAATTTACCAGAGGATTGTGCGTTTCCCATAATAATATGTTTCAAGAATTTTTTTATTCAAATCTTCCTTGTAAAAATAGATGGAAGAAGTGGAACTTGGAACAACAACGGCGAAGACACTGTAAGAAAGGTTGTAACACAAGGACCGTTTAATTTTTACAATTGTTACTGCAGTAAAAACTTTAAAACCATTACTTGGTTTTGTGTTGCATAGTTGCAGCTTGATAAATTCCTTTCAAAACTCCATAACCCCAAATCAGCACAATGGCAGGAAAAACAATCCACACAAACGAAGGAAGGAAATACAAGGTAATAAAGGTAGGCCAATCGTTATGAGCTGTAAATTCAAAGCCTCCACAAATATCCACCAACATGTAGAGAACAGTTTTGGAAAAACTCATCAATGAAGCACTCAAAATCAATAAAAATCCATCGAAAGACTTTCTTCGAATTAGACCAAGAATGACCATTGCAATTTCAATAATGTTCATGATGGATTGAGCGACCACAAAACCATTATCGAGTTGACCATAGGATTTGTCTACTTGAATATAGAGATCATCTGTGAAATTATTGTTCACATTGCAATTTCAATAATTAAATGTTTCAAAATGTTTGGAGAACATAAAGATCGGAATAATGGTCAATACAAAGACAGGAGTAATGGTCAATCCGAGACGAGAGTATGTGGAAAGAAGAAGAATCAGTATCCGTGTCACTTTCATGATTCACTGAAACAACAAGAAAAGTATGACTTACATGGAGCCCAAAATGCAAACAAATCACCTCCCTTCATGGTTCTGTTTCAGGTTATGACGATTTTCATCGTATGATAGGTGTAAATACATTTTCATGCAATGTAACAACACATACCTTGGACGTAACAACACAAAGGTATAGTCCCATGTCTAGAATAGTGATGATCATGATGAATAAGTGTGAGTTTGTTTTTGAAATTCCCCATAGGGATACTCCCACAAGATGATGTACATACAGTGACGAAAATTTGAGCAACGAGCCAGATGGTAATAATTAAAGGGTATTCGAATGAAATGATGGCAGCCATTTTTTTGTTGTTGCTTTTCGGAAATGCTCGATGTTGTTTCGCAGTTCGATCAGGTGTCGTACTGAGCTCGTCTACAATTATTATTTATCGGCAAGCACATCAAATACATGGCATAATTGTTGAGATTTTTATTGGTCTTCCTCTCATTTAGATTTGAGAACTTCTCATGACATATTCTTGCATTGCTTTGATCCAATCTCCATTGTTAGCTTCCAAAATTTCAACCAATTCATCCTTGTTATTGTCTTTGAGAATTGCAAATTGTTTTAAATTGTCAAGTTGAAGGCTGTACTTTTCGTAGAGAGCTTGCATTCTGCTTTGATCAAAAGTTGATTCTTCCATATCGTCTTCATCGTCACTCACATCATGGATGCCCTCAATCGAAAGATCATTGGAGCTTTGTGGAGGTAATGGTTGTTGCTGTTGTTGCGGTGGCACTTGCTGCTGAGGCAGTGTTGGGAATAGTGGTTGTTGTTGAACTTGTGGTGGCACTTGCTGTTGAGGCAAAACATTCAATTCAAACCAGCATAAATGGCCAAATTGTTCCTTACCAGAAGCCAATCGGAAATAGCCCTTAGTCAGGCCCGGCTTCTTTGGAACAAAGGTGACACTAGCTTCAACGTCTAATATTGAGTTGAGAATGATGAACAATGATTCGTGTGAATGGTAAAATATTTCAAGAATTGATACAATAATGTAGAATCGAAAATATAAAACGTTAACATTGAAAATGTGTGTCACAACATTTGAAAAACATACCTTGACCAGGCAATGCTCTTGGAACATGAGAATAACGAATTTCATAAGAAGGGTTCTCGTCCTTACACAGCAAACAAACATTTTCTGGCCATTGATTTTGTCCAGTGTTTCTAATGAGCCAAGTCTTGGTGACTGGTTGATTCATAGGAACATCCGAGCCATCAGGAAAGGATATATCTCTTATGAATTTACTTGACCAATGAGAGGCGTCTACCGAGGTATTGACCGCAGCAAAATTCCAAGATTGTTCTACATTTTGAGGAGGTTGTTGAGCCACTTGCTGTTGTATTGGTTGCTGAGGTTGAGCTTGAACTGGCAACGGCTGTTGTGGAAGAACGTTAGTTTGTTGAGTTGGTGTTTGCTTTTGTGGAGAGGTTGGTCTCACTACTTGCTGGGTTGGAGTCGATGATCGTGGTGGCTGTTGTTGTTGCAATCCCAAAGGGAGGCCCAATGGTTGTTGTGGTTGCTGTTGTTGATGTTGTACGAGAGGCCTTGCTTGTGTAGATTGCTGTGGCAATGAGGGTTTTGATGATGGTTGCTTCTTTTCAGCAATTTCAAGATACAAAACAGGAGAAGAAAAGTGGCGCAAGGCTTCTTTCCATTCATCCTCGTTGGTTGTAGTGATCAAATCTCCCTCATCATCCTTGTATTTAATCAACGAATTTTCTCGAGTAATACTCGCATGAAAGTTTATACTCAGTATTTGAAATAACTGATCGAGTGTAAGATTAATACCTTGGAATCTCCGAATACTATCTTTATATTTAGCCTTGATATTAATAGGAATTCCTGATGGTTGTAGGCCTTGTTGTGATTGCATGGTGATTCAACTGCTGCTGGCGTGATGGTATTCCAGAAACACGAGCGAGATGATAAAACACGTTCGAGTATTTTTTTAATTTATTGCGGGTGATGTTTTCTCGTGTTCGAATTTGTGTCTAATTTTGATACAATTCCTTTCCCATGTTCACTTTCACAACAAAATTGATGTTACTCCCTTAATAAAACATTAGAATACAAGGAACACTTCAATATTGAAAGAAGGAATGTTGGTTTTTTCAAATTTTAATAGAGGGCAAAGCATATGATGACTCAAACATTTTCACTGCATTTGTCTACTACTTTGAATCACTTCAATCGAAATGACAATCGTCAACACACACACGGTAAATAAAGCAATAAATTTGTACAGAGACAAGATGGTATCAGCCGTCAAATGACCTGCTCGTATCTGTGTACACAATATGATAAATTCTTGCCACATGGTTTCAACTTCATGTTTCACAAGAGGCCACTCTTTGGATAAGTCCTGTTCCAGTGGTGATTCAAACATGTTAATTTCGTCTTCCATTTCATTGTCGAGCTGTTCTTTAGGTGGAGGAGGTTCTTGATGACTATCTCGATCACTTGTTACCATGTCATTCGCAATGATTTGTTCATTGATTTCATTGGTTAGTTCTTCCTGTTCAATAACGGTCTCTTCTTGCACTTCATGATGTTTTGGTTCCTTCTCGTGTTGATGATGAGGAAGAACAAATTGTGAAGGAGGTAAATACGCAGCGTTGATATTTTGCATGTTTTTTGTTTGTTCTCTTGTTACTAAAACCAATACATGTTTTAGAAAAACACATTCTGAGTTTGATCCAAACAAAACAACCAAAACATGGTGAAAAGTTAATTTGAAAAATTTCCTTTTGTAGTAATTGTAGAAGAAGGAATTAAATGAACATCAATCGATGAAGGAATTCCTTGCCATTGGAAAGCTTTTGTGTGGTGCACTTGCTATCACGTACTGAATTCCTTTTAATAGATTCCCATCAACCAATAAGAGACTTCCCAACCTCTAAAAAATGCTCCAACGTCCTGCGGGCTTTTCATCCACCATCACTCCGAATGCTCGAGATGAATTACAAAATACGACTCTGAATGAAGGATCTTCCTCCTCGAATTCTGAACGGTGTATTCAGCTCCAGAATTCTAACCATGAGAATGCGGTATGCTAAAGCCTCGAGGGTATCAATTGGAGTTATTTGAACAGGCAAAAAAAGAAAATGTTGCTGTGGTGTTAGACACAGGAACGGGTAAAACAATGATTGCTCTACTTTTGACTCATTATATGCTCTTTCCAGAAAAAAAGGCTACCACCGACAACTCACTGATTGTTTTTATTGCCGAGAACAAAATTTTAGTGACTCAACAATTTAACTTTATAACCAACGGATTAAAACAGTTACAAAAAATGGATCTCTTCAATTCAACAGAAAATTTGGACATGAGCAAACAAATCGATTCAGACGTTGATGAAATGTGTTCATGTTATGTTGGAGGAGAAAGTGGCTTACTGCCAAAAATAATCTCACAAAAATTGTTACAGAAAAAGAGATTTATTGCAACAACAGCCCAATTTCTTCACAACATGCTGAGCCATAATGCTCTTAAAATGGAACAAATTTCTCTGCTCATTATTGACGAATGCCACCATTGTGGAGAAGGAGATCATCCATACAAGAGTATCATGTCCCAATTTTATCGCCCACTCAGGGAGGAATTACGGCCGAAAATATTTGGCATGACAGCTTCAGCAATCAATTGTAAAGGAAATGTAACAGAAAAAGCAATTCAACAAAAATTGGAGTTGGAATATTCCTTGGATTGTAAATTGACCACTATTATGTCTGGGACAGACTTGTACAACGAATTATTGGAACACACAAATTTACCAGAAGAGTCTGTAATACTTTATAAGCACAATATTGACATTGATAGTGACTTTGTCGAAAAATTTGAAGATTTTCTGCTGCATACCATAAAACGCATAGTGTCAAGAAAGGAGATTATGAACGCTGATGATTTAGAAGGAATTCTCCAAAAACTAAGCGTTGACGTGCTATACCTTTATCATGAGCTTGGTGCTTGGGCAATAGAAGAATACTTTAACCTTCTTTTTGAAAACATTGAATACTCGACTGTCTCTCCTCCCATTTCCATTGAACAACAAGATGAGCACAAAGCAATGTCGGATGCATATGAAAACTTTAAATTCTTGCACGGAAAGGCTGTGGTTGAGGCATCTTCTTCTCGCCATTTAGAATTACAGGTTGACAAGAGCTTGAAAAAAGAAATTATGCAATCCTTACACACATTTTTGCAAGGCACAGAAACGTTTATGGAGAGCTCGAAAACAACTCGCTTGATGGAACTATTGCAACAGAATTATTGGAGTGATGACGGCGAAATATTTAATGATTGGGTGAGAGGCCTGGTATTTTGTGAAAGAAGAATCGCAACTGTGCTCCTTTCCAAGTACTGTTCTCGTAATTTAGGCCTCAACTGTGACTTTATTGTGGGCCACAACGCTGATACAGGCAAAAAATCATTAGGGTTAAAGGGAGCCGCAACACCTTCAAAGCAACAGAACAAAATTGAATCATTCAGGAAGGGTCTCGTCAACTGTCTATTCTGCACTAATGTTGTTGAAGAAGGTTTCGACGTTCCAGCATGTAATTTGGTTATTCGTTTTGATCCCTTCAATGATTATCTTAGAGCCTATATTCAAAGCAGAGGAAGAGCCAGAAAAAAGGGAAGCAAATTCATCATTATGATAGACGCAGAAGACGAAAAGCAACGAATATTTTGTTCCAAACGAAAAGAGGTGCACACTCAAATGCAACAGTTAATTTGTGCCGATCATTCTGAAGAACGACAAAATTTTGTTCCTACCCAAATACCCTCCACTGAATATGTGACTCCAACAGGGGCAAAAGCAACTCTTACCTCAAGCATCCAAATTGTGAACCGGTATTATAGCTTGCGTTCAGGTTCTTACTATGAGAAAAAGCCCAACTTTGAAGTTTATGAATATGGAGGAGAATATATCACTGACTTACCCTTCCTCATCACTGTTCAGTACAACCACGTACAATTGTTAATAACGAGGTGGATGACCCTCCATACTTTCGATGGAACAAAACGGACTCTAAGAGGTACTGTGCTCTGAAAGCAGTCAAATTACTTCATCAATACAAGGAATTGGATGATAATTTATTTCCATATGATCCTAACCAAGAGAATATTTCTATCCCACAACAAGAGCCAGTACCCTATGACAAGACAAAACAAAAAAGTAAGGTTCCAAAAGCGTTGGATGGGAGCAATGTTTCAACACTTGGTAGTCAGCTTGAAATTTTCCTTTATGACATTTTAATGGACGATGTTGACACCAATTTTCAGTTTATTTTACCAAAAAGAATTGACAATGAGGTTGAAGATTTGTTACGGATTGAGATTAAAGGCTCACGTAAAGTAGTATTGCAATATTCAACGTCGAGAGTTGTAGACGCAGAGTGGGTTCGAAAAAGTTTCGAGCATCATGATTTCATGTTCCGTAAATTATCCAAACTCAGTCGCTCGAACGCTACAGATGAATATGAAAACTCTGTGAGACAATGGAGCTTTTTTGTGTTACCCAAGAATATGGAGGAGCACTTTACTAACGTTCCATTATTAGACCTTATTAAGAAAAAAAGAAATGACAATGAAACGTGGATCAAGGATATGGTTCTAGAGACGAGTTATAACCACAAAATTTATTTGGCCAACCGAGTACGGTACGATTTAAATCCTAATGCAACATTTTCAGCTCCTGAGTTTTCCTCTTACAAAGATTTTTGTGAAAAACGTTGGAACTTGGTACTCAAGGACTTGAATCAGCCCCTTGTTGAAGCATATCAGCCAAAATTTTCATCTCTTGGTAGAAATCATACCGAAGTTCATTCTGATTCAACAGTCATGCTAGTTCCTGAATTTGTAAATGCGTGCTCTTTCTCAGTAGAAATGATGAGTTTCATCAGAAATATACCAGAAATTCTGTACAATCTGAGACATCGATTACTCACAATTGAACTTTCCAAAACACTCGATTTTTATGAGCCATTGAGACAGCTCAAAGATGTTGACAAAACTTTGGACGGGCTCAATTTGCTTCAAGAAGCAATAACAGCAAAGCGGACTAATTTGAAAGTTAACTATGAAAAGTTAGAATTCTATGGCGACACTATCCTGAAATACGTCACTTGCAAGAAGTTGTTCTTTTCATTCCCAGATTTGATGCCTGGAGCCTTGTCAAGGTTGAAGCAACAGCTTGTTAGTAATGAATATCTAGCGAACGCTTTCATAAGTAGCAATCTTGAAAAATTCATACTTACAGAACCCCTTTCGCATGGCCTCATTGTCAACAACTTGACACCATTCTCAGAGAATAGCTTTGAGGATTGGGAGGAAATGAGAAACCAAGACATGAAGAAGAAAGTCTTGGCAGATGTCGTTGAGAGTATTATTGGATTTTGTTATCTTCAATTTGAAGACATGAGCTATGTAGAACGCTTTTTAGACCGAATTGGCTTCCGCTTTCCAGATAAGAACAATGTCGAATATTTTGAAGCGATTCCCTCCAGCACAAAAAAAGACGTTTTGGAAAAGTTATTCAAGATCACAGAACGTGAAGTGCTTTCTAAGGTTGAATGGCAAATTTCGTACATTTTCAATGACAAGAAACTTTTATTGGAAGCTCTTATCCATGCTTCGTACCATTCCAAAGTGAACTATGAACGATTTGAATTCTTGGGTGATGCTATTCTTGACATGATTATTACCAAACGTATTATCCACGAGTTTTATGTAAAACCAAAGAACGACCATAGCATCATCCCTCCTGATTTACCAAGCATGAATGAACTTCGTGAGAGAATTATTAAGAATCAATCATTTACAGCCATCGCTAATAGTTTAAGACTTTTTGACTATATCATCTTTTCTGGAGAAGACATTACCCACAATATTCTTACATTTATAACTTCGAACGATCAAGAAAATGTAATGGTAAAAATTTTGAGTGACGCTGTAGAAAGTATTGCAGCAGCTATTTATTTAGACAATGATCATTGTTTGGAAAGCGTGGAAGTTGTATTTGACACTTTTTGGGAACCCTTCTTAAACGCTGAATTTGAAAAGACAAGAATCAAAGCACGTCAAAGTGTACAAATTCTCTCTGCACTTTCCAGCGAGTTTGAGAACACTATAGAAAGTTCTGAAATTACTCTCTTCTTGATGAAAAATATGAATCGAGATCCATCGATTGTGTTAAACGAGGTGTTACAGAAATATATATGGCTCAAATACCCTAATGACGGTAGCAACTTAATTTTTCAAGAGACAACCATCAGGCCAGAGCCTCCAACAAAACTTGATGCCAACTTTATCATTACTTTTATTGGTCACTCGTTTATGGGAACAGATAGGAACTTGAAATCAGCGAAAAAGAAAGCAGCAGCTGCTACGTTGCTTTTCATCAAGGACAAGAGCAACAAATTATATGAACTCATCGATGATTATATTCGAATCCATCAAGAGATACCAAAAACAGATCATGATCTTCATCAATAAGGAAGCGCTCAGTTCATGAAAACTGTAATGACACCATTGCACAAAAAAGACAGACGAATTGGAATCTGTTGATCACTCATGATGCTATTTGTAGACTAATTTTGAACTTGTCTGTTGATCAACTCACCTCAACTTGGCTGGTTGCACAACTGAACAATGCTTGATAAGGATTTACAGGAGAGCAATGTGTTGTTGCCTTTCCCTGGTGGTGTTGAGCTGATCAGCAGCATTTCAACTTGGTTTACTGCGCTTACAAGGTTACATCACCTGTTTGCAGAAAACCTATGTTCCATTCCAACCCAAGTTCAAATTGCCACACCCTTAATTCGAAAAATGTAAATCGTGAAATCTTATAGCCTTCAATAAAGTGTCATTTACATTTTATTTATCTACTATCAACGTTGGAATAGGAATTTAATAAATTAATTGGAGAAACGGAATGAAAGGTCATGTAAAATGGTTTTCATGAAAAGACTCTGCTTGAGTGCTGTAAAAAATTGAGTTAGATTTTTCGTGAGATGACTTGCTTGAACATAAACCATCACATGTTGATGCGATGCACTCAACCTAAAATTCACACTACTATTTTTGTGTTTCTTGTTCCACTCTGTAAAATCCAATTTACCCGTGTTCTCTCTGTTTCAAATGCTCGTAATGTATTATCTTTCATCAACACAATAATTGCTTGACAACAATAAACAATGTCTTTGATTAATGACATGGGTTCTCCATTACAAAGTTCTAAATTTGATGCGATTAGAAAACTGTTTTCTCTTGATTCTACTCGCAAGGTGCGTCCACTGATTTCTGAGCCAATTTCATTTTTCATATCAAGATACCATTTTCCAGTTGACTTCTCAAATATTTCATATCCAATGAAATCTTCTTCATCGACATTACAAAATAACCGATTCACAAAGATAGACATTGTATCAATTAGAATTTTGACAGGTGTTTGCTCATCAGTCAGCACATAAAAATCATTCAAAATGTCTCTACAATATATCACACGTTCACCTGAGAAGAGTTCTTTCACACAAGAAATATTCATTTTGCGAGGCTCAGTATTTTCCGAGCTAGCTTCTCCACATGTGTACACATTTCCGTTTTTTGTCAAAACACTTGTTGTCCAACTTCCACAACTAATGTCAGCAATTTCAACAGTTCCTTCATGATGTTTGATAAGATCCATTAAGGGTTGTATTGGTTTAAATTCAAACGAGTTGTGTCCTTGATTTTCTCCAAGTTCATTATGAGAATTATAACCCTGTGTAGATGAAAATTGATTTGTTAAATAAACATTACACACGAATGATAATAATAATATGATAATTTGGTGAGAGATTATATGATCATTCTTGTTAAACGTACTGAACCAATCACTTCAAATTTGGCAGAAATTGCCACCGTATGTTCTGCTCCTGTTGTTATATTTCGAATAGGTTCAAATTGTTGTAATCCAGACAAGTACTTGAATTCTTGAAAGGATTGCTCACTCTTGGTTCCACACTTTACAAAATGTCAACAATTAACTTGGAAACTGTTAAAGCTCACATATACTTTACCTGTCCATATCCATTGTAACCTTTTCAAAAATCATCACATATTAAATGTTCAATGATCAAATGACACCAAAGTAAGTATAATAATTATGGAAATAATCATCATTGATCTTCTGATCTCATCACAAGAGATTCCATCATGATACATACCAGCTCCAAACACTTTTCCATTCTTCAATAATACAAGAGTGTACTCAGCTCCGCAAGCAACTTTGTTAATTTCCTCCGAATTCTGCCAAGGAGTTGGAACTGGCCGTAGATCCATGACACAATCATAGGAAGATGGTAAGCCTGGAATTCCAGATTGATACCATTGATTACTTCCCATAACTATATGAAATTAAAGAAATTGTTTATTAATAATTGCGTTGATGATGATCACTCCTACGTACAGTAAAGAGAGGAGGATGTAATTTGGGGCGTTGGTTGGTCCGTCATTTTTTTTTTCAAATTGAAAATGCTATTCGTTTATTGAATACTCTTCCAAATTATCTTTTGGACGAAACTTCTTGGGCAGGGGTTAAAGGTATTAAAGGGTTCTCATCCAATAAGAATTACTTGGCTCAGTTGACTTTATTTATGTGTACGATGTTCGTTAATTCTGTTTGAATTCAAAAAAAATGGGAAAACGAAAGTCAAAGAAGAAGAGCTCTTCTTCCCAATCACAGCCTCAACACTCCGAATCGGAAAAGAAAAGAAAGAACAACAAGAATGATACATTTTTTTTGGTTGATCACAAGAGAAAGAAAAAGAAGTATGAAAGTTCGAAACATTCCAATACTCCCATTGTTTTGATGGAAAGTGTGGTTAGGCTAATACTCACGACACTGTTTTGAATTTTAATGAATTTCCAAACGATGTTATAGTAGTGGTCTTGTCTTTTATTCCAACATATTTATTGTTGAGAAATTTCAGATTTGTAAATAGAAATTTTGCAATAATGGCAATGCATGCCATTGAAAAATATCAATTTAGTGATCACTTTTATGTATCAGATAAGAAATTAGAGAATCTATCTCAAGATGAGGTTCACAACTTGTTTACCAAGTTTCATTCATGTAAACGAATGACAGTACAAGGTGACATGCATTGCGTTCATTCAATGGAGCTGCCATTTCACAAGCTTCAAAATCTTACTTATTTAGACTGCTATGATATTCCTGTCTCATTTTCAGAAGAGATTATTCAAAGCAATCTTGTTAACACACTTGTCAAACTGAAGATATTTACTATTTTTACAAACATGCCACTTCTGCTGAGATTAAAGAACCTTCAAGACCTCAGCGTCAAGCTTGATGACTCGGATGATTTGAAGCCTTTAAATCTAGAAGGAGTTCTGAATCTGTAAACAACTTGAGATATCTAAAAGTTGTCAATTCTCATTGTTGTGAGTGTTCTGAGCTTATTCAAATAATAAGCTATTGCCATCAATTGAACACACTCGAGTTATTCAATTTTGGAGACATTAGCCTAGGTGACAGAGTAAGCATTAATGTTATCAAATGCATCAAATCCAATTTACCAAACTTGAGAAAATTCTGCTATCGCTACAATGCTGATAATGTCGCTTTCGAAGAAATGCATACAATCCCTTCTACATTGGAATGCCTTAAATTAGATTCTCTATCATTGATTTCTCCGGAATCCCTTGTAAACATGAAACACCTGACATCTCTCACGCAACTTTCTCTTGATACAGCTTTGAAGCGAGACACGTTTTCAGAAGCATTATTGTCTATGATTTATTCGTATCAGCATTTAGAAAAGCTTTCTCTCCTTTTGAAAATTGAAGGCTCCAATTTTTCAGTCAACATACCTCCAAAAGAGCTTCCCAACTTGAAATCATTAAGGATAACTTTCACAGAGGATGTATTTACAAGAAAAGAACAATGCATTTCCAAAATGCTTATTCCTCTTGAAGCCTTTGAGCTGTGCACCAATATTGAGGTGCTTAAAATTCACAATCAAACATCTAAAAACGTTGTCATTGATTGGAACTCGCTACGACCGTTTACCAAACTCAAAAAACTAGAACTTACCTGCGACAAAATGATAGGTTGGGATGTTGCAAATCAAGTTCTCCCCCGTTTAGAAAGTTTAACACTGTACGTTTCACAAGGTATTGACGGTTCTCTAGAATCACTCCCAGATACTATTCAATATTTGGACATTGATGCGACGATCGAGCTCGAATCGAACAAGTTTCTGAGGCGTCTACCCGCCATGACAGCCCTTAGCACTTTAAAATTTTCAATGGAAGGAGTGTCAACAAGCTTGATATTCCCTTGCTCGCTGGTACAGTTGCAAATATCACACTTGTCATTACGGAAGGGAGAACAAACTTTTAGCAATTTTCTTTTCTCGTTACATCAGTTAGAAACTCTCAAAATTCTGGACAGTGTTATTGAGGATCTATATGGCCTCCTTAAATCCATATTGATCTTGAAGCATTCCATAAGAAAAGTGTACATTGAGAAGAGTGAGAGTGCGAACATTGATTCTGTACGAAACAGCAAGTCACAAGCAAAGTTAAACATTGGTCATCCTGTGCTGAAGGAGTATGACCAAGCCAGGATCTTTCTTACCCTTAGTGGCTTTGCATGGAAGCAACATTCTCTCTTGAACCAATACTCTTGTATTGAATTCATGTGAGAGCTCCGTTATGATCCAAACTTGGTCATGTTGTAAACTAGAGGCCTGAACGTTCAAAAACAAAAAAATATTCCAATGTAAGTGGTGGCCTCTCTGGTTTAATGATGCTGAGCTGGCTTGTGTGTTTGCTGCGTGTCATCTTTGGTCCGGACACTTTCAATGATTACTAAAACGCGAATATTAATCGATAGCAACGAGAATGAAATCATCATCGACTCTTTTGAACAAATTGTTATCAAGAAATTCATCATCGGCATCGACAACAGCCTTATCATCAGCCATTACTAGGTCATTTTCGTCTTCATTCTCTTTTCAATATGCTCCAAGAGTGTTGATAACAGGAAGCAATGGACAAATTGGTGAGTTATACCTCGCTTCTTTATGATTAATCCTGAAACATTTGCTGTCTTTTTTCATGAAATTTCATGTGAATCATGATATATATTTTCGCCTAATGCACCATCTCTCATCACTTCATGATGATGAAAATTATCTTGCACTCTTATTCCATTACGAAATAATTTCGAAAATTTCTCTTAAAAAGGTGTTGAATTGTCTGCTGCTATCAGAGCCAGATTTGGAAAGGAGAGTGTTGTTACTAGTGATGTTTCACTTCCAAGCATTGAATCTCTTCAAAGAGGAGAGCCTTTTGTTTTCTGTAGGTTTCTTTACTCCGATGATGCATTCTAACAACGGTGATGATGAAATAATCTTTGGAAATTGAATTCATTGAATGTTCGCTTCGGAAACATATCGTTAAAACATGAAATGCAAATTATTTGAAATGCCCGTTACCGATCGAAATTCAATTCGTGAATCATAAACACCATTTAAACATGAATCACCAAATAAGTGGACGTCAACAACAAGTCAAGACTTGAGGGAATTGTTAAGAAGGAAGGAATTACTCACATCATTCACAATGCTGCATTTTTGTCTGCTGCAGCTGAGAGAACCCAATTCCTGCATTGGAGTTAAATACTGTTGGTCTTCACAATGTTTTGGACGTTTCTAAGAGTAATAATTGCTCAGTATTTATTCCATCTTCTATTGCTGCATTTGGTCCAACAACTCCTTTAGATTTAACACCAGATGTCACCGTCCAAAGACCAACAACTATTTATGGTATCGGAAAAGTTTATGCTGAACACATGGGAGAATATTATGCCTACAAACATGGTGTCGATTTCAGATCTTTGCGTTATCCTGGAATTATTAGCTATTTGACTGAACCAGTAAGTATTCCAGTGAAATTGGAATGACTCAACTGTTTTGGAATTTTCAATGTGTCATCGTTGCATGTCGACTTGCAATTTTGTGTTGAATGCGACATTGTGTGAACACCATTTTCATGAATTTATCTGTGATATTCATAATGATTCACTCTAAACCAATAGGGAGGTGGTACTACAGATTGGTCTGTTTACATGTTCTATTATGCCCTTAAAGGCGAATCGTATGAGTGCTTTGTCAGTGAGAATACTCCATTACCAATGATGTACATGAGTGATTGTATTCGTGCCACCATTAAATACATTTTCGATTTGACCAATGAAGATTTGAAGAAGGCCAATCAACGAACCTTTAACATTACCAGTTTCTCACTCACTCCTGGAATGCTTCATCGTGCCATTCAAAAATACATTCCATCATTCCAAGTGACCTACAAACCAGATTTCAGACAGCAAATTGCAGATTCATGGCCAAAGGCATTCGAAGACTCCAATGCAAGAAACAAATGGGGATGGAAGGAAGAATTTGATTTGGATAAGATGACTCGAGACATGATCATCCATTTGAGAGAAAAAATTGGATGTAAGGTTGAGGTGAGAGGTCTTTAGATTCCATGCAAAAAGAAAAAGCAAATAATTTCTGTTAAAACTTAATTAGAATAAAAACAGGTGCAAGGTTCACCCTTGACGAAGAGTTTTTTGGTGTGTGTAAGGAAAGACACACGAATCCTTATGTTGGGAATGATGTCATGAAAGTTTTAATTTTGATTCAACTGTTGTGATGAACGAAGCAAGATCTAGAGGCAATAATCAATGATGCCGAGTAGATCAAGTGTGAGGCATTTCATTCTTTTTGGCAATTCTTCCCACTCGTCGATCTTCTGATAACATGCTTTTAGTCTGAAAAACGATTGGTCTTTCCTCAATATTTTGTTGTTTCTAGATTGACAGTCAGCAATCAATTTTTTACAACTTGACACGTCAATCATCATGATTTCGTTCCACACCCTGTCACTTGCCAAACCTCAAATCAACAAAAAAAAATTCCACACTTCTCACTCTTCACACTTCTTCCTACAAACAAAGATGGTTAACAGTCCAAGACCAAATCAACTCTCCACCTCTGCAAGCGTTGTCTCTGTTGGTGTGCAAGGAGGATCAGGTCATCACGGTTACACTGAAGAAGAAACTGAAGCTTTTACGTAAGTTGTTATAATTTCTTAAGAACACCATCAATTAATCCTATTCTCAATCATCATGATGATTTTGATCAATTCGTTTTTTATGATGATCTTGATGTGTTCAACTCGTTGTTGTTGTTATCATGGATCAATATGAATGATATGATCATGATGGCTTTTAATTCATGATGATCAACTTGTCTAAAACAAACTCTCACAATATTCTTGGTGTGTATCAATCCTTGATCTATCTCCTCTGTTATGGATGTACACTTCTCTTGGTACTGTCGTGTGTGAAATCCATACTTTCCAAATTCTTCAACTCGAATCTATTTGATAATGACCAATCCAATATATATTCATCCTCACATAACTCTCACACTCCATCTCTCACACCACTTGCTCATACTTTACACACTCAAACCCAACTCAATCTCAAACCCCATCTCAAACTCAATCTCAAACCCCAACTCCACACAGTGATTATATCAACTCAACTCTTATGGATGATGACGATCTCAAAGAAAAACTCCCAATTGCCAAGGATGGTCTCTTTGAAGCCTGCAAGGATGGTATTCTCATCAACAAACTCATCAACACTGCTGTTCCAGGTACTGTCGATGAAAGAGTCATCAACAAGAAGAAGAGTTTGAATCCATGGGAACGTAATGAAAATCACGAATTGGCCATCAACTCTGCCAAGGCCATTGGTTGTCGTGTTGTGAATATTAGTCCTGCTTTCATTGAAGAAGGACGACCTCACATTGTGTTGGGTCTCGTTTGGCAAATTATCAAGATTGGTTTGTTGGCAGATATTAACTTGAAGGTTCACCCTGAATTGGTTCGATTGTTGGGTGAAGGAGAATCTTTGAGTGATTTGTTAAAGATGAATCCAACGGACTTGTTGATTCGATGGGTCAATTATCATTTGAAGAATGCTGGATCTGATCGTCGTATTCGTAACCTCGAAGGTGATATTAAGGACTCGGTGGCTTATACCTTGTTGTTGTCACAAATTTGTCCAAATGGTGAATGTTCAAAGGATCCATTGAATGAAAATGATTTGGAAAAGAGAGCTGAAAAGATGTTGCAACAAGCTGACAAGATTGGTTGTCGTAAATTCGTTCGTCCAAAAGATGTCGTGAATCACAATCCAAAACTCAATTTGGCCTTTGTTGCCAACTTGTTCAATAACTATCCAGCTTTGGAACAAGTCAACTTGAATGATTATGCTGAATTGTTGAACTTTGATATGGAAGGTACAAGAGAAGAACGTGCTTTCAAGTTCTGGATTCAATCCTTGGACATTGATTGTAATGCCATTCCGGAAGACATGAAAGACGGTGTCGTCTTGTTGAAGGTCTTTGATAAGGTCAAGCCAGGATGTGTCGAATGGAAACGTGTTTCAAATCCTCCAAAGAATCGTTATCAAGCCATTGAAAATACCAACTATTGTGTTGATTTGGCTAAACAATTCAAATTCAATACAGTCAATGTCGGAGGTACTGATATTGCCGATGGAAACAAGAAGATTATTTTGGGTTTGATTTGGCAATTGATGAGAAGATCCTTGTTGGATACTTTGAAGGCATTGGGAGGTGGCAAGGAGATTGAAGAAAAGGATATTGTTGCTTGGGCCAATACTCGTGTGACTGATGAAAAGCCAATTGATGGTTTGGATGATAAGAGTTTGAGAACTGGTGTCTTTTTGTGCAAATTGTGTGCAGCCATCAAACCAAGTGCTTGTAATTTGGATTTGGTTACTCCAGGTGAGAGTGATGAAGATGCTACTCAAAATGCCAAGTATGCCATCTCTGTGGCTCGTAAGATTGGTGCTACTGTCTTTTTGTTGTTTGAAGATATTTTGGAAGTGAAACCAAGAATGATCTTGTCGTTCCTTGCTTCATTGATGAAGGTGGATAAGACTTTGAATAAGTAATTGATGATGTGATGGAATGAAATTTCATGTATTGTATGTGAATTACAAGTTATCAATAATAATAAACTTGATAACTATTAATTGTTGATCTTTCAGAATTGATTTGGGTTTTACGGGAGAAGTGTGTGAAAATTCTCTCCTCGCACCAAGACTTGAATTTTTTTTGTAAACCACAACGTGTCAGATGAAAATTCGGGATTTTCACAAGCAAAGAGTGGGTTTGCTATTGAGTTGCAGATTGTCAACACATTCATCTTTCATTCCTTCGTTGCGGAACTTGTCCATTTCAACATTCATGATGACAAAAACTTTCGTCCCACTGAAAAACCGTGTGGATAACCAATGATAGACGTTATTTCTGATCTCACAACTACAAGCTTTAATTACTCTGCTCAAAAACAAGCATATCTTTTATCATGAATTGAATTTTTATGAAATCGTCGTTGGCGTTATAAACATGAAACCTCAAGATGTGAAATTTTCACATTCTCTTATCATCCATGTTGAAAGAAATGATCAAGTTTACAAGAGCGAAATTGAGGATCTCGCTCGAACGGTCTCTCCTTCGCGACAAATTCTCCTCTTTAATAAAAATCAGCGAAGAGTGAGAACAAGTTGAAGGCAAGATCTTTCACAACACAGAAAATAAAGAATTTAAAAAATTTACTCCGAACTCGAGTATTGAACCCTCGATCATCATCATCATGTCCCACTCACATCATAACGTTGGAATTGGAGTCAAGCTTGCAGCTGGTAGGTGTTTCCAAAGGTTTATCATCATCAGTATTGACTTGATTTGCATGGTTCTCGGTTGTATACGATGATATGTTGTCATTTTGATTGAATCTCTCTCACGTTTTCGTGATGAATAGGAGGCTTTGCTGGAGTTACTGAAATTTTGGTCATGTATCCACGTAAGTAGTTATTGGATATTCTGTAATATTTACAGGTTTCATCATCATTAAATCGTTTATCATCATCTCTCATGACTCTTCCGATGATGAATTTTCTCCGTAATTATTGTCCTGTATTCCTTTTGGAATGACGTTATCATTTGCTTCTTCTACTACTACCACTCTCAGTGGATGTGGTCAAGACAAGAGCTCAACTCTACGCCGGTACTGGAAAGACTCCAAGTATTATTGGTACAGTGTCCGAGATTGTAAAGACCAGTGGATTGAAATCATTGTATCGTGGTATTTTACCACCTATTCTTATGGAAGGTGAGTGTTTTTGCTTTTCCATCTCTCATTTCCGAATCGAATCTGTTATTGATTTTTATTGGGAACGAAATTGTCATCTTTGATTCATTTGTTGATGATCTTTATTCTATTCATGAATGGTTAATGAATGATGAATGAACGGTGAATGAACGATGAATGAATGAATTGTGTATTCTTTCATTGTTGAAACATGATGATAGCTCCAAAACGTGCCGTGAAATTTGCTGCCAACGAATTTTTCAAGGATATTTTCATGGAAAAGGAAACAAAGAAGCTTTCACAAGTTGGTGCTGCATTGAGTGGTTCATGTGCTGGTATTACTGAAGCTTTTGTTGTCGTTCCTGTAAGTTGATGATTGGTTTTTCAAGAAACATATTTATCATCATCTACTCAATAATTTCACACAATGTCATTTACTGTTTTAAAATCGACATTGCCATTATTTTTAATACTATTATCTGTCAAATGTGTCTTGCATTTCACAAACTTGATGTGAAATCATTGAATTGGCCAATCTCAATTTAAAAAACTCACATAACAGTTCGAATTGGTAAAGATTCGTTTGCAAGCTAAGGAAAATCTCGGACTTTACAAGAACACTCAAGATGCCATCACCAAGATTTTGAAACAAGAAGGAGTTCTCACATTGTACACTGGTTTGGAGGCAACTATTTGGAGAAACGCCACATGGAATGGTGGTTACTTTGGTTTAATTCACGCTGTCAAGTCAAGAATGCCAGCAACCAATTCTGAGGGTCAACGTTTGTTCCAAGACTTTATTGCTGGTTTCCTCTCAGGTACATTTGGTACCATGTTGAACACACCATTTGACGTGGTAAAGACCCGTATTCAAAACCAATTGCCTGGAACTGTTCACAAGTACAATTGGACTTTACCTGCCCTTGTTAAGGTTTATAACGAGGAAGGTGTTAAGGCATTGTATAAGGGATTCTGGCCAAAGGTATTGCGATTGGGTCCTGGAGGTGGTATTTTGTTGGTTGTGTTCAACTTTGCTGTGAGATTTATGTCTCCACAACCACAACATTAAGCGGTGTCGTGCTCGATTTTGTCAACTAGTGAACATTTTAAATACATTATTGTTGATTTATTGCAAGATTTGTTGGCCGATTCAAATCGGCAATTACTTCAGGCATATTTCGATTTTCCAAAACCTTATCAAGATTAACCAAAACCTTCTTCTCTTCTTCCAATGGGTGTTGCAATTTGGTAATTTTATCATTGTTGGGATCATTATGAAATTTCATGAGTTGAGACAAATTTGGAATGATCTTTCTGTTCGATTCCAAATATTGAGAATGATATTCCTGAGACATGGAATCAATCATTTTCCAACAAATTCTATGTTTGACTTGATCTTGTTTTCTAATGACCACATAAAACACACCACCCATACTAGATCGTTCCTTCTGAATGAAGAAGGTAAACATTTTGTGAGTGAGTTGGAGCTTATAAATAGAAGAACTTCTATTCATCATCATCTCGCTCATCATCTCGCTCATCAGCTTGTGAATGATTTTTTGTACAATCAATCTTAACTTTTTTTGACGTGGAGTTTTGGCAATGATTTTGGTCGAGAAAATTTGTTCAGAAGTACTCTTGATGGCACATTCTGCAATCAATGCATAGGAAATGGTCATTTCAATGATCGTGGTTAGTGATGAGCAAATACGAGGATCTTTTTTGTTTTGAATTCATGTTTCATCGACATGTCTATTTTTATCGCGTACAGATGAACGTTGAAAATCACCTAACGTTCGTTTGGTCATTCCTTCTTTGAGAATTCCCATCATCAAACGATCATCGTTGGCTGTAAAATCTCACGAGTTCGTGCAACGTTTGCTTATCTACTGTCTTTTCTGATATCTGTTAGCCAATTTCATCCACTGCTTTTGAAGAGCTGGTGACAATGTCACTCTCATTCTCCACTCTCCCATAATATATTTACAAAGCAATTATCAAGATCAAAGCAATAGTACCAATGCTCACCGTTGCAGTTGCAGCAGCAGCACCAGCCAAATAAATCCATCGCTTAATCATGGCCCACTTCAATTTCTTTCCTCCCTTAGCAAATAGTTCACCTTGCTTCATCAAATCATCAGACTCGGCAATTAATTCATGCATCTTTCGATGATTTTCCAAAATCTTATCTACATTAATAACCATCACATTCTTCACTTCATCCAATGAGTGTTGCAATTTGGTAATTTTATCATTGTTGGGATCATTATGAAATTTCATGAGTTGAGACAAATTTGGAATGATCTTTCTGTTCGATTCCAAATATTGAGAATGATATTCCTGAGACATGGAATCAATCATTTTCCAACAAATTCTATGTTTGACTTGATCTTGTGTGGAAATGACCACATAAAACACATCGCCCATACTAGATCGTTCCTTCTTAATGAAGAAGGTAAACATTTCATGAGTGAGTACGAGCTTATCATACGAAGAAACTTGCACAGAATGATTCATCATCTTGGGAATGATTTTTTGTTCAATCACTCTTCTCAACGTTTTTTGGCATGAAGTTTCCGAGATGACGTTGGTCGAGTAAATTTCATCCGAAGTACTCTTGATGGCACATTCGGCAATCAATGCATAGGAAATGGTCATTTCTAATATTTTTGTGGGGTTGTTGTTTCAATACTACTTGTGGTTAATGATGAGCAAATACAAGGATGTTTTTGTTTTGAATTGTTTCATCACCAGAACCATTCACAATTCATTTTTATAAAATTTTTTTTGTTTCTATTTTTATCTCATACTGAGGAACTTTGAAAATGCCAAAGGAACAGACCAAATTCCAACGTTCCACGATTCCTTCTTTAGAATTTTCTTCATCTTTGTGTTTGCTAATTCCAAGCCTGAATGTACATAGGCGTTTCCACCAATTACTGTTTTTAATAAAATAAAGAACTCAAAAAAATGAAACCCCATTTTCAGAACCCTCAAAGGAAAGAAATGATGGAGCAACAGCCTTTGCGTGGGCATCTCTCTCACGCTCATCATCTTCATCATGGTACCAGTAAGAAGAATACTTCTCTCGTGTATGCAACGGGATCCAACATTGATCAAATGTTGGGAGTGAGGGTAAATGCTTATTTAAATAAAAGGAAGAATGCCGAAGAACGGATGAGCTCAAAAAAGACTCCGTTGGAGCAGAGGAAGAGTTTATTGCTGCAACGAAGTGAAGAGGATCGATCGGAATCAAGCGATGAAGATACGGAGAGTGATGACGAGATGTTGTATGATGACGATGGAGATGATTCATTGTATGACGATCATGTCATATTTGATGACGACGATACTAATGGAAATGGAAATCGTTTTGGCATGGGAGAAATTATTTATTCTTTTCGCTCATGTGAGGCAGCCGATTACATCTCAGAGCATTATCTTGAAGATGGTGACTATATTGAGGATATTAAATTGTGTTATGCCAGTACTTTTTTCATCACTCATCAGAAACGCATTTTCATGATTGGAAACAATTTTTTGGAAATTGGAAATGACAAAACCCTTATTGTTCCCCTTGAGGTGACGTGGAACGGTTGTCATGACTCCAACAAATTAAGGGAGATTTCATGTGGCCATTTTCATGTAGTACTGGTAACGGAGAAGAGAGAAATTCTTGTAGGAGGGTCTAATACGTACGGACAGCTTGGTTTGGGATCGCAGACTGATCACCAGGAGCACAACGATCATTTTGACGATGAAGAAACTTACGAAGACAATAGTGAAGATAGCTCTGATGAACACAGGTCTCCCAAGAAGGAATCGCCTAAAAAAGTAACACCCACAAAACCAGCAAATGCTTTGAAAACCCTAAACTTTTTTTATTTGGAGCTCAACGGTGATGTGGTGGAGTCTGTGGTGTGTGGCTCCTTTTTCACAGTTTTCCTGACCAAGCTTAGAAAAGTGTATATCTGTGGACAAATTGGATTTGAAGACTCGAACATTCTTCATGAACCCACACGAATCACATTCTTTGATAATAATCGCTTATTCGTGAGTAAGATTTTCTGTGGTTCCAACGATATCATTTTCCTCACCAATGATAAGAAGGTGTTTGGCTTTTCCTTATTAGAACCAGAAACTGCGACACAAAAGCCCTCTCATCTCACCTACATGGAATGTTTTTTAGATCAAAATCCTGGAACACAGGTCTGTTGTGGCCTTGGTCACACGCTATTCCTAACGCCAGATCACAAAGTTTTCTGTCATGGTAGCAATTGTGAAGGAGAACTAGCACTCTCTTCCAAAGTTGAGAATGTTGATGTCATCACTCCAAATCCCAGCATTGAGACCGTGCTTGATTCGAATGAGCATGTGACCTCGATGGCATGTGGATCAGCCATGTCCATACTCACAACAAACAAAGGTTCTATAATAGTTTTTGGAGGTATGTAGATGATTGTTTTTCGCTTCAGTATTTCCAAACTTACTCTCAACATTCACAATAGATAACTCTGAGGGTCAACTTGGAATTGGGCCCAAGCTAAAAACTGTATTCACGGCCACTAAGGTTCGAGACCATGCAGCCGACATCCCTCAGAAAGTTAAGGTCATCACAGGTTATCACAATACGTTTACTTTGCATTTGCCTTAAAGCGAAGTTTTGAACAGGTGAATGAGTCCATGTAGGCAAATGCTGAGTAACTACATAGCCATACAATCTCTAAGGGATCCCTGATGATAAGTTGTATCTCAACATACATTTCATGACGCTTCTGAGTTTGGAATTGCCTGACACAATGATGATAATGGAATTAATTTATATTTTGCATGATGAATGTTGTTGTTATTAAAATCTTACATGATCAATAGTTAATTCTTTCATAGTCCTTGATCTTCTTGGAGTTTTGCTCTTCAGATCGATACACAAACACAGCAATACAAATGCAAGTCATGCAGTAAAATCCAAAAACAAGTGAAGAGAATGGTAAATAGAATGGAGCATAACGAACAGCAAAAATGACATAGTGCACACTATATCTCACCAAACCAAAAACGTCACTATGTAAAAAGATCATGAGTGCTGCGTAAATAATAGCAATGAAAACCACAATAATGAATCTGGAAACCACAGAAAAACTGGTGGCTCTATCTAGCCAATTACCAGATAAAAATGGGAAATTACATGTAATTGGGAACTTAGGATGACAAATCACAGCAGTCATAATTGCCCAGAAAATAAGGAGAGCAACAGCAAAGATCCAAGTAATGATGGATACAATCAAATCACCCATTTGTCTGTCTGCAACTCGAACACAGGCGTTATTTTCATTACTTCCAGTCATTTGATATTGCCAATAACAATGGAACACATCCAACACTGGTTCTGCTGCTTCAGTATTTGTAAATAAGACATAACCTTGTTTGTGCACAGAATTGAATCCATACTGTGCTTTCCATCCTACATTGAGACCTGTTTTGAAAGCAGTTAATGAACCATCGCTGAGAGTCTCAACCAAAACTCCATAGCCTGTAGCTGTTGTGTACTTGAAACCGTCAATGTATTTGTCACCATCGAAAATACTTTTAGTGTGACGTTGATCGAGAACAGCATTTCCACTCTTGTCAGCATTCAAACCAGCAATCACCAAGTTTGCATATTCTCTGGCACGACTGTATAAACCAAATGAAGATATCACAGAGTATCCCATTTCAGGAATGGCATAGAAATAACTTCCGTAAGAGGAGCTGAAAATTCTATCGTTAGAAATGTCATTTGTGTCATAGGTTGAGAGAATCATTCCTAAAGGATTCAAAATATTCTCATTGATCCACTTGGTGAAATTCTGTCCAGTGACGTCTTCAATCAGTGTTTGTAAAACTGCATAATCAGCACCAATGCTTTGTCGACTCAAAGAAACAGCTCCAACTTTGGAAGTGTCCACACGAATGTTTTGTCGAACCTTATCGAGACTGCGACTGTCGTCAAATGCGGGTTGGCCATAAAATGTTTCATACAAATTCAAATTGACCATCCAGAAGTGTGTTGCAAGAGTTCCTTAATATTTGTGCCGTTGTGAAGGTTTCCAGCCAAATCTAGAATCTTGAAAGACTTGAGATAGGCATTCACAGAATCAACAATGGAATTGATACGACCATCCATCAGTAACTTCATGATACCAAAAGCAGTGACTGTTTCTCCGAGCTCAGCAACTGTTGTCATCATTTCATGATCGGAAAGTGTTAAAAAATTTCACAAGTATGTGAAATCAATGTCATCATTTTCAAATGATTTTCGAAACATACCTTGGAATAACGTAAAATTATCAACCGTGTCATTCACCTGGAAATAAATATCTCGTTGACCAAAAGCAAGTTCTCTCAAACGCCATGAATTTGCATCTTGATCATCCACAGAAGGGTTCTCAGCTTGATCGATCAATACCAATTGAGCTCCGGCCACTCCGTACTTCTTCAACAACTTGGGGAAGTGATCCAAAACATTTTTCTCAATAAACTCATTTGAAAATTCAGTTCTATTCATTCTTCCAATTGCTGCTGTTTGGAAAGTACTACTCATATTCACTGGTTGTGCTTGATTATAAATCCATTCAAAATCAGGAGAATAATTAAAAGGATTCATGTACACGTTTTGAAACACTAACAAGAACCACAACAATGGAATGGCAATCAAAAAGATACTAAAGAAGAAAGGAAGAGAACACGAGTCTTTCCATTGACCTACAGATCCAGCTTCACCTCGTTCATAAGCATTGAGTTCAGTAGGTGCTTGTTCAGCTAAATCCGATGATTCCTGAGCCGTAGCAGTAGTGGTGGTACCAGGTTGTTGTTGTTGTTGTTCATTCATGAGTAATGATGAAGGTGGAGCCTTTCTTCCCGTAGTATGGTTCTCCTCGTGATGATGATGACCAGTGCCAGCCACAGCTGAGAGGAGGCTTGTTCTCTCTTCGTGGGAATTGTCTTGCATTTTTTTTTCGGATTTTTTTTGAAGTCTTCTCCGAGCCGGAAACGGAGAAGGTTTTTTTTTATTTTTTATTTATTTTTTTTTAAAACTTCTCCGCTGAGGGAAAATTCACGCCCAGGGAATTGATTTACAAAGGGATCTTTGGAAATTCAAACTTGGATGACAGGTCTTGGAATTTCAAACTTGTTAAAAATTAATTACAAAAAAATAGCCCTAAATCACAATCGATATCATCATGAGCGCCTTTCACTGGAAGTTGTTGAAAGAGAGAGCTTTCCATCCCACGGAGACTTTGAAAAAGACTGTTTTTACAGTGATTATGGTGAATGATGTTTATGAAATGCTTCCGTAGGTTGAAATGGCTTTATTTGAATTATTGAAATAATTATGATATTTCTCTATTTCATCATCATATGATGTATGAAATTTTTGTGATCACAATGGGTGCGGAATGAAATAATTGTATGACCTCTTTGTTGAAATTGATCTGTTCCTGATCGTGTAATACATAATGATGATCAAAATTGTTCATCGGATATCGGATGATGATTTCCAATGATACTTGCTTTTCATTATTGACGAACTTGTATCATTCCAAAAATGTTGCTTTTTCAATATACAGAGATGACAATGGAGTTGGTGGATTGGCCGAATTGCAAACAATTATTGAAACTGAAAAGTACAAGGCTAGAAATTGTATTGCTACACTCAATGGTGATTTTATGAGTGCCTCTACATTGGCAACTCAATACAAGGTATGTGTAACAAATATGTATCAAGTTTTATTATCAATGATTGCAACATGAAAAAATTGTAAACTTCAAACGAAACAGGGATATCACATGATTGATATTTTGAATCATATTGACATTGATTATGTCACATTGGGTAAGTAAATGGACAATTCCTTTTAGACATTATTAAGATAATGATTCAAAAAGGAAATCACGAATTTGATTTTGGTACTCCAAATGTTCTTCAAAGAATTAAGGAGAGTAGATTCAAATGGGTTTGCTCGAATGTTGTTCAACCAGAGGACAACACCAAGGTTTTGCCAGGTTTAGTTCGAAAGGTTGTTCATGAATGTGATGGCTTCAAAATTGGAATCTTTGGTGTTTGTACCAAGACACTGAAGTTTTGTCAAAACCAGGTGAGTTTTTTCGGAAGAACTTTTTCATGGAAGATTGACAATGTTATTCTCTTGATTGACATTTGTTAATTTGTTTCAGGAAATGAGGCTGTCTTTCTTCCTAGCGTGGTTGTCGCAAAGGAATTAGTGAAGGAACTTCGTGAACAAGATGGATGTGATGTTATCATTGCCATGACTCACTTGACCATTGCCGATGACAGAGAATTAGCCAGATGTTGTCCAGGAATTAATCTCATTATTGGTGGACATGACCATTCTGTTCACACTCAAATGCAAGGCGATTGTTTCATTCACAAGGTACGTAATGAAAAAATCATTTCAATCGACTATTGTGACCTCAAAATTGTTGAAAACAAATAGGCAGGACACGATGCACAATATGTTTCTAGATTGGACATTTCTATTGAGAAAAAGCAAACCATTATTAATGGAGAAAAATTCCAACAGGTATGTGAAGGAATAATTTTCCTAGTTATGACTCTCATTGATTTGAACATTTGAACATGATATGCATCATCTGGTTTTAACAATGCACAAAATAATTCATCGAATACAACAGGTAAAAGTCTTTCCAAGCTGCAATATGATTGTCAATCGTGGATTTAAACCAAATGCTAAAGTCTCAGAAGTTATTCAACATTATATGAAGCAACTTCCAGAAGGAATTACTGAACAAATTGGTATTACTACAACGTATGTACCTCTTGATGAATTTGTTAAAAAACAATTATGCCAACAACATTTATTGTAAATTCTTAATATGTGAAAAGAAAATTGGACTCTTCGACTGAGAGTGTCAGATCTAAGGAAACAACCTTTGCAAACTTTGTTGCTGACATTTTTAAAGATACGTTCAATGCTGAGCTTGCTATTATCAAGTATGTATTTTTCGTTGAGTTCAGAATTATTTTAAAATATCACAACTCGTTTCACATTGTTGGAACGATCTCTATTATTTACTTTTGTTATTTCACAATGACAGTGGTGGAGGAATTAGAGGAGATCGTTTCTATGACGACAACAAGAGAATCACCAGACTTGACATGCTCAAAGAATTCCCATTCCAAAACTTCCTCACTCTTTCGAAATTAAAGGAAGTGACCTTTTAGAATTGGTTGAACAGGGAGTTGCTAAAGCAGAGAACTGTATTGGAGCATTCCTTCACTTTTCAGCCGGAGTTTCTATTCAATTCGACAGCACCAAGCCTCCCATGAGTCGAGTGGTGAAAATGACTCTCAATGGTGACTATATTGATCCCGATAGAATGTATTCGCTTGCCTCTGTAACATACTTGTTGCAAGGAGGTGATGGATTATCAGCAGCTAAAAAGGCAACCATTAAGGAACATCCGAATAATAACAAGTCGGTCTATGACGCTGTGTGTGAATGGATTGAATTAAATCGAAAAATTGGAGGTAAAAAGGAAGGAAGAATTTATGACGTTTCCAAGAGAAATGCACCAATGAGCTTGAATTTTTAAATAATAAACTCCATACAATAATATCTTTGGTCATAATTATTAAATACAACGAGCGGGAAAAGCAGTGAGGTAAATTACAAAAAAAATGTCCACTGACTGCGAGGAGGCCGATGCCACTCATCCCTCAACACCAACGAAACAAACCGACAACAAAAAACGAATTAAGGCCATACTTTTTGGATTGGATGGTCTGATCCGAAATATCAATGATATCAATTATCAAGTATGGAATGGTATTTTGACCGAGTATGGTTATGATTTAAATTTTCAAGAATACTTGCAAATATTTCTATTCCTTCATGAGATGTATGTCTTGTTCCAACTGCTGCCATACAATACTGCGGATGAACATTTGGAAATTGCCAAACGAAAACAAAAAGAATTTGTAAATTTCATCACCAAACAAAATGTCTTGTCTACGGCCTCCTTATCGGGAATGGAAAAATTACTGGAATCGATCAAAAAGCATAATGAATCAACAGAAGAAGAGGAAAACAAAATTGTGATTGGAGTGGTGTCTGACTTGTCTAACACGGAAACGAAATGCTTGTTGGAAAAGTTAAACCTCTTTGACTACTTTGATGTGGTCTTGTCGAGTTACGGCCTGAAGAGACCAAAACCTGATCCATCCATTTACAAGGTTGCTCTCGAACAGTTAAAAGTTGATCCCGATGAATGCATTGTTTTTGAGGGAACGACACAAGGATGTCTTGCCTCAATGCGAGCTCTACAAAATTCCAATGTGATTGGCATTAACTGTAACGATATCTCTAATGAAATTGACTCTAAAGAAATGTTTGACAATGGAGTGAAAACTATTTTAGATAATTTTGAAGGCCTCGAATTGTCTCATCTCGAATTGATGATTGAATAGTATCCTAATTGGATTCCCTAATTGTAAATATTCAGTTGTTGTAAATAGTGGAATAATTCAGTCTTGTCACATGTTTCTCTCTTGCATACAATTAATATTGTAAAATACTGATCACAATTTCCAATGGTTGTCATTGATTCTATCCATATCTTATCAAGTTTTAAATATCAGTAAAACAAATTAGTCAGTTTAACCCATAATTAATCAGAACGGAGAGCAAGCTTCTTTTAAACAATTTCAATCCTTCCATAAATTTCTCAATATTCAAACCCTCCTCACAATGCACACATGATACTCCCAATTGTCCAATTTCATGAATATTCCTCTTCTTGTCATCATAAAAGATCATTTTATGGTAGACCTGAGAGAAACTATTGCTCTTCTCCATCACTGCCTCATCTTCAACCAATTTCTCAGCAAAATACTTGTAATGTTTCTTCTTCGAGCCAGGATAAATTTGAATCCAATCAAACCATGAATGAATTTGGAGAGTGTGTAACAATTCAGTGGCCCAGTCTGTGACCTCGGTTCGACTAGCAATTCCGAGATGAATTTTGCAAGAGTCCCGATGTTCACATAATGTCAAATCCAAATCAAACACTCTGCAGTGATGGGTTTCCATGACAACATTTTACAATGTCAAAATTAAATTCCAATGTTCCATGATCATGTACTCACATTAATTTGGGATACTCGGTAGTGGATTGAGTGTTGTGAACTCGTTCCATATCCATTCACGTATTTCTTGTGGATTCATTTTTTTTACAGCTCTCTTGTACATGGAAAGGGTCGATCCACACTTGTTTATTGTTCATGATCTTACACACAAGTGAATTAACCTTGTGTCCTATCAATTTCAACGCTTACAACGCCTAGATTTTCATAGTTTCATCATACAAATTACTGAGCTTTCAACAATCAAAGCCCATTTCCTCTCGATAAGCCTGCTCTTCCTCAATGGTGAAATGATCTTCTGTCCAATTCGATGAAGAAGTACGTTGTCTGAATCGAGTCACAAGAACTTCATTCGTAGAGCCAGCAAAAATCTCTTCCAAATCACAAGTTTTTGTCACTGAGAAAATCTTGTCAGGATCCACACGAAGATTTCTTCTCAAGTTTCGTCGAAGATTGTCGCCTTGAGCCCATGAAGGTATCTTCTTGGATTGTCTTCTCTTTCTAGCTTCGTCCTCGTCCTCAGAACTGTTATACTCATCACTGAGGGCATACGATGAATAGCGTTGTTGTTCCAATTGAGATTGTTGCAACAATGGAATGGAAGATGTAGAGACAGAATTTGGTTTTGTCTTGTTATTACTTGAAGATTGCAACAATGGTTGAGAAGTATGTTTGAGAATGAGTCCTACAGGTCTCTTTGGAGGTTGTGGTGCTTGTTGTTGTTGTGGTAATGGCACTTGGCTGGTCGATGAATTGCTTGGTCGTTGTTGTTGCTGTTGCTGCAGTGTGGTTCCTTCCACATGAGATGTCTTTCCTGATAAAGATCCAGCCATATTCTTATTGGAAAGTGGTCGTTGTTTCTTAGATTGCTCGTCCTCTTGTTCCTTCTTTTTCTTTTGTGCTGCAAGTTGCTTTTCGAGCTTTTCCTTCTTGAGGGCCTTCTTTTCTTCTTCTCTCTTCTTGGCCAACTCGGCTTGTTTCAAACTGTTAATGTTAGGTTTCTTGGAGGCATGACTGCTGTTGTTGGATGTCTTTTTCTGTGTTGCCTTAAATACAAATGATTTCACACCAGTGAAAATATTCGAGACAAAACTTCCTGTATGGTTGGAGGAAGCACTTACAGAGCTAGCAGTACTGCTCACAGACGAAATGGAAGTGATGGATGCCACAGAGAGTCTATTTCCATCGCTGAGTTTGACTCGTTTCATATCATTGCTGTCAGAAGACATTTTAGATTGGAATTTTCTCTTGTGATCGTGCTCATCATGTTCATCCACATCAATGATATTAATCGAGTCCTTTTTAGAGAGGAACACTTCCATAGGATCCTCTGCAAGTGTTGTTGCAGTAATGTTTGGAGAAGAATGCACGTCATCATTTGCTGCTTCCATGTTCGCAACCGTGCTAATTGGTACTGGACTGTCAAGTACTTTGGGTGTCAGCATCTTGTACTTGCCATGTTGTGAAACAGTTGGAGGTTCTCTAAATGCTGATGGAGGTGGAGTAGTGTTTTGAGAGTCCATCATCATCATTCGCTCATTATTGTTAGGGGTTGTGGATTCTTCCATTTGGTGAGAAGACAACTCTGATACCAAGTTTGGTGCTGCATTCAAATTTGTTTCTTGATTGGATGCTGCTGGGGAAAAAACTCGAGTCTTTGCTTCCTTCACTGGAGTGTCAACAAATCGTTGCATGGATTCGAATGGCGGTGGTGACAATTGAACTTCTGGCGATGAGTACCATTGTTCTACCTTCTTATTATGGATGGAGAGTTGTCCAAGTTTTTCCATAGCTCCAACAACAGCAGTAGGAGTGGCAGGTTCAAGAGTTGCATTCTCATCAACACCACCGCTAGTAGAAGTTGGTGCATTTTCACACAATGGATGGCCGGGAAAAGTTGTAAGGGGCATTTCTGAGGCTACTGCTTTGTTCAATTCATTTTCCTCATTAAGGGAAGTGGGATAAGAGGATTGTGGCGATTCGATGGATTTTAGTGAACTAATCTTCTCCTGCAATGATTTCAAAAGATCGGTGGACGTTGTTGTAGAGCTAAAAGCAAACTTGGAGAAGAGGTTTTGTGCATCGCAAATCAAGTCTTCTGTAGTGTCTGGAATTTTGGGTGGGTGTAAAGCAGGTGGTACAATCTCAGAGATGACGACAGCCTTACTTTGAATGTCGTTGTTATTATTCAATTTAGAAGGTGGAGGAGAGGCAAAATCAATCTGAACACAAACATCCTTCTCATTTTCTTCTTCAAACAAGTCACTCACCTCAGAATCAGAGGGTACGCTCAAACAAAGAACGCTATCATCTGTCAAATGACCATCCAATTCGGAAAAGTTATAACTCTTCTCTGTTGTCTGGACCATTGGTGGTTGAGAAGAGACCACTGGAGAAATTGGCTCTTGTTTTACAGCAATGTTCGAAGTTGGAAAGATTATTTCTGGTCTAAGCACATCAGCAGAAACAGGCGTAGGTATTTCTGCGTCAACCATCTTGTCCAAAGTTTCACGATTTTCAAATAAGGAGAGATGTGAAATTTGCTCAGTCACATTGGTCTCCCCTGAAGAGTCTGTTGTCAAATCAACCATGATTGTTGATGCACTGGTGGTTGGTACAGAATGTTGGTGGTGATTTGGTGTCTTGGCCTTTCTTCTGACCTGTCTCTTTTGTTTTTTCACAACCACTACTTCTTCTTCACTGCTCAATTCTTCTTTCTTCATTTGAATATTCAATAAAGATGGAACGGAGGTCGTGCATGATGACGACTCCACAGGACCATTGTTCAAACTTTGCACAAGATTTTGAGAAATAGGCTGAGAAATTGCCTCTTCCTTGTGTACATTCATTTCCAAGTTGTTGTTGTTGTGTTGAGGAGCGCTCGACTCGGTATCATTCATTGCCACATCCTTCTTAGATTCCATCAGAAGTGCTGAGGTTTGTGAAGTTGAGAGACTCTTGTGAGATGTACTCGTGCTCGTTCCAGCAATAATTAAATGTTCAGATTTCTCATTGTCCGAATCGGTCGACAAGGACTCTACCGTATGAATCATGTCCAAATCATCCGAGAGTCCGGAAGGAGCTCTTTGCTGGGAAATTCTTTCATGTTTGTGTTGTGTTTGTTGATTAAGGACTGGCTCAATCGGATTCTCAATATCCTTTTCCAAATCAAGTGTAGGAAGAGAAGACAATAAATCTCTCTCTAACTCTGTATTGTCAATGATCATTGGAATTGGACTTTGTTGAGGAGAGACCAACTCCTTATTATTAATACTAGCACGTGCTCCGTTTGAATGAGTGGATGAATTTGAAAACTTCTTCTTCCTTCCGCTGCTCATACTACTTTTTGGAGATTGAAACGATCTAAAGGCAGGCGATAATGAAAATTGTTGAGTACTATTAGAACCATTATGAATGTTTTGTTCCTGTTCCAAATTTCTCGTGGCAAGAGGTGTTATTTGCTTTCTCATGAGTGGAGATGGTACAATCATCATATTCGGAGAGGATTTATGTAAAGGCAAATGTGATTGATACACCCCAATGGGAGGACTCCTGAGAGGTGTCTTCTTCTTTCCACTGTTACTATGATTGAAATTACGGTGGAAAGGTTTCTTACCGCTGTTACTCGCAAGATCATTCAAGCCTTTGAAAGACGGAGTTGCAAAATAGAGAGAAGATGATTTCAAAATTTGATCTTGAATAAAGTCGGCACGAGAATTCAAATCAATAATGTATTGATCAAATCGTGTCTGCAACTCGTTGGCATATTTGCTGAAGGTGTTTTCGGTTTCCAAAATAATTTGAGTCAACTTTCTTGTTCTCGTTGTGGAGTCCATGTTGGTTGTCGTTGATGTTGAAGATGAAAGGAAGGTAGAGAGTGGAGCCAAAGTCGTGGATTGGCAAGAGTCTGCAGCAGCGAATGAAGTATTATTGGACATGTGGAGTTGTTGGTGTGGCTTGGAATTCGGAGGTGTAAAGTTGAATGGTGTGTGCGTTGTTGGTGAATTAGTGGTTTTTTTAATAATAATATTTCAAATTGTGAAACGGTTAGATTTTTGAAAGTTGAATATTGGCGCCAACTCGTTCATTACTGCATTCTCTGTGCCTTTGGACTACTGGGTGAAGAGTTGTTGCCATTGATCACGGATGGAGTTTGAGACTGAGTTGTATAATCGGCACATGTGAAATGGTCCAGCCTAGAATATCCAATGAAATTGGCTCCCAAGCAAGCATCAGAACTGAGACTTGACATCCATACGTTACATTCGAGTTTGGGATTTTTCAACTTGGTTTTCCATGTTGCATTATTCAGGGTGGTAGAATAGGGTGTGACAAATTCGTACTGTGTAAACATGGGTCCATAAAACTTGAGACCAGACTCGTGATCAATAAGTTCCAACAATTGGCAAGCACCCACCGCTTCCCAAAGAATTGCTCCATTGTCCACATCTGGATATCTGTGAATGTCAATGACAATTGGCTTGAAACGACCAGCGTCATCACGCTTGAAAAAGAGGTTGGGATACCATCCAAACACTCTGTAATTCTGAGAGGTAGTGGCGTCTCCTAGCACTTGTCTCAAATTCTCAGGCCTCTGACTTATGTTAAGGATATCTTTTTCTGCGAATATAATGTTTGAAAGAAAGGCAATTTCTTGTTGTGAGAGCGCTTGCTTGTTGGACTGTTTTTGGTGAATATTCATAAGTACTTGAATCGTCTTGATAAAATTGTTGTAAAATACTGTAGCCTCCTCGCTAATTGGCATTTTGTTGAAAATGTCATCACGTTCAAGCATATCTCTCAAAAATCGTAATAATGAAAGAAAGTTATTGAAAAAGTGCATATTTCCGTCAACCAAAAACTGAATGTCCTTAAATCCAGAGGCCGCAGTATCAATATCGAACGTCTCCTTAATTGACATTGGCTCAATATCTGTTTCAATATGCTGTTTTGCGAATAGTGAGCTATCATACTTTAAATGTGAGTACGATGAAAATTGAGTTATAAGCGTTTTAAATTCATACTTTTCACATGAAGAAAAAAGTTCGTCTGATGATGTGAACGAGCTGAGCGATTGTATCGTCTTTAGCCACAAGTTGTGAATACTCGGAGGTATCATAGAGGACTCTATATCTTGTATTAGGTCTCGTAACTCTCTTAATTTTGGTATCACCACGTCAAAATAAGGATCAGTATTTCGCATCAAGTTTTCTGAAACAGTCTCGGCTCCAAATATTGCATATCCGAGGTCTAAAACAGTTGGTATTATTCTTGGTAGAAGCCTCGTTCCTTCAGTATCTGTTAATCTGTCAAACGTAACATTTGAAAATATGAACGAGTCGACTGTGAACTTTTGCCCAAATAAACAAAAGGTTAAGTCATCTTCATGCCCAATTCCATCCTCAGGTGATTTTAGCGTGGAGTTGGCAATGTAATTCAAACCCAACTGTTTCTTGAGAGCATAGTTTTGCATTTCTCTAATTGCCTTCTCTCCATCGGGCAAAGTTATTGTGTAATAGAGCTTTTCTCCAAGCTTGCTTAGACTAATCTCGTTTTGTTCCAGACCAAAGTAGTCAAACAAAAAACTTGTCACTCCTTCACAATTCACAGAGTCTGATGGTCCAATCATGGTTGTATAACAATGTTCAATATGTACATATTCCTTATCGAGAGTATTTGATTCACACATTAAAAGCCATAATAACAGCATTAAGTAAATTGACGCAAGTTTGTAATGTCAAGATAAGTATTTCCGCACCAACTAATAAGCTTGAAATAATTGTTCATGTAGTCTCGAATGTAGTACCAATTTGGTTGATAACGCTTAAACTCGAAAAATCTTTTTTCTCCGAATATTGTAAATAGACAACAAGATGAGCTAAACTCGCTTCCTGAACGTCTATGAATGAGATCAAACAAGTACTGAATATCATGAGCGTTAGAAGGATAAAATCCGTGTTCAACCTTGTCCACAATAAGGGAAAACGAAAGGGTGATATAAAAATCAAGATCTATCAATCCTTGCTCAATTAAACCTAATGGCCTAAATTCATTGGATGGCATTAATTCATTGGAGTGAGAGTTTTGGGTTTGATACTCTGAAAATCGGTGCGGTATAAAGGTATTTTTCATTAATTCAAAGAGATTGGCAAACAATCGTTTGCTTTTCGGAAATAATATTTGAACTTCAATGGACTCCAAAATGGACTTGTAGCTGTAGTGGAAAGCATGAAGTAAGGAATCTGTTGTAATCAGCACATGATGATTGTTTTTTTCCAATTGTTCTGTCTTGAATCTTTGAAGTAATCGGTAATACATTTCTCCGAACGATCCAGTCATATTTGAATAGGAACAGCATGATGATCTGTAGGATTGTTGTGAGTTGTGTATGGTCGTGGAGTTGGTTATGGATGGATGGTCGGAAAGGTCTTGCTGCATTTTTTTGAACTTGTATTTATTACCTCTTTTGAATCGTGCCAAACATGGTAAAATTGAAGTTGTGCTTTTACATCATGTGTATGGATATTTTCTGATCGATTGGTTTCCTACAAACTGGACATTGGCTCACAGAGTTGGCACAACTTTCACAGGTACACAAATGACGACACGGAAGGAACAAGATCTTTTTCTTTTCTGAAAAACAGATAGCACAAGTCACTTCCTCTGAAGCACGCTCTATTTGCAATTCATGAATGCTTTTAAGATTCGATTCCATGTGGATTTTCATGTTTTGTAATGTGGTGCTTGGAATAATTGAGAGTTCATCTTTGCTAAATTGAACTCTCTTTTCTGGTTTCTGAGCTTCTTCTAGAATCTTTTTAAGTGTTTCATGTTCTTGACGTTGTTTGCCTGTTGTTGTTGGAAAGACTCTTTCATAGTGAGAATTTCTTTTTGTAATTGTTCCTTCTCCATTTGCAATGTTCGTACTTGTTGTTGAAGTGCATGTGTTGTGAGATTCTTTGTTTTTATGGAGCTAAGAAGGTTTGTGAAATCTTGTTGTAATCTCAATAGTAACATTTCATCCTCACTTGCCATTGAGTCACCCTCTTGAGTTGTCGTAATAATAGCGCTCTTCTCAAGTGTTGATGTTGGAATTTCAATCATGGGGCTTTGCTCGACATTCTCACCTCCAATTATTGTCACTCTATTCATACACTTATTTCTTTTAAGTTTCTCAGGTAAGAATGGAAACACGTCTCTTGACAAGTGTTGAAAATGTTGCATTTCTGTAATGACTTGAAACGATGAAACATCCATGTTGGTTGTAATGGTTGCCCAAAAATCCATAAACTTGTTGAAAGGTCTCGATGATGTATGTGGACACAATTGTCCATTCTTTGCAAAATACACTTCATTGTTATACCACAACACGCTCACGCAATCTCCTTGACCATATTTTGAGAATGCTTTTTGAGTATAGGATGGCCCAGTCGAGGCAAAAATGTAACCATCGTCTGCATGATAACCAACCGAATGCTTGTACCATCCAACCATTCCTTGTTCTTCAAAATATGGAGGAGCTAGGCCAATTCCAAACACTGGATGACTCACACTACTCTCTAAAATTCTAATTTCATAATAAAACAATAATTGGCTTGGATCGTTATTCGTGCCGAGGTCATGAAGCACAAGATGAACCGGAAACTGAAGTAAACATCGTGACTTGGCCTCCTTGAGAGAAAAGTTGGGAATTATTTTCCAAACAGAATTCTCTTTCGAGCAAGAAACCACACTGCGATCATCAACACGCATGGGTGCAACGCCGTACCCGTGAAACATTTTTTTCGACCATAATTGGAATTCTCATTCTTGTCCAACGCAATTTCAAATATTGAAGAATTGATGAGCAAGGAAGATCAACCCAACCCAACAATTCCACGGAATATGAATTCTTATGAAAAGAATATTTTAAAAAGAAAAATACGTAGTCATCGTCATGAACCCCCAACAGCCTTTTCTCCCAGTGAATTTTCCAACTGGAGGGCAAAGACAACCAACACTCAATCCACAACAACAACCATCCATGCAACAACAACAACAACTACCAACCAATCCATTCCATTTTCCACAAACACAACCATCCGTGCAACAACAACAACAGCCTCCTTCAAAACAGACTCTCGGAGAACTTGTAGAGATCAATGTAGGTGGACGTAAATATTCAACCACCTTGCGAATTTTAAGATCTATTCCTCTCTTCAATAAATTGAAATCCATTCCAACGTTGCAAACAAGAAGACCGCCATCCGTATCAACAACAACAGGAATATTCCAACAAACTGTGCTGCAACAACCCATCCATCCAACAGAATTTAATTATGAAGAATATTTGAGTCATGATTCCGAAGGCAATTTGTTTGTGGATTTGAATGGTGAATTATTTGAGAGTATTTTGGATTGGTTCCGATATGAGAGGGTTGCTGATCTCTCTATAAGTCATCTTAATGTCAAACAATTATTGAGATTGAAGGGTGAAGCTCTTTTTTATGGAGTGCAAGACTTGTCACAAGCCTGTGCCAAACGTTTGGAAGAATTGGGACAAGGAATTTCATCATTGGGAGTCAATCCTCTACTATCTTCTTCGCCTCCAACCTCTCAGATTGGTGTAAAACCTGCTCCACGCTTTGAACTCCTCAAGCTGCAAATGAAGAATACGAATCAGAGTTTGATTGCTGTACAGGCTGGAGATGGTGATTTTCATGTAATTCCTGATGCACGAGTGGAGTTTGAATTGGCCTACGAGGGTCACATCCTTATTGAATATTCCATTGCAGATTCGAGTGGTGACTATGTGATTTGCATTGATGGAGTCGATCAGAAAAGTCATCCTGCACTCTCAGGTATTGTGTTCCAGGAGCTTTCTGAAGTCAAGATTATCAAATTTGATTATGCCATGACACAGGCTTTGAGTTTTGTTTCCCCTACTCCTTTGAAGGTTGGTAAACATGTGGTCGAGCTCAAGTGGCGATCCTATTTCAAAACAGCTTACAATATGCAGGACCTGCATTGCCAAACTGTTCTATGTACATCCAAGCGTTGTGCAAATCAAAGAATAAAGTACAAGCATGTGCTAAAACATACACTTGGATGAACGAAAAGGCAGAGCATGAGTTTGAAATGCTGCTGCACTCGATGAAGAAAGATTTTTTCAGAAAATCAACAATTTATGACCCAGACAGGAACCTGAAAGAAAATGGATCACAGACTGCTATCGATAGAGTGATGTACATCTTCAAATATTCCTAATTTCAATTATAATAAATGATAAAGTGTTTGTTTATCGGGGCATTACTTTCTACAAAAAGCTCTATGATGATGAGGAATGGGAGGAGCAAACGGAAAACAAATAAACTCAATGAAATGTCATGATATTAGAGGGATCCGAAAAGGTAGGTATTAACAATCAGATGAAGAGAATTATTCTCTCTTCTTCTTAAAGTAGAGACCGACCGTTACACCAATTCCCAACAAAACAAAGAGGAAGTAGAGACCGGCGGCAATGAAAAATCCTTGAGCTTTCTCGTATCTAGTTTCATAAACGTGATCATTGACTCCTTTAGAGAATGGGTAAGCGCTCACAATAACGAGAATACCCAAATAAAGAAGAATAAACATGCTGACTGCCGAATAAACTGCACAGCAGGAGCAGCATCCCATACAGAGTGTCTTGTTGCAAAAGCCCATTTTTTATGATGAAACAAAAAATAAAAATATTATTATTTTTTTTTCGTCCTGATTTGGAAGATGGATACATTCTTAAATGAATATCCATTTTCATTGAAATAAATATCATCGTAGGAGTTGACTCAACGTTCTATATCATGATAAAACAACTCCTACTTATTGTTAATTGAAAATTAGAATAGAAATTTGAATAAATAAAAAAATGGACGGAGTGGTTGAGTCAAAAGAACACTTGTGCTATCCGGTGATCAGCGAAAACCCAAGCATCACTCAAATCATGAAAAACACAAGAACTAAAGAATTGGGATATGCTGCTTTGTGGACCGTTGGATTGGGAATTTTTGGATTTGCAAAAGGCTCGCCTAAGAGAATGCCATCCGCTGTTGTTGGTGGTATTGTGGGTGCTTTTGGTGGTTTGCTTTATTCTCAATATAATTCAATGTTACGTTTGAAGGGATATAAAGAAAATAGATTGGAATTAATCAAGGCTGGTATCATCAGTCCTGAAGGTAACAAGCGTCTTGTAAAAGTAGTGAAGAGAAGACCTCTCGTTTCTCCCCAACAAGCGCTCTAAATTTATTTAATAATTCATAACAACAACAACACTATAATACCAACACGGGATTTTAGTAATCATCAGAGTTTTATGAACGGAATGTAATAATGTAGTGATGATTATAAATAACAATTTTATAATTTATAATTGAATCGGATTCAAGTCATCATGGCACTGGACAGATCCGGTGTGATGAATGGTCTCTCATCGATTTGAATTATGAAATGCATTGTATTTCAGACTGAATTTTGTGTTCACATTCCGATACTGCCATCACTAATTGTCATCTTGTCAGCTTTTCTTGTTGTAACATGGCTTACTGTGTCATCCCAAAGCACAACAGTGATGACACTCTCCAACAGTACAATTTCATAGATTCCATTTGCTGAGCTGTACTTGTTCTACTACAGACGTCTTCTCATCATTGCCCTTTTTAGTGTAAGCCAAAAAACCTTTTCACAGAAAGTAAGTCTCGAAATGGTTTACCACAATTTTTGGCACCATCATTTTTTTGGAAATGAAATCAATTGTTGAGCTCAATATCGAATGAGCGTTTCGCCACTGATAGATCATGGCCATGAAGTAACAACAAGGCTTGAATTTTGGATAATTTTCAAAATGTAAAGAGTTGGGGGTCCATTTCACTTCATGTTTTCTTTCCTTAGAACTAGGTTCGTGCAAAGGAGAATTGACTGAGTGTACGACGGCAACCGAACACTTGCACGCAGTAGAATATCACCTCACTCGACAATTTAATTGCCTTCTTTGAAAAACAAATAACTCGACACAACGCTCTAACTCTCAACATTCGCTTATTCTAGGTTCAATATTTCTCTATACTGGTTTCTTCTGTTAACGCACACATTGTTCAACATGAGTCTTGCACAACAAATTCCACACACACTCTTGGACTTGTACCGAGTTCCAACAAGAATGGAGATCACCAATGTCATGACTGTTCATAGTTGGGTGTTCATGGTTAATAACATTTGTGTACTCGTCTTGTTGCTGTTGTGCACAGTTTGGATGTTTCGAGTCAAGGGTTTCACTTCAAAATCCATACGTTCGATTCAACCACAAGATGAACATCACACACAAGATCATTCAATGAAGAAGACAAGTCGATCAGAGTCCTCACTATCGCCAGATGTTCCCTCCTCGAGCGATGATGAGGATGAAAACGATTTGACTATGGCGAGCCCTTCTGAGAAATCTAAGAACAGTTCTGGTCAAAGTCAAACTTGTCTAACCTCTACTTGTCCCACCCTAAAGTAAGTTTCAAAAGTGTTTGTAAAACAACGTTATGATTCATGAGTTGAATTCAACAGTTTGAAAATACCCTCTCACTTTCTTTATGAATCTATAATCCTTTCTACCAAATTTTCTTCATCCAAACCTTTTCAACCTTCCAAATTGTTGTTTGTATTCAGAGCTGTGGCATGTGTGTGGTCACTTGTCACGATTTTACTTTATCAACTTGTGTACATTCAACAAGGACATTTGACATTCCTTTCCTTCCTTACTAATGTTTCCTTTGTGGTATTCACTGCATATTTCACTTTACAAACAGTCCTTGGCTTGGTTCATTATTTTATGATTCATTGGAGAAAAGGTGAACTCACTCCTCTCTTGTCCTTCTCAGTGTCAAATGTCATGTGGTTCTTGAGTGAGCTCACTATTACTGCATCCATACTTGTTTGTATTGGATTTTGGAGTTTAGCCTCGTTTGAGCAATACAAACCTCTAAGAATTGATTGTTATTTGTAAGTATCCATGTATTGTTTTTTCTTGATTCGATCTTACGTATTGTGTAGTAATTTTTCAGTTCACGGAATTGTTGGAATTTTTGCACTTTTCGAATTTCTTCTTTCAAACATTTCGTTTCGATTTTGGCATGTGTTCATGATTGCCATGTATCCCACTGCATTCTTTTTATGGTTACAAATTTTGGCTGAAACACGACTCATTACTTTATTTCCTTACAGCATGTCCAATTATTTCAAGTTTCCCTTCACGTCCTCAGTCATTTATACCTTTGGAATGCCATTTGTGTTTATTTTGACTTTTTGCATTTTGTGTTATTTTTCCAAATTGAGACGCCTCCATGTCATGACTCAAAAACATTAACAACATAAATGACGCATCTTAATAGAGAAAGGATTGTTTTTAAATTTCCATCTTGTCATAATCTCCATAACGTAAATCACCGTTCACTCATTGTTCAAGCTCGAGCTGTTGAGCTCTTGTCAATGCCACATAGGTGACATTCTCGAACAGTTGTGAACTATCAGTGATAATACTCTTTTGAGTCTCATCCATTAATGATACTCGTTCCACATGTTCCATATTCAATTCCAATGCTCGTTGTTGCAATAATTGATTCACTTTTAAAAGTACTTGCTTTATGCAAGTCCATTCACTAGCTTCCAAATTTAGAAAATATTTGGCATTGGATTCCATTTTTCGAATTATGATCTTTCTTGTCAACAATGGGGATGAAGAAGGACGGCTTGACACGGGTTGAACGCCTTGAATTGGCGATCCATTCATTGAGTCCATGAGTGGAGAAGGACTTGTCGAATTCATTCCTGGAGTTGTCATTAGCAATGAAGATGATGGCATCAATGAATGAAATGAATGGTTGTGATTCATTGTTGGGTGATGTGTTTGTGGTTGCATCCAAGATACGTGTGATTGAGTTACATTTGGAGGGTATTGAAAGTTTTGATGGACTTGTTGTGGATTTTGAAAAGCCATGTAAGGATTTTGGTTTAAGGTGTGAATGAATGAGGAGGATGGTGGTTGCATCCATGATGAGGAAGCATGTGATGCATGGAATTGAGAATTGCTTGGTTGAAATGAATGGTTGTAATTGGTCATCCATAAAGGATTTCCAAAATTAGTAAAAGTACTATCTGAACTTGCCGGAGGTTTGTCATTCAACAACAAGGCCATTGGAACAATAACATACGGACTTCCATCCGGAAACAATGGCAACACTTCGACTGGGAACATGGAAATCGTTTCCTTTTTCGTATTGGTCAATTCCCTCCACTGTTGTTCTGCAAGTTTCTGATCCGATAATAACGCATTAAAATACATCAAGGTTTGAAGTTTGAAACGGTGTGCTAATGTACATGTGGGTTCTACTTGAAGGGCCATCGATATATAGAGGCGACTCATCTTGTCATTTCTCAAATATTTGAATAATTGTGCACACAAAATGTATAATGGAGAATTTCGATATTTTCGTGCGAGGGGAGTTGCGTAGTTGAGTGCATTTTGGAATTCGCCACATTCTCTGTTCATGATACTTGCTACGAATTTCAATGCATCATTTGTTTCTTCCTGTCCTCGAAAAACTGACATCATGTCCAAAAGTACTTGTTTCAATTGTGAAATTTCTCCTATCCCGGAATAAATACTTGCTAATACATAATGAATGGCCAAACTTTCTGGACAGAGTTGACGTGCCATTCTCAAATCTTGAATTCCTTTCAAAATATCTTGTCGATCATTGGAACGACAATACATCATGGCTCTCTGAAAGAAAAACATGGGATGAGGACCCACTCGTTGAATGAGATCAGTAAATCCATCAATAACGGTATTGAAGTGATGAGAACCTAATTGCATCATGCAACTATATTTCAAACTCAGTGTGATTGGATTTTTGATGGCTTTGAGAGATTTTTCTAAATGGTCCAAAGCTTGTTCGTATTGCTGCTGTTGAATGTGATAAATGGCAAGAAATTGTTCTAATAAATGGCCTGTGCATGAGTCGCTACTGTTGGTGCTCTTGATGGATTCAAAAATCTTCTCGGCGTGTGTGAGATGTTTCTTGATTCTGTGGAAGTCTGCCTTATATGGAAATGGTATGAATTCCCAAATTTTGCAGTCGTTTTTGTACAAGGTGGCAATGTATATAATGAGAATCATGTAATGAAATCGTTATTCAATGATCATGTTCGAATCTTTCATATCAAATTGGTTTGAATGTCTTTCAAAATTTGTTGTCAAACATGTCATTTGGTCCTTTTCCCCAAAACCGTTCGAACTGGTACCTAATGAAAACAATTCATGGTCATTCATACATGGATCTTTTAACAAATCAATTCCTTGTTGAATGGTTTTACATGTTTGGAAAAATCTCTTCATTGGACTTGCATTCCATTTCGAAATTGGTATCAATTTATAATCATCTTGAAAACATAACAAACTTGCACACAATCCCAACAATTCCAAGACATTGATCGTATTCATTCGTTCCTCTCTCTTGTATCTTAATAAAGCTCCCAAAATTTGACATAATAAAACATGCAAACACTGATGAAAATTCATGGAATCCATTTGGTTATTGAAATGTGGAGGATGATGGAATGAATGGAAATGGACAGAAGCAGGATCCATGTTGGATGATGACCTGATCTCAGGTGTGAAATTCATTCCTTCCTTTTGAGTGGCTTGAAAAACTGTTTGACTTAATAGAAACTCCCATTGTTGTTCGACAGGAATCATTGGATTCATGAAAGGGTGTCCAGAAGGTGCATGGACACTTGTCATTGAGTGTCTTAACGGATTGGACATTGTCATACTTGTTCCACACTCAGCTGCTAAATTACAAATACTAATTGAATTTACCGAATTTGGAAATAACAATTTAAATAATACCACACCCAAACTCCAATAATCAGTTTTAGGACTATATCTTCGTTCATGAAGAGCATCTGGAGGTAAATATTCCAAAGTTCCTCTTCGTTGAGAAAGAGTGAGAGTATTTTCCGTTGAAAGTACCATTCCAAAATCACCCAACACGATTTGTACCTGTTGTAACTTGTCGTCGTAATGTTTCACAAAAATGTTTTTCAATGAAAGGTCACAATGACAATGACCTTGTCGATGCACGATATTTAAAGCAATGGTTAATTGAATCATGATTTGTAAAATTAACACATAGTAGCCCATTGGAGTGTGTTGTTGTTGTTGCTTTTTCAAAACCAATTCAGATATAAAGTGTTCCAAATCTCCGTATTCATAGAGAGGCATCACGATGGCCAAACAAAATGGATTCAATTCTATAATGTCGAGAATGGGAACCAAATAATCACATGCAACATCGTTTCGTTGAAGAAATAAACAAGCATCATGTTCAGCTTGGATAATTTCTGTCTCTTCTGGTGCACATTGAACGACTCGTAACGCAATCCATTGATGGCTTCGAGAGGTGTCTTGACACTTGTAGACTTTGGCAAAGGTACCGTGTCCGATGAGGATGGGAGAATGGAAACGTGAACGCAGTTGGGGTGGAAAATTGGTTGTGTTTTCATGGTATGCTGTGTGAGGATGAAACATGGAAGAGGTGTCGGTGACGGCACGGTGATCACTACTGTTGATCATTGTGGAGGATTTTTAATTTGAGTGTTTTTTAACTCCCACACGTTCCTCATGTGACATTTGAGATCTTGACCAAATGACACAAAGAATTAATTTGCACAAGAGTTTTATTTCTCCTTTTGACTCAATTCTTTGAGCTCAGCCTCGACTTGTTTTAATGCAAGCTTGGCACGACTGTGCAAGACTTCTTCGAATGGGTATCCACTCAATTTGTTGCATTTTTCTAAATTCTTCTTAACCTCATGTAAAATATGGAGCTTCTTCTTGGTATCAGACTCGGTCTTGAATTCATTCAGATAACTAGACTCTGCAATTTCATAGAAGGAGAAGGCAATCCATTGCTTTTCGAGTTTGATCTTGTTTTCAAAATTGAGAGCTTTCTGGAACTCTGCAACAGATTCTTCTCTCTTTCCTATTTGTCTCAAGAATTGTCCCTTGACCACACAAATACCAGATTCAATGTCACCGTGGACCTTGCTCTTTTCATCAATTTTCACATCTTTGGCAACATCTAGGAAAAATTGATAGAGTGGATCTGCAATGTCAGCAGACAAGTTTGCCAAATCTCTTCTCAAGTAAAGAATTTGGAAAATAGAAACAAGCATCATTAAATGCCTTTCCTCTTCAGTATTGATGTACTTAATCAAGTCAATCTTTTCGAGAGCAAACTTGTCAATTCGAGAATTTTTGGAGACGTACTTGTCCAAGTCTTTGATAAGCACATTGGCACCCTCTTTGTCACCAAGTTTCAATTTACAAACGGCAAGAAGCATGCAACAAATTCCCTTTGTGTCAAATTCCTTTTCAGACTTGATCAAATCGTCCATAACTGTCGATGCTTCAGTAAAGTTCATGGTTAACATGTAACAAATTCCAAGTTCAAACAGAAAATTGTTGGGCTTTGTTCCCATACTCTTTGCTGTGATCTGAATGGCGTCCTTGAGATTAGAAATAGCAGCATTAATGTCTCCAGCCTTTCTGTCATAGTGAGAGTGAATAAATTTAAAGAAGCCACTCTTTGGGAAGCGGGCACCAATTCTCTCTAAAATTGGAGAGACTTCCTGAAGGTTCTTCTCTCTGTCTTGCAATGCTCTAGGAATAAACAAGTAGTTCAAGCACAACATGAATCCACCATTTCCCAAGTGTCTACCACCATAATCATGTACTTGTTTCAAATAATGCAGACCTTGATCTCTGTCGGCATCAAATCCTAAAACGCTCAAAATTTTAGCTAGTGTTGGAGGTAAAATTGAAAGCATGAAATTGAAAATGCTATGGGGTGTGATAGTGGAATTGTAAACGTCCAGTGTGATAATGTGAATCGTGAGTGGATATGTTAATAAATGTAAAAGCAAAATAAACATACCCCAATCCAAAATAACAACTGTGAATTAAATCACTGTGTACAAATTTAGATGAAGTCTTTGGTTCATCTTTCAAGCTATCAACAGTTGTATGGACTTCCTTAAATTTCAAATAGGCCTTTCTCAAATTATAAAACCCTTTCAAATAAGACGAGGCATGAAATTGTAGAATACCTCTCAACAAATGAGTCTCTCCGTTCAACAATGTCAAATCGAGTTCAAAATTGTGAAGAATTTGCTCTTCACTCATCTCTTCTAATTCCATATAGTTTTTATGGGTCCGTTCAGTTTGAGTGTAGTAGTCTTCCGATGTTCCTTTAACTTCTTGTTCCATGTCTTATATTCTTCAACGAGTTTAAGGATATCATCTTTTTTACTGATCTTTTTCAAGGCGTGTTCGGCATGTTCAAGATCGCTCATTCCTTGTTCTCTCATGGCAGTCTCACCTGAAATGTTTGAGGAGAGAGCAGCTATTTTCATTCAATAACAGTCCACAATTGATGAAAAAGGTGAATCGTGTAGTGATGAAACCGATCACGCATCGTCATGTATATATGAATTCAATGAAAAAGATCATGGTAACAGAAAGGAATAATTGTCGTTTTTTGAGAAATAAATTTTTGGGTGATGATCATCACCGAATTCATTTGAACGTTAGTGTGTGTTCCGACACGACCACAGTACACACCATCGACAATGAACACAAATTCAATGATTCGTTACGTAAATATACAAATCAATATAATGAGAAAGCACTCAAAACATACCAATAGATCCGAGCTCAAAGGCCATTCTAGGGTTGCTCTTTAATGGATTCAAGTAATCTCTTGCTTCCTCAAATTCAGTGTTCCACACCAAGTGGTTTCCTTTCATTACGCAATTGAACATTTTGAAATTGGTGGTTGTGTGTTATATTCAACGAGTTCGTTCAGCAACACGTGGTTGTTGTTTTAGATTTTTATTTTGAAAATTAAAATCGATTCCTTATGGAGATTCAAAGTGCAACCGTTTAAATGTCGCACCAATAGCGGCCATATTGGCGCACATATGCCAGTTATTGATTTGAATGATGTCGCGATGAGACTCATTGAAATTGTTTTGATTTCAATAAGGCTAATTTGTCAGGCGTGTATTATTGTTTATTGATGATTAGGTAGTTCTATTGAAAAAAGCTGGGCAAGTGTCACTTACAATAAACAAGACCTTATTCGAATGAAATGTGTTTAATACTGCAACGGTCAAAAGTGGGGAGGATTAGGTGGCAGCACTACCTCAGTACCAGAGGTGGTTGACATTGTGGCCATTAATTGCTGTTGCTGTTGTTGTATCCTGTTTTGTTTTTCTTGAATAAGAGCATTCGTTTGCATATCGATCATGTCAATTAATTTAGAGACGTGATTTTGCATTTGCATAGAATAGGGAGGAATTGATCCAACATAAATTTCATCTTCCATATTTTGATCCTCTGGTTGTGCAGGGCTTTTAAGATTGGTGGTATCATCGGCTGAATATTCCACAAAAGGTTGAATTTCTTTAAATGTTTGATTCAGTAAATTGAGAGCATTAAATGATCTTGCCTGAATAACATCATAAATAGATGGAGATTGATAAACAATTCCTGCTGCAATATAATACAAATTCAATAATTTAGGATTATTCTTATCTTTTTTTTCAACTTTTTCCTTTTTCACGATATATAACGTGGGTGGTTTGGATCGTTTCGAATCAATTGAATACCGTATACCTTCAGTACTCTCAAGAAGAGCATTCCGATCAATGTTTCCAATCTGTTGCATTCGTACGGTTTCATTGACCGACTTTTTCGAGTAGAACGGATTGGTCCGATTACAAAAGTACTCGAGAGCAATTTCTTCATTCATCAAGGGTCGATTTCGTAAGAAAAAATCATCACGCCATGTTTTTGTTGCCAATGTTTGTCGTTGGCCTCTTCTTCCTCCAATAAATCATCCATATCGGCATTCACTCCCGAGAGAGTGTCAAAAATTGATGATGAGACTTTTCGTTCCATTTTTTTTGAATTTTTTACTATAAAATAGTAAATATCGTTAATGAAACAAAGGTTGTTCCACTGAAAAAGCTACAATAACTGGGTTAAGGTTGTAAATAACTTCAGTAATTTGAAAAAAAATTCAAACAAGTCCATTCCTTCAACTGCAAAGGCTTTAATAAGGATTTCTCTTCAATACAGAAAAAGATGAGAACAGAGAAAGAGGAAATGACTCAAGAATCAGATGAGGCTTCTTATGATTCTACAGAAGATGAGTACATCTTGAGCGAGTCGGAGGAAGATGAAGGCTCTTACTCTGCGCCTTCATCGTTTCAAAGTCCGTTCCAGATCAAAGTGTTTGCTAATACTTCAAGTTGTAATCGTTTTTCAAACTATTGTCAATCTCCAACTCTGGTCATTGAGAAGGAAGAACCAATTCAACTGAAACAGGGAAGTTCGGAACAATCATCGCACAGTATGAGAAGATCAATGACCAGACAATACTCAAAAGATGTTTCCTCATTGTTGGAGGCTTCTGAGGCAACAAATTTACTTGACAAGTCAACTAGGATTGATCTTCCGAACAAGAAACGAGACGAGTTCAAAACCCCAATACGAAGGGCTCGTAAATTCTCTGCAAGAAGCGGATCGTCTGCTTCTTCTTCATCCTCTTCGAAAAAGGATTCTTCGATCAGTTCCTTGATGGAATATTTAACTTTTTATATCCATAAGGCTCCTTCCCTTAACGCATCTGTTGAAGAACGATTCTTAAGACAATATTTAAACTTCATGTATGAAAACAAACCTCGTGCATTTCCTTCTCCTTTTCCCATGTGGAGATCAGTTCCTCTCGATTTGTTCCATCTTTTCCTTCACGTTCAAAAGAAAGGAGGGTTTGATTCAATGGATCGTTCTGATTGGAATGAGGTGTATTCCTTCTTGCGAAATTACAGCTCCTTGGTGAAGAATGCAGGTCGAAGACTTAAAGTCTTTACAGTATTACTTGTTGGATTTCGAGAAATCATCTGGTGAACCTTTCGAAAGTTGGCAGATGAAACTAGCGACACCTTAGAAAAATTTAAAGACTCGAGTGAATCGCTCCAACTCCAAATTATTACTAATATCAAAAAGAAGAGTTTGAAAGAACTTCCTGAGAGCGCTATTGATCAAAGTGCTGCAACGACCTTGGAACAAACTCAGCAACGAAGCAAATCGGTCGTTGATGGAACAGTATTTTCAGAGAGCTCAAATATCAACAAGAGCATTTTCATTGGTAACGCCTATCTTCAACTGTTCAAGCAGAATCAATCTACGTCCATCGTTATTAAGATAGGTATATTTGATACACCCGCTGGAAAAACACTGTTTGAACAGATCCCTATCGTTATGACATCTGTTGTCACTTTTGGAAGTACATTGTTAATGACAACAGACGTCGACCCGTTGAATGACAGTCTCCACCAAGATACATCAGTTGTCTTGGAAAATGGTGAATTAGCATATTCTGTAACTCATGGATCAATCGTGCTTGCATTTGGATCCCCATCACAATCTGTAAATGATGAATGTCGGCTCCCTTTTCCGTTTGAAGTGTTTGGCAAAATCAATGACAGCGATTACACCTTCGATAAACAGCAAAAACCCAAAAGATATTTACCTCAGATACTGTCGGTGGTTGGAAATGAATCTGAAGTATGGTGTGCAAAACTATTGCTTAACAATCCTTTGAAACTCTCTGGAGAATCCATTCATCTAAGAAAAAAGATAAAACATTCCACAGTCGGAAATAATATTAGTGAGAACTCAAAAGCACATCGTTTTTCCACTGACACTTCCACATCTTTTTCAATGGAAGGTGAAAGAATGTTGACTATAAGATATAGATACGAAGGAGAAACTGAGCAAGACGCACGATTAGTCAGCAATAAGTACACACCTTTGGAAAATGTCGTGGATCTGCAAGAAATTCATTCTGTATTGAGAAGAGACAATGTGAATATTGAGTTGGTCTCTGAAATTAGATATTTCAAAGAGGGTAAAGACATTGACCATTGTGGTTGGGTGATTCTACCTCCCTCCTTCGTAATTGAATTGAAATCTCCAGAAACCATGTTAAAACTATTGCTCAAACGAACCAGCAGTAGTCACAATTCACAGAAATAGTAATCATAGTATTCAAAACGTTTAATACATAGCCGAGTTCAGAACCAACAGTCACCATTCACAATTATTGTTGTTGTTGAATATTCACATTCGATGACAGATCCTTCTCTCGATCTTTTAGCACCTTCAAGGATTGTGTGAGCTGAAATTTGATATCCTGTAAAATAATTCGATCCGAAATATTATTCGCATCTTGTGGAGTCAGTACAAACTTTTGTTGTGTCATGGTCTCGGCAGCTCGTACTTGTTCCTTCAACTTGTCTATTCGTTGTTTTTGAACTCGAGCCAAATTTCGTAACATTTTCAATTCTGCTTCTTCAGCTCCTGTCGAAGAGGGCGACGAGAGAACTGATCGAGGAGATGTCACCGAGGTAGGAGAAGCAGATGACGACGCCGAAGGACTGAGTCGACTACTACTACTACCTCCAGAATGATGACCTTTCCTTTTCATGGCCTCTAATAAATATCCAATGCCACCATTTTGTTTCATTCCCATGTCTAAATAGAGTAATTTTAACATGAGCACTGGATCTGAATAAATCATTAATGCACTTGCTGCCTGTGATTGTTGTTCTTCCCTTTTCATGACTTCTCGATGTTCCTTAATTTTCTCTTTCAAAATATTCTCTAAGGGTGTCTTGATCGAGTCACTATTTTCAATGGATGTAATGACACCATCGAGATCCAACTCGGAAAAAAGAGATCTTATTCGAATTCTCACAAATGAATCTAATGGACAAGTCATGAGTGAGGTAAAGAGAGTCAAGACCTTTGCTCGATATTGTCCATCTCGTTGGGAAGCAAAGGATGTCACCAATGAAGAGAATGGGTTCATGGAGAGAGAGTTATTTGAAGAACCAGTGTCACTTATCAACGAAGACTGTGAGTTTCGAGTATTGGTATTCGGAGTACTCAATTGAGCTAATCTTGTACACTCGATCACAAAGGCATCAAATACAATCCAAAAACCTTCTTCGCTATGATTACACAACAATATGAAAATATCCAAAATGTATTTCCTCGTCACCAATGATTCCTTCTTGGTCAAAATATTCGTCAAAATTGTAATTGGAGATGGATACTCTAGAAATGGAGCATAGAATTCCTTCTCAAGCAAAATGAGTAAACAATAAATATAATTTCCCTGTACAACTTTTTCTTTCTGTGTCTTGTATACATGATTCAACTTTTCAATGACTTTTGAAATGAGTTTTACGCCTCCTTTCTGAACAAATTCTTGACACCAATGTTCATCTTTCATTTTTAACAGAGTGGCCAATGTTGCCAAATATTGTGGATCCGAGCTCTCTAACTCGAGCAAAATTCTATTCAATACAAAACTAACACTCACTTGTTTCAACTCTTCAATCACGGAGGACGTTCGTTGAACTCGTCTTTCTTTGGTTTCAATCTCTGGTATCTTTAAAAATGTATCGAGTCCACTAGTTTGAGACTTTTCGCAAAATTTAGATAATTTTTCAATGGTGTGACAAATGGCATGAATGTCCAAATTATTTACAAGAGTGGCAGGTGTCCAGTTGGTTGGAATTTCGTTCGATAAGGATTTACATTCTTCTAAAAAGAAGGAAATATTATTGTGAATGAGAGAAGCATCTCCTTGTGGTTCGAGGGATATCTGTGCCATGTAATCTCCAGCTCGTAAATTCTTTACCAAACAAATTAATCTGTCATGACAAATTTGGTAAAGCGACAGCAGTCAACAAAAAATCATAACATTCGAAAATTACAAAAATCCATTGCAACAGTTCATAATCATCACAATTATTGACTTCCAATAACACACACATCCACTACAACACCTACCTCACTAACACCACTCCATCCTTCAACAATTCCCACAAATCCTTCTCTGTATCACTCAACGTCTCTGATTCCAACCATTCTTTAATGACTTTCCTTTGCAGTTGCGAATACGAAGGTGCCACTGAATTTGCACTCTCTTTCAATGCTGCAAACAATCCCGAAGTATTTCCACTACTGAGATGAATGGATTGTCTTCTCAGAGATTGCCTCCGACTGATCGCAGCAGTTACTGCATGAGGCTGTTGACTCGATGATGAGGCAACTGCTGTTGGGGATGATTGCATTTTTTTGTAACGTGGTTGTGTTTTGTTTTTTTTGAAAATGAATAATTTGTCGAGTTTGATCGATCTCGAAATGGTGCTCTGTGTTCAGAAACAATGAAATTAGAAATTCACGAAAAGAACAAAGAAGGAAATTGGAAAATGAAAATTGAGAGAGATGATCACATTTCGAGACTAGTAGAGGAATGTGAAAGTTTATGGAAGATTTCTAAATTGTGGAAATGTCAGCCATTAAAATCAAAAATGTCATCTTCTGGTAGAGGAGCTGAATTGGAGAGAGAAGAATAGGTTGGAAGGTTTGTGTTATTTATTCCATAACACAAAGCTAAAACAAATATTCATTTCAAGGATGGATTGAAAATGAAAAAGGAAAAAAGGCTACAGCACTGCAGGTTCCCAAGTTGTCTCCAACCTCAGTACTGATGCAGCTCGACGATGCTTAACTTCTCAAATCGGACGGGATGAGGTGCATTCATCGTGATATGGCCGTAGCCATTCAAGTTCTCTTTTTACTAGTTTTCATACTCCATATGTATTCTTAAATTCTCATACATCCAAACACAGCCTCAAACAATTGTGTTGACGAAATGTATGTTTGTAATTTGATATTTCCAAAGGAAGGCATTATGCGTATTCTGATTCGACATGAACTCGGATGTATATTCGCATTGTATTGTGTAATGATTTGTAGCGACAACGTTGTCATAACAACCCCGCCAACCAGAAAACAAAACCACTACGAAAAAAATTCACGACAACCACAGCTGTACTGTGTAACAACACTACAACTATAGACCACCCGAACGAATTTTTAAATCACTCGCTACAATTCATACAACAACAATTTATTGTATACAAAATGGGTTTGCTTGATTTCATTAGAGGTCTCAGAAAATCTGATAAGGAGGCTCGTATTTTGATTTTAGGTCTTGATAACAGCGGAAAGACTTGCTCGTTGAAGAGTTTGGCAGGAGAGAAGGAGGAAATTTCCACAGTTATGCCAACACAAGGATTCAATATTAAATCAGTGCAAACTGGTAACGTGAAACTCAATGTGTGGGATATCGGAGGTCAAAAGGCTATCAGACCATACTGGCCAAATTACTACAAGAATGCCGATGCCATCATTTACGTGGTTGATTCAACAGACAGAAATCGTTTTGAAGAGGCAGGATACGAACTTGATTGTTTGTTAAAAGATGAAAATCTTGCTGGAATTCCATGTCTTGTTTTTGCTAATAAGCAAGATATTCCTCTCATTGCTGCGTCTGCTGGGAAATAGCTAAAGTACTGAATTTACATGCTATCAAGGGAAGAGATTGGCACATTCAAGCCTGCAGCGCAAAGACTGGAACAGGTCTAGATGAAGGTATTCAATGGGTTCTCGGAAAGCTTGATCTTGTTGAATCCAAGTAATTGTAAAATTTCAATAACCTGTAACACATAAACTCAATTTTTTCATCAGTCGTGGTTGAGACCTGACATGTTATCATTGAGTGCTCTTTGTCATCCTTGTGTTTGTCACAAATGCCTTGCCTTTATTGCAGACGCCAAATTCAAATTTAATACGCAATCGACATATTTGCGCACCAATCTTGTCCTCTTTCAATACAGGTCAAAAACGTAACTGCTCAACCATATTTATTCAATGAAGCAGGATTCAAAAAAAAGCACTGCCATCTGTCACCACAGTTTTTTGCAAATCACCATCCACAAATTCACGTTCAGTCTTCAGAACAGCCAGTACTACGAGTAGTCACAACAACAATGGGCCAAAATCAAGCCACCTCTCTTCTCACCTCTGCACACTCTGCCGATGACATTCGAGATTTTCGAAAGGGACAAGTATTTACGCCCTTCGATCACAAACACAACAATTCCAACCAAAAACTCATCAACCCACAACCTCGATCGACGATGATTTTGCAGAGCGCATGAATCTACAAGGACTCGAACGGAATACAGACAGTAACAGCGGTGGTAGTAAAAGAAATAGTTTCAAAATTCCTTCATCATCATCCAACAATAATAGACGAAGAAGTCAAACCACGACAGCACCCACTCCAACAGCAGCCACACGATCCCGTATGAGTTGTTACTATGGAAGTTCTCCGGTTCAGCAACAAGAATCCATCTTACAACAAGAATTACAACGAAAACAACAAGCGCAACAAGAGCAAGAAGAACAATTACAACAAAAACGAACACAACGAAGAAAATCGTTTAATATCATCTCGAGAAAGAATAGTAACATGTTTTAAGTAGCATGTTATTTCTATTTTTGCATTTCGGATAATGATCATCTCGAATTGACTGTACTATGACTATAATACAACAACTACCACACCGCTTACCCACTGCTCTGTACACTATGAACTCTAGTTTTCAACAAATTGTAAATAACAAGCTTTCTCTTTGAAAAACCTGTGCAAAGACGGCATGAATAAATTCTAGCTGCACTCAAAAAAACTCTCAAAACGAAAATGCTGTACACAAGAGTTTAAGGCAGACAAAAAAACATCCTTAAGGACGTGAACAATTTCATACAATTTCCATATTTGAGAATTGTTTCAATTTTCCAATTCGTTTGTAAACAAGTGTGTGTTTGAAAACAGAGCCGCCATTCATTCATTCAAACAAAACAACTCACCCATTCACATCGCACAACATGTTGTCCAAGCTGAATCGTCAACCTTCTAGATTACCATTCGTTGTACAATCTTTAAAGAACAACAACAACAAACTATTACAACATCTCAACTCGAAATCCATCCTAGTGATGGGATCTTCTCAAGTGGTTCAAACTCGAAACCTTCAACTGAAAACTCCTCTTCATATCGGTTTCTTTGATGATGTTGCTGGTACTTATAAAACTCTTCATAATCCTTTCCATTTGAGATTCAAACTCTCCATGAAACCTTGGGAGTTTAGAACAGGATATTTCTTCTGGTATTTGAATTTTGGAGGAATTCTTATCCTTTCGGCAGTGTTGGCCGTGTCCATGTTCTTTGTCTTTTATTATGGATTTTACTTTTTATATGCCAATGTAGGAATTAATGGTTTGAGAAGATTCTACAATCCTCATCCCTTCTTGGAGGTTAGAAACGGAAAGGATTTGGCTGAGACGTATGATCCTCTTGGAAAGTTGTATGTGTATTTGAGTCCTTTCAGAGGTGAGGATAAGACCTTGGTGTTCTATCGAGAATTAGAGGCAGCTGCCAAACGAAGACTTTAATGGAAAGGAGAGTGGAATGAAGAGAGAATGATCATTGGGAGTTTTACGGCACAATAAATGGAGTTTTAAATATAACATACTTGTGTGAGTTTTGTTCTTAATATTTGGATAGTCTTTCTCGCTCCTTGAAATCAAACCGACTCTAAGATGTGAAAAAAGCCTTAATTCATTCGTTCACGTGTAATTCCAAATCGATTCCAATACTAGCCCTAACAAAGATCGCCCTCTTTTCACGTGCCTGTTATTGAAATTCTTCTATTTTCAGTTTCTGAACCACAACAACAAGCAATAAAAAAATGCCAACTCCCTATCCCTTGAATCCACAAGTACAACCACCCATGATGATGATGCCTACGAACGGACCACCTCCTCCGCAATGCTCATCCAAAGTAGAATTACATATTTCTTGTCGTAATTTGAAAAATGTAAGTCTTGAAGAAATCATGAAAATTTCATCTGATGAAACATTTTTGATTAGATGGACGTGTTGAGCAAGTCTGATCCGAGAGTGTTGGTTTATATTGGATATCCTCAGAACCATCCACAATTTGTAAGTACATTCAATAGCCAATTATTTATCCTGTATCATTCTGAATTTTCAAAATTTATTCGTGATCGTCTCGACAATTTGATCTCGTTTTTTCTCAATCTAAAACAACATGACTGTAGACTTGGAAATTATTGGGCGAAACTGAAACTGTGCGAGACAATTTAAATCCGAACTTTGTGAAATCTTTTGTTTTGGATTACTTTTTTGAAGAAGTTCAGCATTTGAAATTTGCTGTGTATGATATCGATAACTCGACCGCTACATTGAATGATGACGACTTTATTGGAGAAATGACAACTACTCTGGGCGAAATTTGTGGAAGCAGAGGTCAAAAATTAATCAAACATCTTTGTGTTGGTCATTCCAAGACATCCCGAGGAACAATAATTGTCAGTGCCGAGCAAATCAATTCAAATGTGACCGATGATGTGGAAATTCAATTGGCTGGCATTTCGTTGGCGAAGGTATGTCATAATATCATTTTAGAAAATTTTATTGACACATGTCTCTCTTTTTTAAATTCAATGTTGAATGTTGTACTACTGCTAATGGATTGTCATTTTCCATGATGGCAATTGATTTACAATTAATAGATGGACTTTTTCGGAAAGGTAAGTGATTACAGTGACTTGGACGAGATGTGACATTGATCTTCACAATTATATTTTGCATGACTAACAGTCCGATCCATTTTTCATTATTGAAAAGCTCCACAATGGACAATATATTAATGTTTTTCAATCGGAAACTATCATGAATACACTCAACCCAGTTTGGAAGCCTTTCAGAATGCCATTAACCAAATTGTGCAATGGAGACGTGATGAGACCTCTAAAAATTAGTGTCTATGATTATGACAAATTCTCTCAACCAGATTTCATTGGAGAGTGTGAAACAAATCTTGATTCCATTATGAAGGGCACTCTCTCTCTAAAATTGATCAACAAGAATAAGAAGAAAGGAAAAGAGCACACTGGAGATTTAGTTGCAAAATCTGCCAAACTCGTAAAAAATTATTCATTCTTGGACTTTATTTCTGGAGGACTTAGGATGAATTTGTTGGTTGCCATAGATTGTAAGTTGATTCATAATTATGAATTCAAGAAATATTTAATACATTATTTGTGTTTCGTGATCATAATTCCTTTGACGCATCAACACATGAAATAGTTACTGCCTCAAATGGTAATGTTACTGATCCTCACTCCCTTCACTATAACAAGCCAGGTCAAATGAATCAGTACGAGTCTGCCATTTATGCAGTAGGTCAAATTCTCAGCGATTATGACTATGATAAGAAATTCCCATGTTTTGGTTATGGAGGATATATTAATGGCTCAACTTCTCACTGTTTTGCATTGAATGGAAATCCTCAACAACCAGAATGTTATGGTGTTGAAGGAATTTTACAAGCATATAGACAAGCTCTTAATAATGTTTCTCTGAGTGGACCAACGTTATTTGCGAACGTGATTAAAACAGCATGCCAGATTGCCTCCCAACCAATTTCACAACAAAATCAAGAATATTATATTTTGTTGATTATCACAGATGGAGCTATCAATGATATGGATTCAACCATTGAAGAAATTGTGAGGGGAAGTGAATTACCTCTTTCCATAATTATTGTAGGAGTTGGAAATGCCGATTTCAAGTCCATGGTCACTCTCGATGGTGATGATGGAAGGCTCAGATCTCCTTACACCTTCAAATACGCAAGTAGAGACATTGTACAATTTGTTCCATTCAATCAATTCAAGAATCAACCTTATACCTACTTGGCCAAAGAAGTGTTGGCTGAAATTCCTCAACAAGTGACTGAGTTTATGAAGATGAGAAATATTGTTCCAAATCCAAGAGTTGTCGTCGCCGAATATGTTCCTCCAATGAGTGAAGAATTGCCAAGAGGTTCCCTCTCAGAAAATTACAACCCAAACCTTGCCACACCGCCCTCATCATCGAGTGCAATCTCAGCAGTCACAACAACTACGGCAGTAACCTCAACACAACCCTATCCAACCAATGTACAATACAAGATCTAGGTTATGCACTATCAGATAATGAATTTCATCATTAAAGCACATATATTGTGAGTTGACAACCCTTAGAATTTCCAATGCATTGTAGCACCAGCCTCAAAGAACGGCAATGCATGTTTATAACAGGAAAGTCAAAAGAATGCTTCAAATGACGGAATAAAGGAAAGAATTGTAGATTATTCATGGCTACGGCCATATCACGATGAATGCACCTCATCCCGTCCGATTTGAGAAGTTAAGCATCGTCGAGCTGCATCAGTACTGAGGTTGGAGACAACTTGGGAACCTGCAGTGCTGTAGCCTTTTTCATGTTTTAACACGAAGACACCAATTGTCCTCTTGTATTATCTTGATTACTTCATCTATGCAAACGAAACCAATAATTTGTTGTTCAAGAGAACGTTCTTTGCGTTTTTGATTTTATGCCACCTCAAGAGCTGTTTCACATCATCAACCACAACACGTCACGAAGAAAATCAGCAGACTCTGAATTTTTGTAAGCCAAAAAAAAATGGATCTCATCGATGAAGTTGCTCAACAATCCACTGATTTCTATCGTGCCTCGAAGCGATTTGTGACTCGGTGCAAGAAGCCTGACTCCAAGGAGTTCTCCAAGATTGCTTTTGCTACTGCTGTTGGATTTTTGATTATGGGATTCATTGGATTCTTTGTCAAGCTCATCCATATTCCTATCAACAATATTATTATTGGACATCAATAATCATCATCATGATTATTGTTCATCATCATCAAGGTTCAAGAGAGTGATTGCTTGTAGTAGTGCTCTAAAGAGAGTAACGGACTCGGTTTCAACAAACTTGTTCCGCCGCTTGCTCTCATCAGCCAATTACAATCTCGCACAACAACAACTAGTTTTATAGACACCCATGATGATTCTTTTGTATATTCCTTTCCCTTCCCCACATCTCTTCTCAGCATTTTTGCTTCTCTTATTATTATAAAACAATAAAAACATCTTTGTAATTCATCGGGCCATGTCCAAGATTGAAATAATCCACAAAGTCGGTTCGCTAGAGATCATCCAAAGAGTGGAATAGTTGTTTTGTCTCAATTCTGATGCCAATCAATAGATTGTAGAAATAGAAGACGGTTTTTTATTGGCTCAATAGGAGCACAGTGATGAAAACATGGTTCGAACAATCGTTTGTGTCCTTCCTTCGAGATTGACGATGTGAGCTTTGACTGATATTCGTTTGAAATTGACCTCTCGTGCAGCATTTACAATGCTTCGTTTCTGTCCAAATACATGTCAAGCTGATCCAATTGGTCGTCAGTGGCAAATTCTGAGAGTACCATGTCGACCAACTTGAAATTACTAGCCACAGCATCAATCAAAGGTTGATTATTCTGTATGAACGTGTCTTCCAAGTACAGTTTCCTCAAAGTATGATTATTCTTGACAATTCTCACCAAAGCGTCCATACATTCGTCGTCAACTCGTGTATTGAAGGAGAGATCCAATTCAGTGAGACATGTATTCTCGACGAGGGCATCTGCCAGGTCATACACTTCATCATTTGAAATGTTCTTATTTTGTAAATTAACGGAACGAAGGAGTGGATTATTACGTTTCAGCTCATCAGAAATTACTTTGACATTTCCATCCTTAATTAATCGTTGGAGAATGATTAATTGTTGGCGTTCCTTTTCCTTTCGCAACTTTTCAGCAGCTTCTTGCTCCAACTTGAGTTGATGTTCTTCACGTTTTTTCTTTTCTGTATTCTCAATTTGTGAAATTTGTTCTTCCATTTTTGTAATTTCTGATTTTGGTAAATACAATGGATAAATATTCTTGACACGTTCTTTCATGAGTTCAATTTCATAGGGTTGTAACAATTTTTCTGGATCTTTTTGTTTATCCATAAGGAAATTCAAACTCGAATTATATTCCGTTCGTTTCGACGTTTGATTATGTTGTAAATCTTTGGCTTGTTTCAATTCTGATTTTAACAAGGTCACTAGATGCATTTTCGATTCTACATGTCGAATCCACTCTTGTAATTTTCCAGATTCATTAAATTCTGCTAACAGTTGTGTCAGTTGTGACGAAAGTGATGATCTTTCCTCTTCAATTTGTTGTTTCAATTTTCGTTCTTCTTCCTCTTCAGCAAGTTTCTTTCGACGTAATTCGTCTGCTTCCCTTCGTTTTGTTTCTTCGAGTTGTTTCAACTCTAAATCTCTTTGAATTCGTTCTTGTTCGAGTTGTAGAGATTTTTCCTTTTCGATTCGCTCTTGTTCGAGACGTTCTTGTTCTTGGTCTTGTTTCAATTTTTCCAGAGCTAATTCTTCTTGTTTTCTTCGTTGTTGTAACAAGAGTGCAGAATCAGAGAGATTGGAGGTTTCAGAATTGAATTCTGTGGAAGAAGTGTTCGTGTCAGAATTGGACAATTGTGTGACATTTGTTTCAGAAGTGGTAGTGGTAGTAGTAGTAGTAGTGGAGGAAGGATGGATGGATGAGGAATTTTCTTTTGATTTCTCTTCCGTTTCGTCATCGTCTTCACTCAAATCCGAGTCATCACTTTCTAACATGGATTTCATTTTAGCTTCTAATTCTCGTTGTTTTTTCAATCTCTCTTCAATTTCTCTCTGGTGTTGTTCTTCTCTTTCACGTTCTTCTCTCTCCGAAATTGCTTTCAATTTTTGATACAAATTCAATTGAGAATCTGTTAAACCTGTTGGGAGATGAGTAGAAGGTGAGACAGAATCTTTTCGTGAACTATTAGACATGGTTGGAGAGCATGCACTTGTGGAGGAATTCACACAAGTCGAGGTTGGAGTCGTGGATTGCTCATCTGTATTGAGTTGTGAAGAGTTGAAAGTAGTAGTTGAGGAAGTTCCACTGATTTGAATGGTCATGGAATCTTCATCGGTCGATGCTTCATCGACTGCTGTTGTATGATGTTGCTGCTCGTCAGAGGTCGTTGTTTCTGAATGAGAGTTGTTTTGCTCTTTTTCTGCACTTGGAGTTCCAACACTCTTCTTCTTTTCAAAGTTCAGTAAATCTTCGACAATTTTACCGACATTTTTGTTTTTCTGAATTTGTGACTCTCGTGTGTAAGCATCTGTGAAAATGATCACATTTCACATGATTTCATCATTATGTTTTTCAATAATTTCATTGATTAGTTTCAATTTCATATTATTACACAACGAAATGAATAATAAGGTCAACAATGTCACAATTCAAATTTCACACAAACACATACCCTTATAGAATTTGAGCAATAATTTTGCATCTTCATCTCCATTCATGGCCATATTCTGCACATCCATGGCCAATGTATATGATTTTCTACCGCTTCTTCTTCTCAATGCAATTCTCTCTTCAGAAACTGTGCGTTCATGATGATGTTGTTGACTCTCTTCATGATGAGATTGAGAGCTTTTCTCCAATTCGGAATTTGAACTATCCTCAGTTCGTGTTTTCAATGCACCCAGAGATAATGCCTGAACTTGAGGATGTGACATTTTTACATTGGAAGCATTCTCAAAGTCTTCGTCGTCCTCTTCATCACTTTCTTCATCCAAATCCTTTTTTTGTTTGAAAAAATCGAAAATACTCTTTCGACGTTTTTGATGTCTTCTTCGTGAAGGTTTCTTATCGCTTGAAATTGGTGACCTCTCAACATTGACAGGGTTTCCAGGAGCTAGATGATGTGGAGGAGTTGTTTGAACTTGTTTGTCACGATGATTTTCGACAACAGCTGTTGTGACACGTCTTGGAGTTTTCACTTTTGTGTTGTGATTTTCCAATGTTGTTGTTTCTGTTGTGCTTTCTCCTTCTGTTTGTACGAGAATTGGAGGTACACCTCTTGGAGAACTCAGCACTGCAACAGATTTTCTTCTTTCTTTCGTGTCAGTAGGTTCTTTCTTTTTGAAAAGGGCTTTCAATCCGACCATTCTTCGGAGTGATGATGTTTTTGACAATTATTGGTGTGGAGATTAAAAAAGTACAAGGAGTATAATAAATGTTGTGAAAATTATGATCTTTTGTATGCACTAATAGTATGGAATAGAGCAGGATGAGCGCCGAGAAGTCGAACCAACGACGACAGTTACCAATACAAAAATATGAGTATTATTGAAATGGCAAAAATTAGCATCACAGTTGATGACAGTTGTTGTTTCATATTGACATTGAAAATTGTACAACATTTGAGTATTCCATCATTTTGAAAAAGTCAATGGTTCGTTCGGATGGGTGGTGTTTGAAAATGGATAATTCGTTTTGTTGCCAAGATCCGATCGTAAAACATCATACAAAAGTTGTGGTTGTTGTTGTTGCAAAGAGTCGATAATTCGTTTTGTTTCAAGTGATGATGATGAGTGCAGACATTGTTAGAGCATTGAGTAAATGCTGCAATGAATTCAAAGTTTGAACCTACCAAATGACGAGTGGGAAGAGTGGATTTTTTTTTGCTAATGTGTTTGGCAGGTGACAAGTAGCTTTGAATAAGTCAATATTGCTCTTTTTTAGATGCCTTGTTCTGCTTTGGGTTTTGTTTACTGACAAATAAAAGGTTGAATAGCAATCGTAGACCAAACAAAGTCTCAGTAGTATTGAGAAGATTCAATCAAGGAAAACCCAGCGCACAACATGAATGCATCACTGATACCACCTCTAACACATCATTGATCATCGACCATTTCCTCCTCTAATGATCTTCTTCTTTGAGCACTCGCTGGCTTTACTACCTTAAAGTCAGAAAAATCAGGTGTTCCTTCTAGCTCAAGATTTTGTTCATTGCAAAGATGAAGCATGCAAATGAAACAAAATGGAACAGAGACTTCGGAAAAGTCTGGCTTTTTTTCGTTTGCCTTTGGTTTGGATGTGTTTAGAGATGAAACTACATCTGAGAAATTAAGGTCTGTTCTGGATGTCGTTTCGATTTCTGTCCACAAATGATCTTTCAATGCTCTCACATCTACTTGCTTGGCTCTAGTGGCATAGGTGATATTGAGCTTTTGCACTAATTTGGGAGCTTCAATTAACTTGGCTCCAGCAACCATGGTCACTTCGTTTGGATTGTTCAATTCTTGAGGTTTTAGCTGAATGTCTTCCATGGTCATTGAGTTGTTTGAATCGTTCAGTATTGTATTTACAGTGTCTTGTTGATGTTCAAAAGATGAAGGAGGCTCTATCGAAGAGGTGGCCATGGTTATGTTCGTTTGATTGTTTTCAATGTCTGTCATTGTAGTCATTGCTGTAGCATCTGCAGATGGCTGAGCGGCTTCTGTTGTTGTGTTATTCGTTCCAAATCCAGTGTCAAAGTTATCAAAACCTCCAATGTCCATCTCTCCAAACCCGTGTGGAGCATTGAGTCCCATTTCTTCATCTTCATCACTATCGTCATATAATTTACTGGATGTCGTAATAAACATTCCATCTTGGGTGAGTCTTTCAGGTGCCGTAGTCTTTGGTGGTTCTGTATTGCTGTTTGCACTTGAGGAGGAGCTTGTTTTACTTCGAGCACCCTGTTCGACAACGGCTTGTAAATGTTTATCTGTAAACGCGGCTGGAAGATTGAATGGTCTCAACAACATGCTTAAATCATAATGAACGTCTGTAGGGAGTAAGGTCAGCTTGGTTGGCAAATTCTTAATTTGATTGTCCTCAGGTTTTTTGGAATACTTGAATTGTACAGAATAGTCAATGGAAGAAGGGTCGTTTAAAAAGTCAAAGACATGAGGTTTTGACTTTTGTGTTCGTTTTTTCGATTTCTTTGCATTTGTGCCTTGAGTTTTTGATTTCGCTGATGGCTTCCAATGTTCAATACCAGCCCAATGCTTAATCTTGGTGGCATCAAAGTATTCATAGTCGTTGTCGACTGTGATTGTTTCAGGATTTTTTTGAATCATTTCAGTGATTGATGTTGGTTGTGAAGGCTCATTTGCTTGAAGCTTGTTCTGTTGCTCTATGATAACAGTGTCATCATCTCCAATTTCTTGGGGTACAACATCTTGTGGTTCTGAGTTGGCAAAATCTGTGTCAAATATACCCAAACCATCATCGTCATCATCGTCATCGTCATGATGGGCGTTTGCAAAGTGATCTGGTGCCAAACCTCCAACCTCAGTCACAGCAGTAATTAAGGCATTGGCAGCGTCACCACCAATTGAAAGTTTGTGAGGTATTTGTGTGGTCGTGTCGAGAGGCATGCCATAAGTTTGAGGTATGATGCCATTCTCTGTCGTGGCTGTATCTGGTGGACCAAAATCGTCAATTCCGCCTCCAAAACCTCCACCGACATCAAAGGTGAAATTGTCTGTGAGTGATGGTGGCTGATCCGAAGCAAATCCGTTTGCATCAGATGTTAATACAGTAGGTTGGGATTGATTTTCTTCGGTGGAGAAGGGTTGCAGCTGTAATGGCATGCCATCATTCTCTTGTTGCTGAGCGGATTGTTGTTGTTGCTGCGTTAGTTTGGCTCGTTCTTCCATTTCTTCAAGCATTTTCTCATCGACGAATGATGTAGTCAACAGTCGCCCCATTGCGCTCTTATCCAAAGCAATGGGATGAATTCTTTCTTCTTCTTCATGGACAGATGTTGCTCCCTGTCGTTGTTGCTCTGTTGTCGCTGCTGTTTGTTTTGTTTGATTAGGACGATTATTCTCAGATGTAGATTTCATGTATGCATAGTCCCAATTTTTCGAGTCTATTATAACTTCACAACCGTATCCAAGGCCTAAATTGTTTAAAAGCAGAGAATTGGCGCTGCCTACATCAAAATTATTGGAAGATCCTAACGAGGTATGGTACAAAGGTTCTATCACATAGGAAAGTTCGAGCTTTTTGACAGTGATGTTATTAATGTTCGTTTCAAGAGTGTTAACACCATGCCTGACCCGTTTCTTTTTAGACTTTTCGTCTCCATCTTTGTTGGCACCATCTTCTTCTTCATTATTTTCTGAGGACGACCCCTTTTGAGGATCAGCCCTTGCAAAGCTTGTTAATACTTTGTAGGCCTCTGTGTGAACAGAGTCAACACGAGTTGAATAAATTTTAACACCCGCATCGAGAGTGCAACTGGCAGCTTGAAAACTTCCACCTGTAAGGGTTGTTTCTAAAACTTCACCAATATAATCAATTAAATTCAAATTCCACGTATTTTTGACATTAATCTTATTTTCAGATGATAATTTGATACAATTTTGAAACAGAGATTCCAATTCTGAAGATGTTAATGTTCGTGAAGTTGTTGTTCCTGCAGCGCTACCACTGAGATGAGCTCCACTTCTTCGATGTTCTGTTGTTAAAAATCCAACACCAACGCTCTTTCTTTTATCACGTCGCTTTTGATTGTGTCGTTTTTCGTTTTCATCGTCGTTAATTTCAAGAGCATCCATCTGTGATGGAACAAAAAGAGAAGACTTTCTCCGTGATGATGATGATTTATGTTTAGCCGGAGCTGGTGATTCAAATGTTACGGATCCAGTGGATGACCTCTTTTGTTTACCTGGAGAGTTTTCCTCTTCATCCAATATTTCTTCATCCTCCTCTCCAACAACATTTCTCACTTCTTCTTCACCATCAGAGAAATCATCATCGAGGCCTCGGACTCTTCAACGACTCGTTTTGCCTTGCTCGAGGAAGAAGGCTTCTTGGTAACAGCAGCTTCTTTGCGTCTTGGCATTTTGCTTATTTTTTTAACAAAATATTTTGAATGGCGGGAGTCTCTTTTGCAAAAGCCAGTAAACTGAATTCAAGTAAAACATGCCAACAGTTGCAGAAAATGATTTTTATAAATATTCTCTTAATCGATTAAAACCTGAAGGGGATGAAAATTGTTTGAAAAGAGTTTTTCTAAAGTTGCTTCTCAATGGATCCTGAGAGGCATTCACACTTGGTGTCTCAACGGATGGTATTTCATTCTGTTTCTCCTCAATAGGTTCAACAATGACAATTAACGGAGTATTCAAACCTATCGAGGCTGGAAGTGATGAGCAAGAGCTTGATGCCACGTTCGTCAAGTGCGTGGACGAATGATTGGGTACTTCATTTTCTGTCATGGATGCTTCTTCTTTACATTCTTCTGCATTGGGAGAGGAGATTGAGGATGAGGATGAATTAAAACCATCGGATCGAGTGGGATCCATAAAAGTTGAATAAAGAGAGGGTATTGGAAGGTGTTCCGTCGAAACTAATGGTGATGGATTACTTTCTACTTGGACAGGAACTTGATGGGAATGAGTATTGGCCTCCTGTGACGACTTGTTACTGTTTCTCAAAATGGTATTCAATAAAATTCGAATTCTGAGTTTTGACAACAAGCAAAAGATTGTGAAAACTCCTCCATAAGCAAAGAGAAGACCAAAAAGAAAGAGCAATGATGACATCCATGGTTGGAGATAATAATTCACAACGCTGTAGGGCCACTGAGAAATTAAATGCAATTCAGCTAAAATTTGTAACCAAATAAGTAAGTTGTTGGAAAGAGAACAACAATGAAAATGTGCCAAAATCGAAAAACCAAATTGGAAAAGAAGAAATCAATAAGACAGAAAAGACCCGTCATTCCATGAAAGGCTACCGTGCTAATGTTGGTTCAAATTCAAATGTCACACAGTTGAATTCAACAAAAAATACTTACAAGTAACTCACTTCTGTGCTCGATTCCATTGAAAACATAATCCAATAACCCACGGATACAATCACTGAAGATGTCGTTGCAATCTCTCCGAACAACCACATTCCATTAGAAGCCATTAACATGAAAGTTCTCAAATTGGAATTTTCAAAATTGGTCGATTTCAGTTTTGGAATTCCAATCTTCTTTGAATTCCTGTACAATTTACTGAAAATACCAAATAAATAAATCCCAAAATGACTTGTCCTGTAAAATAGACGGTAAATAAGAGGGCAGTAAAGTTCGTGAGAAAAGACACAAACACCAAAGGTGGTTGTTTCTCGAAATGCAATTGTTTGAGTAAAATTGAAACGAGAGCCCACATGGCGATCATAATTCTGTATAAATAGAGTGAAATGGTGATTGGAAATTTGAAACCAAAGGATTCAAAGATGAATTGGGAGGGATCTCTCAATCTGTGGCGTTTCACAACATTTCCATTAAACATTGAAATTACGTAAAAACAAGACAAATGAATACTTACCTATTGTAAATAACATTTTCAAGAGGGATTGTGTAATGACCGTTCGATGCATTCGAACAAGTCGATTCATTCAATGTGGAAGATGTGGAACCTTCTCCATTCGAGTGGGTGTCATCTTTTTCAATTTTCTTTTCACCTCGAGTGAAATCGGAAACTTCTACACTTGGTAAAGAAATTGTGAAATGATTTTCATTCACGGGTTGAATGCCATGAGAATACGAGACCTGATGGTCATTCATTTCAGTTTTAGAATGGTTGAGAAGAGGATTGGATGAGAGTTGACTTCTAGGAGAGAAGGATGTTGATTCGCTGTGGATGGTCAAGTTGCTTCTTGGAGAGAGAAGAGAGGTGTTGGTGTTGGTGGTCGTAATGGCAGTCATTGGAGAGGATGGATCGCTGTTCGTGGCGGCCATAATTTCTTCTGATTCATCCTCTTCATCTTCTTCTTGTTGACAAGTGACTGCTAGTGGAATGGAACGAGATGACTGCTGGTCATGATTTGTTTGTTGAATCTCCTCTGATTGGACATTCATCTTTAGCTTTCGACTCTTTTTATGAAATAGAAAACCCTTCACACAATACACAACCACTGCTGAAAATACCAAAAAGACCAACAAGCAACAATTATTCACCAAAAACAAGTATCGAAAGAGATGGGAAGGACGATCCAATTGAGTTGGAATTTCATATCGAGAGTCCATGGTTTAGTAGTTGAGAAAGAATATGAGAATCAGTGAATTGAGACTAGTTTTTTCACACAACAAAATTTCAATAGAGACGGACAAGGGAGTATGATGTGTGTGTCAATAAAAGTGATTTCACACGCTTCTGTAAATGGTTGGTTGCCAAAGAATAGGAGTCAACAGATCAGAATGAGAAGTTGTTAAAAAAGGCGATAAAAAGAGGAGAATACGAAGAGTTCCTTCCAAGAAGAAAGATGTCTTCAAAATTGGCAATACGTAATGGAATTTAGTGGAACAGCGGGCTGAAGAGTGTGAGCTCTCTCTTTTGCATATTCTACATAAATGGTAACAAAATTTTTTTGTCAACACGAACCCAAAATTCACGTGACTGGGTTTGACTTGACATGCTTTCTAGAGAATGAAATTAGGAGAATCAAGTAATCGGAGAGGATATCATCGCCGAAGGAAAATTTTGGCGTTGTCCTCACCTCTAGTGTGTGTGTGTGTGATTGAAATTCGTGATAAAGAATCTTTTTTTCTGTAGATCTGACGAGAAGAATGTAAGGGAACGAGAAGAGTTGTTGTGGTGGTGGAGAGATGAGCAAGTTGTGGCGATAACATCCCTAAACAGTTGAAAGCGTCCTAAATTCAACCAATTTCATGGGAGAATACTGATGGGTTTGATAGAGTATCTCGGAGATCAACAATTGAATAAAAGTAAATTTTGAAATCAATCGTTTTTGCGTGTGTTAATGAATTCTGTATTCTCGAGTTACAATGGCAAGTCCCAATCCATCTCAGTGGCTTGTGAGGATGGCCTTTCAAGTTTAATTTTGCCTGACTCTGGGGAATTGAGCAGTTTCAGAGTTCGTTGTTTCATCTGGTGTTTAGAAACGGTATCCCTCGAACCTTTAACCTTGAATTGTGAATGACTTGTTGTTTTACGGCTTGAAATTGAGTTGTTCATTCATAATAAGCTTGTTGTAAAGAGGGTGTAAAATAAAACCGGCAAGAGTGTTGTTCTTCTCAGCTAATTTACCATCGAGTATGGTGAGATTGGAATTCAATGATGATGACAAGCCAGAGAGATCCATAAATTGTTGAGCGAATGAAGTGGATGGATCACCACCATCCTCATTGTCACTACTACCAGCACCACCCTCACCAAATACAATAATTCTTCCCTTCAATGATTCTTCACATTCTTGGCAGAGTGCTGATAAATTCTTACTACTCGTTTCTTTGCAATAAGAAAATGAGAGCATTAATCGAACTTGCACATGATCTTGAACCACAACCTCTTCCCCATCATGGAGATTGGTTGGTAAAACAACCATAAAGGGAGCGTGTAAATCTTGTTGAATTTGGGAAAAGTAAGATTGGCAATGTTCAAGTCTGTCATTTGCAATCGTCAAATCCATCTCCAAAAACATGTTTGCAACTTGAGCATTGTTGGCAACACTCTCACGATGAAGGAATAATCCAGGTTGAATCATTTTCACTTGTGTTGACTCATCACCCTTGAAACGAATGGCCTTTAATGCACTTTCAAGTGCCTTTTCCCAAATTTCCTCATTTGGATGTCACAAAAAGTCTTTGGCTTGAGTGATCGACAGGGCTTGACAATTTCTGGATAATGGCTCATCCAATCCTGTGATGCTGAATGATCATAAAAACTTCGATTATCCAAATAAACTTCTGTACATTCCAACACAATGGGATGAAAATCTAATTCATCTTCATGTCCACTAATGGGCTCATCAAAATTCCATGTCAATGGCTCGATATTGATTCCTCCTTGTTTCAATTTCATTTCAATATGTTGTTGAGCAATTCCCATCTTGATACTCTTAAAAGCAGGTTGATAATGAGGATGCTGTCCAATGGTTTTCACTTGTTTTTTAAATTCCTCAGCCATTCGTTGATCATGAGAAATTCGAAACAAGTAGCAAATGGTGGTGGGTGTATCTCGAAGGGTGGCTTGACTACATGGTCGGAATCCTTTTCAATCATTTCGGTGGCTGCTCGGAAGGATCGGACCAGCCAAAACACTTGTAAAGCAAATGCTTGATGAGGATTGTATTCCATGCAGCCCTTCGGAGCCTCTAATAATTCTTGCCACTTGGTTTTTGTCTTTTGAGTGGTGTCTTGTTGTTGTTGTTGTGAAAGCATAATGATGAGGGGTGATGGTCACTTTGGGTATTCTTTTTTATCTACGAACGGAGTGTCTGTTAAAACCAATGCAAGAGTTCCAAGTTCTACTTGACCTTCAATCAACCAACCCTTTTCGTCGTATTACGATCACCCTCATCATTAGAAGCTGTTCGTAATGCATTTGTTTTCTCTGAATTATTTCTCATTGCTCCAAGGTCTCGTATTGAAGTTTTTCAATGGTTGTGTTTGAAAGAATTATTGGACAACGTGTCGAACAAGACATGAGTGAAGAGAGTTGGCTTGGTGGTAACCCTTCACAAGAGGTACGCAGGTTTGCAGGGAGGATCATCTTCTCAAGACAAAGTTCTTGCTTGTTTGGCTTGTCAATGTATTTCTTGATGGCATTGACAAGATAGAAATGACTTGAGCCTTTCGTAATTCCTTCGAAAAAGTAGTCACCAATACCTCCATTGCACACCATCTCGATGCATCTTAATTGTGTTCTGTAATGTTCAGAATGGAGAATATTATACTCTTTGCTTATTCCTAAAAAATTGATAAAACAGACATGCTTTAAATTAGGAAATATTTCAGGGTCCAACATTTTGGAAACAATCTCAGATTCTGAGGCGCTCAATCTTAGATATCTGACATTTGGAAACCTCAATCTATTGGACATTACTCCGCCACTAACAAGATCAACAAAAAGGTATTCAATTTTTGAGAATACCACAAGGTCATTGTGATCGTTTGGTAGAGCACCATTGTTCAAGATCACTCTAGGACATTGTTTGGATTGGGAGTGGAGTTTTGTTAACATTTCAACGTTACCAGCAACAACATCTGAGAATGGTGTCGCTAGCTGTTCATGATATCGATCCCTATAAAACGCCAAACCAACACTCAGCTCGTAAATATAGTGAAAGAGCAAATCAAACTTTGATTCCGTAATGGTGACAAAGATATCAGTGTCGCAATTAATGCCAGCCCTTTCTTTTTCGAATATCTTGTCCAACTTGGTCTTTTGCTGCTTGACACTCTTACCAAACCATTCTCCATGAAAGTAGTCTTCTAATTTTATAATCTCTTTTCTATCTATTTCATCTTGAACTTCGTCTGCATATAACTTTATCGAGGTAAATTTGTCGAGCTGTCGTTCGAGTTCACTGATCCTCAACTTGGCATAAATATCGAACCATGTATGCTCCAAGCTCTTCAGACGAGCCTACGGAAAAAACTCGAGCTCTGACTCAAGTGATAAAGGGCCACTAGGTTATTGAAGACTGGTTTGAATGATTTCTCGAATTCGTTCAGGAAATAGTCATTCTCTGCAACTTGTGGCATTTCAAATTCTGTCGGAAGCAAGTGTGAAAAAATGTGAAGGTAAATTTCGATCGGAAGACTCTCCAGCAGCGAAGGTTTCACGCTGCGACATGTAGGAAGTTGTGCCATTGTTAACGATACCACATTTGCTGTGATATTCTCGTCTCCATTACTGTGGGCTGATGTCTTCTTTTGCTTTTTTCTTGGTGGCATTTTTTTGTGGTGAAAATCTTTACAAAATGACACATGTCAAAGACGAAAAACATTTAACCAATCAATAATCAGCAAGGAAGTAAGAAGGTATATGTAGTGGTGATTATTTCAATTCAACCACGTCAGACGTTATGGAAACTTGACATTTTTTTATTTAAAAGATTTTTATTGATTCGCAATTCTCATCCCCCAGTCATCCACTTACAAATTCTTCAACGAAAAATCCAGAATACCAGTCCTACTTGTTAGATCCATGATGAGGCGAATGAAGTAAGTGTTGTAAATGCTTGTCGTGAGGATGTTTGTGTTGAGCTTCTGTCTGTTCAAACAGAGAGGCCAGTGGCTTTTTACTGACCTTTCCCATTGCGTTTTTTGGAATTTCCTATCAAGTAAGCCACACAGAAATTATTATCATCGATTTCAGTGATCAATTGATAACATGCAAATTGAATGACAACAAGAAATAAACTTACTTGTTGAAGTACAATCAAACGAGTGGGTAGTTTGTATCGAGCCAATTCTTTGGAACAGAATTCTTGTAGTTCCTCCAAAGTTAGAGTGTCGTTGCTGTGACGAAGTACAACAATGGCACCGATTCTTTCACCATACTCTTCGTCATGAATACCAACTACTGCACATTCCTTGACCTTACTCATTCCAAGTATGACTCTTTCAATGTCGAGAGAGGATATTTTATATCCACCGCTCTGAAAATCACAATAAGAGTCCAATTCATTCGTTTTTGTATTGCATCGATCTAGTGAGAGTGTCTTCTAAATAACACTTACCTTAATAATGTCAACACTGGTCCTTCCACAAATTTTGTAATATCCGTCTTCATCAAACAACGCTGTATCACCCGTAATAAACCATCCGTCACTTGTAAAGGTTTTCTTGGTTGCCTCAGATCTGTTAAAATATTCCTTAAACACACTTGGGCCTAACACTAAAGCTCTCCTGGTTGGTTTGGAGACGTAATCTCTTCTCTGGTTTCAAAGTCAATAATTTTCACTTGAACGGTTGGAAGTGGGAAACCAACCATGCCCATTTTTCGTTTGCTTTGTGGTGTATAGGGATTCGAGAGCGCCATACCGATTTCACTCATGCCATAGCGTTCGAGAAGTGCATGGGAGGTTATTTCCTGCCACTTTGAAAATACTGGAGTAGGTAATGCACTACTTCCAGATACCATTAATCTCATCCGCTTAATTTCTTTAGAATATTTCTCCTGTAGATCTTTGGGTAGTTCTTCGTACAAGTGAATGAGCTTGACATAAATTGTTGGAACTGCCATAAAAACATTAATTTCCTTTCCAATCTTTTCTACATTTTCTTTTTCGATATTACTAAGTTTTTTCCAAACAATATTGGGATTAAATTTGCAGAATTGAACAGTAGCTCCAGCATACAATGCACAACACAAGGCATTGGTAATTCCATGGACATGATGAAGGGGTAACACATGGAGAATATGATCCTTCTCGCTCCAACCCCATGCATTCACAAGTACATCAAGTTGATTCAATAAATTGGAATATGTGTAAACTACACCCTTAGGATTTCCTGTAGTTCCGGAAGTGTAGATTATGAGACATCCATCATCTTGGTCATTTCTTTTCAAATCAATCACTTGAGGTACCTCGTGTTCGATTTCATTCCTTGACAAGATACTATGATCATATTCAATAAATTTTACATGCTTTAACTCTGCAAATAGTGGCTCTAATAGGTGCTTTTTATCTGGCTGATAAATCACCATATCACATTTGCAATCGTCAATGTAGTACTTGAGTTCTTTAGTTGGGTGTGATGTGCTGAGTGGAACAGCAACGGCGTTTGTTCTCCAAATTGACCACAACGTTACGACATATTCATAACTGGGGTCGAATAAAAAACAAATTCGTGAATGGGGAAGAATTTTGATAGATTTTGTGACATCCCATTCTGATTTTGTTTCACCAACGCTATTATTGTACAATTCTGTAATCATGTTGGCATAAATTCCACTATCTCGAACAAGATCAGAATATGAATGAGTTAACACCGTTGTTGAGTGAATATTTGGATTTGGTCATTCATTTGATGATATTCATTAGTAACTAGTGCAACGTTGTTGTTGCGTGATGCAGTGATAAGTGCCTTTTCAAATATTTTCAATGATGAGACTGCAAAGGGTTATCGGAATTCGATAGCACTCTTGAAAAATCAACATAGTAACATACTATATTTTGTATGATTAAGCCTCCTTTGAAAAGCATTCGTTATCGCTTGATACTGCCATGGAAGTACACCCATGATGAAGGATTCTCTTCGCCATCCTTCTCTAAAGATTGAAGATTTCGGAAGTGAAAAGCCTTTTCGCATTTTTTTCGAATTTTGTATTGTCAAAGAAATGAACTATTGTCTTTTAAGAAACACAATGTGTTTCTGTTTGCTAGTGCTCATATTATTGAATTTTATTTATCTAGTAAGTGTCACCTCAAGTAATTTTCTTGAAAGACCAAGTGAATGCATTTTTGTCTATCGTCTTTTTGTGCTCTTCTCCCAAACGTTACAACAACAAAGAGTAGGCGATAATAAGGACCGTAGCAACAAAAACGACGAGAGCAGTTGGTTGCGTTACATGGTGGAAACTGCTTGTAGGTGTAATATAAAGCTTGTTGCTACAATCGTTGCTTCCTTTACACTTGGGGTACCCACTCGTACCACATGAAACTGTGGACATTATCTTTAAATTCAATGAGCACTTGGTGTTCGTCTTTGCTGTGTTGAGATGGCAGGTTTCATGAGTATATATGTACTACAGGGAGAGTAGGGTAGATCCAAATAGTAATAACCTTTGTTTGGCCCGAAAGTGGACACCAAAGTATTGGCCTCGGGTACGTCAGACAGCCTCACCGAATAATCAAAACAAGGAACGTCGGGAGTATGGGACAGAGTTGTGGTTCCTTCGATGGAAATTATTCTTCCCGAAGGGTTTTGTGGGATAACAATAGAAAAAGTCTTGAGTGTAAAAGAGGTGTTCGGATAGACTGGAAATTCTAAGGAATAATCTTGGTCAATTTCCACCTTCAAAATTGCTCCGTCTTGTATGTCTTTGTAGATCAATTGACCACTGCAACAGACAGACAAGAACCACACTAACACAAATAAAGCTGGCACTGACTTGTGTGAAACCATTTTTTTGACTTTCGACAACCTGACCGAATTTGGTGACGTACTGGCGGATACCTAAAATAACAACAAACTCGAGGAAGATACGATATGAGAAGTTGTCTATTCATCCACGATTGAATAAAAGTAAATTTTCATATCAATCGTTTTTGCTTGAGTTCATGAACGCTGTATTCCAGTTACAATATGACAATCGTGACAACAACAAACACTGTTTAATAAGCACCTAATCTCATATGAAAATTAAACAAATCCAAAACCTTCAGATCCCTCACGAATTGCCAATAACAACCTTTCATGTAAGAGCTCTTCAGAGTCATATTCTGGCAAATCGAGTTGATTGAAGCAAGTGTGTGAGGTTGGTAAACGTTCACTCGTTGCGTTTGCTTTGTGAATGCTGAAAGGTTGAAGTCCACCAGATCCCATCAATTGTGAGAAGCCTCCAAGAGGAACCTTACTTGTACCAGTCACAAATTGAATCAACAAGGCCTTCTCGTTGGAATCAAAGTTGTTTTCGACAATATTCCAGAACCATTTGATTTGAGGAGATTCCTTGGTATATCCAACATACTCGGTGTTATTCTTCAAATCTTGAATGTCAATATCTGGGAGACCAGAAATCAATAGTTCTAGCTCTTGTTCATTGAAAATTTGAATGAGATTACGTGGAATAATCTCGTAGAAAGCTTTAAGGAATGAGTTCAATTGCTGCTCGATAGATTTTGTCATTTTCAATTCGGTGACGAGTCTGACATATTCCAACTTATTTTCGTTTGTAACGGAGATGTTTTTACCGTTTGGTTTGAGCTCAATTTGTTTACGTTGACCAAATTCGTCTACCTCTTGTGTGAAAGTATAATATAAAACATCTTCAATATCATTCTTAAGCATCCAATTCAGATTTTTGTAATAATCTGGGTCAATGCTTTCAATGTCATGATAAGTAATTGGTGCTCCAATAATGTGCTTGTAGAATGATCGGGTAAAGTGGCAATCCAAGTATTGCTCATTCAAAATAGCCATAGCAATTATTCTACCAATGAATTGGAAATAAGACAAGTGTTCGCTGTTAATATAGGAAGAGGGATTTGGCTGATAAGTCGTTTGATCTGCACAAGGAATAAACAAGGCATAATTAGGGTTGAGAATTTCTTTTGAAAGAAGTAAGAACCATTCTCTTGTCAAACCTCCCACGTCAAGACCCTCTTCTCCTTGGAACTTGATTTGAAGCTTTCCTTTGCATTCATCTGGCAATCGTTGTCTTATTTGCACAAATGAATCAAGCATGAGATGAGGTCGTCTGATGGTTAATTTGGCAGTGTAAGCTCCCACCTTCTTTTGCAATTCCTTTAACTTGGATCTAAACCAAAAGGTTTTGTTGTCAAAGTCAACATATTTTGGATATTTCATGAAAGTTGAAAGAGTAGTGTTCAAAAGAGAGGGATTTGATCTTGCCAATGTATTCAAAAAGTCTCTATGTTTCTCTAAAAAGCTTTCAACTTTTGACTTTTCACCAAAACCTTTGGCCGATGTTGGAGTAGATCCTTCGACCATTTCGGACAACAACTTCTCGTTACTCTCTTTTTCTTCAATAAATCCTGCATGGAAAGAGAAAAAGGCCTCAACAAATGGGAATAAAGCAGAATAAATGCAGAGGACTTTTTCTTTTTCCTGGTAGCTGTGTGTGGAGCATTCTTGGTATCAACTGGTTCTTGCTCGGAAGGAATAGAAGCCAAGTACTTGTCGAGAGATTCCCATACAAAATCAAGCGAGTGCTCGCTAAGCAAGTCTGGATCTTCAGAGATGGCTAATTTCTCACTGGAAGTAGATTTCTCTTCATGCTTCTTGTACTTCTTCAACACAATGCTATACGATCTAAGAATTCTACAAAACTTGAGCTTTTCAATAGCGTTGGCATCAAAAGGAGCTTGGAAATGAGATTTCTCCTCTCTAGAAGAGAGTAAATCGCCAAGGGTATCCCTGACAACTTTTGCCTCTTGCTTGGCACTTTGAGCCAATTCCTTTAGAATGATCTTTTTCATGTCAGATGTGAACGACATGTAATTCATGATGGAAGTTGCTGTTTTTACAATCTTTTCAGGGAAGTCTACGTTTGACAATACAGTAATCAAATCTCTTACAACGTTACTATTGTAAATTCTCTTCAAGTATTGAAGAAGGGAATCCATTCTAGAAGAAAGTTTCACGAAGGTCTCTTTAGCCTCTGTTTGGGCAGACTTTTCTTCCTTTTTAGCGGATTCTTGATCTGATTTGGTCTCCATTTGTTCTGAGGAGGATGAGATTGTTTCTGTTGTTGAGCTTTCTGATTTTTCTTCCTTTTTAGAGCTTTCTTCTGCCTTCTTCACTTCATTACTCAATTTTGTCAACTCATCCTTCATGGTTTGTACCATCTTGTAAGTATATTCTGCACAACTCTCAAGTAATTGAATATACAGTTCATAGGTAGAGACAGACTTGGAAATTGTCTTTGATGTCAAGAATGAAAACATCCTTACAAAAGTTTCTCTATCGTTGCTGTATTCATATTCAGCATCTGTTTCTGTGATGCACCCAAGAACCTCACTATTCTTTGTCAAATACAATAACAAGGTTAGCACACTTGAAACAACAGGTAGTGGTACCGTTCCAGTTTCTTCTTTTTGGAAAAATCCATCTTGTTTAGGGTTTGCAAACATTTTTTGCAAGCAGAGTGGCTTAATTTTTTCTGGTACCTGTTCCATAGGGGTGTCATGATAAAGTAACATGGAAAGCAATTGTTTCACAATGATGTTGCTCGATTGTTTCAAGGTGCACAGTTGTTGAATGACGCTGGTAAATATAGTCTTCTTGACGTTTGGAACGTAGAGCAGTCTTAAAAGAAGAGAAATGTCTTCCTCCTTTACGATAGGTTCTAATTCTTCTTCTTCTTTCTTGTCAACTTGAGATATTTGCTTCTTGATTGCTTTTGCTAAGAAATTTGTTCTTGTTGTTTCTTGCTGTTGTTGTCTTCTGATATCTCTTTGACGACTTTGACGCTGATATTGAAGTTGTCTTACGTTATAAGCCTCCTCAGCCATTTCTGGTGGGAGTTGTCTAAGAACTTCTTCATCTGTCGTGAGATAGATTTCGTTACGAAGATCAGGTGGAAGTGTCATCAAGAATTCTGCTGTGCTAAGTTCACGTTCTTGAGTTGGAGGATTGGATGCTGCAGAGGTTGAAGCTGTTGGCGGAGGTGTAGCAGTTGTTCCTGCTGTAGAAGAAGTAGCTTCTGGAACTGTTGGCAAGATGCGAGAAGGAGATCTTGAGGCAGATCTTCTTCGTTGTTGCTCTCTCAACTCTCTTTCCAACTGCAAAACCTCATTTCTAATTTCCAGAGGTAAAGCATTTAAGAAATCTTGACTAATAGTTGTTTCCTCGCTTGTTGAAGAAATGTCTACAAGGGATGCAATGTGAGTAGCAAGAACCTCTTGTCTAATGTCATCTGGAATAGCTGCCAAAAATTGAGGATCAATAGCGAATTCTTGGGTTGTAGTAGCTGTGGTAGAGGCAGGAGGAGCAATGGTACTAGCTGTTCCTTGTTCTTGCTCAACTGTAGTTGCTGTAGGTAGTGTGGTGTCACTTGAAGATGTAGTAATTGCAGTAGTACTACTTGCGTTACTTTCGTTGCTACTACTTGTGGCAGCTGGTTGTTGAGGCAACAATGTCTCTAAACCAGACAAGCTTGAGATCATTTGTTCAAGAGTCACCACCGATGGTTGTTCGACAGTTGTGTTGCTGGTAGGTTGAGATAATGTCATGTCTGAGCTACTGGTGGTCGCTGCAGTACCACTGCTGCTATCTGTGATTCCACTCACAGATAATGGTAGCTCTGGAATTACAGGAATATTCAAAGTGGATTGCTGTGAAACATCAACTTGTGGAATTGGAGATATACCTGAAATATTACTTGGCATCACTGGTGTGGTCACACTCTCTTCAAAATTGACTGCAGTTGGTGTTGATACAGATGCTCCTGGAGTAGTAACTGCGTCACGAACAGGTAGAGAAGGAGTGGTTGGACGAGGAGATGCCTCTGCATCACTCTCGCTCCCATCAGATTCAGTAGGAGAAGTGGATCTTGTTGAACTTGAACTTGTTGGTGCATTTTGTGCCAATAGTCCAAAGGATGATCTTCTTTCTGATACTTTTTTTGGCTTTAAAACATTAGAGCCAGAATCAGAGTCGTCCTTCAACAATTCAGTAAGCATTTGTTCCAACTCTGCAGGTACAGAAGCAACTGAGGGACGAGAAAGTCCAGATGAGCCAACAGTTCCATAATCCAGGTTTCTCGAGCCATTAAAATCAATACCGAACAATCGAGAACTACTGTAACGAGTTTCAGAGCGTGATATTGCGCTGCTTGAGGGTGCTTGTGTGCCAACAGGTTCATACTCTGTTGTAGCACCTGCTGGTCTGTAAGGAGGAGGCACCATTCCCAGCGCACCAAGTGGAAATTGTGCACTCATATGTTGCATATTTTGAAAGATTCCACGGGTTAGTAAATTTTCCAATCGTGCTGGAAAGTTTCTCCCCATTTCAAAAAGAGAGGTTGGATCTAGTAAACCATCAGTATCGTCTTGTTCGACATAATAAAAATCTCCAGCCATATCATCTCCGATGAGGACGTCATCTTCTTCATCTTCAACATTTTCCAGCATTGGAGCATTGTCTGAAAGAGATTATATTGTACAGTGTAAGTTCAATTTCCATCACGATGAAAAACGTGTTTTTTTGCATGATGAATCAATTTTGATCAATTAACAACAAGTATTAATAATGTAGAAAAATCATAGTCGATGATAAAATATGAAATCGAAGGTTGCAATTTAAATCATTCATCAAACAACAAGATTAATATTTCCATCATCATGATCGGAACATGTCAGATAAAAATACCAAAAATAAATAACAATAATTATTTGATGATCAATAGACGGCATCAATGAAAAGATCTTTGCCTCCTACAAGTATTTTAAAAACTTACCAAAATTCAAAACGTTTTCATCATCTTGTTCAATTGTATCCTCCTCTTCCTCCTCTTCCTCTTCTTCTCCTTCATCTTCTTCAACAACACCAGGAGGTTCTTCATCATCCTCTCCTTCCACGCCTTCTTCCATTTCCTCATCCTCCATAGAAGGTTGTTCATCCTCTCCCTCTCTTAACTCATTATCAATCTCAACTCCTGAATTAATAAAATTATGAAGTTGCTCCTCAAATTCGTTTAGATCCATTTTTTTTGTAAAGTTCCTTTTCCGCCAATTCTCTAACCAACAACGACGGAATTTCGAAATCGTCCAGGTTTATAAAGAAAGATACAATTTCACTCTTAACCATCCTCACAACTTCTCACTTAATCTCCAGGCAATCTCTTTACAGAGTTTGGCTAAATTTATTGGTGTGCCCAATTCGTCACCTACTTTCCTTTCTCAAATTGTAAATATTCAATCATTCCACAAAACGACGTTTCTTTCATCACGTTACATAGCAAAACTGCCAGCGAAACAAACTTCCGGGCTTCGAGTATTAAGATTTCATACTCGACAAAAAAATGGGTAATGTTAACTACCTGATCAAACTGTAGTTTATGCTTCAACTAAAACGAAAACACGTCATGTAATTTCCTTTTTGAATCACACTTCGGAATTGTTATATTACAGCCATGTTGTTGACAATATTACAAAAATTGGCTTCCTAGAATTCGTGTAGAGTTCATCATCATTTATATATTAAAAATTATTAAAATTCATCGTGATGGGTAAAACTTTAGAGATTCAAGAACACCTTCCTGCACTTCATTCTTTACATACCTATCAATACGAAGGCGATCAATATTATTCTGCCGATGAAATTGTTGGATCGTTCTTTAAAAAGGAGAAAAATCAAAAAATCTGCAATATTATCGAAAGAAGCTATGGCAAACACATCACGATCAATAATTGCCAACAGCAAGAGATTGGGTTTCCAAAGGTAAAAAAGTCCGCAATTTTGTTAAGCTTGGCAGCCGTTATTGGAACTCTGTTAAAGTTGTCGAAGAAAGATCATCATGATTTATTAATTCAACACCTGTTCCAAACGCATCCCAATCACAACAGTGATCACTATGATACACGTATGGATGACGATGAATTATTTGATAATTCAATGGAAGAAATTTTCAATCAGCCTCAAGTCGAGGACCAAGATGAAGCTTTCAATCAATTGGTTGCTGATGCTGCATCCTATTTTGTTGACGAGAACTCTAATGAAAATGATGATGATATTTATGAAAATAATATTATAGTAGAAGCTTCTGATATAATTAATGATGCAAGTCAGCAACATGAACTTAATACAACCTCACAAGATTACTCTCAAACAGTAGATAGCATGGAAAAAGCAAACACTAATCCTAACCTTTCTCAACAGTGGAACGATCAATGGAACGCTTCTCAATTGTATACAATATTCTGGGCTTAAGTATGTCGAACCATTCATTTTGGCAGACCAGACTTGTGAGACATATTTGTCCCAATTTGCACTTTGGAACTATTTCAAGCCTCAACAGCAATCACAGCCTCAACAATTCCCAACACAACCAATTTGCTCTCAACAATATAATATTGAACAATGGAAAAATTGTTATACAACTGATACCGCTTTACAATCCAATACATGTGACTCATTCAACCATTCTCAAGCACAATCTGATAATGATCAACAAGTAGAATTGAAATATTGGGAATGTGCTTGTTGTAAACACCAAAAAGTCCAAGCATGTCCTCACAAATACCCTGGTATTCAATCAAATCAAGACAATTACAACCGTGGAGCGAAAGATCGAGCAAAAGAAATAGTGTCTATATTTGAGAAAATGTTAGGTAATTTAGGACATGATGTACATGCATGGCTGGAATGTTATCTTCAAACTGATGAAGGTATTAAAACAGTAATCCAAGAATTAGAGCAAAATATTAGATACAGCCATCGTTATCAAAAACTGAAAGAATATCTAATTGAAAAGAAAGATGTAACTATTGTGCAATATTGGCGAGATAATAACTTGATTTCTGATGTTACATATCATAACTTCGAAAAGAAGTCAATTTAATGACATTACTCCCGACAAGGAAAGAGATGACAACATCGAAACAATCACTAAATGAACAAGTTGAGAAAACTTTCAAATTACGATGTCCAAGTTCAAACTACATTGGATATATTATAGACTTAGATCAAGCCATATTTTATATTCTGAAGCTATGTATGTCATTAGGGAAAAAATTACCCAAGAAAATATTTTTTAAAATTGGGGTAGATGGTAGAGAAATTAATGGAGTTAAACAAGTTGCAGTTGCATTGGTTCCACTCAATTTAAGAGATGTATTTCCATCGCAGGCTGTTTATTCTGTGTTTTATATTGGGTTATTTCAGATGAAGGAAACAAAAGAAAGTATCAAAGAAACAATTGGAACGCTTCACGATGAGATTGAGCGTGTTTTGCAAAAACAATATTTTGGGAAGCATCAAGTTTGTCTTTTTTATGTTTCAGACATGCATAATGTAGGCATGACGTTCTCATTTGATTTATGTCCCTATTGTATGGCTCAAACTATTGTAGATTTTGCATCAACTCCACGCGACTCTCTTGACGGCCAGTTACCTTTTTCTCCACCACAAACAATACTATGTGCTCTTCATATCAAACAGAGGCTAGTAGAAAATGTTATTGGTTATATGGCATCAACAACTTACAAATATGAGATTCAGAAAAATATACAAACATTACATGGATTGGAAACATTTAATTGGAAAGAGTTCCACGAACGAGTATCGAATTATGGAATTTCTCAAACCTCAGCACGATCATCAATCAAGTCATGTATGCTGTCGGGAGATCATTGTAACACTATTTTACAAAATATTGAGAAAGTTGTTGATAATATTGAACCAAGCACCAAACAAAAATATTTACAAATTCTGAAATTGTTGCGAAATATTATCATTATTATTGAAATGCATCAAGATAACGAAAATAATGACAATGTATTGACAGCAAATAAGATTGTGGAATTGGACAAACTGATAATGCAATTCTTAGTTGCGTGTTTTTCAATATGGACTCAAGGAATTAAAGCTCATTATTTCCATTTTATAATTCATGTACCCTCAATAATGAGCTCTCTTTTCAAAGAAAAATTATCACTCTCGATTTTGAGTAATCAGGGATTCGAACGGTCTCATTTATTTCACCATGCAGTGTTTAATCGAATTATTAACAATGGAGGAGGTCGTACTCAAATACACCCAACCAAACAATTGCTATTGTGGCAATGGCGAAAGGTATTAGTCGCAATTGACTTGAAGGAAAAAACAGGAGAAACATATTGGCATGAAAAACGTTTAAAAAAGCTTTATTCTTGGGATGCAAGTCATGTCAAACCACAAAAGGAATTGTATCAATGGTATGATGCTTCTTTAGTGGACCCAACCATAATTACGGATCGTGATAATTTGAACATGATGATTCAAAAGATCCAAGAAAATGACAAGGAGAACAGGAAGAAGCAAACTTCCAAAGATACAGACACCAATGCCTTCGCTGGGAGAGTAACTGCAACAATGTCACACAAGAAACGGAAAGGATGTCCTAGCAATGATGAATGAAATCAAAAACTTTCAATCCAACAATCTCCATTCTTTGACTGTACCCAATGACTGAGGTGTGCATAATATAATTCGAATGAGGTGTCGTAGGAAATGATCAACTTGGATGCAATGCAACGATATTGAACAGTTTCAAGTTCTGAGCGAATGGGCCTGTTGAATCTCTTTCTAAGGCTGTCAATTACATGCTTTTGGTCGACACTCATATAATTCTTTGCCCAAGTCCCATCCCCGAAAGAAGGAAAGTTTGGATAATTGAATTCGTAAATGATGTGACGAGTCCGTTCAATGTCACCTTCTCGGTTGATCCAAGGAGAATATTGCTCCACACGAACATACTTCTCGGGCCCCATAGTCTTACACATATACATATCAAAAACGGATTCTTTACACTCACCTATTGGCAATCGAGTCCGTGCTGGGCCGTTGCAAGGAGAATTCATGTCCCACAAAAAGTTGAAAAGCTTGAGTTCCATACGAGCAGCTTGTTTCCGATGGGAGTTGTGAGTAAAATGGATTAAATTGAGGGGGCTTGGATGCATGGTGATTGGTATCTTATCCACTTTAACAAAGGCCTCCAATGGATGATATTTGTAACGACGACGCTGCCTTTTTGGTGTACTTGATATCTTTGAAGGTTGGGAAGGTGTGATCTTCTTTGATTGCTCTTTTGGCATTGTGCTGGAGAGTGTTGTTGCTGTTAATGATGATGCGATCAGTGATCGGTGTTGAAGCAATGAAGTTGATGGTAAGTAGATGAGGTTGTGAATGATGCTGATCAAGAAGTGCTGATGATGGTTGATCGGGGTGACCGTTTATATTTGTTTTGTTTCGATTGTTCTTGCAAGCGACATGGTAGCGTCCCAAACATTTTATTTTTTTTCAATTCCGGATTGCCAAATCCATCCTGCAACTGGGTCTATTGGCTTGTCTTGCTATGAAAAAAGCACAAACTGAATCTTGCAAGTTCAGCACCTATCGAGTAACTCGTCATATTTATAAACTGAGAGAGTTGTATCCAGAGTTGTATACAACAACAACAACAGCACTTGTCACAACAATAACTAGACTTCAAAACATCCAAATTTTGAATTCATCTCTACTACAATGCCTCTCCTAGTATTCAATAAAAAGACTCGTGTGCCATCCATGGATATGGACGAACAACACGAACGAGAACGACAATTTCAGAAACAACTTCAACAAAAAGTACACGACGAAGAAGACTTTGATTCCTGGAAGAATGCTGATAAACAGAAAATCAACAACTCGTCACTCTCTGTACAAGCTTCTTCACGAGGAAGATCCAAATCCGAACATCAACAAAATACAACAACCTCCTCTCCATCATCACAAAATGGAGAAAAAAGCTCATGGTTCGGACGCGGAAGATCTCAATCAAACAAACAACAACCTTCCTTGACAGTAACATCTCCATCAGATGTTGTGGAAGAGACTCAAGAAGGAGTTTCTAAAGAAGAGATGAGAACAGGCAAGTTGCAACACCAACACACCAAGAAGAAGGGACAAGTTGGCGATTATGAAGAGGATCATGAAGAGGAAAGACAAGAAATTCCAAAGGACGAACAAAAGGTGAAGAGGAAATACAGTTTAAAGAAAAAGAGTGCTGAATTGTTATCTTCTGATGAGTGAGGGACGTGTGACCTGTAATTTTATACATTTCATGAAAACATGTAAACTGTCAACAGAATGACTAAAAATGTCCATACGATCACAATGTACAAAAGATTTCATAAAAAATTGAAAGAGAGAATTAATGTATTGATTGACTTGATGATTATTGTGAAAAGAACCCATCCATGAAGTTAAATAAGGTATTGATCGTGAATGAGCATGTCACAAGTGTCAACTCACTAAAATTCATCCCTACGTTTGAATTCAAAATTTCAACTCGAAAGTGACTTCCTGAGAAATTGCTCTTGTGTTGCAATGTCAAGATTTCTATTTAATAAGTCGATCATTTCGAACTGCTCCAGCCTCCTTATAATATCTCAACAACATTCTCTTTTCCAAATCACTTGCATACTCCTTCTTACTGAACTTGTCCAATTCATATCCAATCACTAAAGAAACACCCAATGACAAGGCAGCATAAAAAGGAATTCTTCTTTTCGTTCGCTTCACCATTTCCTCTCTCTCCATTTCCACTTGAAAAGGACTAAATTTTGGTTTGTTGTGCATGAATTGATTCCACTCTGTTTTCGATTCGTCAAAAAAGTGAGACGAAATCTTTTCATCCTCTTCTCGAGTTTTCTTTTGATTCAATCGATGCATTTGTTCTCTAAATACCTTTTCTTCTTCACTCAAATTTTCAACATCTTCCTTTCGTGATTGATATCGATCCGATTGATGAATGTAATGATACATTTTCCTCCTCATGGCTGAATCATAGGCAACCGTATTGAGATTGGTTCCGAAAATACTACTCGAACTATTCATAATTCTTCCAAAATGTGTTCCAATATCCAATTCCCGATCGTATTCTGCTCTCTTTTCTTCATCACTCAATAATTCATAACTATCCTGAATATCGAGCCATGCCTGCTCATCTTCCAATGAAAGTACTGCCGAATTGGATGGTTTTCCAGAATCGGAAATGAGTTCGGAAGCATTATTGTTGGTCACCACTCCATTCATGATGGAATTATTATTCGTTGAAGAAGGTTTTTTGGCATCGGGATGGTACTTTTTTGCTAATGCATAATAGGCTTTTTTAATTTGTTGTTTGGAGGCTGAACGAGGAACTCCCAATACTGCATAGTGATCCATGATTTGAGTGGGTAATTTCATGTTGTGTGATTTGTGTTTGTTTGTGTGGTGTTTGATGGTTTTTTTGATGATAATGTGAAATTATTGTAATTATAATAATTATTTGAAACTAAATAATGAATTCTATTTCTAGTAATAAATATGAAATAATTAGAGGGATGATGAATATGATTTTTGAAATAATAATAATTATTTTTCAATTGAATGGATTTGCACCAAAATGTTGTCGTCGACGGTTATTCGATTCTTTCTTTCCGATGAAAAGATGACACTGGTGATAATTAACGACAAGAGGTTGACGCGAAAGTGGGTGATGATGATGCAGCTGTTAATTGACTTGTTTTTGTTTGAAAAAATGCTTTAAAAGGTGTTTTAATTTGAAAAATGGCTAAATTCGGCCCGAAGTACAGCTATTGCTCCGACATTTGACTTTGGGTGTTGTATAACTGTAACATGCTGTTGTTCTTACAAACAGAGTCATTCACTCCTGCATTCTCTAATGGTGTTCTGGTTTGGAAAAGAATCGTTCGTGGTGGCGTTGTAAAAAGTACCGCCGAGGAAATTTTTGAGCATCCAATGAAAATCCAACAACAATGCCGCCACCGCCAAAATTCTTTCCGTTAAACTTTAAAATGAAAAACATGCATCTGCCAGCTGTCAACAACGGCTTAAAATTTTCACAGAGCGCCTATCGTCACTTGCTTCAACAACAAAAAAAACAAGTCAATCATCTCATTACCAGATAATTGATACCACAACAACACACTCCTCTAGAAAGAAGAACACTAATCACACACACTCTAACACAAAATGAGAGAAGTCGTTTCATTGCACATTGGTCAAGCCGGTATTCAAGGTAAGTCATGAATCATCCACACCTTTTTCATCATCCATTTGATATTCTTTTCATATGAATTTTACTCCTCCATGTCCACAACAATGATAAAATCATTATCCATGTCCACAACAATGATCGTATGATCCACAACAAATATTGAAACAACAACATTGTCATCAACAATGAATTATATTATTTTCACACAGTCGGTAACGCTTGTTGGGAACTCTTCTGTGCCGAACATGGAATCAACCCAGACGGTACCTCTTCCTCCATCAACGATGCCTCTTCCTCTGTTTACTTTTCTGAAAATTCACGTGGTAAATACGTTCCACGTGCATTGATGGTCGATTTAGAACCTTCTGTCATTGATGCCATCAAAAACACTGAATACAAGCAATTGTATCATCCTTCTTACTTGTTACGTGGAAATGAAGATGCTTCCAATAACTTTGCTCGTGGTCATTACACCATTGGAAAGGACATGCTCGATTCTGCCATGAATTCCATTCGTAAGATTACTGACAATTGTCAAAGTTTGCAAGGTTTTCAAATTTTCAACTCTGTTGGAGGTGGTACTGGTTCTGGATTTGCTTCCTTGCTATTGGAAAGACTTGCTGTTGAATTTCCAAAAAAGACTAAATTGGGTTTCAATATTTATCCAAGTCCTCAATTGACAACTTCCGTAGTTGAACCTTACAACTCTGTGTTGAGTACTCATGCCTTATTGGAACACAATGATGTGTCTGTAGTATTGGACAATCAAGCCATTTACGATGTCTGTAAGAATAATTTGAAAATTGACAGACCCAACTATAAGAATTTGAATCGTGTCATTGCTCAAACTGTTTCCAGCTTGACTTGCTCATTGAGATTCCCTGGATCTTTGAATGTTGATTTGAATGAGTTCCAAACCAATTTGGTTCCATATCCAAGAATTCACTTCATGTTGTCCTCTTTGGCTCCAATGGTTTCTGTCTCAGAACAATACTATGCCAATAATAATGCTGCTGAATTGACAAGTCATGTCTTTGAACCTAATAACATGATGGCCAAGTGTGATCCAAGAAGTGGCAAGTACATTTCATGTTGTTTAATGTACCGTGGTAAAGATATTGTCAATAAGGATGTGAGTGATGCTGTCAAGGTCATGAAGAGCAAATCGAGTATTCAATTTGTGGATTGGTCTCCATGTGCTTTCAAGATTGGTATTAATCAACAATCTCCAACCATGTTGCCAGGAAGTGAAATGGCTCAAGTCGATAACTCTTGTTCCATGATTTCCAATAACACTGCCATTGCTTCTGTCTTTGCTAGAATGAATGACAAGTTTGACTTGTTGTTTGCAAAGAGAGCATATGTACATCACTTTGTTGGAGAAGGAATGGAGGAAGGTGAATTCAATGAAGCTCGTGAAGATTTGGCTGCTTTGGAAAAGGACTACAGTGAAATTAGTAAGGATACTATTAGTGAAGAGGATTCCATGTTGGATGAAGGTGAAGAAATGCATTAAGTTCATTCATAATGATCAATGATGCCACAAGTCAAATTCTCTGTGCGCCTCCTCATAATTAGTAGTAATCAGCACCCATGTAAACGATGATCATGTTTGACGAAGGTTCATACATGCATCTCAAATAAAACTATTGATATTTTAACAATTCAAACTCTAGAAATGATTTGAGCATTCAAGAAAATTATTAAGCACTGGTTCTTAGTGAAGAAATTTACTGATTGAATTGCGTAAACAAGGTTTGCAACGATTCCAAATCCAATTTCAAATTCAAAGACGATACTGTCGTTTCTGTTATGGTATTAAGAGGTTGAATTATGAATGATGACTCTTCACGAATTATTAAAGTCTTTCTTCGAGCACAATCAATCATTCGTTGCACCACATGTCCAAATCCTCGAAAAACTTTCACAAATCGTTTTCCCAGCAAACTAGCAGCCAATAAATCTCTTTCCAACATGTCATGGTAATATAAAAATTGTTGCCTCAAATCGTTATTCATCAATTTTGAATCTTCTTGATTAACTTCATGTTCAATTTCCTCAATGGCTTCTGCATGTGCTTTCCATCCAAGTGCAATTCCACTCAATAGAAAAGGAGGAATATGTCCAAATAATGGATGTGACGAGAGGCGTGTCAATTCTTCAGTTATAGATCGAAGTTCTCTTCCTCGTAGCCCTAGTTCTCTATAAATTCCTAGTCGATAAGAAACCATCGTAATTGAAATAATTAAATGAGCTAAAATTTTCCCCTTTTCTTGTACATTCTTTTTTGCATTGTCGTATTTAGTGTAGCATTCATAAATTTTGTCCACAAAGTACAAATATTTTGGGAGAGTATCTTTTGTAAGTGGTTGACTGAGAATGGACATTAATTCTTCAGGGACCGTATTGGAGCTTGTACTGTATTTGTATCCTTCCAGTAATTTTCGTTGAATATAATTTGAAACTCCTTCAACTTGTTCATAATCGAAATCTTGTGTTATAAAAGTTGCAAGTACACATCCTCGTTTGAGACATGACAGGGAGTCGTCCATTTCTTTGATTTGTGACAGATAGGATCTTGTAATAGCGACTAATTCAGTAGCATCTTGATCCATAGAGGATGCAGCTGCATAGGATGCTAAATAACAACAAATCGCAGCTACTAAATAACTAGGTCGATCCAAATCAAGATATTCCGAAAATAGTAATTCCTTACTTCTGTAAAAAGATCGAATTGCATTTTCATTATTTCCAAATCTCTGATAACAAAAACTTTGAATGGCATACAGCAATGAAAAATATTGGGTACTGCTTCCATACTTTTCTCTCTCAGCGAGTATTGTTTGAAAAGTATTTCTTGGAATTATTGACACACCAGCACTCACCACTCCAAAGAAAAGATCCACCGTTTGTTGTTGCAAGACCACTTGAGAAAGAACAGCGTTTCGTTCAAAGGTACAATACACAGCATCGTCAATGACTTGGGGAAGAGTATGGTTGAGAGATTGTTGTACATTGATGGTTGTTGGAAGGAGGTGTTGAAATGTTGGATCAAAATTTTGGTTTGTGTTCGAGTGTACAGTGGAGGTGGCGGTCGCCATGGATAATTGTTGTTGAAGGAGTGGCATGATTTGTGAAGCATTGGTTAGTTTCACAAGGAGTGATAATAAACGATTAATGACGGATGGATCTGCATTGTTTTGAATGGTATATCGAAACAATTGTAAAATTCGTTCAATAGTTGCTGAATGGGAGTTCATCGATGCAGAAGTGTTTCCTTGAGAATGGGGTTGATTTTCAGAATTCACTGGTGCTTGATTTGAATGATCCGAATGATCTTCTTGAGTTGAGTGACTGCTTGGATCAAATTGTAAATTGTGAAAATTAACGGAATGCAGAGCAGCTCTCTGATTCATTTCATCTCGAACATTCACTTGTGGTTGTTGTTGTTGTTGAGAAAGTGTCATTGATGATGGGAAAGACAAGTTTAGAAATGGTGAGTGTTGTGAAGGATTGGGTTGAACTTGTTTTTGAATTCCACGAGAATGATAATCAGAATCTTCAGCTGATTCCGAACTCGTGATGGATGTTGGTCGCCCATGAGAAGTGGAAACAGAATGAGAAAGGGTTGTTGATGACGATTTGTCGATGTGGTCAAAGTTCGTACCAATCCGGGTTGAGGATGAATGGATCACCTGTGAAGGAATAAGGGAAAAGTTCAGAGTTGGTTTTTCTTGACTGGTCAAGAGAGGAGTGTTGCTACTATTCGAAGTCGTAGGTGTGGTCGTGCTATTCGCTTTCCTTTTTCGAATTGGATTGGTTTTCACATGACCAGTGAATAAATTTAGAGTTGAATGAACCGTCCCAGTGGTTGTTGTTGATGAGGATGCTTGTTGAGAAGAGGTGCATGCAAGAGTCTCTGAGCTGTTTTGAGAAATCGTGGTTGTTGTCTGACCTTTCATTGGTTTTGAAGTTTGTTGCTGCTGAGGCGTTAAGAATGAAACACTCACACACTTGTGATTCTGTTTTCCCTTTTCAAAACTTTCCAAACCAAGAACACTTATGGTGACTGGTTTCTTTTTTTGAATCTTGTTTTTGCTACCCACGGTTCGACCTCTTTTCTTGGCTTCAGGATAGACACAGATTTTACCTTTCGAAGTGCATTCATGACATGCTGGCAACTGACGTCCACAGCGTTTGTGTCCTCTTCGACACGTGATGCAAGAAATGGCATTAAAATTAGCAGACATTGTTTCTAGATCAGAATTTTCAAGAAGAATTGCATTCAATGATTCCCGTTGTTGCTCTTCTTCCTGAAAAGTATCAATGATTGATGCATGTATTTCTTCGGACCATGATGAAAGTGGAATCTCATGCAGGGTCGAGAACTCGCTTTCATGAATCGCCATGAGTTTCCGATGTGAAGACATTGATTCATCCTCCTCTCGCTCCTGAAATAGTGGTTGTGCGTGACTCTTCGTTAATTCCTGTTGTGATGGTTGAGTGGATGGACACGATGGATACACGATTGAAGACAACACGCCTTGATGATGAGCTAGTTGTTGTACATCCTCCTGATGCTTCTCCTCGTTATCCTTCGAAGGTGGTTCTTGAGAGTTGTTGTTATTATTATTATCGTCATGATTAAAACTACGATCGGTCATCATAATTCTGCGTCCACCACAAGCATTATCATGACCTTGCATGACTTGTGAATTTTTTTTATGCCGCTTACACTCATGGCTCTGTTTGTCGGAATAAGGAATGTGCACAACCAGAGAGGAGCTGAAGAGTTTGGGTTCACGAAACGGAATTGGTAAGCGATGCAGTGAAGAGTGAATCCAGTCATCCGTTTAAAGTGGTGTGCTGTTGCTTGAATGAACATCCGAGAGCATGAAAATGGTGCACATGGAAAATACTTGATTTTTCCGAAAGGCTTTGATTTTAAAAAGAAAGAGCTCGGGAACGAAACACTGAGTGTTGTAATTCGAATGGAGTTTGCTCTTTCAGAAAATCAAGTGAAAAAAGTGAGCCAATCATTATACTATTAAAATTTTGGATATAAGGCGTGTGTTGTTTTGTACAGCTACTACTACACTTGTTCTTACTGTAAATGAGGTTTGAAAGCCCTCGTTGTATTTTTAAACGATTTACAACTGAAAAAAAATGCTCAGCGCCGAACAATACGAAAGAATTTTGAGGGAGTGGGAAACAACGCCATCCTCATCATGGTCCGCCCTTAATTCAGTGACACAGAAACGTGCTATTCAAGTCGATGAAGATTATGATGAAGAGTTAATTTGTAGTGGAGCCAACGATTGCATGAGAAGATCAAATCAAACTCCAACGAAAAGAACGTCCGAATACAACGATCATGGTCATCATGATGACTATGGAAACACAAATGATTCTCCATCAGCACTTTATACATCGCCTTCTTCCTCTATGCAATCAAAACAACATGTATCAACACCTGTCAATAATTTCAACGATCCAGAGCACAGTCCTCGAATTACTGTTGACTTGATCAGGGATCTGTGCTCTCGTCAGCATTTGTATCAAACTCCGTATCTCAATGATAAATTGTTCCTTCATTTCAAAGGGTTTAGAAAAATTGAAAATCTAGAGTTGTACACAGAGCTAAAGGCTTTGTGGTTGGAGGGTAACGCAATTTCTGTAATTGAGAATTTGGGACATCTCACCAAACTAAGATGTCTCTACCTCAACCAAAATCTAATCACGAAAATTGAAAATTTGGAAGCGTTGAACAATTTACAAACCCTTAACTTGGCAAACAATCACATTAGTGTTATTGAAAACTTGGAAGGTTGTAATCAGCTGGAAACTCTCAATCTTGGAAATAACAAAATCTCGAGCATTGAGAGTTTGAACCGACTTTGTAAACTACCTAGGCTCTCTGTCTTGGATCTTTCTAATAATCAAATTACTGATCCTGAAATTGTTAATATTCTAGCTAAAATTCCGTCCTTAAGTGTACTATATTTGAAAGGAAATCCTGTGGTGGGCTCTTTGAGAAATTATAGAAAAGTGTTAATATCTTCAATTCCAAAACTCAACTATCTTGACGAAAGGCCGGTGTCACCTGATGAGAGACGGTGTGTGCAAGCATGGGCCCGTGGAGGTCCATTGGCTGAAGCAGAAGAGAGAAAGAAGATTATTGAGGAAAAAGAAAACAAACATGAAAGAGAGATGAACGCTTGGTTAGACATGCAGCAAAAAGCAGCTGAGAGAAGAAGTCAAGAGGAAAAAGAGGGAGTGTTGAAACGGATGTACTATATTGAAAAGTTGAGGGAAGCAAATCTTCCAAAAGAGAGCGCTTGCCAACCATCCGTTGAACTTCCTGCTTCATCCTTGGTGACATTAGAAAAAGCATCAGTTCTTGTCAAAAACGAGGAGCCAGTACCAGTGGTGGTAGAGCCTTCAAGACAAGAAAATCAACCAACAGAGAAAAAGGTTCAAGTTTTAGAGGGAGAAGGCATCGTTTGGAACGCAGAAATTAGGCAAGTGTTGCTGCAGTCGGTACGGAAAGAACTCTTCAACTTTGAAAAGGTCTCAAAAGCAGTTCAATCATTTGTGTTGAAGAATTACAAAGTGTATGACTCGTCAAAAAAGCTCGTTGAGATGAAGGAAGCCACATCAAACAACAACAATACAATGTTGGTCTCAGTAATGGCGTACACTTCAGACCGATGCAGAATGGAGTATTCACGCTTACATCAGGATCACCAAGACAAGCCCACGCAAGTTCAATTGGAGTCTCCCCTTGTAGAAATTTGGCAGTCCAAGAAATTATTTTAACACTGTGCGCCTAGGCGGTGTCATAAAATTTTGTTTCAATTTTTTGAATTTAACGGTTTTCAAAAAACTAACCGTTACACCTAAAATTTAAAAAAATGCAACAACAAGCCTTTTACCCCATGCCATCACAATCGCAATTCGTGGAAGCATCTTTCAATTATCAACACCATCCATCCTATGCTCATATGCAACAACCTCCACAACAACCTCGAAAGTACATTGTTCCAGAACAACAAACTCCTTTCCAAGCAGACCCCACAGCTCTCTATGCCATCATGAATAATCAGCAACCACTCGATCCCTACAGTAACCAAAGTGCCAGGTATTCTTATGTTCCAGGAGGCTCCTCTAATCCAAAAACACCAGGAAAATCTCCGTACTCTACTCACCATAATCATCAGTTCATGATGAACTCTAATTTGAACAAGGAGAATGATCATTACAACAATATGAACTATAATTATTCCTTAAATTCTTCAACCTATGCATATCAACAATCCATGATGCAACCTAAAACACCAGGCAAATCCACAATGAATGCTTCTTTTGTTTCCAGCACTGCCATTACTCCTGGACGGACCTCACTTCGGAAGGAATCGTTATGTAAAACTGGAGAAAAAAAGTTTTTACACACACCAAAGAGAGCCACAGCATCTGTTTCCAATAACACCTCGAAACCTAAAACACCACATCAAAACACCTCCCTTCTCAATACAAGCAGCATGTCCTTTAACAATAATAATACCATCTCTACGAATAGCTCACTAAATAATAGTTCCATGATGACGAGTAATAACACTTCGAACAGGTCAAGCAAGGTGAGCAGTAACCAAAGGGCCTCTACAAATTCTAGTCAACAAAGTAAGAGAACCTTAGCCTCTGTGAAAGAGAATGACCGAAAATCTCAAAGGTCTCTTAATTCGCAAACGAGCCGTCAATCTCGAGTTCATAACCAACCACCACGACAATCTCTCATGTCTGCTCCTTACTCGAAACGAGTGAACACTAGTAGCAACGATGGAGTTCATGGTTTCCTAACCAGCACTGCTTCTTCGTCTACATTGGTCTTTGATAATTGTGACACTTCCAATGATGATGCCTTCATGATGAACACTACCTTAAATTCTTCTCAAGAGTGTTCTGAACAAGATATTTGTAGATTCCTTAATGCTCAATTGCAAAGAAGATCCAAGAATGATTTGAAGGAAATTCTGGAACGATACATTGAACACCATTTAGTGAGTCATAATAACTCGATCATGGAACCTCAAGGTACGAATGATTCTCTCTTCTCCAGTTCGGTGTCATCTAATGCCTCCGTTTACGAAATGGAGAGTGAAGAAACGACTGGCCAAGAAGTCGATTCTGCTTCCACACTCACACAAGCTTCTACTTTCACTGCTCCAAGCTTTAATGCATACCATTCTGTTGCTTCTAATGGTTCGTGTAACACCTCCTCAGGATCTAACTCTCAGCAAATTTCAAACCTTACTCATTCATCCTCTCGAACTTCAGTGTACTCTCATTCTGGTCTCAACTCATCCTTTGTAAGGTATGAGCCAAGCGATCTCATCAAACGTTTATTGAAAGAGGAGGAACAACGATGTCAAGTGATTTCCCATGTTGCTGCCAACGCAGCTTGCCCTTCGTCAACTGTGTATCCAATGTCCAATCTTCCACAACATTATAGAAGATGAGTAGATTTGACCTTTTCCCTTATGTGCTCTCCGTAAATGGAATTAGAAGATTTGAAAAGCGCTGAAAGGAATCAATGGTCTTGAATGCAAGAGCTCTTCAACAAGTGTGCTTTTGGTTCTTGAGATAAAAAGCATTTCGCCAACCTAATAGAATTTCTCATGGATGCTCAGTTTGTGTAAATATTTTTCAAAATCATTGAACTAACGAACATATGTAACAACACGATTGTGAGAAGTAAAGAAATTTCTTGATGCCAAGATCTATCTTGTGTTTTTAATATGGGTCCACTACATTTACAAGGGCTGTTCTTCCATTCAAAGGTTCAACATGTTAGCCAGAAACCGATGGTAATGACATCGTTATTTAAGTGGAGTTTGTGAAAAAAGCTCAAGCTGGTTGATCCTCATCAATGCGGAGGGCTGAGGTCACAACTTCTGCAACGCTGTAAAAGTGAGTTACTCTTGAACCACCTTACTTGCAGAAAGAAAATAGAATGTCTAGCATTAAACAAGCAAATACCCTGAAGCGGGAATAAAATCCATTAGAAATTCTCTCGTTATGGCAATCCCTGTGCATGATCTAACAACGGTAACCTTCATGAAGTAGGAGCCTTAGTACTTTCTCTCTCCAAGGATCCTATAAACGTACTAAGCGACAACGTTTCTCAAAAGAAGTGCCTGCCTTAATTAAGATATGATCCTTTGCCTTTAACACCGCTCCTTCATTTCTGTTGTTAAGGTCCCACTCCCGAAAACATTGAACATCTCTTCGATTTGAAAAAAAAAACAAACATCAACATTTGAACTGTGCGCTAGTATAGTACTTGGTATATACCACACCGCTATTTATCCATTCATGAAGAATAAAGGTTTCTCTCAGATACAAATCACAGAAGAAGACCATCTTGCCGTTTGGAATCATCTCAGAGGCAAGCATTTGGACCGCTACAATTTATACCGAGCAAACAGCCTAGAAGACTCTGATAATGATTTAATTCATTCAGGAATGATGATGATGAATAAGGTTAAGGATTTGTCGGATTTAAGAAGAGGATCCCTGCCTTCCACTTTGCCTTCTCATTACCCACAATGCGAAGACGATGATTTAGTGAACATTTCGATAGATTTGAACAACTCGATGGAATTCTCAAAATTTGCTCAACCGCATCCTCATGCTTTAATGAATAGAAAACTTGGAAATGATACTTTGGAAAGCAGTATAGATTGCTTTTGTTCAATGGATATACAGTCATCCTCGTCGGGTCTACATCAGAGCGAAATTGTGCATGATGTGGGCTTCAAAGACAACGAAGCCGCAGTAATTTCGCCCATACCCAAAAGCGGTTTAAATAAGGATATTGAAATTCGAGATGATTCCATAATTCTGTACGGAAATTTGAAAGAGAAGAAGGTTGAAGATTCCTTCACAATTGTTGTATCTCCGTATGAAGAGATTGTAATTGAGAAAGTCACCGGCAAAGGAAAGTTATATTGTTTTGATTACTCTAGCAAGGTTGAGAAGAAGAAAAAGTTATTGGACAGTGATGACGAGAACTTTGTGGTCCCTGTTGCTACGTCTGTGGAAGGAATGTTCGAGAAGGATCGCAAGTCTTTTCTTGCTAATTCATCCTCGGAATCGAAAGGAATATGCGTGTTGCAATCTGGACGAACCTACTTCTTCAAATATGTTAAAACTCGTACGAGATTTGATTCTGCCATCTTGTATTACAGGAACAGCTATGCCTTGTAGTTGTAAACACTCGTGTCCGTTCCTGAATGCCATTGCACATGCAAGAAATTTTTGCTTGACAAAATGTTGTTGAACAAGTCACAAAATAAATTGTGACGTTCACGAGTAATTCGAACAACTTGCAAAAAAAAAACAAATCAACATCTTGAAGGGTTACTTCGTCAGAGCAATCCTTTCATCTTGAAACACATCTTGAATCAAGAGACAATTACGATTGATCCTCCTCTTGTGTCTCACACCTTCATTGCCACTCGTCTTTCCACAATAAGCCAATCCTCACATTTGTGCAAATCTTTAACGAGAACACTTTCTTCCTCTTTCATCCACACCAAAAATAATCACAGAAGAAGGATCTGATTCTCTCTCTTGACACGCAAACAATATCAACCACTAACATCCGTAGGATTTTGGAAGGAGTAGAAATATCTATTGTTTAACGACTGAGAGGATCAATAATTGTAAATACTTTGCATCATCGGATTGATCGCCCAATAAGAAATCAATCCAAAAGGACTGTAAATATATCGAAAAGATCGTTTGATTGTACATAAAACAACAAGAACTCTTTACCATGAATCAAAACAACAACAATCGCCAAGTCATAGGCCGTCGGACCATTGCTGCAACACGAGGAGGAAATAACAGTACTGGCCACCACCGAGGACGATTCATACGACGTCCTCCTTCTTCAGCATCTACAAGTCAGCAACAACAACAATCTCATCATCGACATTCTTCTCATCAATACTCCCGTGGAGGACGAAACCGAACATTTATTTCAAGAACCACTCCTTATCATCATCAACAACTTGCTTCTATTGCTACTACCTCGACAACGCCTCATCAACAACAACAACAGCAAGACCGCAATACAACATCCACTTCCCATCACCAACACGATAGTTCAATTATTGTGCTCGATGATGATGATGAACACGAAGAAGAATTGGATGATGCAGCATCATCAAGCAGTGAGAGTTATAGCAGCAGTAGTAGCAGTAGCTCATCATCCTCATCATGGATGTTTGCTGACTTGAATAATCATCATCATCAACAGACGAACAATAATCATCATGATGATGCCGAAGAAGACCATGAGGAGGATGCACTCACGTTACCCTTATTCGACCAAGATGAAGAGGTTGAACTGTTTCTTGGTACGAGAGAACCTATTGTTGATTTTACTCAGGATGTGGTCTATCCTCAAGAGGTTTTAAACATTTCATCAGGATCTGAAGGAGTTGAAGCTTCGGAGAGCATGGCCAACAGAGGCACCCATAGCACCACCAGCGTATTAACGAATACTACTCGTGGAAATCACTCATCAACATCATCCAATTCAGTAACACGAACGAGGCCTTCAGCTAATTCAACACCAGTGTTGAACTTGAATCATTCTGGAAGAAGAAATGTTGCATCTTCAGCTAGTTCACTACCTTCCACTCGATCCTTAATACCTTCTACAACAACTTGCATCATCCAAGATCGAGACACCACACGGATCATCACGAAGTGACACATGAAAATATTGATGATTTTCTTGAACAATTGGAAGATGAGGAAAGAATGGAACAAGGACGCAACAATCGAAATAATAGCAACAACACTAACAACAGCCATACACATGACATGAGACGACCCTTAGCATCCAGAACAGAGCGAATGCAAAGATATAGATTTAATACACCTTCATTGAGTGGTGGTCATAATAATAGTAGTAGCACTCAAGCATGACTAGTGGTTTATTTGCGCGATATAATCATGACGACGACTATGACACGCATAACCATGGATTGGATATGACACATCCTCTCTTTTTAGAGCTACAACGAAGAGAGCTAGAGCGATACAGTCGAATGAGACAACCTACCTCAAATTCCAATAGTAGTAGTAGTCATAGGGAGGATACCACAGACACCACTCGTCCAACCAACATGCTCAGAGCATCTAGTTCTAGTAGCAGCAGTACCAGCACCTCATCTCCCACTTCTAGCGAGTCTTCCTCATCTTCCTCAGCCTTACGTATCCCTCAACATTTATTCAGATTTTTACACAACGCCACCTCACATAACCATCACCATCCACAACAACCCCAACAACAGCATACGTCCCACACTTCACCATTCATTCATGCTCCCACTCTTTTATTTACACCTCCTGCCATATTCACACAACCCACTTCATCATCATATCAAGGAAGAGGTCCATTCAGATACCATCATCATACGTCACACAGCAGTAATCATCGACATGGAATTATTGGAGGATCAGTTCATCCATTATATTTTGTTGATCGAGATTTTGATGAGAGAGACTATGAGTTGTTATTACAACTTGATGCTCAACAACCAACTAAAACGGTAGAGACATCAATCATTGACAAAATTCCTCTCGTGACAGTAGAAGAAAGTAATTGTACCTGCAGTATTTGTTTGGATGACCTTGAAGTTGGATCTAAGGCTAGTGAAATTCCAATTTGTAATCACAAATTCCATCCAAAGTGTATTGAGACTTGGCTTAAAGATTACGGGCACACATGTCCTATTTGTAAGCAACCAGTGTCAGAAATTGACTTTAATGCCCTCAAAGAAAATGAGAACCCAAAGAAGAGAAAGGACATTGAGAATATTCAAGAAACAACCACTACTGCAACTTCTCAGACAAGAAAGAAAGCCAAGCACAGAAGAAGGTAAACACTGAGCCAGTGTAAAAAAAATGATTGTAAATATTGTAATTGTAAATAATATTGATTTAATTCTGGGTGTGAACAATTAGAGTTTAGTTGGAATAATAAATAGGAAATGTTGATTTACATCAAATTCACATAAATTATTGTTTTTTTGCCATTTCAAGAACCGAGTCAAAACTTTTCCTCTCAGGAATGATGTCTTCAAGAAAATCAAATACATCACATGTTTTCACAGCATCCGACATGTCACTGTACTGAATTGTTTTTCTATTTTCTTTTGTTGCATTCTTCATAGATTCCCTAGCTAAATGTTCAATTATTTTTTCAGCTGCTTTCGATACTAAAATTACAGCTTCTTGCGAAATGGTCCGAACATCGGCATCACTTTTCATAATTCTTCTCACTCTTGCCACTGGCATGTCCACTAATTGTCGGATCGGTTGCTGTTGTTCCGATAGTTGTAACGATTGAACAGAAGAGGAAGACGATGCTCCGATCGTGGCTTCTGTGTTCGGATGCTGTGGTTCATTTTTTTAAAATAATTAAATTCTTTTGAATTCAAAAGTACAAATGTATTAAAGACTGTTCAGATGGAATACCAAGTCGCAATGGATATCCATAATGGCCTGTTCCTCTGTGTGAATACACTCTTAACTTGCCACGGCCGTACAGACCTTGATCTGGAGGATAAACACTAAAAAACCGTTGTTCACGTTTCAACTTTTTCAGAATTTTGTAAAATACTTTCACAAAGGTCCAACGTCCCAATCCAATTTGTCCACCATCTGAGTTTTTAATCCAATATGAAAAATAAGTAGTACAGTGCGTATAGGATTGGAATTTGCAGAATGGATAATTCTCATTTGAAAAACTTTTTAAGGATTGTTAACAACACACTTACGTAAATGTCCACTGAAAATAATATCACAACTATCGTTGAGAGGCATGCATGAGAGCATGGATGGATTGTGAATGAGAAATATTCGAGGTGTAGTTGGTGATTTTCTTGGATATTTCGAACTTAATTTGGTAATAATTTGTTCATGTTTCTCATGGGTGTAGGAAAACGTCGACCCAATGACTTGAATTTCTTCCTTCTTACCGCTGAGTTCAGACCATCGAGAAATGGGAATTGTAATTTCTTGATCTTCCAATAGAGGAATGTTATTTTCAGAGTAAGCTTCTAAAACCTTATCATACACTTCATAGTCATGACTGAGTTGATAAATGACCATTTTTCCGTCAAAAAACAGTAGTAGTTGAATATAATGACAATTTTTGATCTTACTTACTTTCCAAGACATGCCACAACTTTGTGTGAAATTTCTTTTAAGGGAGAAAGAGCTTCTTTCAATCCAGTCATTTCCAATTCTGTGTCATACGTTTCCATATCTCCTGTAATAATGACCAGATCAATTCGATGATCTTTGGCCACTTTTTCACACAATGAATGTAATCTCTGTTTCGACATGAATGGTCCCAAGTGAACATCTGTAAATTGAAATACTCGTAAAATCTTGGACTCGTCTTGATGCACGATGTTGTTCGAAGGTAACTCTTTCACTTGGTCATTACCACAATCCTCTCTCTGAGAAGTGAGATCTAAATGGACGTGTTCTTTACAGAAGGCTGGATTGAAAAAAGACAAGTAGAAGGCATAGAGACCTAATGCAAAGACGAGTAAATTCAAAATGAAATAATCCACTCGGAACATGTAGAGAATGTATTCTGGAACTCCACCGAGAAAGAGGGAGCCTGTGAAAAGCATGTAGGGACCAGCGATGAAGCAGCCAAGTGTGGCCCAACCCATGTACCTTTGCCAATTATTTGAATTTCCATTTTGAGCAAAGCCAAATTCAAAGAAATTGTCAGAAAAAGTTCATTGAAATAAGAAAATCCAAAGAATCTTATTCATGAACACCTACCAAAAACCAGGTAAACAAATACAATATAAATACCATTTGGGTTTCAACTCTCTCCAAAATGTTTGAACATAAATATGAATATATAAACAAGCGTTAAAATACAAATGCACAACAAAAGGTAATAATGGAAATGCTGCAATTAAATTAAAGTACACATTTACAAATATCGAATGTAGACCAACAAAAATGTAGAAAAATCGGGAAAGCTTTTCTTTCTTTACAAATCTGAAATATAAATATGGGACAACAATTCCGAGAGATGATTCCAGTAAATAGAGAAGTGATGGTATTATTCGGGAGTAGAGAATGAATTGTGGAATGATTTGGATCATTTTTTTTGTAATCTTTTAAATGAACTGGTAAATGTTCCATGTTACCGTCGTTCAAGAAAACGTTTCGAATTTGAGGAGTATAATGTGATTGTTAAACTCTATAATATTTTTAAATTATTAAATAATTTTCAGTAATTAAATATTTTAATTAATAAATTTCTTGCCAATTTAATATTTTAATTAATAAAAATAATAGGCTTGTCCTGTAAACGTTCAAACTTGGTTAAACTTTAAACAATAAACATGTTTAAACAAAAATAAACAACATAAACATGTTCAAACTAGTTCAAACGTTTAATCTCGTTCAAACGTTTAAACGTTCAAACGAAAATTAATTTCTAAAGAATTGAAATTTCTTCCTATTTGTCACCTTTTTCATTTTGCGTTTTGTAGGGAAAGAAAATTAGTTAACTTTCATTCGGGATATCGAAGATTTTTGGGTCCAAATCATCGAAATTATAAACCATCCTGTTTGGTATCCATTTCATAATCGTGTAACAAGGTCTCTGGTATAATGAGGGGCAGAAAAAACTTCCCATCCAAACACACAACTAATTTCTCGGACCAAGGTAAATAGTAACCAAATTCGTATTTCAACATTCCTAACAGCAGTCAAATAATCTTTGACATCACTGACCTGAGTTTCAATGTCAACAATTAATCGCATTCTTGAAAATTATTGATATGAATAGTTCTTAGACTTTAGGGGTTTAGTGAGGTAATGAAAGGCTGTGAATGAAACAATTGAGAGTGGTATTGAACAAAAACTCAGAGCAAATGATGTTATATGAATACAGAATAACGTTCTTTATTGTTGATTATCAGATGCATTATCACGAATCGAAAATATCAATCATTGAGCACGTCATAATACTACACCAAGTTAGTGCAATGTTGTGTTTTCATTTTAAATAATTATTTGATTCTGTTTTCTGTTCACAATGTTAACAGTTCAACATGAAAACATATAAACTTAAACAATTAAACTTAACTTGTTCAAACTGTTAAACAGACAAAATAACAATGCTTCCACAAAACGACCACACATTCTCTCTTCAAGAAAAAGAACAAATTCTTTTAAATTTCTTACGAAATGAGCTACAAATGAAAGCTGAAACAGAATATCATGATCCTTCCGATACCGTCGATGATTGGAAGAGAGCTCTCAATGGAAGGTATTCCGATACTGAACAAGTACACTATAAATTATGCAAGAATTTCTTTCTTCACCACAAAAAAAAGAAACAGCAAAAGTTTTACGGAGTTGCTTTGGCTGATACCATGGTAGATATGAACAGCATGTCCAAACAGCTTGGTTTGGGGTCTGGAAATTTGAGGTTTGCTGACCCTGAGGATTTGGCAACATTTTTAGATATTCAGCCAGGTCATGTCACTCCGCTATGTTTTCATGTGTTACACCCTAGTGTACAGAAACAAAGACCTGATGTATTGAAGAAGGGAAATGATGAATCACCATCTGTTGTGGAAAATATGAAAACACTTACAATTATTGTGGATGCTGCTTTGTTAAGGAAAAATTCAAATACGTCTGCCACTACCATGCTGCTTTTCCATCCATTGCACAATTCAGCAAGCACGTCAATGAGTCAGGAGGAATTTGTTAAATTTATGAAATCATGTTTTGGTGAAGAAGCATGGCAACAAGTCATTGTGTATGATTTTGAAACAAAAACGAAATTGACAATACACGATGTTGATTTTAACTAGTATTCGAGAAAGGCCAATCGCTCGTGTGTTTAATTGTGATGCTTAATTTTTATTTTACCTAGCTTTTATTTATTAGTAATCGTTTTCACTAGTTTTGTGACCATCACGATGTCACAAAATCGAGGTAAGCTGCCATTACAATGCTTTGTTAAATGTAAATGAATAAAGTTGGGTGACAGAGAGTCAGAAATATAAGGAGTCTCAGGTTGTACATCGTTAAAAATTCGTCTCTTCAACTGTTTTGAATCCACAGGAGAAACTAAATTCGCAATGTGATACTCAAATGCCCATTTTCTACTCGTCTTGCTATTATAGATTTGGAAATATTCAGAAATGATTGAATTAATGATAATTCGTTGTTGACAGTCATTTTCGACGTGTGCCAGTTCTTTTCGAACGACGGTATTAAGCTGTCTATTATAAGCAATGCTCCCGTTCCGCAATTTGTTGACCAAAATATCCACCTTTGACAATACTAAAACAATTCTTTTGCCACATGTCCACTTGTTGTCACAAAGCATAGCATAATATGCAAGACTCTCGTCGAACCAATAGGGGTCAGTGAAATCCGTTAACGATGCAACCACAACAAAACAATGAACTTTTTCAAAGCAATGTATCCACCTTCTCCTTTGATATCTGTCACCTCCCAATTCCAACGTGATATATTGCAAATTGTTATGTATGATCTTGATTTCACTAACGCCACATGTGGGCCTACCAATATATAGATAAGGATTACATGGCATTTCACGTTGTGTAATCTTTTGAGCAAAAAGTTCGATATTTGTATGTGGAATCCAACGGTCACTAATGTTAGTAAAAATCAATTCTCTCATGTTTGGATTTTTCCATAGCCAAATAAATAAAGTTCGAAGATCAATGTTGCCATCTGTGATGTCACTTGATCTGTTCATTAATAAATGTTTCATGTTTGAATGGATGACATCTTCAGGTACATTGATCAGCATGCTTGACAAGTCATCGAAGGAGAGCTTCAAAAAGTGATGTCAAAGGTGTTGCAAACTCTCTTCCACAGCTTTTGAAAAATCTTGATCCGAAAATTGATCTTGAAACGACTTCACAAGTGTTGATTTTCCGTCGCGCCTTGATCCCAATAACACAATTTTTCGGAAGGGTTCTTCGATTTCATCTTCAGCAGGTGGAGGTGCTTTACTTTTTCGTTGGCCCATTTTTTCTTCTTAGTTCAAGTTATCTCTTTCATGACATACAATATGATCATCTCGAAACTAACAAATGTATTTACTACTACTTTGCGACATGTCAGAATATCTATTCTGAAGGCATGCCTTTCTCGAGTAAGAACTGAACGGCAATCAGCACAGCAGGCGGTAAATAAACATGTGCAATACTTCTCTTTTCTGGGTGTTTGGTATGAGGATGAGTTGTGGAGGTGTTGAAAAATATATTTTGCCACGCCAAACGTGCAAATAAGCTCAAGCATAGATATGCCATAGCAATGAGAAAGGTATGCTTCTTTGAGATGATGAGTTTACAAATAACATATGACGAGAGGAGGGCAATGGTAGAACCATAAATACATTGTCTTGAATTGTAAATTCATCGTTGACTGATCGTTAGCAGCTGATGACAGTAAGTTACTTGTACCTACCTTAATGAATGATATCCAAAAATTAGCGTGTCCAACATTACTGAAACTCCAAAAACTAAAGAGACTGAATAGAAAATCCAAAACTTTTTGTCTCTCCACCCAACCATTGCACAACCATAATATGTCGTTATTAATGAATAAAGTACAAAATTGTAATGTCCAGAAACAGAATTTGGATGAATATTGCAACTGTGATCAGAAATCCAAATTTTCAAAAACACCACTAGGGCATGAGAGCAAAAATACCATGAGCTTAATTGAATGATCATTCTTAAAGCTTGTTTCCAATTTTTACAAATAAATATTGGCGAGTATTGTCTAGCAAATGAAAAGAGAAGCATTGCTATAATTCCTAGCAGTGTTAACGTGGTGTATGTGGGAAAAAGAAAATACTTTTTGAGAGTAATAGCTATGTGAACTTGTGATTTGTCAAATCTGTCCATAAAACATTATCAAGTAGATCATCTCCGTAGTTTGTGAATAATAATAATCTTTTAAAAAAGAATTAGAGAGAATGATGGCTTCAAATAGTTGGTAACCTACATGGTTAATACACCAAAGACACCAGTGATTGGAAGTAAAATATTATTTAGAAAATTGAAAATGTATGAATTTGCAGAATTTGATGATGATCGTTCCGATACATCAATATCAATGGTATTACTTGACTCTGTCATCCACGATGGTGTTGATGCTAACATGATGTCATTAAAATAAATTAAATTTTATCAATAATTCGACGTTTAACATCATTTCAATCAGTACATCATTCAACTATTTTCCATTTTAAAAACCTACAAGATAATTGTCTTAAAATTTTACTATGTCGGAAGTTATGGGAAGAAATCATAGGATCAAACTATTGTGATTCCAATTCCAAATCAAACGGTGTGTAAATTAACTGAGCCTACAATCAATCCGAAAATTAGAAATATAAAAATTCACTGTGATTGCTGCTCGATAAAAAGGCTTTGCTTTTGGCTTATTTTTTTCAAATTAAACCTAATGACGACGATCCGTTCTTTAGTATTTCCATGACAATCCCAAGAGATCCCAAAGCAACTCACAGATCTTTCCACAAGAGCTTTAAAAAGGATGTGTCTGTTTGATGAAGGACAAGAGAGAAATTATCTCCTGCTTTTTTTTGGCCGTAGATGGTTTATGACCACTCTCTTAAAAAATTGAAACAACAGCGAATCCTTTTTGACCGCAAACGAGGTGATTAAAACTACGGTTACGTTCCCTCCGAATTAAAACTTTGGTCAAGAAGAAATTCACCGTATCATTTCTTTCTAATCTGTTGTTCAACAGATACTCTGCAGTCCGAGAGGTCTGAAAGACAAGTTTTTGCTGACTACTCTCACCAACGCACAACAATAATTTTACCCATTCAATTCCTTCCTCATCCTTCTTCCTTAAATTTATTTATTTTTCCATTATTTAGATATGGGTATCTGTGCATCAAACATTCGGACAACAACGCTGGAACCAGCCTCAGCAGACGATGGAAAAACTAAAAAGCTCTATGTTTCGTCGCCAAAAACGATACAACATCCTATCGAAAAACAACCATAGAAAAATCTAGGACGGATACAACAAAATATGATGACACTAAGGCCCAAGGCGACACAAAAGTTAATAGAACAACGACAAAAGACAACCTAACGGATCCTAGCAATCCAAATTTTAATAGTACTTCCAAAACAGCGGACGATAGCAAAGCTCAAAAGAAAACAGCAATCCCAACAACAAATACGAATAATCAAGCCTCACCATCGCCAAATGGCGATTTCAAAATATCATTTTCGGAACAAGGAGACAAATATCTAAGTGTTCAAAAGTGGTTGAATGATGTTGTCTTAAACGAACAATCGCCCAATCCCATTCTGCCGATTGGTGGAGTCTTTGTACATAATATGCCGCCAGAGGAAAAGCATTCTCTGACATCCCAAGCCAACCACAAAGGTGAAGACGACGAAACTAGTTCAATTTCTACCCTTAAACGGCACAGCAGCATGTTACCGTCGACAAAACACTATGAAATTTCATAGTAATAAAATTGTGGTAGATACAGAAATTTATTCAAGGTCCTGTTTTAGTGATGGTTTTTGAAAGAATTTGCTGTAATTGTTCTTTAGTCATCATCGCGGTCATCATCGTCATATCGTCTCAATCTTGATGTGAAGGCTTCCCCTGGAACCATATACCTACTTGCTCTTTCTTCATTCAAAGTTCGAACTTGTGTCAATTCAAGGGAGTTGATTTGAGTTGTCTCCACATCTTTTCTCTTTGAAGATCCAGTTGCCTTAAGACAAATATCGATTGTGGTTAACAAATAATTTACAGTAGAAGATGCTGATGGATGGTCCAAGGATAATTTGTTGGAGCAATGAGACAATATGCTGAGAACGTCATACTTCTCGAGAAGCAAAGCAATGTTGGCCAGTTGTGATGTTTGAGTCTTGACAAGTCGGCTTAAAAAATCACAAACCCCTTTCAATACAGGGAAATCCATTTCCGAGATTGAATTCAGCACATTGACCATTTCGAGGAACACAACGTGTGGTTTCTTGGCACAAATTTCAGTTATTAAATTATTGGCTTGTACTGTAGATGGAAGTAAATTGGTGAAAGCAAAATACAGGAACTTGTTCTCTCCGTTCATGGACGAGTAAAGTTTTTCATGCTCAAATTGTAGAACTGTGTCAAAGCAATCATAGGTGGCCATTATTTGAGTAAAGATTGAAACCAATTCACCTCTAGTTAAAGCAGGCACAGGGATGGGGGTAGTGGATGCAGAATATTTGCGATCGTCTTCTGAATTTATCAATTGGTTCAGTAGCAGTGCCATAATAGCATTGGGAGTGCTCTCATCTCTGATTAGTGTGCTAGATGACGACGAGGCTACAGGCGTAGTTTGTTGTTCTTCCTTCTTCTTTTCTTCATTCACACTTGATTCATCTTGCGCTTCTTTTTCCTTTGGTGGCTCTTTGAGCTCAATATTTCTAGATCCTGAACGAATTTTGAAATTTTCTTTTACAACCTCGAAAAATATGGCAGGATTTTTCTCAATTAATGAAGATACCTCTGTCAAAAATGATTGGACTGTTACTGTTCTCAACGATGAAAGCATGTTAAACTTGGATTTGAGCTTATATTTGAATGCCATTCTGAGATTTCCTTCATCGTTGCAAATAATGTTTTCGAGTATGTCGACAGTATAATCAGCAATTTTGAAACCTTTGGAAGCACCTGCATCATTCGAAACTTTGAGCGAGCAAATTTTCTCAACAATATTCAGCTTCAGTAATCTTGTTGCAACGTCTCTACTCTTGCTTGATAAGTTTGAAAGCACGTTCATAACAGGTCCTAATATTGCTACAGAATGATATTCTTCTTTCTCAAAGACAGCTAAACAAATATCCAACAACTTGTTGTACTCTTCTTCAACAAGGCTAAAAACTTGTAATTGTTGAACAAGACTCTCTGTTGTGATCTTCTCTTTTTTGGTCGAGAAAATATCATTTAGCTTTTTCTGTTGCGTTATTGCAATAAAAAGAGTAAATAAGGATATCAGAGTTTCCTTAACTTGAGGCTCTTTTGGATCAAGCTTGAGCTGTACTTCTCCAATTTTAAGCAGAAGTCCCATGAACTCATTCTTTTTCGACAATATCAAGTTTTTAAAATCTTCACTGTACTCCAAAGATGATCTCATGACGCCAAGAGTACTGGGCTTTGATTTTTCTTCTGTAATGTCTGAATTTAGTTTCTCCATTAAAAGATTGACAAAAGTGTCTTTGAGCGCTTCATTCTTTTGAATGCAAAGGCTCAGAACATCAACACATGCAAAACCAATGTCTGGAATAAATAGCTTTGAAAGCAGCCAGTTACTTGACTCCTCCTCCAAGGTGACAACTGAATCCTTCGCTGGCTCTTCATCTTCCATTCCAGATTCGAGCATTGACAATTTGATGGCCTTACTAATTTCATCTTCTTCTTCCAATTCTTCTTCTTGCTCAGATACTTCTTGAGGATTATTGAATATCCATTCCATGGCTACCATGAGCTCATTGTTGGCTTTTCTAAGGGCTACACGGCATTGTTTTTCTGGAAAGCCCATTTCCACGAGTTGTTGTACCAAAGACTCATTTTCTGTCACACTCTCAGCTTTTTCTTTGGCAGTGGTAGTAGGGGTTTTAGAAGATTCAACTCCTTTGATGATTTGACCAATGACATTAATCATACCTTTGAGGAATGTGCTGGGAGATTTGTCAATGTTAGAGTGTTTCCAAAACTTTAGAATACAAGTCGCTACATTCTGTTGAGTCTTTTTGAGTAGGTCGGATATGTCAAATGAGGTGGCTGCACATACACCTCGAGTGATAGGGGATGTGGAAATGTATGAATGTGAGGTTATTCTCAACAAGAACTTTGTTGTGTTAGTCAAAAAACTTTGAGAAATAAATTCATCACTTAGTGTATACTCAATAGTTTTGATTAAATCGTTCACAGATGGAGCTTGGTCATATGAAATATTTTGATCAAGAGCAAGCTGTACCATGTTGGAGTAATGGTCTAGCATGATACCCAATGTTTTGGTTTCAACTAATGAGCTAAGAATGAGACTGTTCAAGTTTCTATATCTCTCTTTGATCATGATAGCTGAGATATTTTCAAAAATACTTTGCAATAACGTAGTCCTGTCTTGCCATGTTCCATTAAATGTTCCAAATTCTTCAAGTGCTACTCCAAAATTGGTGGTTAATATCGAAGCAAGCTTTTTTGCTTCAGTTACAGCAATGACAGAGGGACTTTTCACAATGTCGAAAATGGCTGTTTGCATTGTTTCGTGCAAGGTAGTAACGAGCTTTAAATAATTGGATATAGTTGAGGTAATAAAGGTTCTATGGGCACGAGCTTTAGCATCTTCGGAACTTTCCTCAATCATAGGAGTTTTTGCTTCACTGCTAACAGATTCTGCTGACTTATCATCACTCTTGGCTGATAATTTCTTTTGAACAACAAGTCGATCTGAAATTCTTTGAGTTCGTTGTGAAGTAAAGTAATTTCTAAGCTTTGCTTCTATCTTTGCCAATGGAACAAGAATTTCTTTACCTTTAGTGTTCCAAGTGTTAAGGAACAGCTCATCTGGATCTTTAAATACGTTGATCATAATAGGTAAAATCTTGGAAATACAAAACACTGCTCTCAAATGAGAAAATTCTTCGATTTTCACGTCATCTTTGAGTATTTGCAATTTCTGAATAAGAAGATCTGTAAATGTATCGAGAACTTGAGAATTTTTGGATTTTGCTATCACTTGGAAGGGAGTGGATATTCTTGAGAAATCAATAGCTTTTTCTGGGTGTGGGATTAGAGTTCGGTCTAAAATGTTTGTAAGAACTGGTAGGCCTCCTTTTTCTAAGAATAGAGTTGTGTTTTCTTTGTCTGTCAGGACCTGGGCTACAAATGCCAAAAAGTTGATTCCTAGACTAATCAAGTTCGTTCCTGCATCTGTCAATTGTTCAATCTCACCGACTTTCTCGTCTTCAATGTTGGAAAGCAAAGATTTTCCGACAGAGACAATGGCGTTAATGTTACATTCGCGAGTAGATGTATACGACTTGATAAAATCAAGAAGACCTTTTCCAATAGTAGCTGAATATTCCTTAGAAAGAATGCTTCCATACTTTTCTTTCGAGAATAGCTGAAGGAATTGAGGAATAATATTCTCTTTCTCAATTATTTCTAAGCATTCAGTATTTAAACAAATCTCTGAAAGGAACGGAACAACAGCAATGAGAAGCTTCGAGTAGGGAGCAACTTCATTCTTTATCAAGAGTAAAGCCTTTTCAACTGCTCCGCTGTTTCTAATAGCTGGAATTTGAGTTGGTTCTCTACTAGCGAGTCTAGTAAGTAAAGAAATTACGTTATACAGCACAGAAGGACCAAACCATAGATGATTCTCCAAAATTTGATTCAGCTCAGTAATGTGTTGTGCCTCAAATAGTTCAGAAATGTTCAAGTCATTGTGATGAGAGCAAAGGATGTCGAAAATTCGTAAACATGCAGAAAGTGTTGGAACTTGGAAAACGTTTAGGAGTTCATAAATTGCAAAATTAGAAACATCAATTGGCTTTCGTTCAGGATGCTTCTCTTCTACTTCTCTTATTTTTGGTACAGCAATCGCAATTAGATCGGAGAATACCTTGAGTGTATCGGTCAGAATAATTGGTAATGATGAGAACCTTTGCTTTGGATCAGTAAACAGTTCTACCATACATATTGCTTTCATGACTACAAAGTCAGACTTGGCTTGAAGCAAGTTAATGATATCAGAAGTCAAACCAGTTTCGTGAAGGGCTTGGGTTCCAACAGGCAATCTTGCTAATGTTACTAGCAAATCAAGAGCAGCGGTTAAATAGGTTCTGTCATCAAGAATGTCTTCTTGGTGTTGCTCAGAGTCATGAAGAAACTTCTTTGTAATTTTACCCAACAATCTTTGAACAAGGCCATTGTATGTAGATGATCCATGGGTGATTAATGATTGAATGGTCAATGCTTGATATTTAGACTTGTGTAGAATCAAAAACGCAGAAAAAAGATCATACGAGGCAATGGCAATTTCTTTTGGTAGCTTCAAAACGCCAGATTCATCCTTTTCAAAGCATGTTGTCAGTTCTTTAACGATATCCATGTTCTTCTCAGAAATGTCTACTGTGACCGCAAGAGCCATCAAACGGCATACTAGAGCCTTTTTTCTTGTTTCCGAATTGTAGAATGCATACGCCAAACGAATATTTGTCCACAATTCGAACTTTCTTGGTGGTAATAATTTACCTGCACTGGAACCCTCTTTCTTCATGAGATCATTGAACAGACTCAATGCATCTGGAGCGGTTTTTTTCACATCCATTATTGTTATCTGTTCAACAAAATCTGCCGATTGATGTTGTTTACCTTGTTCTAAATATTCTTGAAAAATACTAAAGTTAAGGGTTGTTCCTGCCTGCATCACATCACTTGGTAGATTTTCCTCATAACAATATTGAACAGTGTTTTCTCCATAGCCTTTGGTGAAAATTGTGAGCTTCCTTGCCAGTTCCATAGAAAGAAATTCTCTATCACTAAGGGCACTTCGCTTCTTGAAGTGTGTATGGACAATTTTAAGAGACAAGTAAATAATATCTAAATTCTCAGAGTTGAGCAGAGAAGCTATCCGCTATTGGAAATTTGATGTAAAACCATTTTTAGGATAGCGTTGAAAATGTACTTACATCTAACGAATGATAGGAAATAATACCAACTTTACACTGAGAGAGAATGATGTTGGTGAATTCCAAAATAGAAATAATCAAATCCACGTTCGGAGTCTTTTGAGAGGTTTTTATGTCCTTTGTTGGTGTTTGCTTGGGATGCTTTTTACTCTTGTCTCCGAACAATAATATGGCACTTTTTGCAATTATTTTCTCGAGAATTTCATCAAACTTGTTCAACACGTCAATCCATTGAGTTAGATCAACCTAATCATTTGATGATCAGTCTCGGTTTACCAAAAACAACAAATCCCGAAAGTGTTGTACATACCTTGTTACATGCAACTGACAATGCTTCCCGAGATTCTTGCTCACCAATTATTTGCTTGATTACTTTTGCAACATCTTCAGATTTGGCATCAAGAATTTTCTGGCTTATGGCTTTGATGTTTCCATCCTAATATATAGTAGGGTGTTGCAGAAAAAGATTTCATCGGATTGAAAGATGATCATGATGATGATCCAAATACGTAACGATTTTAAACCAATGATTGTATTCACCAAAAATTTAGGATCAAAAGATATGATTATATACACATTGATAAGAGTAGTTCGTAAAGAGAGTCGTACCTTTTGTTCATTCTGTTGTGAATGACGATTGAGAAGCGCCTTGTTGAGCCTGATGATCATTTTTTGCCTGTGTATTTTTAATTTGGTTCCTCATCACGCTGCTCTTCCTCAAATCAAACTTTTGCTCGTGTTTAATGTCTTTGGAAGAATTGATCGTGCAAACATTGATGTAGGGTTATCAAGTTTGATAAAACTGGAAAGCAAGTTTTCAACTCATTTGGAAAACCAAGAGGATAGATGCTTGTATAAGGAAAGTGCTCCCACTGCAGTCATAGCCAACGCTCCAGTTGCCAACAAACCCATCCTTCCATAATATCGATAGGGATGATTATGTTTGAAATCCATATCATTAAATCCCAAAACACCCAAAGTTTTGTCTACAAGATTGTTGGACGCTTCGGTTACCTCGAGAATTTGCATGTCAAATAAATACTCAAACCCTAATTTCTCATAAATTGGTTTGCCTAGACGAGTGGCATGCAATACACAGTATTTGTAGCCATTCATTCTTGCAATTTTCATTAATAGTGAAACTATTAGTGTTGCAAACCCTCTTTTTTGAGCACCAGGTCGTGTCACAATGGTGAACAACGAGGCACAATGTTGACCTTTGATTAATTGCCCACAAGAAACAACTCGTCCATTTTGTTTCACTACTAGCCAATGATAGAATTCAGATTTTGTAGGATAGTCTAAATAGTACTCTGATTCCTCCTCTTCTAACTGGATAGAATCAAACGCTTCAATATATGTCTCTGCAATTTCTACAGCTTCTTGAGGAGTGTCGAGAGTTTTTAGGATAAAGTCAGACCCTTCTGCCAGCACAACAGACTCTCCATTGACAACTTGTTCCAATAACTCTTCCTTAAAGTTAAATTCCTTTTCTAATTTTCTAATATATTTCAAATAATTTTCATTGTTATCCATGCAATTGTCTAAATCGGCAGACATGCCATAACAAGTTCATACCAACTTGCTGGCAACAGGTCATAATAGGGTTTAAATATTTCCAACCGTTTGGTGCTGTTCTTACTTTCATAATCAGGCAAAAACACATATACTGGAGCTTTATGTGCTTGCTTCCGAATGTCATTGATCAAGACCATGGGTACCAGCGGTTCGTCATGACGATTATTATCGTGTGGTTTTGTTTTGGGTCGGAAGGTATCTTTAATGACGTAATAGATGTCTGGCATGGTCAATACTTCAACTCCTTTGCGGAAAGAGTACAAGCTCTCATTCTGGGTTTCATGTAATTTCAACAGTTTGGGGAAACAAGTATTGGCAGTGATTCGATTCAAATCAAAGATGGAATCCATAACCAGATGCTTTTCATCCATTTTTTGAGTCTTTTGGATAAACTGATTGACTTGAAGTTTGTTAAAAAATTCGAATGAGGATGGTATGAGACTCCGAAAGATACACCCGATTCAATTTGAAGAATGATTTGAATACTTCAATTTCAGAGTGTGACATTGTTCCTTAAAGTCTTATCTTAGTAAAGTTAATTTAATGTTTTCTGGTCCAGAATTTACAACCATGGTTTGAGAATTTCTAAAGTCATTTCATAGAGCTTGCTAATTTTCTCTGGATCATAACTCTCAGTGTTGCTCCTAGATGGTGCGCAATGAACAAAATATTTTCCAGAAACTTTTTCCAACTCCTTTGCACACGCAACATAAATTTGATTAATGGCTCCTTCGATGGGTGTCAGAGCGACGAGCTTAACTCCAAAATTGAAGACATGATTGAAAGGGAACCACAAATGAGTACCAATATTTGTTGCTACAATTCCAGGATGAATGGAATTCACGCTGACACGATCAGCCAATCCTTCCTTTTTAAGCAACTTGTCGAAATGATAAGTGAACATTATTTGAGCCATCTTGGATTGAGTATATCCATCGAAGGGATTGTATCTTCTCTTCTTAAAATCAGGGTCCTCAAAATGGATTGTTCCTGGATGATGTGCCTCTGATGATACAAAAACAACTCTACTGTCAGGTCCATTCTCAACTAAATTATTTTTCAACAACAAGGTCAACAAAACATGTGCCAAATAATTACATCCGAATTGAAGTTCATGACCTTCTTTTGTGTGCTCATAGGGTGGAATCATCACTCCAGCATTGTTGACAAGACATTTGACCTTGATTTGCTGGTTTAATTTTTCAGCAAAAGATTTCACACTATCCAAGGAGCATAAATCCAATTTCATAAATTTGAGAGATACCTTTGAATTTTTCTTGTCAAGTTCTCGTTGAATTTTTTCTCTTGCTTCATTACCTCTCGCTTCGGAACGACATGCTAAAATGACATTAAAACCAAATTCACAGGCCAAAGTTTTGGCAGTTTCAAAACCAATTCCCGAGTTGGCTCCAGTAATGACATAATATTGATCGGGATTGGGCTTCACTAGCTCAACCTTTCCGCTAATCATCTCATCGAGCGTGGCAAGAAGAGGTTTAGTCTTCTCTCCCACAAATGGAATCATGGATTTGAATTTGGTGTAGAGCTCCAGCTCACACACAAGTAAATACAAGCCATAGAAGCAGAACGAGAAGAATTCATAAACTTGAGAGAGGGCGTGTTGAAACGATGATGTTGTCATTTTTTTTAAAAAACGAAATCCTCTAGAAATCTTTGGGTTCGGTGTCCTTTCAATTCGGAAAATTTGACTTGAGTTTTTAACACAACAATACAAGAACAATCTCTAACGAAATACTGACAACAAGTAATTCAAACTCGTTGGTAAATTTTGGCTCTTTTGTTGAACCACTGTGTGCGTTGCAGTGCTTTTTTAATAAAATTCTACAATAAAAAATGCCACCACGACGAAGAAAGAACGTGCCAGCTTCCAATTTGAGCGTAAATGCAAGTGGCTCGAGCAGAGTAGCTACAGCAGCAACACCCATAATGAGTACCACTACTCCTGGCGTAACAGCAACAGGTTTGTGTTTATAAATTATTAATCGGAAAACTATAAATTCATTTTACCGATAAACACCTGGGGTTTCAATTTATGATGAAAATGACTCTTGGATGTCTCGTTTAAATGATTTTAATATTTTATAAATCTGCATGATGGACTATTTGATCATTGATGAAAAATAATTTGAATGATTTTGGAATAATTAGGAGATAAAACTTCAGCAGCAACCCCTTTAGCTAAAAAACCACCAGTTCTCTCACAATATCAATTATTAGCACAAAAAAAGTCAATAGCTCCTCCCCTATATCCAACAGACGTTACTATTCAAAAATGCAAACCAATAAGTGGCTCTATGCATCACATGATCGAGCAATTAAGAGCATCAAGATTGAGAATTAGAAACTCTCCATATTATATTGATTCACAAACACCTTCAGCAATGGATGAAAAGAAAGATCCGTTATTGAGTGCACTAGGTATAAAGGGAGACTTTTTCCCATCAGAACTTGTTGTAAAACCCTCAAAAAGCGATTGCAAATGCTCTATAAGAGAGTTGCAACTTCTGAAGACAACACTGTTCAAAAACTAGAAAAATTATTCCAACAGAAAGATGATTTTGGAGAAGATATTGACGAGGATGAAAATGCAGATAATTTGTTTGTTGAAGGTGAAGAAGAGGAAGAGGAAGATGCTGATGCTGACTACACTTATGCACATTTCGATGATGATGAAGATTATTTGGATGACGACGACTTTGGTGGTGACGGTGGAGACGGTACGTATTTAAGATTGGTGTATTACAAATTTATATTAACATGGCGTTTTATTGGGAATATTACCGTATCAACAGAAGGGCCAACCATGTAATTGAGCATCACAACTCTAAACGCTTCGAAACACAAAATTTTCAGATCTGGTGTTCTGAGATCCTCAGGATGACTACTATTTGTTGAGGTTGTACTACGACATACGGATGTCATTGAATTCATGGACTCACACGAACCCTATGTCTTGAGTTAATTGAGAGAACTACCACGTGACGTTGGTGGTTGTAGAACGATGTTCTCTCAATAAAGACATAAACTATCTCTCAACTCCTTGTTCAATATCTCTCTTGGGTTCTTTATGCCTCATTCAGTGATACGCCATTCGAGGTCAGAAAAATGAGCGCCACAAGAACAAGCCTCGTAAAACCATCTACAGCTTCATCTGGGATGAGTCGGAAGGGAGGTTACATCAACGTTGATGCATCAAAAGCAACAGCTCCATCATCACTGAATTCTGCAGCCGCTTGCTCTTCAAATAACAATGCAAAAAGACCCCTCTCTCAACCCATGAGGCATTACAAGAAGAGTACGAATTCTTCGAACCCAACCTTGTCATCAAACAAACAGCAAGCTCCACCCTCAACAGCAAGTTCCGTAAGTGCTGGTGCGGCCAAACGAAAAGTTTCAAGTCCAACTACACCCACTCAGAAAGCTGCCACAAATTCCGACAATGGCCTACACCATCAAGACTATCCAACACTGTATCGCAGAGTTTCATTAAAGGACGAAAAAGCTGTATTATTGAATGAGGAGGAATTACATCATGAATTTGAACGCCAAAAGAGGAGGTAAGTTGAGAAGTTCTGATCGAGCCTGGTTTCATTCAATGGTGTGCTTCGAAAAACAGGCTGGAACGATTGGCACAATTAATGAAACTACCATCGATTGATGTCGAGTACTTTATTAACACTTATGGAACAGAATACAGCACAACTAATCTACATCAACTATCTACGGTTGTAGATCTATTGGAAAAGCACAAGCGAAGGACAATTGAAGTTACAGAAGCAATAAGACATCGAGAAGAAATAATAGAACAATTGTGTTGTCTCATCGACGATTTTCACAACCTCAAAGAAAATAACCCCGGTATTTTACTCTTTGTGCAACGAGAAGCCCTCGTTCTTCAAAAAACACTTCAGCACATTGGAACGAAAGTTGTTGAGCTTATCGATAAATGGAGGAAAGATTTAAGCTTGGATTATCCATTTAGATTCAAGGAGCATTCAAATTATTTACTCAAGATGAGATACGATTTGGAATTTGTAGACTATAGTGAAATTGCACCTTATATTTTCCCCTTTAAAGGTCACCCTTTACTTGGGAACGTACCTAGCTTGTATTACGAGAGTATTGACAAGATGCTAGAAGTTCAGGATAAGAAAAATCCCTCTCTTACATCGACTGTAACATATCCACTAACCAAACAAAAGCTAAAAATGGCTGATGCAGCCACAAGTGCTGAAAGAAAATTAACAAAATTTGAAGCTATTATTTTGAAAGAGGAAGAAAATGAGAAGGCAACAAAACATTTTTTATTTACCTTAATTAAGAAAGGAAAATTCATATCAGTCCTTAATGTTGAAGAAGGAGAGTTTGATCTGAGTTTGGAGCAGCAACTTAAAATTCGCAACATTTTCACTGACAATCCAGAACACGTCGTGTCATTCTTTGGGTTAAGTGGGAAATTGTCAGTGACACACCAAATTTCTTCACACCAATTGGTCACTCTTGATAAAACGGACACCCTTTCCGAAGATACCACAAAATCAGATAAATTGGTGTTACCAGACAATACGCAACAACATAATGAGGGGAACAATGTAAACGAAAATAATGGTTACACCTCTGATGGAACAGATGACGCTATTGAATATATAGTACTTAATCATTCACGACGTCATGAATCGAATGGTCATTTAAAAACAGATGAACCATCTTTTAATCAACATCATTACGATGGATCTGGAGAGGAGAGTGAAAAGGAGCCCATAAAACGCACTGATGTTGGCAATTCAACAACTCAACAGCTATCACTTGCAGAAATCAGCTCCATATCTAATCCTTACTTGGAAGACCAAAACGATCCCTCCAATACTTCTGACACACACCAAATTGCAGATTTATCTCGAATTGAGAAAGTAGCGGAACTTTGTAACGACAGTATTGAGCCAGTGCTACTGGCTGAAGAGCAGCCTCTCGAAACACACAAATGTCAACACATGAACGACACTGTTTATTCACATCTTGGTACTCCCCACGAGCCTAACAATGAAGTTTATCCTCCCTCCCCTAAGTATTCTGAAAGAACTGAAGAATCTGTAGATCCATCACAAAATAATCATTTTGATGATTTTTCATTTTCTTACACGAACCCTTACGATGAATTTTCTCCAAAACCATCCCATAGCGAAACTAGCCAGCCTTCCAACCAAACAACAGTACAAAGCTCCACAACTCCACTCCAGTCTCCTCCTTCTCAACAATACTCGCATGCTTCACGAAGCTCGTCCTTCAGCTCAATCCAATCAGACTTTGATGAAGCAGCCTAAAATAAAAATGACGAATGATTTTCCTTCACGATTTCCGAATAAGAATCACAAGACCACGAATAATTTCGTCATCCTTTATCTGACAACCCTATCATTTGTGCTGCTTGTAGTCTCAATGTCATCATCATCACCAACAGTACTTTCACAACAATCAGTTCCTCACCACCAATACTCCAATCATGACCAAAACTTGTCGACAATGATCGAACCCATTCTCATCCCACCATCCATTTCTGACACTAAAAACGATTCACAAAACTCAACCATGTTGTGCATCACACTTCCGAACTATTCATCATCCATTTGTGGATTCATTGGATTTAATGTAACTCTTGATCCACAATTTCCCAATTATACTCTCATGGAACAACACATTTCCGATGAATACAAACGATTCTATGTGGAAATTTATCAAAAATTCACACTCAACGAAACCTCAACTGCTTGCAATCATTCCATTCTCAATTTTATTTGTTCTTCGAATTATAAGAGATGTTTTAAAGATGTCAAACCGTATGATGTTTGTGATTCGGTATGTCGAGAAGTGTTCACATCATGCTTTCCAGAGGCACCTGATGACGATGAACAATCATTGAGATTTTTGGCTGCTAAAGAATATTGTGGAAAACCAACAAAACCAATATATCCCTCACCTCCGTTATGTACTAACATTATGAATCAAACACAGAATATTATTGTGTTGGTTTCATTGATAGCATTGCTATTGTTTTTAATTATTGTGATTTGTATTGGAGGGTTTATGAGTTTTTGTTACTACAGAAGACAGGCTCAACGAGAACGATACAGTTCTCTAGGTCACTAATTTTGCAATTCAGCCGGATTTTGAATACTGTGTGGCATAGTATGTCATCACCACCAAGATTGACAACAAGTTTTAAAATTCTTATGAATTTTCGAACAGATAAATATTAATATTAAAATACATAATTGACGATCAACGTCGAATGTGATGTTTGAAATTGAAGCACAAAAAAAAATGAAACAAGCACGAAAACTACTCCGTGAAAAAGAGGAAAAGGCTCTTTCTTCGAAATTGCAACAAACAGCTTCATCGGAATTGGAAGAAGACGAAAGAGTAACCAAACAGTCATCAACATTTAGTGCGTTTGCCTTGCTTGAGGAAGAGAATGAGGAGAATATTGATGATATGTATGGTGATGATATCAAGGAAATGATTGACCAACAACAACAATCAACAACTTTGACCAATGAAGAGGAAGAGTCTGCAGTGAACACTGCCAAGCCTAAAAATAAAAAGAAGAAGAAAAAGAAAAAGAGTACCAAGAAGAAGGATGAAAATCTAACCGATGAAGAGTTCTTGCAAAAACAAATTCAACAATTGGGCCTGGAAGAAAATGAAAGTAAAATAATGGGTGGATCATCAGCTCTTAAAAGCGCCTTCAGCTTATTTGAAGTATCGGACCCTAAATCACTCAATCCTGAAAATGAATTCAAGAAAATTTTCGGAAGTGGTGCTGTCTCGCAAACACAAGCTGCCGTGAGCGCTGATTATGAAGAGCAGCTCCCTAAAGTATTGAGAAATAACCCTCATTTTGTCGGAAAGAGATCGGTTGTGATTGGTAAGAAAAAGAATGACCTCATGCTAAATTTGTTTGTCTCGTCTAAACCACATTGGCCCATGTACAGATCTCTATATTTAACAGTTCAGTTGAAGAGCACAAAGCCAAACAACGTCGAAGTTTATGAGGTTGTTGAGCAAAAAACTGTCACAGGCAGTACTACAGGCCTCTATGCCCAAGTCCAAGAACAATATGAGAGAGCCCTTCAAAGCAATGATCCGAATAGTTTTATTTATATTCTACAGCAAGTACATCCATATCACATTCACACTCTACTTCAAATGAGTGAAGTGTTCAGAACCATGCAACGTGAGAATGATCAAGCTCAGGATCTTAATGAAAGAGCATTGTTTGCTATTCAGCACGTGTTGAACAATCCACAATTTGTTAATGGACTCATGAAAGGTACCAGTAGGCTGGATTCTTCTCAAGATATTGTGAAGGCAATATATTTGTCACTTTTATGCAGAATTCATGCTTTAGCGAGAAGTGGAGCTCACAATACCGCATTTGATTTGAGCAGAGTGCTGTTATCACTCTCTTGCGACCCACTTGCAAATACTTCCATCAACATTGCTGATCCAGTCCACGTCCTTCTATTTATTGATTACTATGCAGTCAGGATTCGTAAATTCAAATATGTTTACAGAGATTTAATAGAAAATTTCATCATGAAAGAACAAGAAGAATTGCAATATTTACCGAATTTAATGTACAGCAGAGCTTTGAGTTTATGGCATGACAATCAACTCTCAACAGCCAATGAAGTTTTGCAGCAAGCTCTTCAAACGTGGCCCATGATTGTTGTTCTCGTATTGACTGAAATTAAGACTACACGATTTGGAGAATTTGAAACTTTAATTAGAAACACAATATTTACCAACAAGATTTGTACCTCTCCAATATTCTCCAAATTACTTTCGGCCTATGCCAAAAGAAATTCTGAATTTTGGAAAGAGGATGGAGTTTTGGATTGGCTCAAGTACAATATCGAAGAAATGTTAAACAATAGTGCAACCTCGCAGAAGCACTACGATGATATAAGAGAAATGTGCTATCAACATGCAGTGTTCACAAGCAACTACAAAATTGTTTACGAAAAGGAAGTATTGGGAGAAATTTTGCCGATTTAAACGTCAACAGTCCATCCTCTAGCAACAGTTCATCGAGAAGAAATCCATTCCTTTACTTTTTGGAATCTCTATTACCTTGGAATGGAACGGGTATCAATTTGAACCAGTTTTTGGGCGGTCAAGCTGCAGACGAGGAGGAACCAGAAGAGGATGAAGAATAAAAGTTGTTCAGTGAGATGTCTGAATTTTAATATGTGTTTGGGAATTCCAATGGAAGTGGTTATTCGAATGTGATGATTGTCGAAAGATTGTAAACAGCTGACCAATACATTGTCGAAAGATTGTAAACAGCTGTTCGATTGATTGTCGTATGACAAAGTTTGTGATCATAAAAAATGCTTTTACATCAACCAACCCACTCCGAAACTTCTGATGAACAAGGCACCGATTCATCGCTATCGAAAATAATTATGCCCCCAAGTCCTCCACCAATCCACCATCATCATCGGTTGTCCCACAACATTCAGTGGGTAACAGCCATACGGGATCAACAAAATTGTTCCCAGTCAATGTTTCAAATTTAACTATTTCTTCCAATAACAACAATATTTCAATCAATAGATTGCAGAGTCCTTCAACAAATATAATCCAAAGTTCATCATCATCGGGTGCAATCATTAACTCAATAATTGATGAGAATCAAAACGAATTTTTGGAATTGATTGAAGCTGAAACATATGTAGATATCGAGAGATTGCGTGATTTGTCTCGCCATGGAGTTCCCGATGATTTAAGATCTTCTGTTTGGAAATATCTTTTGGGAGTGGTATCTGCCGATAAGGCTGAGCAAATGAAACGAGAGCATATGTATTTTCAATCGGTGAAGCAACAACAATTGCAAAACAATGCGTCACCACTCGGTTGGTATATTCAAAACAAAATATCATCCTTTCAGTGGCCCAACAAAGTCTCACACAATCAAAAATTAGACATTACAGCATTGATGAATTGTTGTATCTGTTAAAGCCATTCGAGTCAATTTACATGATGGAAGCCAATTTAAAATACAACCCTTCAAAGGAAAATCAAGGAGGAAAACACGACGCCGAAAAGAATATTCATGACATGTATAGATGTTTTGAAATATTTCTGCAGAAAGACTATTTTAAAGAGAGCGTATCGTTTAAAGTTGCTAAATTGATTACTCTTTTCAAGTGCACTCAACCAGATCTGTATCAATATTTTGAGAACGAGGAAGTAGAGCCGAACGAGTGGTGTCTTCCATGGATCAAATATTTACTTTCAAAGGAGCTTCCAATTGATTGTGTCAAACGATTGTGGGATACCTATTTCTCAACTCATGATTTTGATCTGCATATTTATGTATGCCTCGCAATTTTACAGTATTTTAGTGAGACGTTGATGGAGCTAGAATACAGTGAAATCAAATATTTCCTTAATCACATCTATACAATTGAGAATGAAGATGGTGAAAATAGTTTACTGCGAATTATACCCCATATCATCAAGCAAGCATACAACTTTAGAGCTTATGTGAAATCAAGGCAATTGATATAGTATGTTTTCATGATAGGGCTAACGACAACTTTAGGCATGTAACGATATTCACTAGAAAGATGAAATTGTCATCATGAACACCAACTCTGTGAAGTCGACAAATTAATGCTGGTTTTTATCCTCATCATCATTCTTCAAAGTGGTATCAGAGTCACTAAATAGATTCCTCTTAATATCCTCCAGCAAGTTGTCCTGGGACCATGAAAACTCACTACAAAATTTTTCTACTTCCTTTAATTTATATCTGTGCATTTGATTCTCCTTCCTCAGTCCAATTATGAGTCTTTCTATCAGAACTTCTCGCCGGTCGAGCTCCTTTTTATACTCAATCAGCTCTTTCAAGCGATCTAATTTAAATAGCTTTTCCTTTTCCTCTTTGTAAGGAGATGGATGATGATTTTCTTGAAGATGAATCTTTGTGTGTGATGTACGAGGAGAATGATGTTGTTGCTCATTATGAGAATGGTGCGAGTCTTGCTTATAAGGCATGTCCAATTGAGGCTCATCGTTTTTGAAAGAGTCATTGATGATTGTGTTTAATCCATATAATTGCTGATCCAAGCTTGCAATTTCCTGTTCCAGTTCCTTTTCATCGAGATCTGTAATTGACGATTGATCAATCGATTGTTCCTCTTCTCCATCATGTTGCTCTTCAATATCCTGCTGCTTCGTAATCACATCCACCCCTTTGCTTGCAGAAGAGAATTTTTCAGCATTCTCATTGAAAATATCCAAACTTTCGAGAAATCTTCTTGATCGCTCTCTATTACTGGAATTTGAATGGTTATTTGTCTGAGCACCGCTTGAGGAAAATGTTGATTGAACAGAAGGTTGCTTTTGATCAGCCTCAGATTGCCATTTTGCAAATGCAGAGGATGAAGCTGTTGTAATTGGTTTTATGTTCAATAGCTCTTCATCATGAAGCTCATCCATCACTTGATGATACATGGATGATTTAATATTAGACATCTTTTTGAATCCACTTTGAAGAACCTCCAGCGACATTTTCTTTTTCTGTAACTCTTCTAAATTATTTTGCTTATTGGTTTGCTTAATATTATGTCTTGTATGTTGATATCGGGATATAAACTTTTTCTTATCATTCCCTTGATGATGATTCTCCAATGATGCTGATGAGAATGCTTGCGAAGTGGTTGCTGTACTCGAGGGCGGTGTTGGTTTGCTTGTTGTTGAAGTTAAGGAAGAATTTTGTTTGAACATTTTTTTTCCAGGTTCAAAGAAAAAAAAATGCTCCAACAACAACATGCACCGTCAGCCACCAATGCTGCGTCATCATCTCACACCTCCGATGATCAATCCTCTCAGAAAGCAATCGGAATTATCATTCCACCTCCATCATTGAAAAGAACGATCGAAGTAACAGCAGATCACGTCTCTAAAATGGTGTGCATTTCGAGAAAAATTTACTTTCATCCGATAATGCATCGACATTTAATTTTCTTCTTCCAGAGAATCCGTACCATAAATATTACAAATACGTACTTGATAAAAAGTTTAAGAAATTGGAAGAAGAATTTATGGATGAAGATAATGTAGAAGATGAAGGCGATGCGGAAGAAGGATTGATAAAATCCGAAAAGATAGGAGACATCAACATTGGAAATATTTCGAAAGGAGCTTCTGTAACATTTCATTTGAACAGATCGCGAGAAAAACCAACAAAGGATCCCTTTGAATATTTCTATGATACTACCATACCGTCGTCTGTAAAGGCTCTAGAGTTGGATATGATAAAATTAACAGCACAATATGTAGCCATGAATGGAAAACAATTTCAATTCGAAATAGCAAGTGCAGAGAGCAAGAACCCACAATTTGATTTCTTGAAACCAAATCACAGACACTTTCACTTTTTTAACAAGCTTGTTGATATTTACACCAAAGTATTATTTCCTGACAGATTGACACCTATGGAAATCCAAAGATTAAGTCAAAAGGATTCTAACACGACTATTAATAATTCTACAACACAGGATACTAATCAAATGGTCAAAGACGAAGATCATATTTACAAGTATTTAAATTTATTCGCCAATCCAGAAAACAAGCTAGCTGTCCTTGATTTACTCTTCCAAAAAGCAGAATGGGAAATTATGCAAGAAGAGAAGCAAAGAAGAGAACAACTCGACAAGGATGAAGACAAATCCGTGTTTGACATGATTGACTGGAATGATTTTATTGTTGTGGAAACCATTGATTTTGATGAAGATGTGAATGAAATTGAGATTGAAGAAGAGGAAGCAGTTGAGGATGAAACTATGGGTATGGGCACTGATGAATATCTTCCAGAGGGAGAAGAAGAAGAAGCATACCCATCCAGAATGATGGCAATGTCTACCGCGAATGAAGATGAAGAACCACACTACATGTATCATGAAGAGGAAAATGCAGAAGAGATGCCCATGTATCCAGCAGGTTTCATGGATGAAGGAGCTGCTCGTTTGCAAGATATTTCCAGCAAATCCATACAGTCCACACGTACTGAAGATGAGGAGGAAGAAGAAGAAGAGGAAATTGATCTCAGCAAATTTGCAAGGGCCTCCTACCAACCGCAGAAAGCCGCTGCTACTAAAGGCACTGCTCCTCTCATGTTTGTGGATCGAAAGACGGAGAACTCATTCCGGTCGATAAGGCCCAAAAGCACTTGAAAGTCTCCACCATAACCCTCAATACTTTGAACAGAAGGAACGTGAAAAGTCCAAACGAGAAAAGACCAACATTGCTCCTGGTGCCGAGATGACCAAGATTATTGCCTCATGGAATGAGGAAGGCAGTGACGCCACCATGCGTGGTACTTTGAGTGGTGACGTTGCATTGTCAGGATCGGCCACTGCAACCTCCTCAGAACCAGTCATTTGGGATGGCTATACATCGAGTATTCAACGAACCGCCTCAGCCGCAAAGGCTTCAGCAACCACAAGCATAAGGAAAGAGCCCACTAATATTGTTGGACCTCAAATACCCTCCGAATACTTTAGACAAGAGCAAGAAAGACAACAGGAAATTGCTCAGATGGCAGCAACCATGGCCCTTAAGGAAGTGATGAGGCAAGCTCACCAACCTTCGTTTGAGGAAACGGATAGCAAAAAGCCAAAATACACTCACTCCAATAACGAGCAGCAGAATATGGACGATGAAGAAGAGGAATAAAGAACCTAATACTATTACATTTATTATCATGCCTAATGAAAAACCCTTTAAGGATGATCATCATGGAGGTGAAGGCATAAACGATTCAATTTATTCCTTCTTTTGAGCGGCTCTAGTGAATGGATTTCCTACGTATGTAATGTACCACAATGAACACAAAACTGTTGGAACCACTGTGAGTGATCCAAGAAAGATGAGAGATGCCTTCTTTGATGGAGGACCATGAGTTAAGGTCGAAAGCTGTTTGTATTATTCGATTCAATGGTTTTCAAGAATGTGATCAACAGAGTTTTTGTCTCCCTTGTTCTCAAAATATACTGAAACAAACCTCGTGATGAGCATGGGCGTCGTGTCCCCTTGTGTAGAGCTGTCTGGCAAAGTTGTTCACTGATCTGAATACTCTCATTTTTTATTGATGACTTTTTGAAGCAGTTCGAAATTTGTACATTTTGGGATTAGGTTGACTTTTACAATTTTTTTTTGTGTTTCAAAAATTTCATTCCTTGGTTTTCCAATTCGGAATGATGATAAAATTCGTTACTTTTTCTCTAAAGGCCGTATGATCGAATAACAATCATTCATTGCTAAGAGAAACCTGCGCACATTCAAAAAACAGTTCATTTATCAACACGAACCATCTGCAACTTCATAGTTGAGCTTGAGGTTCAAGCCTTTTCTTCCGGGCTTGGGTGTCGAAATCCATCATCAAAAAAAAAAATATTCTCATCACCAACATTGTCGTCATAATGTCCGAACAACCAACAACAACAACAGCCAACAATACCAAGGAGAAGAAAGTCAAAGCACCAAAGCAACAACAACAACAAGGCTCATCTTCTGGACTCAAGCAAAATGAAGGTATTGATGTCAAGAAGCAAGAAAACTTTAGTGAATGGTATAGTCAAGTCATTACCAAGAGTGAATTCTTGGATTATTATGATGTGAGTGGATGTTATATTTTCAGACCAAATTGTTGGTTCGTTTGGGAGTCCGTACAAAAGTTCTTTGACGCTGAAATTAAAAAGTTGGGCGTCCAAAATGTCATGTTCCCATTGTTTGTTACAAAGAGAGCTTTGGAAACTGAGAAGGACCACGTAGAAGGATTCTCTCCAGAAGTTGCTTGGGTCACCAAGTCCGGTAACTCGGATCTTCAAGAACCAATTGCTTTGAGACCAACAAGTGAAACTATCATGTATCCATCATATGCCAAGTGGATTCAATCTCACAGAGATTTGCCATTGAGATTGAATCAATGGACCAACGTTGTTAGATGGGAATTCAAACACGCTGTTCCTTTCATTAGATCCAGAGAATTTTACTGGCAAGAAGGTCACAGCGCTTTCAAATCAAAAGAAGAAGCTGACGAAGAAGTTTTCACTATTTTGGACTTGTATAAACGAGTTTATGAAGAATTGTTGGCTGTCCCAGTCATCAAGGGTACAAAGACTGAAAATGAAAAGTTTGCCGGAGCTGACTACACAACTACTGTGGAAACTTTCATTGCTACAAACGGAAGAGCAGTACAAGGAGGTACAAGCCATCACTTGGGACAAAACTTCTCCAAGATGTTCAAGATTCAATTCGAAGCTGAAAACAAGGAGACACAATTTGCTTACCAAAATTCGTGGGGATTGTCAACACGTACTCTCGGTGTCATGATTATGGTTCACGGAGATGACAAGGGTATGGTATTGCCACCAAGAGTTGCTTTCTGTCAAGCTGTAGTTATTCCACTTCTCTTCAAGGACAAGGATAACACTGCTGTTACGGAAAAGGCAAAGGAAATTTATTCTGAGCTTGAAAAGGCTGGTATTCGTGTCAAGTTGGATGATCGTTTAGAGAGAACTCCAGGTTGGAAATACAATTATTGGGAACTCCGTGGTGTTCCATTGCGTATTGAAATTGGTCCAAAGGATTTAGAAAAGCAACAAATTATGCTCTGTAGAAGAGACACAGGAGAAAAGTGGACCATGCCATTGAGCGAATTTTCTGGTGATTCTATTAAGATGGTTCTGGACAAGATTCATGACTCCATGTTGAACAAGGCTAGAAAGGAAATGAATGAAAGAATTGTAGTGACAAGAACGTGGCCAGAATTCATTAAGGCACTCAACTCTGGTAACATGTGTTTAATTCCTTGGCATGAAAGCAAGGCAGCTGAGGAATATATTAAGGAAAAGTCAAAGTTGGAAAGCGTTCAAAGTCAATCGGACGCCAACACAGGTTTAACAGGAGCTGCCAAATCATTGTGTGTCCCTCTTGATCAATCCTCCTTCCCATCATTGGAAGGCCTTGAGAACTTTTATCCTGACGAAGCTGACAAGAAGCCAAATTGTTGGGCTTTGTTCGGCAGAAGTTATTAAGCACAACAAGTGTTGTTTCGTGTTTTGTTAATAAATTTAATATCATTCTGAACAGTAACAGTTTTAATGTTGAATGTCAATATCCCTGATGTCGATCGTTTTTGTAGTATTCCATTTTCCTCGTTTCTTGTAAACTTTTCTGCAGTACAAGCACACCACAAAGAAACACAATAAAAGTATCACCGCTCCCACACCTTAATAAAATATTTGAATAATCATCATTGAGATTCTTTTCTAAACAAAATAACACTTACCCAAACCAATAATTAACCACACCCACCAACTCAAATCTCGTGCCCATTTCCAAATATCCACATCTTGTCTCTTATTTTGTTCTTGATCAGCCACTGAAGCAGAATAATTGGGTCGTGTTGAATTTCGATTACACAACACATCCACTCGAGGACATTCAATTTGTCCATTGTATTGATTTGCCTTATTTAACAACACTCCTCCTTCCTTTGGACATTTCAACCAATAATTTCCAATTTTCACAAACAAGTACGTATCAATAAATGTTGTTGAATTGCTTTCGAGCGGTCCACATGAATATTCATAGCATCTCGATTCTGGTTGTTGATCTCTGTAGTCCATACCTGATTCTTGACTCACAAGATTTGAAAAGAAACATCCAGAATAGGTTCCATAACTTTCTCCAGTTTGTTTTAAAATAGCATCCGATGGTTTGTTATACGATTTGGTACAATCTCCATTTTCTGCTTGTAACACAATGGGACAATAATCTCTATCATTGTCACAATATATGGTTCCAATTGATATAATATAATTATAATATAATATATTATTGTGATATTATATACCAACCAATGAAAAGAATCATCATTTTCCAAAAATATTAAAACCATGGTACAAACCTCAAAATGGATAAACCTCCCTTATTCGTTCCACTAAAATGCACATAATATGGAGGAATAGTAGTGGCATAGGGAGCAGCGTCACACTTTCCTTTCGATTTCAAATCAAAGGTACACATTTTGGTATTTCCATCATTGGATGAACAAAAATATCCAAAACGTTGTACCGACGCCTCCCAAAATTCACATCGTTGTGTTAACATGGAACATCCTTGTGAACGTCCCCATACATATTGTAAAGTAGAAAGTGTCACCACTCCAAGAGCATTCAATTTCTTTTCATACAAATCCAAAGATGAATCATTCATAGAATAATATCCTAAATCTTGTAAAACAGCAAGTGAAATTTTGGAAGGCATGGCTCCTTCTGAGGGTTCAATCGATTGAAATGTGCTGGACATGAGTTCATTAAAGAATATTCTTGATTCGAGTAACGGAACTTTTCCTTTTTCGTAATCCGTCATGTCCAGTGTGTATTTGAATGGAATGATGAGTTCTTCATAATTTTCGAGAGGAAGACCATTGAGTTTGGTCTGATCTTGACATGAGAAATGAGATTTCATTTGGGCAACAGCATTGGGTGCGTTCAGATAGAATATGGTTTTAGATTCTGAATTGAACGTATCGGTGGTGGAGATGAGTTGAAGACCTGCGTCTTTAAAGGATTGTAAATTAAATCCTAAAATATGATACTGTGAGTGTACGACCAATGAATGAATTATTGACATCATGATACGTTCAACATAATAATAAATTTTAAATGTTACAAAAATGGTAATTAGTTCAAAAAATTAAATTTGAAAATATTAGTACAGTCGTCACACTTACCATCATGTGAAGAACTGTCATGATTTGATTTCTCATCGACAATGAATTGAAAACTCCAGGTGAAATATTAATTAAACCCATCACTGGTCGTTTCACTCCATTCATAGTTTGTGTCACACACATCATTCCACTTCCTTTGACAGTCATTGTCAATGGTCGCATGGTCACAAACACAACCAAATCCACACCTTTCAATTGATCACTATACGAACTATTCAAAGGAGTTTTGTAATATTGTGGAATTGGAATTCCATATTCTGTCGTATATTGACATCTCTGAACATTATTGGTAGCATTCAATAAAAAAGTATCATTTGGCATTTTGAATTGTGGTTTCACTTGAATCAAATCATCATCTAATAGTGCATTCACTGCAGGAATGATTTTTGTTTTCCACAAGGTGATGTGTGAAGAGGTAATGACATCCAGTGCTCGACATGTTCCAACACAATCTTCTTTCGGAACTGTGACAAGATTATTGGAATCGGTGGCATCACATTGTGGAGGAGGTTGTTGAAAGGGTTCTCCTCGTGTGTACGAAGATCCTTGTGTGTAACAGGAACGACCCACTTCATCGTTCTCGAGAAAGGTCAAATCGAAGGAAACTTTGAGAGCATGGAGGAAGAGGAAGGATGATGGAGTGAATGGTCGAGAAAGTTGTGTGTTCGATAATGATGTATCATGATGATCTAATGTGAACGAACGATGATTGTTGAAATGTTGCTTGTGTGAGAGGAAAATAAAATCAAATAGAGCGAGAATGACTATGAGTACACATCCGAAAGAAACAGAGTTGGACAAGGTTATGGATGGGTGGCATGATGACGACGATCGTCGTTTGAAATTAGTTTGTGTTTCGACATTTTTTTAAAGTGTAAGGAATGTCACTTTTCAATAACTCCTTTTTCAGATACTTTGGAATTGGAAGTGCTGAATCAATACGGCAATGCTATGTTGCTCTTCATTACATAATTAGGAAGGATGTTGAAAGTATGGCATTTGGAGAAGAGAATTGTTGCAACGAAAATTAAAAGTGAAAATCTCTTGTTATTCTATGGCATCATCATTGTTATCCAAATTCCATAAATTCATTATTAAATTAATGTTTTTTGAAATAGTGTTGTGATACTGTCCAGCACTTGAATTCAAAGATCCAACTTTCATCATGATGTATCTTGGTATACAAACTGAGGCTCACTCGCTTTTAAAGTTTATTTCCCTCTCGTTCCAAAAGTTTTGCCTTCTCCTCCGCAGTTAATTTTCTATTTTCTCTAGATTGTTTTTCCTTTTCTTCTTTCATCTTCATGAGGTTACGGAATGCGGGATAGACTTGTGCAGCCTCCTTTTGATTTTGTTCATATCGCCGTTCATATTCTTTATCAAGACATTTATCGAGTGCTGCTTTAGGCTCTAAACACCCGTTGAGCATTTGAGTGATAGGTCTGTTTTTATGGCACTCCATCAGAGCATTCATTAAATCCACACATTCCTTATCGTGATCTCCTTCTTTAACGACTGGATGCATTTTTTATTTGATGATGAATCGATTTAAATTTTCCTGATTTGGTTTTCTGATGGTGGTGTGGAAATTGATTAATTTGATCGTCATCATTGATTTTCATTCTCATAGGCCGGCTATGTGGAAGCTTTGAATTTAAGAAAAGGAACCAACCACAAGTGACACAAAAATTAATTTACAGCTTGTTCTAGACACTCAAAACATTCATGAAATGTTGAAACAATGATGTTAATCTATTAAACACCTTAATTAGTTAGCAAATAAATAAATAATATTAATAATCTATAGTATTCTCTTATGGTCTTCAACTACTCTTCTTGTGAAGATTCTTCATCGCTGTCCTCATCGAATAATGAAATCTTAGTTTGTGGTACAGGTGGCATGGAGGCATCTCGTTCAAATTGGAATTTTTCAAAATTAATCTTTGGAACCTTTTGTTCTTTCAATTCCTTCTCGGCAGCAGTAATTTCTTCTAAATATCTGTTCTTGTAAGCTCTCAACGAGTTTGGATAGAGCAAGGAAAATTGCCATCGTTCTGGAGGTGGAAATGGAGGTAATTGCAATTCAGCATCTTTAAAAGCAGGAATTTCACTCGTTGTTCTACTAATGAAATATGCATACGAAAATACATCATCCAAATTTAAATTTTTAGATTCCTTGATGGATTTTGCGATCGGAGATGACTGATGTAAAGCACTTCCCAATCGGTAATGAACATTTTCCAAAGTCTCGCTTAACTTGGATATTTTGTATTCCTTTTCTTCCAATATTTGTTGTGTTTGTTTAATCTTTTGTTGAAATCGTTGATTCTCTACCAATTCTCGGAGCAATGTTTTTAATTCTTTATCCTTCTCCATCAAAATTTCTAGCTGTTGAGTAATCTCTTGTTTATATTGTAAAATCGTTCCTGTGCTCTTCACCAAATCTCCAGTGATCGTTCGTGTTCCTTTTGAAATGGCTTCACAAAGAGCTCGGAACGAAAGAGCATCTCACTCATGCATTTGAGAATGCGTTGATGCACTGAACTCATTTTTTCCCTTCCAAGGAACAACACAAAACCTCTTTCAGCTAAGCAGCGCTTCATCAGACATTAAGAGAGCAACATGCCGTGAACACATTAATACAAAGTTATGATAGGTAAAGAAGAAGTGGAGGAGATTTATTGAAGATTATGGAATGAGTGGATGAAGGGGAGTTTAAAATCGGAATGGTTAGAGCCGAGTAAAATCGAGTTCATGAAAGAGTATCTCTCGGAAGTTTCACAATTATTTCAAGAAGAATTGTTACACGCTTTGATTTTCTGTGGTATGCTGCTCCACGACGCTCTTTGTCCTTGCTTCATAGCTCCCTTGGTCTTCATTATTCAATTTGTTTTCTTTGAGCAATTCATATTCAATACATTGCTTAGCTCGTATTATTTTTGATTGGAGATAAAAACTTCCTCCATTCTTCACACTGTTGTTGATGAACATCTTTTCAAATCGGTCTTGAACAAGCCCGTAATCAATTGTTTCTCCTTCCGCTAATTTGGGAAGACCTAAAATCTTTTGTGCCTCTGCAATGGTCATTGGTTGTGTTTTCGTAATACTCAATTTCTGTCCAAAAGCACCTGCTCCGGCGCTTCCACCCGATGTTTTTGCTGCTTGATTGTAGGCAGCTTTGAGAGCACCGAAAGCAATAGAACCAACAGCAAGAGCAGCTCGGAACAAGACACCGAAGATAGCCATTTTTTTATGTGGACAAATTGATTGAACTGTTTTAGAAAATTGATGATGATATTCATATTCATATGGTATGGATGCATTATTATCAATGATCTTGAATTTGTTGAAATGAATTCTTTATTCAAGATTTAAATTTTATAAATTATTCAATCCTCATCTATTGACTTCGGGTTCAAACAAAAAAAATGTCAAGCGAATACAGAAATCAAGAGGAGCAACAACATCATCGGAATGATGAAAGATACTACTCTCGGAAGAGTCATATTGATCAACAATACAAATACGATCGTAATTATCCCAGTGATCCTCATGAGGAAGTAATTATCAAGACACCAGTCGTCATCATCATTATGCGGAACAACACCATCATGAAGACCATCATTCCGATGAAGGTAAAGATACACACTCCAGTGAAAAATCAAAGAAATCAACTAAAATTAGTGTTTGGGGCAATTCCTCAACCATGAATATAACTCCATACTTGTACAAGAAAATATTAACATCTCCATATTTCAAGTCTCTTTATGAATATAAAACATATCACGAAGTGTTAGAATTGATAAAGAATGTAAAGTATATACATCCATTTACAGACGCAGACAGCAATGGATCTCCTAGCGTTGCGTTTTGTCTGTTATTTAAATTACATACACTGAAATTATCCTACAAACAACTGAAAGGAATGCTTCAAAAAGATGAGCCTACAGTTATTAAGGCTCTTGCACTATTATATGTTCGATTTGCTGTTAACCCGATGAGATGTGGGACTTCTTTAAAGAATATATCAACGACGAATCAAATATGGTTAACATATTTACAAAAAAATTGTAAGTAGGAAATATTTGAAAAACTCTCAAGCACTTTATTTAATTAGAACCTTAGGAGAATTTATTCGATCATTAATAAGTAACCAAAAGTTGTTTGGATCTCAATGCATTTTACCAATGCTCCCTGCCAAGACACTCTCGCGCATGGAAGATTTTTGCCAGGAATCTCAGCAACGAAATCAAAACAAACGAAAGCAACATGAAAATCCATTTTACCATCGCCAAAGTGACAACAGAAAGAAACAAAAACAAGAGGTAGTTCCAAATCAGCAACAGTCATCAACTACAAGTGTCTATCATCTCAACAAACACTTGAAAAAGTGGATTACGAACCTGCAGAAAGTAGATTCTCCAAGCCGAACTTCACAAAGGCCACAATTCCTTCCAATTACACAAAAAAGTATGCCATGACCAAAAGCTCTGATGATGATGAAAAGAAATTCTTCAAATCAAACGACATTACAGAAGTTGACACCATTCGGCTAAGCAAGAAATGAGCAACTTCGCCAATTTAAACAAATGTTTTCCAAGAGAATTTTAGAATTTAAAATTTAATTAATTAATATTGGAAATAAATTAATCTAGCTTGAATGTTACAGCTGGTGTACACAAAAAAACTTGGAACAGATTATTTGTCCCATTTCAAAAATTTGGTCAAAAGACGGCCAACAAGTCTCAACATATAACTGAATGGGATACAAACAACGCCCAATGCAATACAAATCAACCATTGGTACCAGTTCAATGGAACAGTGTTCGTAAATCTTCCGCAGAATTGGACAATAATAGCTTGCATGCCTCCTGTGAAGAAGAAAATGAGGATGAACATCCATGACTTATGGATCGATTGGAAGATATTCCACTCGTTATTAATCTTTCTGCTGTTAAGTTCGTTGAAAAGTTGACAAAAAACAAAGCTGTTGAAGACAATGGTGTTGTTGACCTCAGCTGCGGAGTATGCATCAACGGCTTCAGCAAGACATTTTCCATTGACACACAAGTATTGATAACCAGTATAGTAGAGACCCAACAAGATAACCAATTGGTAAAGTCCTTGTCCAATAATGTGTACCCACATATTCTTGGTAATCAAACTATCGTGTCTACCGTATGGCTTTCTGTCCAAAAGTTCTGGAATTGGAGGTTCAGTGGCAAGGGCCAAAGCAGCAAAAGTGTCCATGATCAAGTTGACCCACAAAAGTTGAACAGCAGTCAATGGAGGATCCATGTGCTTGGAATGAGAACCAGCTGGAGGGCAATGATAAAGGATGTTAAAGCAGTAATAACTGTGACGAGCAATGCACAAACGTTGACTGTCAACTGGAAGACCAAGAATTTACGAATGTTTTCATAGATGGTTCTACCCCACAAAACACTCTTAACAATGGAGCTAAAGTTGTCATCCATAATAATAATATCTGATGCTTCCTTTGCGATTTGTGTACCAGCAATACCCATACTCAAACCAACGTCTGCTTCTTTCAATGCAGGGCCGTCGTTAGTACCATCTCCGGTAACAGCAACAACTTCACCGAGAGCTCTCAATCTACTGACTAACTTGTGCTTGTCAGAAGGTGAGGATCTAGCCATAACTTGAAGTCTTGGTAAGATTTCATCAATTTCATCATCAGACATCTTTCTAAAGTTTGGTCCTTCAATAGCAATACCATCACCGAATAAAATACCACATTCACGAGCAATATGTTGAGCAGTGAGAACGTTGTCACCGGTAACCATTCTTACGAAAATACCAGACTTTTTACATTGCTTAACAGCATCAATAACTTCAACACGGAGTGGATCCTTAATACCAACAATGGCGATTAAAGTAGATCCAAATTCAACAGCTTCTTGATTTTCGTAATCCTCATTACCTTGCAAGTCCTTATAGGCCAAAGTCAAGGTTCTCAAACCTTGTGAAGCCATGCTTTCAATATCTTCCATCCACTTCTTCTTTTGTTGTTCAGTCAATGGTACAACTGAACCATTCTTCAAAATTTGTTGAGAACAAACTCCCAAAACAATTTCTGAAGCACCTTTGAGATACAATCTATGAGCCCCAGTATCAGTTCTGACAATAACAGCCATTCTCTTTTTAGCAGAGGAGAAAGTATAGAGTTTTTCAATCTTGTCATTTTCAGTGTAGTGTTTTCTGATTGGAACATAGTCAATGCCCAAATCTTTCAACATAATCAAGAGAGAAGCCTCAGTCTTGTTACCGCTGACTTCATATTCTTTCAAGGATCCAGTCTTTGGTTTGTTCAATGAAGCCTTTGAGTTCACAGAAATACCGTGTGAAAGCACTTGAACAACTTCTTCATTCATACCATCGGTATTGTCTGGCAAACCATCAAGATATTCATCGCCAGCAATGACAGCCTTCACAACTCTCATTTCGTTCAAAGTCAATGTACCAGTCTTATCGGAACAAATGTTAGTAGCACCACCCATGGTTTCGCAAGCAGCCAAGTGTCTGACAAGGTTGTTGTCCTTCATCATCTTCTTGACAGAGTATGCCAATGAAATGGTAACAGCCAATGGTAAACCTTCGGGAACGGCAACAACGACAATGGTCACTGAAATGATAATGAAACCGACCATGGTTGAAATATCAGCTGCTGACCAAACGTCCTTGCCAACGTTTGTTTCATAAACCTTCTTAATTAACCATCCAGCCAACAACACAAGGAAAGTAGCAACAGCAAAACCAACACCGAATTTACCGATGAGTGTTGCTAATTTGTCTAATTTGGCTTCGAGTGGTGTCTTGTCATCCTCATCATCATCTTGGGTAATCTTTGCCAAAGTTTTTCCCCACTCCGAGTTCACACCTACACACGTCACGAGCATTCTACCATATCCTTCAGCTACTACAGTACCTGAGAGAAGGAATGGAGTTTCATCATTCTTTTTAATTAGGTCAGTTTCACCAGTCATTACGGATTCGTCTGTTTTCAAATCGTGGAATTCAATGATGACACCATCTGCTGGTACTTGATCTCCTTGTTCAATTTCCACAACATCTCCGACCACAATGCTAGCAATTTGAACAGTCTGGGATTCACCATCACGGATGACTTTAATTTTGATATCGGCGCTCTCTTTGGACAATTCTCTGAATTTTCTTTCCTTTTGCCAGTCGTTGATGGATGCTACAGAGGAAACAATCAACACAGCTACAATGATAGCAGCTCCTTCTATCCATCCGAATTTTCTGTCTTCTTCTCTCTCAGGGAAGGCCACTCCCAACACAATGGAAATAACAGCCAGCACCATCAAAATGATGAGAAGAGGTTCTTTCAAAGCCTCCAAGAACAACTTCCAAAGAGGAACAAGAGGCTTCTTTGGATATTCATTCTTTCCAAAGTGAGATTGTCTATCAGTTTCCTCTCCGTGATGAATACCATTTCTCAGATCGGTTTTTAATGCCTTGGCCAATCCCTCAGCGTTACCAAATTCTCTGAGAGCCAGTACGTCTCTACTCTCCAGCAATTCATCGAGTTGTTGTAGCGTTACGCTGTATCCACCGTAGTTCTCCTGTAACTCAATGTTGGCTGATTTGCCTGAATCTCGAGGCATTTTTTTGTGTTTGCATTATGAACCATTGTTGATGGGCGACCCTCGTAATGAATGGAATTGAATTATTAAAATTTCTAGACCTCGGAGAAGATGCTTTTTCGGAGAGAGGAAAGAGCATTGGAGATAGGGACGCTGTGTGTGTTTTCATCAAATTATTTGAAGGAGGTGGTACCTGTTGAGTGCCAATAAAAAACCATGTTCGTTTTGTGTGAAGAATAATGCGTTGTGTGAAAAATCATTGTCATGTCGTGAACAAGGTTCTATGAGTGTGAAAGTGAACTAAGTTCTTCACTATTCTGAGCTCTTTGGATTGTCATCAATTCAACCCATTTGTAAACAACTAGTTCCCAGAGACAGGAAGCAACCAAACATGAAAATTAACGCTGCCTTGAGTGTGACATGGAGCTGCTTCACCCGAAATGTAAAATGTTCTTTGACCATTTCTCCTTCAGGGCGAGCCAAAGCGTACTTTCCTTGTATCAATTACGAATGTCATACAAACTAATAACAGCATCAGGTCGGACCAAGGTGTTACTCTCCCTGTGCTCCTTAGTTAGAGAAAGATTCTACTCAGTTGATATTTAAGTATTCCTCAAGTTAGCATGTAAAATCTCCACCAACTTATGAGCGACAACAAGTCTTCAACCAACTTGTCACAAGTTTCAATACAACAAGGATCAATCTGAAAACATCTCTTTCACTTTACATCATCCAGTTGAATTCAAATAAGTTGATCACTACAAATCTCCAAATGGAATAAAGTGAAGAGAGCCATCGAAGGCAAATTTCAAAAATTGCCAAGTTTGTTCTTCAACTCAATTCTGAATATTCTTCAGCCAGAATCTCTACGCCAAACGAGGAAAAAAATAAAACTCCATTTGTTTTTTGCCATTTGAACGCATCACCCAATCATAATCTAGGGATCGTCGAGGGTATAAAACGCAACTGTCGTAGCCTGTCAATTCCACAACAAAAAAACAAAACAACAACTAACAGTTCATACAATCAACAATCAACAACCACTCCATACAACATGTCAATCGAACACATTGAGAACACCAAACTCTTCACTGATCTCGAATATAGATTCAACTATGTTTGCAAATTTGTAGGATTTGGAGCAGAAGATATTAAATACATCCATGAATCAGCTTCTGTTCTAGCACCACTCGTACCAACCATTGTCGATCGAGTCTACGTAAAACTCTTCTCTTTTGATATTACCAAGAAGGTTTTCCTCGTAAGAAATGATAAATTTGAAGGCCAGATGGAATCATCATTGGATGAGTTGTCTGACACCAAATCGGAACAAATTAAATTCCGTAAGGATATGTTGAGCAAGTATTTGGTCAAGTTGGTTACTGCTGATTACTCCTCCAAAGGCTTTTTGAATTACTTGGATTGGGTGGGCAAGATCCACACTGCTAAGGCTGGTAATAAGAACATTATTGTCGACTACATTCATATCAACGCCTTGTTCGGATATGTGAGTGATGTCATTATCGGTCTAATTGCTTCATGCTCTCAATTAAGCGAGGAACAACGTGCCAAGACCATTCAAGCCTTCAACAAATTGTTATGGATTCAAAACGATTTGTTTGCCAAATATTATGTGGATGATGAGGCAAGAAATGGTATTGTTCAAAAGGAGAGCGAGAATACTACTAGCACAAGCTCTTCTGGAGGATGTTGCTTTGCCTTTGGATCTTCAGAGAACAAGTCGAAATCGGGATCCTGTCCACTCACGAGCATGCTATGCGTAGGAATTGTTGCCGTGGGTGCTTTCTTTTTGGGCAAATATTTCGGAATGTAAATTTCAATAGAGAGAGTTGAGCACAATTTTGATTTAATTTATAACACAAATCTAATACATACGAGTAAGAATGACAGTAAATTATTACAAATTATTTTATTTTAAATCATCATCAAATGTCATTAAAAAATGTCTTGCCGTGAGGACGAGCCGAGTCAATCGTTGCCATCCACAACAACAACAACAACAACAACAACAACAACAATACATGGATCATATTTTCACAACAATCACCTCCCGACACATCTCTTTCGACTCTTCTCAACCATTCATTTATTCTTTGGTCACACCATCATGATCATTTTCCTTTCACAATTCTTTTCCAATACACTCAAACCCTTTCTCATTTATTTCACATTGGAAACAGTGAGCACGTGTCTCTTCTCACAATTACAATCTCTATTCATTTCATCTTACAAGAGTAGCAGTAGTAATACCAACAAAAGCACTACTAGTGCTACTCATAGAAATTTAAACAATTTTAAAACAATGACAACCGTTCGAATTGTTTTTTCAATTTTACTATTGTTGTATCATGTCATTGGAAATGGATTTTTAGTTTATTATTTAACAGAAATGGTGAGACATGTTCGAAATTCAAAAATTACCAAAGAAACCTTTGAATATGATGCTGATTATGAAATGTATTCTCCATTATTTGTGGATTTGAGATTGACCTCTTTTTTTTGTTTAATTCCAATGATTCATGGATTTGGAAGAGTGTTGCAACAAAGTGTCATTTCTTTTTCAATCATGACCATTTCTCAAAAAAATCATGATTTGAAAGAGGAACATTTCACCAAACAGGAAGGAGTGAAATATTAAATCACATGTGTGAAAAACAACAACAACAACAACAACCATTTACATTTTCATGGATGGAAATGATTGCATTTTGGATTGGATCCATCTTTGCACTTTTTACTTGTTTTTATCAATTTTCATCCATTTATTTTGCATTCTATCAAATATCAGTGTATTGGATGGGAATGAGTGTGATGGTCATGCTCTTTGGATTTTTGGAATTATTTCATTGGAGTGACATGACAACACGTCGTGTCACTGAAAATCACATGAAAACTGCTACTCAAGATCCCATCCTAATAACGACCCATATCATGTCAGCTGCGAGTGGTGGCATTTCTGAAATTCATCATGACCATCATGACGAGACGAGGATGAGGAACATGCATTTACAGAAATTTTCATATTTTTGAACATGTACTTGTCCATCGTTTCATTGAAACGCACATTACAACATTGGGCAGAACTTTTCCTGAATGCAAGAATTTATGAAAATCAAAGTTTGATGTTACTGTTTTTACTCACTTTGGATTTTCATCCACTCGTGCTTGTGTTTTTTTTAATCATGAAAGGATGTGACTTGTTGATTGTGAATTATCAGACTAATCCGTTGTGGACACTACAGAACTCGTATCAGTCCATGATGGATCGAAATAGTTCAATGGTTTCAATGTATTCGATTCTTTACCATACGATTGTCCTTTTCATTGATGTGATCTTGACTTGTGTGAATTCACTACCCATTAATTATGTTGGATATCAAAAAGTGGTGTATGGAATGAGAGATCAGATAGTTTTTGGTTGTTCTCTATTCATTCCAGTTCTTCTCTCTCAACTTGAAAGAATACTCTTTTCGTCGTCGCTTAATACAAGTGACAGTCAAAATTTTTCAACCTTAGTGGACGACAGGAAAGAACTCGAACATGAATTGACCATCAAGCGATACTTGCCCATAATCATTCAACTCATGGTCATTGGAATTATTTGTTTGGCGTTTGATGACCCTGGACTCCTCACGTTCAAATTCTTTTCGGATGTATCCTTAGTGCTTCAACTTGCTGCTTGTGTGTGTCTTGTCACAAGTTACATGTTGTCATTCTGTTCTTGTTACCCAAAAAAACAAACAAAAGAAAAGTCAGATTGATAGACACAAAACACATATCTTTAATTTTCAGTTTTGAGATTGATGGCGGCAGAAAGACTATCAAAAGACGTCTTTACCATGTGAAGTTGTGAATGGCACTGTTGCAAACTGTTCAATTGCTCCTTCTTGTCATCAGAGAGGAAATCTTGAGTTGGATCATCCTCCTCTTCCATATAATTTTCCACCTGACAAAGAATATTACTAGCAACGGAGCACAGAATGCTTTGCAATCCAACAAACTTATTCATGGTAATCAATGTTTGCTCAACCTGTAATCGAGTATTTTGTTGTGATTTGCTGAGGAATGATTGGTCCACAATTTTGCTAAGATACTTGTAGTGTGCAGCAAGAAGTTGGTCTAAATCGCCGTCGCTTTCACGAAGCTTTTTGATATCGGTAAGGAATTGATCCCATGCCGATTCTAGGACTTCGAACATTAAATAAAATTGCAAGCTTCCCAAAAATCTACTCATATCGTGACGTAACAGGATTGAGAAATTGAGAGCATTCTTGAGTTGTGTAATAATGAACACATGCTTTCGAGATGGTATGGATCGTATTAAATTCACTACCTTCTTCCAATTTTCGTTCAATGACAATTCAACTCTCTTAATATTCCACAAAAATTTGAATATCCTCAGATAGACATTAATCACTTCTTTTGAGAAAATGGTATCAAGAGGAACCGTAATTTTGTAATCTAGACAAAATATGTCCCATCCATTGTCTGCAGGAGAGGAATCCTTAGGTTGCATCAACCGTACATCGAGTCTATTTAAGACATCTTGATCATCGTATTGAGCGTTTGATCCTCTGATAGCGCTCTCTAAAAGGCCAAGAAGATTGTGCTTGAAAATAGCATGGCTAGGTTTGTTGAGATCCTCACTATTATTATGGTGAACCATTGGAAATCATCCTTAACGTTAACAATTATTCAATTGTATAATACTTACTTTAAGAGTTCGATCAAATGTTGAATAAAATCTCCTTGACCAAGCAACAAATATTGCTTGATAGCTGTACAGTGCATCATGAATTTGTATTGGTTAAAAACGAGCTCCGTTACTCTCCTATTTGCAACCTTGGCAACATTGTCCACAACATTTTCCAGTTTTGAAATGTTATAGAACCCTAACCCTTCTGTGGTAGAAATGGTATGAGAGTCCATGGCCCATTCAGCATCTTTGCAACATTGCCTAATAAAATTGATGCTCTTTCCTGTTCTTAGTATCTTGTATGCTAGCTCTTGGTCAATGAATAACGGTACCATGTCTGGTTCTATAACATATTTTCTACTCCATAGCTTATCAATGTTCACTTCAGGATTGGATTTTACGAAAAATTCGCCATATGGGTCCTCCAATTCCCCATCAACAACCCAGCTTTTGATCATTTTAAAAATTGGAGAGGAAGTACTTTCTAAAATACGAGAGAAAAGTTGATGTATCAGTGGATCTCCGTGCCTTATATATTTGTAAATGGTAGAAATGAGATTGCCTCCTCTTTTCAATTTGCACGAGTCCGTAAGAATTGCTAAATTTTTCAAAATTTCAGTTGGCTCAATTGCCCATATGGCCAATCTTCTAAAAGTGACAGGCGTATTCGTGTTTTCTTGACTCTCAATCTGTGTTTCCAACGAGGATATAGTTTTATAATAGTCCACAAGTTCTTTATCGATGGATGAGCATAAACTTTGCATCACTAAACCATTTGACGATTTGTTTAAAGTGCCAGCGTCAACAAAACTTTTCACTTTTTTGTATAGCCATCCAAGCTCTGATAATTTGCTCATTAATAGCCTAGTGGATTTTGGAATTCCAATTTTTGTATCCACAATAAATCTCTCTGATGCTAAATCATATTTGATATATCGACCGTCAATTCCTTGGAATGTATAAACAATGTCTCGAACCAGTGTAGATTCAGCAACTTCAAAGCGTGTGTTTTCTTGCTCTGAAGCTACTTGTTTGTATTGTTGAAAACTATTATTCTGCTTATTCGTTGATTCCATGTTAGAATGAATTAGCAGGTCTTGTTGAACTTGCTTTTCCGAGCTATGTGTACTATTCAATTTGAAAAGATTGTCCTGAAATGATGCATTAAGGGACATGGGTATGGAAGATGATGAATGATCGTTAGCGTAGTTATGAGTTCCTAAAGAGTTCAATAAATATACGAGGTTAAATTTATGTTGGATAATAGTTTTAGTGTTGAGTCTATGAAATAGTTGTGAAAATTGAAACACCATGTCCGATTTGTTTTCTCTCATCACTGTAAACATTTACAAGAATTGGTGCGTTGGAAAAAGGGTCATATTATGCACATAATTGTTTTCTTTGCACTTACATCTCTTTTTAATTGTTTCAGTTAGCAAAATTTGATCTTGTGTTTGTATGAGCGTTGGTGAAATTCGGCTTGATAACAAGGAAATTAAAAATCTCAATTGCTTGTTTGCATATCGTTCATAATCATCATTTGATTGATTCCGATTCTTTGGGATGTTAATTTGAATCAATTTCCGCAATAGTGAAAGAATTGGCTGTGATGCAGCACTACTGCTGTTTGAAGTTGAGCTGCCGCTATACTGGGACGCTGCCAAAGAATTGTGGCTCACCTGATGACCATTGCTCCCGTTGTTGAATGAATACGAAGATGATGCAGATGATGACGAGAAGCCTTGTTGCCCATTCATTTTTTGTGTTGTATGAATCGAAGCGGGCAATAAAACCGCCAAAATCCGTTGCTAATCATAATTTAACAACAATTAAAAAAAAATGATGCAACAACACCTTCGCACAGATCCTGCAGTTGAAAATCCAATTCAAGAACTTCAAATCAATACGATGAACGTGATGGATATATTGCATAAGGAGAGTGATTTCATAAAGATGAGAAATATAGTTCAACTGGAAGAGAATATCCGAAAGTTGATGGACTCGCAGAATACTCGGGTGCAAGAAGTCATCAACACACTGACTCAAACATTGAATACAGCAGAGAATTACAGTCATATGAAAACATTAATGGAAGAACATGAAGAGAAAATGCGGATTTTGAAGCGAGAGATGGACGATTTAAACTTTTCTGTCAACAACTATGAAGGAAGACTTTCCGAAGTGGAGACAGAAATCCAAGATGCAATGCAAAAATTTGAAGCATTGAGACAGGAGGAGCAAGAAATACAACATAATATTGAAAATTGGATAGAGCGAGACAAAAACCTTAATTTACTGTATAATTTCGTAGCTCCAGTGGAATGGGATATGTCAAGTGGAGGTAAAATATGTTCTCTCACTTCCACCAAGGATTCAACCTGTGTTTGCCTCAATTTCGAAGAAATGGACCAAGAATCTATACATGAATTTCTGTTTGACCAATTGAATGATCATGCTGTACATATATAAACCTCTAGCTAATGAGTATTGTTTAATCATTATATTTTCGACTACCTCTTCCCTTAACGTATCTGTCATCTCTATAATTTCTTGAACCCCTATAGGGAACATATCGATTATCATAATAGTCTCGTCGTTCATATGTATCACTAGGTTCATATCTGAATTCCCTAGAATGATATTTTGGTGGCGACGACGATTTGTTACTGCTTTCTTCCTTAGAAGCTTCCTTTTTCTTCTTAGGTTCTCGCTTCTTTAATTTCAATTCTCCACAATTCTTGATAATAACCTCTTCCAATGGTCGGTTTTTGTCCTCTGATATTTTGACATTTTCAATCTTTTTAACAATATCCATTCCTTCAATAACTCTTCCAAACACGACGTGCTTTCCATCAAGATAATCTAAATCAGAGGAGAGTGTTATGAAAAATTGTGATCCAACAGTATCTTTTCCGGCATTAGCTGCCGATAATAAACCTGGCCTAGAATGTTTCAAAATAAAGTTTTCGTCTTCCATATATCCTCCATATATTGATTCTCCTCCAGTTCCATTAAATTCTGAGAAATCACCACCTTGAATGATAAAACCGGGAACCACTCTATGAAAGAGAGTTCCTTTGAAATGAAGAGGCTTTTTAGTTTCTTTTCCAATACCCTTTTCTCCAGTGCAAAGACATCTAAAATTCTCAGCAGTCTTCGGAACAATATGTTTATATAATTTCATAATTATTCTTCCTACATTTTCATCTCCGATCGCAATATCAAAAAAGACTCTTGGATTTTTAATGTGTCTTGAAGTGAGTGTGGATGATGATGATAACTTTGAATCTTTGGGCATTTTTTAATTTTCTTGAGACTGAACATCAAAAATTAAAATTGAATCCAAAAAAAATGTCTAGCATTCTTGAATTGCCTTCCGAAATCTATCATCATATTTTCAGTTATCTTGATTATGTCAAAGATATTTGCAGAGATCCATATCTCAGCTATTTGCCAGTTCAAAAAGATGAGATTGATCATTTGCTCAGAACACCTTGTTTTGTTGATTTTGAAAAGGAGCTCAAAGCCTTGTCCGAGCTGCAGCCTCTTTCGATGACTTGCTCAACTTTTTGTAAAATGATTGCGTCGTACAAACCTTTGAGTTTAATGATTCGCTTTTCTTGTCATAATCTTGAAAATTGTATCCGTCAAAGACCTGTAAAAAGGGGCTTTGAGTGTGAAACGTCATACACGATGAAATTATACGTATCACGATGGTACGATTTTTCAATTGTGGAACCCACCAAACAAGAATTTAGAATTTTGAATATCTCTAAATGGCGTAATTATTTAGAAAAGTTTATTAATCGTAGAAAGGCGTGCTTTCGAAATATTGAATATGTTGGTGTTTTTTCAGATGTTGGAAAAAATTATTGTTCGTCCATTAGCATTCAACCAATCCAATTTCCGTTTTCTTTATTTCCCAAGCTTAAATACATGACTCTTCATTTGGTTGGAGCTTGTATATATGCTCGTGAAATAGTACCAGATCATGTCATCATGAACTATGTTACGAGTAGCACTACTTTTGGCAACCCACCACAGGTACCACTCAACCCGACTGACTTTGGAGCTTTTGAATACTCCCAAAGAAATAAGTCAATACATGAAACGATTTTCTCAGTGGTGAACAAATTTCCAAAGCAATATCTCAGAGTTGAACTTTATATTTTGATTCTTTTGAAAATATCCAAATTCGAGGCAGCACGCTCATTGATTGACAACTTTACAATTGATGAAGATTATTTTTCATATGCTTGGAACTTTTCGCTCGCCGAATCATTTCAGAATCATGACAAAGATCGGTTTAGAGCAACTATATCTCTTTTAGCTCGAATCAAACAAAAGTTTAAGGGTATAGTGATCAAACGGCTGTGTATCAACTCAATGGAACAACTCAAAATTGTGGAGGAATATGGTGTTCTAGATCAAAGAGACATAATGCCAAATATAACACTTCACTTCTTAACGTACATTAGCAATAACCAAGAAACAGAACTATTGAAGTCTTTAATTGACAAATATGGTGTTTATATTGGTCGTTATGGATGCTCTCTGCTGTATACACTGTCAGATTTTATGATCAATTTTGTGAAAACAAACGTTAAAGGATATGATTTTATTAGAAATGTTATCGTTACTGAGCAAGATCAACAACACGACGAAAAGTCAATGATAGAAAAATTTAGAGTTCCATTTCATATGCAAAATATTTCCTTAAATCCCACGTACCATACTATGTTTAAATATCTAGAAATTGATCCCTATGTAACAGATATGTATGGAAACAATTTATTGCACTATGGTTGCTTTTTCAGATATCTGTCAAAATACAAAGGAACATCCGTGTTAGGTTTGAGTGAAGATATTGTTTCTAAACTCCTTAACGTACCAAATAATTTTGGAATTACTCCTCTTATGATTGACTCGTTGCGATTTACATATATTTCATTTCGACATGATGAAATTTCGTTTACTCTAAAGTACCACCGAGAGTATCCATGCCTATATCTGAGAAATCAATTGGAACAATGTCATGGACTGATATGGACACCTTCACGAATACAAATCATGTGGTCTGATTCTGTACCAAAATCAGTTGTATCACAGACTTATCCAATATTCACGCAAGAGATGAGAATGGAAAGCATTGGAGCCATTACAAGAGCAGCATATACTCATTTCGAGAAGAGAGTAATATAGAAGATTGTTTGACCTGCCGTGACAAGGACAACATGACCCCACTTCACAGGCTATCCAATAATTTCCTAGAAATTCACAAATTTCTAGTCACACATAACGTTTCACTTGGATTTGATTATTTGGCATGTTTTGATCTTTTGGGTAGGAATCGATTAATGCATATCTTTGATTACAACACTGGGTTGGCTTACAATCCCAACATTGAGGCCCTTAAGGAAGAACTTTATCCAATAGGGTTTGAGTATGTCAATAAGCAACAAGGAGATGAATCCACCATTCGTCAACAATTAGTACTGTTTCAATACAAACCATTTTGAGAAAGCATCAAAATCAAGAAGTTCTTGAATTTCGATTGAACAGAACAGAGTTTCCAGAATTGCAAAGACGTGGTGGAGACTTGGACGAAGAATTTGAGGAAGGAGACGATTTTTCTCATTTCATTGTGAAACGTTCGTTGAAAAAGAACAATGAAGTAGTATTATCACTCATTGGTTTCATGTTGAACAAAGGATTACATCTTCAATTAACAAGAAACAAGTCAGGAAAAACCGCTTTCGATGTGTTGAAAGAGCATGTGAAACCTTTGACCTCAATGCTCCCTGAAAAACTTCTCCACCATTGCAAACGGCCGTTAATCAGCAAGGCTAAACACAAATTTAAAATTACATTACGAGGAAATAATGTAGAGATTATTGAAAAAGGCGAGGAATTTGTTGTATGTAAAAAAGATAATACTGTTTACGCCAAATTAGAGGTGAAAAAGTATTTTGAACCAACGAAGAAAACTGAGTGAAGTACTTTGTAACTTTTCACATGTGTCCCGCGATGGACCAACACGGATGAATACTTGAACTTGTCTTCAAGGAACACTGAACTTAAATATTTGATACTTTTCGTGAACTGTTAGCTTAGCCTTTACAATTGTTCGAACAAAAATGACGCATGTGGTGAGAGTTGGCTTTCATGAAGAGAAGGGTCTTCGTCCAACCATGGAGGATGCTCATATTTTGTGTCCTTCTTTGAATATCAGCTCCGAATGCAGTGCGAGTTTATTTGCAATTTTTGATGGCATGGGTGAGTGTTTTGATCAATTTGCTTCGGATTGATGTTAATACATTCATTGTATGGCCAATTTACAATTGTCACTCCACTCAGAGGAAGACAAGTCGCTGATTTTGTCGCATTAAATTTTGTGAAAGTTTTTGAAGAGGTATGCAAAAAAGAAATGATTGAGAATGATTGGAAAGAAGCAGATATTGAGAATTGCTTGATTCAAGCTTGTGAGAAAGTGGATCAAAATCTTTATCATCATTTGGAAATGTTGAAAAAGAGAAACTCTTGTCAGAAAAAGATTTTCAAAGTTGTGGAGCTGTTGGAATTATTGTGCTGATTGTGAATGAGAGAGTAATTTGTGCAAATGTGGGAGATTGTAGAGCATTGATGTTTGCGTTTTCTGAAGAATCGAATGACGATTGTGAAATGGTACAAATGTCAAGAGATTTTAAAGCTGGATATGAAAAGGAACGAATGCAACAGATAGGAGTTAAGGTGGTTCCTGGCCTTCCTTCTCGATCGGTAAGTAACCATAATGTTCTTCTTCGTTACTGACAATATTTCCCTAGTTTGGAGATTTCCAATACAAACAACCTCAAGTGAAAATTACGCTTAACAAACCTAGTTTGGAACACAACGTCATTATTGCAACTCCAGAAGTACAGTCATTCCATTTGAACAACTATTCGAAAAAGAAACTGCTTATCGTTATGGCATGTGACGGATTGTTCGACAAATTGTCCAATCAAGATGTCCAACAGTTTGTTTTGAATCACAAACGAGAGAGCGAGCAAAGGCTAGCTGAAAGCTTGTGCGCGCAAGCCATAGAAAAGAAAACCAAAGACAATGTCTCTGTTGTGGTTATTGGATTGTGAATTATTTAATTTAAGGTAGAGAGAGTAAGTCTTGAAGTATCATAATGTACATTAGTATAAAATAAGTTAGTAAGAATGTTGTTTTGGATAGAAGGGCTCAAAATTTGGCGTCACGTTTGGTTGAAAGTTTGGATTATAGGTAGGACTCTTCTTTCCAATGAGGCCAAGCTTCTTGATGGCATTATATTGTTGAGGAATTTCCATTAAGGCATGTAATGCAAATGTAGCATCGACTGATTTTCTCTTTTCGCGTGCCATCTTGGCAATCTCATCCCAATGCACAAATTGGAAGTTATCAAACTTTCTCTCAGGCAAATTATCATCATAATCATGCATGGTGTCAAATGGACCATCTCCAACACCAACCATGACAATAGACAATGGATAATCACTTGCTTTCACAATGGCATCTCGTGTCTCTTTTTCATTCACAACCAAACCATCTGCAATAATAATTAAAATGTGATATTGACCTCTTCCACTTTCCATCACAGTTTCAATAGCTTTTTCAATGAGAGGTGCAAAGTTCGTAGGTCCACTCAACCTCAAATGTGGAGTAATTCTTCTGTATTCTCGTAAAACTTCTTCAAATCCAAAACAAGGACGATGTTCATTATTTGGAGTGAAGGGAAATACGGCCACGTCCCTCGTACGATCATCTCCAAAACCATAGACAGGAATTAATTTATCATCATCAAACTTTTCCAATGTTCTTCCAATGATACTAATGACTTTTTCATATGGGTTGATGATATCTCCGACAGGATCAATGGAATGTAGATTCCGATTACCAAAACTGTATCTGCCTTGTTCTTCATTACTTTTGGTATAGTCAATTCCAATGATCATATTACATCCTTCTAATCCGGTTTTTCTCAAAGCGTCTTGTACTTCCTCAATTGAGGTATAATCATCTCCGAAAGAAAGGCTTGAAGGATCACTCGAATCAGAATTTGTTGTAGAAGATTGTTTTTGTTTCTTGAGCTTGCCAAGAATAACCACTATCACAATCAGCCAAAATAAGATGGTGATGAATTCCATGTATTAATAACAATAACGAGAGGATTGTGATTGGATCCAATAATAGGGTGGTTTGAGTTTTTTTTTGTTTTGTGAGTTTCTGGGAGAGAATGCGATCTGAGATTTGAAGGAACAAACACGTGTTTGAAATTTGGATCATGATGATCGGATGTTCATGCTTGTGGAAACACGTGTGTGGATGGAGAGAACAGAGGAGAGGTTGGATTGAACTTGTTTTTCCATAATGACGTTCAAGATCAATTCTATTTTGATTGGTGACAGATGAATCGTTAGTTGTTGCAAATAATCAAAGAAAAATGGACGACACATTCAAACTTGTGGTGTTGGGAGCCTCGAATATTGGAAGTGCAAAGGTAAGAGACGATGTGCTTCTAAATTTTGTCTTTAATTTATTGGATTATGTTCAAAGACAAGTATGTGGTCAAAATGTGGACATTCGGAAAATTCTAATTGTTGATGATGAAAATATAATAGATCCATATTTAAAAGTGAAATTGGGAGAATCTTTTTTCAAACAAACAAAACCAGTTCGGAGAACCTGTCATCCGAAATTTAATGAAATATTTGACATTCCTGTATGTTTATTAAATTTTAATATTTACAATATGATTTTTAACTTTTGCTAAAATGATGACCACTATAGTTTGATCGAAAAGAAACTCATTGTATTGTAGAAGTTTGGGACTATGACATGCTTGGACAAGATAAAGTAAGTGATTCATTGAGATTTGACACTTTAAAAACCAAACGTGTGAAATTTAATTCACAGATGTGTAAGTAGAGAATTTTGTCATTCATCATGAAAACAAACCCACACAATTTTTTTTAACATGGAATATAATCCACACAATTATATTCATACAGTGGCTCATGTGAAAATACCCATTCTTGATGAAGGAGATGGTGTGACAAGAAATGCTCAATTTGAAGAGTTAAAAGACAAGGAAATTATGTCATTCTTAACCTATAAATATTCAATTCATAGAAGTACAAAACCAGACGATTATGGTGCTGTGATGAGCACCTTCGATGATTATCCCTACTTTGGAACGTTTAGAATTTATGAAACATGGGAAATTTCTCTAAAGGATTCGTTCTCTACTTTTATTCACCTTCTCATCTCTACAATGAGAAATTAAATAGAGATTATTTTACTGTAGAATGTGTTCTTGGAATTGTGACCATTCAAGAATTTATTTTCAATTTGAAATTTCAGTCACAATTTGAAGATGCAAAACCAGGAACTTCTATCGATAAGAGAAAAAGAGAAACTTTTACACATTGTTAGATCCAGGATCTGACACTCCACATTTAATTAGAAAACATTTACCTGCATTGGATTTTGTGTGTTCCTATCTCGATGAGGCTTCTGGCATTATGATTACACAATATACCACTGTCATTGATATTGGATCAGTGGAGCCTTTGTTGTGAGCTATTACAGCAACTGTGTTTCACGAAATCGAGAAGTTTATGAAAAATTTATGGAACAGTCGAGTTTTGTCAAGACTGAGAATTTACCATGGACCGATATTGAGTTATTTGATGGTGTCGAATTGAAAATACCTTTTGGATTTAAAGTGGGTAGTGAAAGTGGAATTGTCTTCTTGTTTAGTCCCATTCAGCAATGTTATCAAGACGTTATTTGTGATAATTTTATGATTCAACTTTTAGTGACTGATTCGTCACTTGTTAAAGTTGCAACTTCGATTCAAAATCAATTTAGAGAAAAGAAACAATTAGAATTGGTCGAAGATTTAGAATTGATTGATTTGGAACTTGGTTCTACATTAATTTATGGCTATCGATTTGAAGTGAAATTTGTCGAAGAAATCAAAGGTTCAGTGAATACTAGGAATGTGTCACAACTGGTCGTCGTATTTAACGGAGTAGATGCTGGACAAAAATTTGTATTTACATATACAAGCACTACGGGACTACCTTGTCGATCTCTCTTTCTTCAAATGATTGAAACCTTCTCTAGTTAGATTAGTTAATTTTTTGTAAATGACACAATCTGTGAATATCTTGCTCAATTTCTTGAAGGATTGGCAAATATCTCAAATGATAATTTTGAATTCCATTCGACACTTGAGATTGACACTGCAATTTCAATGAATCAATGGTTGCATTCAATTGTTGCAATTTCCTTTCCATTTTCTCATAATTACTTTCATCACTATTCATCATTTCAATTTCTGCCATAATAATTCGAAGATTGTTCTTGAGTGAACTAATTTTCATGACCATTTCTTTTTGTTCATTACAAATTTTATCAATATTCTGAGACACTTCATCCTCTCTTTCATAGAGTGCTTTACGGAGGGAAACAAAGATGCGTTGAGATTCCAATTTCAATTCCAATCGATGTTTTTCAATATCTTCAAATTCATCCGAAAGATTACAAAATTTTCGAAAATGCACTTGTTCCCATCGTTTCAAATCATCTTTTAAATCCTCAAATTGTGATCGAATACGTTGTTGCTGCTGTTTATGAGAGAGGATTTGGAGATGAAGCATTGAATACTCTTCGTTGAATGCAAATTTCCTTAATAGGACATCCATAACAATGTTCAAAATAACCATCCTCACTACTACTCGAGTCCGAGGAATAACAATGACAATACCGTGAGGGTCGTTGCTCATCCTCACTACTCGAATCCGAATCCAAGGAGGATGAAGCTGTTTCTTCCATAGTACTACTTGTTGAATCACTCTTGTCATTATCTCTCTTCACCAACGTCAAGTAATGATATGGAAAATATTTCATATGATAATTCGAATGAACACTACAAAAACTCTTGTTGCAATGGTGACAGAGATGAGTAGAAGACACTTGTTGAGAGAAATCTCTCATGCATTTATCGCAACAATTTGAGTAGCCACCATCGAGGGGATTAAGGATGAGCATTTTTTTTTCAATTTTTATTTTTTTTTGTGAAAGTAAATTCAGTTTGGACTACAGTTGACAGCATGGACATCTCTCTCAAGGGAAATTCAAAAGTATCCCTCTGAATGACCATATTGTCATGAAATTTTGGAATAACCAATAGTTTTGAAAGCCGGAGCTTGTTCGTGCGGATATACTTATACAAAGACCGAACGTTTTGTGAAGACTCCTTCCAGTTGACAACTACCCTCGCTTGGTTTTGTTTACAATAAACTCAAATCATTATTGTGAACTCTTTGTTGCATCTGATGAGATATTTTGCGATAAAAAAAATGAAAGACCACAAGATTCAACATCCATGATGACATCTCATACCCTTGAAGGAAATCAGGAAAGGATGGGTCTATTGGCATCCATGCAAGATTCTTTGGATGATGAAGCTCGGATGGAATTTAGAAAGGAGGATGTATTGAGTGGAGTGAATCATAATTATGGATCGATTCAAGGTGATGATGAAACAATTCCAATGACAAATTCGGGAAAAACAATATACATTTCGTGTGATGAAGCAATTGAATATATGGGGTAAGAATTTATTGAAGAAAATGTCAATGTTCATGTTGCGTGACAAGAGTTGGAAAATTTCAAATTATTTTACTCTTTGTAAGTGTGTAAGATGATGATTGAAGAAGAAGATCAATGTTAAAATGGACAATGATTCACATGTTTATATTGGGTTGTTGTGAATGGACATAGATTTGTGGAATTGCATGGATGGCAGATGCGTCAGAAATTATGATTTTGAGTTTTATCATGCCAGCAGTTTCGAATGCTTGGAATCTTTCACCTGTAGAAGAAGCAACTATTGGTGGTGTTGTATTTGGAGGAATGTTAATTGGTGCTCTTTTTTGGGGATTTATTTGTGACAAGTTTGGACGAAAATTAGGAATTATTGCGATTTTTACATTTTGTTCAATTTTTGGAGTGTTGAGTTCATTTTGTCCTAATTTTTGGACACTAGTCGTAGCAAGATTACTTGTTGGCTTTGGAGTACGTCATATCATTTATAAGTCTTTTTGCTTATATTTTGTCATAATATTTTGTTATAATTATAATTTTTTAATAATATGAAATTTCACACAAACTTTTTTACAGGTAGGAGGAAGTCATGCACCATTTTCATTATTCACTGAATTTTTACCTGCCAAATCGAGAGGTTTCTTTTTACTAGTGATTGAAGTTTTTTGGACTGTAGGAACCATGGCCACTTCATTGTTAGCATTACGTATGTGAAATATTTGAATATTTTCCATTTTTAATCTTTATACTTCCATGTGGTGGTATATATAATAATGATAGTCTTTTTGGGATATCCTGAAATCTTTGGAGAATGGGGATGGCGATATCTTGTGGTACGTTTCAACCTGTTTTTCAACATTTTTAACACAACTTTGAATTTCCTCGTATTACTTGAATATCAATGAAAAATGTTGAAAAACCAAAATTTAGGGAGTCAGTAGTGTTCCCAATTTCATCATGCTTCTTGCAGTTCCATTCCTTCCAGAATCTCCTCGATTTTGTGTCATCAAAGGTAATATTGAAAAGGCAGAACGAATTTTCAAACGAGTGGCATGGTGGAATCGAAAGGCCATGTTCGCTGCATCTTTACAAAAACCATCAGATACTGAAAATGGAAAAAAGAAATCCACAGGTTCATTCTTGGATTTGTTTTCGAAAAAGATGTGGTTCAGTTCAGTGGTGTTATTTACCTTATGGTTCATTGGAGTAAGTAATTTTATTCATTGATTGGAATGGATTGGTGTTCATCATGATTGGAATTTTTCACACTTTACAAAAATGGTTAAAAAAGGCACTTGGTTATTATGGTGTTGTAGTAATTACTCCCATCTATTTTGGAGGAAATAGTAAGGACATTAAGAGTGGATACATTTCTACGATCATTGTCTCTGCTGCTGAATTACCAGGATTACTATTATCCTATTCGATTATTAACAGTTTTGGAAGAAAGAAAACAACAGCCATCATGTTTTTAGCGTGTGGTCTTTGTTTGGCATGTTTAATGATACCCATTCCAAAGGTGTATAATTGGCTTCCAACCATTTATGCAGTAGGTAAGTTATTTTAATGAATTTTGTGAACATTGTTAAGGATTGTGTAATCTTGAAATGGAAAACAATGAATCGACTTGGATGACATTCAAATCAGGTGCAAGAATGTCCATTATGGGAGCATCCTGTGTGTTGTGGGTTTATACACCAGAGGTAGGTTTCTCTTTTTGTGAGCCACACACATTCATCATCATGCGATGGACATTATATTGAACTCTTTGAAATCTCAACATCTTTCATAGGTTTTCACAACCAATATTCGATCATTGGGAACAGGTGTTGCCTCATCAAGTGCTCGTGTCGCTGCCATGATCACTCCATACATTGCCACTGTACTCATTCGTATCAATTCTGTCATTCCCATTGCCATTTACTCTGGATCATGTTTATTTGCATTTGTCATTACTCACTTGTTACCGTATGAAACAGCAGGAAAATCATTGGCAGATGGTGAGAATGAAATTGATGCTGTCTTGATCAAGACAACAAGGAATGAAAGTATTAATGGTCAAACCAAGAAGATATTGAATGATGATTGCAAGTCATGTTATGAATATTAACATCTTTTGTTACTAGAATATTAAAAAAAGAATTTCTCAATAATTAATTTGAAATATTGTGAATATTCATTTAATTGCCTTAATATATATTCATCTACTGGAATGTGACATTAACAATGTTAACGACGCATCTTTTTAACCTTTCTACGGAAAATTTTCACAACATATTTCACAAATTCATAACCCAAAATAGCCACCATGACAACAGCATACAAAATAGCCACCCATTCTCCAGGTTCCAAATATCCTCCCTTAAAATTCGTATAATAAGGTCGAACTGTAATTGAGTTATTAGTGACATACATGAAAAACACAAAAGTCAACCAAGCCACTACATAAATAATAAATGAACACATGGAACAAGCAGTCACATTCATCGATCCCCAAAAGTATTCTCGATCATTTTGTGATCTGAAATAAAAGAATCCAATCAACCACAATGGAGGAAAGATGAAACCTCCATAAAAGAAGATACAAGAAACAATGGCTGCTGGAGTCCATTCATTGTTTTCTTGAGCTCTATATTTGAAAATGTTATTCGTTCCGGGTGTGGAATCCATGTTCATGGAAGTATTGGAAGCAGCGACTGTGATGGAAATTTGATTGGGATCCGATGATGACATTTTTCATGAATGATAGAAATGAATGATAGAAATGAATGATAGAATTGATGATGATATAATGAAAAATAATGATGATGAGGAGGATAATAATGATGGGTGAGGAGGATTCGGCAACGATGAAAGTGTTTTCAATGGTGTGAATCAAGTTTTTGTTATTACAACAATAACAATGAATGAATGGATTTGGTGTTGGTTGGATCAACAACGTTTGAACAAGCGAGGTAAATGGCCTGACCTATGAGCGAGAAGATGTTGTTATTTTTTTTATGATATTGTTGACGAGTGACACTTGGATGCACAAATCGGGATAAATTCAAGAACTCACTATCGAGTCAATTATCCAAAGCGGTGGCATGTACCATTCAACCAATCAATACTTTCTCATTTCTAACACTATTTTTTATTGTCAACAACGTTATCAACAAAATTTCATACAAAAAAATGTCCCAAACCGAGAATGGAGAGCCTGTAACATCATCATCCTCACAACCAGAGGTTACGGAACAAGAAATGTTGGAATTGGGTGATGTTCCAGTTCTTGCAACATCATCAAGAGATTTAGAGAATGCTCGACATTTGGCATCATCGGAACAAGGTGATGGATTGTTTGATTCGGAATCGGAAGATGAATTAGATTTACTCTCTCGTCATCAACGTTTATCAAATTTTGATTCAAAAAATTCACTTTTAGGAATTGAAAATAGAAAGTTACATAATGGAATTATTATTTTAGGAATTATATTTGCATTTGGATTTATATTATTACTTGCATATCGGTTGATTGAAAAGCCAATTGAAAGACAATCTCCAAAATTCATGTCTTTATCATTGTTGTGGACACCTGTTGTTTGTAACAAAGCTGATGGAAAGAATGATCACGTGAAAAGTGTTTGTAATGGACTTGCTAAACGAGAGGATTCATTAGTGAAGAATAATTATTTTGTGCTGACAGCATTTAAAGCAATTTTAAAGGATACAAGCGATGCAAGTTGTGACTCGCCGAATCAAGCCGCATATTTGGGAAGTGATTTTCCTTTGACGAACTCGGAAGACTTTCAACAGTTAGTGAAGAGATTTGCCATGTTTTGGCCAACAACAATTTGGAAACCAACCAAGAAGATTGGGCTCTCAATTATAACACGTATGGCAAGTGTTTGTTTGCTAATAACACAGCTGTTACCAATCCAACGGAATTTCTCGCCATGTCTGTTGCATTATTTAAACAATGGTCGAATGAGTTTACCATTGGTACAGTTGGAAGCAATGTCTTTAATGAAACGCTTGCGGTGAGCATGACCTCTGTGAGCAATGCATTCACAGTTCCAAAATGTAGCACGTACGAGAATCAGCAAGTTCTTTCAGGTTTAGACATTTGCTTGCTTGGCAAAACTCTTTCTCCTGCTACCGATACTTCACTTTGTGATTTTAAAAACACATGTGATTCGTCCAAGCAAATTACCTTAATTCCCTTGAAGGAAGAAACCAATCTACCTTGATATTATTCCTAAAATCCAAATTTATTAAATCCCTTAGTTATTTTTGTACTCTTCAATTGGCAAACAAGTACAAACTTGCTTATCACCATATGCTTCATTGAGACGACTGACAGTTGGGAAGTATTTTCTATCTCTAGTAGAAGCAGTTGGGAATGCAGCTTGCTCTCTTGGGTATGGACGATTCCAATCATTGGAAATAACAACCTCAGCAGTGTGAGGAGCATTCTTGAGGACATTGTTAACCTTATCAGCCTTTCCATCTTCAATATCTTGAATTTCACGTCTAATTGAAATCATGGCCTCAATAAATCTGTCCAATTCAACCTTGTCTTCACTCTCAGTTGGTTCAACCATCAATGTGTTACCAATTGGGAAGGACATGGTTGGAGCATGGAAACCATAATCCATCAATCTCTTAGCAATATCAATTGCTTCAACTCCAGTGGTCTTCTTGAATTGGTTACAATCAAGAATAAATTCGTGAGCTACTAAACCATTTGTACCTGTATAATAGATTCTATAGTATGGAGCTAACTTCTTAGCCAAGTAGTTGGCATTCAACATGGCTACTCTTGTGGCTGTTCTCAAACCTTCAGAACCCATCATTCTAATGTACATCCAGACAATTGGCAAAACGCTGCTACTACCAAATGGAGAAGCAGATACAGCACCAACGGATTGTGAAGAGTCATAGGATGTTCCCTTAAGAGATGGATGTGATGGAAGGAATGGAGCCAAGTGTTTACGAACACAAATTGGACCAACACCTGGACCGCCACCACCGTGTGGAATAGCAAATGTCTTGTGAAGATTAAGGTGACAAACGTCAGCACCAATCTTTCCAGGTGATGTGAGAGCAACTTGAGCATTCATGTTGGCTCCGTCCAAATAAACTTGAGCGCCTGCCTCATGAACCAAGTGGCAAATTTCTTGAATACTCTCTTCGTAGACTCCGTGTGTCGATGGGTAAGTAATCATGAGAGCAGCAACGTTATCCTTGTGTTCAGCAAGCTTCAACTTCAAGTCATTGACGTCAACGTTTCCGTGCTTGTCACATTCAACAACCACAACTTTCATACCGCACATGACAGCAGAAGCTGGATTTGTACCGTGAGCTGAGGATGGGATCAAGCATACATGTCTGTGAGATTGGCCAATGCTTTCCAAGTATTTCATAATGACTAACAAGCCAGCATATTCACCTTGTGAACCAGCATTAGGTTGCAATGAGCAGTCATCAAAACCAGTAAGTTGGCTCAACCATACTCTCAAGTCATTGATCATTTTGAGATAACCCTTAGCTTGATCAAGAGGAACAAGTGGGTGAATTGAGGAGAATTCTGGCCATGTGACTGGAATCATTACGCTTGCGGCATTCAATTTCATGGTACAAGAACCCAATGGAATCATACCATGGCAGAGAGAATAATCCTTAGTTTCGAGTTTCTTGATATATCTCATCATGGCATGTTCAGTGTGATACTTGTTAAATGTTGAATGGGTCAAATATGGAGTAGTACGAGCAAATTCAGAGTGTGTAATAATATTTCTATCAGAAGAAGATTCCTTTGAAATGATTTCTTGCACAGTAACAACCTTTGAGTTGTTATATTGACCAAAGATGGCCAATACGTCGTTCAAGTGATTCACTGTAATGGTTTCATCAATAGAGAGAGAAATTGTTTGGTTGTCAATCTTTCTAAAGTTATATCCCTTATCAGCTGCAAATTGCAAGAATTTGTCAGAGTTGTTAACAGTGATAGTGAAAGTATCAAAGAACAATCCAGAGCTAACAGTATATCCCATACTCTTAATGCCCTTATTCAAAATTACTGTCATTTCATGAACTCTATTGGCAATCTTCTTCAATCCATCTGGACCGTGATAGACAGCATACATAGCAGCCATGTTTGCCAAAAGAGCTTGAGCAGTACAAATGTTACTTGTAGCCTTGTCACGTCTAATGTGTTGTTCTCTTGTTTGAAGAGCCATACGAAGAGCAGTTTTTCCTTGAGCATCCTTACTGACACCAATGATTCTTCCAGGAATAATTCTCTTGAATTCATCCTTCACACTCAAAAATCCAGCAGATGGACCTCCAAATCCAAGTGGAACACCAAATCTTTGTGAGCTACCAATACACAAATCAGCTCCGAATTCTCCAGGTGATTTCAAAACAGTCAATGCTAATAAATCAGAGGCGAACACAACCAATGCACCAGTATCATGAACTGCCTTTACACACTTTTCAAAATTATTAATTGTACCCATAGTATTTGGATATTGAATGAGAGCACCGCAAACACGATTTGCATTAAAATCAAAAGTCATTGGGTCGCCCACCAAAATTTGAATATTCAAAGGAGCAGCACGAGCACGAACTACAGCAAGAGTTTGAGGATGAACATCCGATCCAACAAAGAATGCAGCAATTTCCTTCTTGTGAGCATTATAACAAACAGCCATAGCTTCTGCGGCAGCTGTACCTTCATCTAACAAGGAAGCATTTGCAATTGGAAGTCCAGTCAAATCGGAAATCACTGTTTGATAGTTGAGCAAGGATTCGAGTCTTCCTTGAGAAATCTCAGCTTGATATGGAGTATATGGAGTGTACCATCCTGGATTTTGGAATACATTTCTCAAAATAACGTTTGGAATTTTGTTATCGTAATAGCCTTGACCAATCAAACTCTTCTTCATGACATTTTGTTTAGCATAGCTGAATAATTCAGAGAGAACATCGGACTCACCATTGAGAATGGTCTTATTTTGCTCTGTATCGAATGGTAATACCACCTTCTCTTGATATCTAATACTCTTTGGAATGATGGCTTCAACCATTTCATCCAATGATGAAAAGCCAATCTCCTTCAACATGGATTGGATATGTTGGTTATGTTCTTGTTCATTATGTCTGTTTGAATAGGTATCCAACGATGCAAGAGATTGTGGTTGCTGAGATGATGCAAGTGAGCTCGAAAAGGCTTTCTTATTGGACAGAGATGATGAAGCCACACTCAATACGGAGCTGTTGTTAGTACCAATTTTCTTGTTGCAGGCAGAAGTGGATGCAAAAACAGCCTTTTGAGTACACTTGTTGTTGCTAACGGATTTTGTTAACAATTTATTACTGGTTCTTCGAATCATGATGATTTTGAAATATATTATGGAATAGAAAGAAATAGCGATGATGGAGTGTGATGACCAGAAGAAAAATCTCTTTGCGTTTAAAATTGAAATTTTTTTTCACACAGTGAATTCAACGATCAACGGCTGAAGTTTCACTATTTTGGGCTCGAGTCCTTATGCCAACTTTTGTAAACTCAAAGTCCACTCATTCTTCCGATGAGATGACCAAGCTCTGCCTGCCCTTGGAAAGCTAGTTGAATAATAATTTATAAGACCCAAGAATATCATTCTAAAACGAAAACTTATTGAGTGTTACCACAACAAATGAAACAAAACATCTGTTTTTAAACTCTTGAACTTGATCTTCAATTTCCACAATGCTCCTTTTCAGAAACTATTTAACAAGGTCTATTTTTATTTGTGTGAAAATACACCATTGAAACAAAACAATTCAACAAGAAATACATGGTTCAACGAAAAGGAGGCCGATTTGGTATTGAAACCAACCAAACACTCAAATACAATTCAACAATTCAAAGACTCACACACGGAGGCGGTGAAGTGTATGAATGGAGAGAAAGTTATTTTAGTGCTGACGCGATTGGAATTAGCGTTCCATACTCATTGGATCGACATAAGTGTTGGGAGTTGTTGGCATCGTCCTCTCAAATTCAACAAACTCCAAGCTTCTCTTCCAAATCGATTGCTCAGAAAGCGAGATTGGAATCGAAAAGACAAGAAAAAATTGAACAATTTGAAACCAAGTGTCAAAACAAGCATAAACACATTCGAAGACAATATGAAAAGGAGCAACGAAAATTAAAAATCGAGCAAGAACAGACTGAAGATAGGAAAAGGCAGAAGCCAAATCCAACAATTCTTTATTTGAAGGAAGCCTTCATCTAAAGAAAAACAAGAGAAAGAACCAAGAAGATATTTCTGATCGTCAGGAAGAAGAGGCACCAATTGTTGTTTTGCACGAGAATTATTCACAGGTTCCACTTTATAATCGTATCAACAAGAAGCGAGAATTGGGTACCTTAGAAGTCTATGCCCCCAACAGGGAAAAAATTTGGAAAACCAATCAGTTCAGACAAGGAGATCATTACTTTACAAAAGGAAATCCGCTGCCAAGAAATCAAAAGAAGAAGGAATTCAGAGATAGTGTCTTTTTGTAATTTAGTCCATTAAATTAGTTGATTATTTCCAAGGGAGAAGCTTAATAGTAGACATAGGTGAGGTCCAAATGCCATTCAGTCACACATTCAGGTTATGCAAAAAATTGAATAGGATGATCTACATGTCACCACAGTTATTGCCAAGTTTTGATGTAATGACTTGACGAAGTTCTTTTCGCTTTTCAGTAACGTAAGTACTTTTGAAAATGCCTCTTCTCTTGCATAGTAAGAAGGTAATGACAAAAAGACTAATGGTTGCAAGAGCGACCATTCCTGAAGTATAATAAAATGCAAAAGGATGATCTTCCAAATGGGACATTAAGTTCATACCAAATGCTCCAACTAATAACGTTCCAAAGGTAAGAGCAAAGGCACCAATCGCTAATTTCAATTCCATTTCCATCATTCTGTTACGGATGCTGTCCAAACATACTTCAAGAAATTCCTGAGTGTCATCAAGATCTTCTCTCATGTCGTCAATAGAATTGATCACATTTTCCACTCTGTTTTGATATGTTTCCAACAACATTTCAATTTCCTCATGTTGAGCAACTTCTCTTGGCTTTTGAAACACAATTTTTTCTGTGAGGTACATCCTTGCCATATCGTCATCAGCATCTAGAATATTTTCAATAGTTTCATGTAATTCTGTGACAAATGTTTTGAATCGTGTTAATTTTTGCTTGCATTGCAAAATTTGATAGAGAACTTCCTCACTTGTGTAGTCGGGAGCTGCTAAAATTTGGCTTACTCGTTCTTGCACGTCGTTTCTATCTTTTTCAATTGTGGCACATACTTTGTGCAAAATACATTCCAAAACTCGAAATTCAAATGGTAGCGCATAAGACTGTTCGAAAAATCCATAGGGCGTCTCATCAAAGCTGTACTTGTTCACTTCCTTAGATTTGGCGTAATAAATTAAAAATTGTTGAACAAATCTGATGAAAGTAGGATCTAAATTATTCGAATAGTCGCTCTTTAGTAGATAAAGTCGTTCATGGGTGATTATTGCACTTATATTGCTAATAGAAACTATTATACAATTGGCACGAGCAAGTATGGTAGGAAAGTTCATGTTGCTCACTAAAAAAATATTAACAAAAATATGAAAGGTTATTAATCTTACCTAATGTTCTTATATCTCTTCCTTGTAAACCATATTTCGTGTAGAGTTCACTTCGTTTAATTTGTGACATTCTTACATTTCCTTGATCGTCAAATTCAACGACGTTCCATTTATGTGAAATACTTGTTGAATTCAAAGAAACGGGAGCAAAACTGGGTGCATTTTCTTTTGCCACTGTCTTAATTCCAGGATCAATTGTGTCCATCGTGCTATCCCATCTTCCTTTTGATTTGTCTTCTGTTTTATTACCGAAGGCAGTATGTCGTCGGAAATTTCGTTTTATAGACTCATGTTGAGTGTTCTCAAGAAAAATTAGGTTTTGATTGCTGTTTTTACACAAGTTTTCAGTTCGGGTTGAAGGCAGTGTCGTATTGCAAACCGTTGATGAAGAAAATATATTCTCACGACTGTATCCATATCGGGCAGAACACATTCTTTTAGATTCCGAAAAAGCCATGACGCTCGTATGACTTGATTTCAAGAAAATAGAGGCCGTTGAAGTTTTAGAAGTCATTCCGAGCGTCCTGAGTGCCAAAGTTACTGTTGTAGGCAATGTTGTTGCCTGCCCAACCGAACCTGAAGTCTTCGGGAGGTTGAGATAAGAAAGTCGATGAGAAGATGTCTTCATATTTTTTTTGAATTGCCAAAAAGCATAAATTTCCGCAATTGGTTGTTTTGGAGTTTTTTAGAGACAGGAACGTCCAATCAAAATTGTGTTTCAGCAACTGGCAGGTGTTTAAGATACCTTGATTACATATTGATATGGAGTGATATTGTTCTTTGATAACATTTGTTGATATCGTTTCACTGAAACTGAGCTGCACAACCTAGACCACGAATATTTGATCCAATTTGCAGTTTAATGACAATTAAAACAAATTTGAATGCTAATCGCAAGTTAATGATGGCTCTTAACCTTACCACCCATGACCTTCTCAACTTCTGTGACAATCTTGTCGTAGATAGTGAGATGGAATGCAGACATTAAAAGTGTTTGAACAAGCTTATTTCCCACACCTCTATACCATCCATAAATTCCTTCTTCTTGGAACATTTTGATCAGACAGTCCAATGTATTTTCATACTTTTTAATACCTGTTTTCTTTGTTTCTTCTTCAGTCATGGTCTTCTTAGAAGTTCTCAATTTGGTTTGAGCTACTTGAAGAGGATAAGTTAAAATAGTGGCAACAAATTTGGCAAGCAATCCAAGTAAGAAGGATTGAGTTGGTGTCAAATTCTTTTGTTTCATCCATCTGAGGAAATACTTTTTGGTTTGATCACTGCAATGAGGTTGATTCCGTATCATTTGAGAGAAAGGAATCATTTTAGATATTATTGAAATGGAATGTTTGAACAGGATCATTAAATTTTCAATCACTTACAAAACAGTATAATTGATCATTGGATTGGTCACAAGAATAATACTTGCAAGAGTACCATTCCACAAAGCAGAAATGCCTTCCTCATTGGCAATCTTAATCATACCTCGGAGCATTCCTTCGATTCAGTGGAATTGTTCTTTCTTTGAGCCTTATATCTTGTTGTAAGAACCCACAATGGACAAGTTGTCACAACTGTATTTGACAATCAAGAATTCATTTTCCATAAATTTTGTATTATTGAATTTCATCATCCAAATGAAATAATGTGAAAATGTAGACATTGATAAACATCCTAAAATCCTATAGTATACTTACCGTTCACAACACCAGCAGCAAATGCAATCAATAAATTTGGCAATACTCCAATGCCTTTGAGAATATATAACAATGAGAGTGCATTCCATTTGTGATGATTCAAATTTCAAATAATAACAATTTTTCTCTCCACTTACCCTTTCCTGTTCGCTTCTTGTAAATGACTTTAAACATGTTGTTTGTGTAAAAGTAAATAAAGTTACTAGCCAATAAACTGATGAGCACAGGACGAATTCCCTTGTACAAACTTCCAACTCCATCTTCTTCAACAAGAATTTTCACAACTTCAAGAGTTGTCTTTGATTTGAGATGCTCGTTGGCTTGGATTTGAGTTCTGATCGTTTCTGTGGTTGGTTTTGTTGTGTGTGGACATCATTAATTCCGAAAGAAGGTATGATAACGATTGGCATCATGAGGATATGATCATTCGAAATTCGTCGGAGAGGGTTGAATTGATCCAATATAACAACACTAGGATTCAAAATTCACGTTCTCCATGATAATAACGTACCGAAAGGATAGAAGGCAGACATGGCAGCTACATTGTTGTGAGAGGATGATATAATGATGAAAAACAAGATTATTTAAAAAAGACAACCATGATGCAAGAGCATACAAACCTTGTCCACCAATACTACCTGCTGTAGCATGAACAAATGATTCATAGGTGAATACTTGATCCATCTTGTGATGATATTGAAAAAGACTCAAAATTGGAGTAAAAAGAAGGAAAATTTAAACGTTTTTTTGTGATGAAAATTATCTTCTGCAAGATTCAACTTTTGTTTCGTCATACACGACAACAGTTGCTGACAACAAATGGATAAGATGAGCTCAGTGATGTGACACAAAAAGAACAAGAATCAAATCTCTGCAATTCTACTTTGTTGCTTGACGGGTTTCAGATTTGAAATCTTTCTGGCAAAGGATGAATTATTACATAAACAGCCTTGTAGTTCGAGTGATTCAAACGTTGAGAGGGACTATTGACATTGCATTCCTTGTCGCATTGTGGAGGTATTTAGAATAAATTGATGTGATATGAACACCGACTTAATGAATGACACCACCCATAGCGCTTGTATGTTTAACGTTAGTGGTGATGCAGTTCTTGAGAGCAACTCCCTTAATACTCGCTCCACTTAAATCTGCATTCTTGAGGTTTGAATTGGAGAGATCTGCCAATTCTAAATCTGCTGATTTAAAGTTTGCTCCATACAAGTCACAGAAAGTGATTGCAGCTCCTCGAAGGGAAGCTCCAGAAAAGTTGACATCTTTACAATTAGCGTTTTTGATCACTACCTTGAACATTCTTGCGTTAGAAAAGTCGCAATTTTCTAAAACCGTTTCTCTCATTTCTGCAAAATCAAGTGTACAATTGAGAGATTGGCATTCCTCAGAATGGTTCGTGAAAAATTAATTCCACTCAAATCCAATCCATTCAGGTCAATTCCAGTCAAGTTCAACCCTTGGAATCTTAACAATCCTCCTTTACCTGAAGGGCAGGTCAGTAAGGCTTTCACAATTTCGGATCGAGTCAATTCACAACCAGAATCATCTCTTCGTTTTATCTTTTCCTGTTCCGCTTGTATTTGTTCAATCATTCTTTCTAATTCTTCTGCAAGTTTACCTAATCCCCAATATTTAGCCTCAAGTAACACTCCACAAATATTTACATTAGGATTTATCAAAATCTCGCCATCGCTTCTTAAATAGTTCAAAATTGGTTCAAAGTATTGAGGATTTCGATCAATGAAAACCACATAAGGTCGCATAGGATGATTCAAATCTCTGTTGAACTTTTGAAATGGTGAGTTCTTTTGAAACATGATACTGAACATGGAATCTTTCTCAGCTAACAGTGTAGCTCTCGTTGTCGTAAATGTTTTGCCATCGCAACAAATTTGAAACCAATCATCATCATGCTCTTCTATCAATTCTTGGTTGGACTGCTCGATTTGATCAGAGTGGTTATTATTTGAAAATTCGTTATTTTCTTGGGAGTCTTTTGTAAATTTAATCAATGATGGTTGTAGGTTACTGTTGCTGCTCGCTCCGAGAGGAGGCTCAGCAGCTCGTTGTTGATGCTGTGGTTTATTCAACAACAATAACGAGGGAGATTTATGTAAGAGAAGGAAGTGATCCATTGATGTGGATTTGGAAAGGGTGAGGTGCGTGTTGTTGTCGGTTCGGTTCATGGTGTTGTATATAAGAAGATGAAGAGAATGGTAGAAATGAAAGGAGTAATTATTTCATTTGTTTGATGAAGGAAAATTGAAAATGCAGTTGACGTTGATCCAACACCATCACGAAAACTCGAGTCATGACCCAAAGACCAAGCTCACCCCAATCACAGCGTGGCGTAGACGTGGTGATGACACAACACGATTTTTGTAAACTCGTCTGGTCCACAGCTCATGTACTTTGGAACATCCAACATTTGGAAACAAATTAATGAAACTCTCGTTCGACACTTGTTCTAGTCTTGAATGGAAGAAATGATCTCATGTTCGTCATGATTCCATCTCGCTCATGACTAAAAACTCTTGGTTATTATTATCATCATTCACACAAAAAATCAAAAACGCACTAGGCTCCACTTTTTTGCAAAAAACAATGTCCGCTTCATCATCTGCTTCTCTCAATGCCAATGAACGAATCATTGAAGAGATCTCACTGCCTGCAACCGGTCAAACCATTCAGCTCATTGATGGCTATCTTCTCCATGCCGTAGACACAGACGCCATTGTGTATGCTGAGGTATCGGGTCAATTAGAATTATCTGGTACAGATATTCTTGCTGAGGCAGGTAGTTCCGTACAAGAACAGGCTAAGAATTTCGTGATGCAGAATGGACCTCTAGATTCGAGTGATAAAGTAGCATTTGTGAGCGGAGGAAATTTGAAGGCAAGATATATTATATTTGCTGGTATGTAGGAATTACAGGAACATCATCAATACATCAATAGAATTATTATGAAATGATTTTTAATAATTATCATAATTTATTTTACGTGATCATGACTGGATGATGGCTCTTGTGAAATCCCAAAACTAAAAACCATTTTTGGAATTTGTATTGCTGGTCCTTTCGAAAATTTATTCATGATGATTTTTCAATACAGCCGGACCAATGTGGAAAGGAGGAAAAAAGAATGAACGTTCAAGCATGGAAGAAATTGTACAAACTTGTCTTGAAGAGTCAAACAAAAAACAGCTTTCAAGTATTGGGTTTGATGCAATGTGTACTGATCTTTTTGGATTTCCCATAGAGAGAAGTGCAGAGGCACTCATTAATGCAATAGGATCATATTGTCACTTCAAACCTTTTCCATATTTGAATTTAATCAAGATTTACGTAAAAGAAGAGGAAAAATTGAGAATTTTCAAATTAGCATTGAACGAAGCATTTAGAACCTATTTGAATTCACAAAATCAAGATGAATCCAAGAAGAGAAAGAATGAAACAGAGGAATCAACCCATACTGAAATTATTCATGAACAACCATCAAACCAACAAGAAGATGTAGCATCCAGTGACGATGACGAAGCATCTACTCATGACTCAAAGAGAGTTAAAGGCTTGAAAAAAGCAAATAATTTTAGAAATCCTTCATGGAAACGAAATCGTCATGAGAATTCATTACTAGCAAAATCCAAGAAAACCAATATTCATGACAAGACAACAAACATGTCACTAGTTGGAGACACCATGTCCATTTCAACAAGCATTGCTATGGAAGACTTTTCAGGAATGAACGATGAAGATCAAAATAATGCAGAGGATGCAGCTTTTGACATGACATTCCTTTAAGCCATTGATCACGTTGTACATAATGTAGTTTTATCACGAATGTAAAAATACACATTTTCGGATTTATGAAACATCAAAGCTTCCTAAAAAAATGTTCTTGAGACATCTTTTAAGCGGAATTGTTTGTCGTATTCATCCGTACGAAAGAGCGAAATATTATCGGATTTACACCATCATATTAAATCCAATATTAACATCTCTGTGTATATTATTGATTAAATTATTTATCTATGATCCGATACTATCAAAATTACAAATCCAGCAACAACAAATTTCTAACCGAGAATCGTACATTGATTTGCAGAAATTGCTGTTCTACCAACTATTCGGACGTTTGGCCTTGTACTTTAACTCTTACCTTTCATTATTTGAAATGATTGTTTTGACTTTATTAGTTCCGAACAGCTGGACTTTGATGTACGTCATTCATAGGAATGGAATATCATTTACGGGATCAGCTGGATACTCTATGCCTTTTATAATGTAGCAAGCGCGCATAATTTGATTACTTATTTCAAAGAGTTATTTTTCAGTTTGGATGAATTTAACGCAGCGATGGATGAAGCACGCCGTGTTAATTATCCACCATCATCTTCGTCATCCTCAACCAATTCCCTAAATTCCACTATTATTTCTCCAATGTTGAAAGGTCCTTTAAGCTCAATGAATTTGCAACAATTATTACTCTTCCAAAAAGATTTAAACTCAGAAATTGAAAAACGAAGAGAGACACAGGTAAGATTGAATTTTGTCACTTTACAAATAATTTTTCACTTTTGAGTAGAGTCATGAAGCAACACAAATTGATGAGCTAGATTTAATTTCAAAAATTTGTGTTGTTTGTCGATCCAAACCACCATGCTACAGGTTCAAGCCATGTTATCATACATGTGTTTGCGAGGATTGTGTGTTGAGTTATTGTGAAATTCAACACGACGATAATGACTATACAGAGGAAGAAGGGGATGAAGATGGATCTTTCTTCCAAAATTTGGTGTTTAAAGCCAAATCTTTTGCTACCGATATGTGTCCAATTTGTAGAATGCCAATAACGGGTGTGGAATATTACAAACATTTTATACCTCATCAAAAAATTTCATCAGAAGAGTTTCATATGAATGGCCGTATGCGAGGCTACAACGAAACTCTGAAATTGATTCAACATATTCGAGAAAATCCAACGCTAAAAGATCGACTGATACACTGCACACAATATTTTAAACTTTTTGAATGATGTGACAATGTAATATAAACCATGGCTATTTCACTTTAATTTTACTCTCCTTTTAATGACAAGAAGGCCTAGGCAAAGCTCTTTTCAGTTGGCATGATCGTAGTAGTTCTTATTCATTCATAATAATTGGATATTTCCATGACGATATCCCAACAATCCTTACAACATTAATCAACTACAGCTCTTTATCAATTTGCTTGTTTTGTTAGTCAGTGAATTTTAGCATGACAACTGACGCACCAATTTTTAGGCAAACAAAAAAATGACAAACGGCATAGGAACAGGCGATTACGAGTACATTGTGATGGAGCTCGTGTATCTCGTTCTAGGCTTGATCACTCTCGGTACTCTCATCAAAAAGATCTCGGACGAAAAGAGAATCACTTGTTCCCTTTTTGAATTTTCAATTTTTACAATTTTCTTTTTTATTTTGTGTAAGTTTGATGATGAAATCGAGTTTCGAAAAATTAATGATTTGGATCCAAATCGAATGATTGGTCACATTGAATCGTAATGATGTATTATTTTTAAACTTTGTTTGACCATTGACAATCATCTTCCGGATCGGACACTCTTGATATCTCTCTTGAATCTCATCATGACCCACATGATTGTTATAATGATGACTATTATTTTGATGGATCATGAAATTTACAACAATTTTCATTGTGACAATACAATTACAAATCCAAACAATCGGCCACCACCAACAACTCACACAAACTTGACAACAGTAAGAGTTGGAGTCATTGCATTTCTCTTATATTTGAGATTAGGTTTCTTACCAGAACTCATCAAATCCAGATCCAATAATAATTTATCAAATCATAATCTCGAAAGACAAGCAGAGGTATATCTTGTCACGTGGGAATTACTCTCTTTTTTAGGAACATGTGCCTTGTATGCCAGTATTTCGACATTGGTCTATAAATGGAGATCTCTCTTGAATGGTGACACAAAGAGTAATTTGGCACTCGTGTTGGGAATGAATTCAATTTTATTCTTTATTGGAATTTTCTGTGTCATTATGCAATACTTTTTTGAATTCAAGAATTACACATGGGTTCACGTCGTTTACTATTTTTGTGCCATTAACATTTTCATTATGGGTGCTGTATTGATTTATCATGCCGATAAGATGCAAACCAAAGTGAAACCAAATAATGAATTGTCATTCCAACTTTTTAGACATGCCACTTATAACAAGTATTCTGCAGTGATTTTGGGAGTTGCTTTTATTACACGTGGAGTAGTGATGGCATTGGACAATGTGGGTTACAAGTTTTTGAGAGATGGATCTCCAGCTCAAGTCGTGTGGAATATTTTCTTCAAGTATATTTGTTGGGTCATTCCAGAATTGATCATTGTCATGTGTTTATTGATTTGTTTACTTGAGACGGAATATTTTCATAATATTTAGCAGTCATGTATGGAAGAGTGCATGGAAATACGAATTATGCAGAGGTACCACCTGTGGAAATTGCTGACTTGGAAGATGTGGTCAAGAATGGAAATGTCGATATTTCTGAATCAGAGCTGCAAGAAATGAGAGCCAAGACTTTTGTGGGACAAGCTGGTAGTTTTGAAAAAGAACAAGGAGATGGTTACTCTAAATTTGAAGATGAATAATTATGGTGGTGGAAGAGTTCTCGTCGATATCTTCTAAACTCTCCTCATGATGGTTCTTGTACAATAAACTCTCTCAATTTCATCAAGCTTTTAGCAATTTCGGTTGTGATTGTTCAACAAACTCAGAAATAGAAAATGTATGAAAAAAGGGTGATAAATACTTGATTCAATGTTTACAAAAACTGAGGTTTTCCTTTCATGGAGCTTTTAGTACAAAAAATTAACATCATGAGTAAAACACCTTCTCACTTTACTAAAATCACTGATTATGATGAATGCACTATTAGAAAGCTCCTTGTCAAGGCAACTAGAATCAAATCAAATCCGGGTGTGTATGCCCATCGCATGAAAGACAAGGTGAGTCTTTGTAATAAATATTCACAACAAAACGTTCGAAATTTTCTTCAGAATCTTTTAATGCTTTTTGAAAAACCTTCTCTCCGTACAAGAATTTCTTTCGAAACAGCAATGTCTCGATTTGGTGGCAATGCCATCTATTACACCAGTGAAGAAAGTCCATTCGGAAAAAAAGAGAATGTCAAGGACACTGCCATGTGTGCCTCTCAATATGTGGACGTTTTTGTGTTGCGATTAATGTCAAGAGAAAGTTTGTTAGAATTTGTCAAGTATTCGCAAGTTCCAGTAATTAATGCCTTAGATAATTGGGCTCATCCATGTCAAATTCTTGCAGATTTACTCACAATAGCCGAGTTGAAATTAACACCAAAACCAGTGCATGAAGATCATTTAAAATTCAACAAAATTCGAATGGCCTATTATGGAGATTGCAGAAACAATGTCACATATGACCTGATGAGAGCAGCAGCTTTGCTTAATTTCAAACTAGTGTTATGTGGTCCGGAAGATTCTCGTTTCAAACCAGAGCAAGAAGTTTGGGATGAAGTGAACCGTATCAATGACAAGGCAGTAGAATGGCTTTCTGATCCAAGTGAAGGTTCTAAAAATTGTGACGTTGTCTACACGGATTCATGGATGTCTTATCACATCCCAGCCAGTGAAGAAGAAGAGCGTGTGAAAGTACTTCAACGTTATCAAGTCGATATGGAAGTTCTAAAACATGCCAAAAAGGATGTGGTTTTCATGCATTGCTTACCAGCTAAGAGAGGTCAAGAAGTGACCGACGAAGTATGGACTCTGCTCATAGTTATGTCTATCATCAAGCTTGGAATCGTCAGTATGCCCAACAAGCTCTCTTATTGTACATTGTGTTTGGTTCGAAGGTATTTTGTGAGAATGAAAAAGAAGCCGAGTTGCTGAGTGAGGAGAAGTATTTTCAAATGGCACCTCGCCACTTGAATATGATGCATCGAAAATTTAAAGAAAAGACATCACCTGCTATTAGACATGTGACAGACGCTAAAGGATTACCGTTCAACAGAGTTGTCATTAGTTTGGGTGGTCATGCTCTTCAAACCAACACCTCTCAAGATTTTTCCTATCAAGATTTGAAGGATAACATTGACAGGACATGCATGGAACTTGCCAAATTCATTGAGGGTCAGCGACCTCAAAATTTATGCCTTTCTCATGGAAACGGACCTCAAGTGGGTTACATTCACAAGTGTATGAATGGTCCAAGTAGTAGTGGTGACTCTGGTACGACCTCTGAAAGTGGCTCCAAAGATGATATTTACATGCCTTTGGATATGTGTGGAGCATTGAGTCAGGCTGAAATTGGTTATCTTTTTCAACAATCACTTCAGAATAACATTACGGAAGAGCATTGGAAGAATCGAATTGTTTCTATCATTACTCAAGCAGAAGTGAATCCAAACGATGCAGCATTCAACAAACCCACAAAGCCCATTGGAAGATATTATTCAAAGGAAGAATACCAAAAGATGTTTCAAATGGGTCAACAGCCAAGATTTGCACACATGAAACATTTCAAGGATGGTTATCGAATGGTAAGTTGTCAATTATTTGAAATGTCAAATGATTCGAGCTTTGGGTCACCCTGTGTTTTGTGGAAATATGATGATGGATATCAGGTGGTACCATCTCCTGATCCAGTTAAAATTGTTGAGGAAAATACCGTCAAGACACTCATCGATCAAGGAAATATTGTCATCATGGGAGGAGGTGGAGGAATTCCTGTGGTGAGAGATCGAAATGGAAAGCTGTCTGGAATTGAGGCAGTTATTGATAAAGACAAAACAAGTGCATTAATTGCTGAGATTATTGATGCTGATTTGCTTGTTATTCTTACTCAAGAAGATGGTGTGTTCTTGGATTACAGAACAGAAAAACAGAGAAAAATTGACAAGATGGACACAAAAACAGTGCTTGAGAGAATAAAGGAAGGTGTGTTCGAAGAAGGGAGTATGGTTCCGAAAATGGAAGCTTGCGTTCAATTTGTGACAAGAACTAAGAGACCAGCTGTCGTGACCAGCATTGAGAACTTGACCAAAATTTCCTTGGGTCCTGGATCTTCAGAAGGCACATGGATTGTTCCTTAATAAATAATCAAGTTGTGTTGAATCGAGACTCGCCAAGTGTTGATTGATTGCCTTAAAAAATCAAAATTGTATTAAGCTGGACTAAGTGTCAAAGTATTTTCCACTTTGTAGCCTGTTCTCTTCAAAGGGTGATATCTTCCCTCTGCAAAAATTTGAGATTGTTGCTGTATGTACTATCGAGCCAGTTTCCACTTTGGCCCAAGGGAGTAATGAATCTATCACCATCTGCATCACTCATAGAAATGACTTGTCGATATCCAACACCATGTGAAGAATCTAAACCAGCTCTATCAGTAACTCTTGAAAAATTGATACTGTCCGTGCCTCCCGAAACATAGTGACGTTTGTCACAAAAGCATCCAACAAATTGATTATGGAAAATTGGATGGAAATATGTGGTGGAGTGAATACCAATACCCCATGAGGGTATCACATCGCTTCTCGAGAATATCTTCAAGTCAATTACAGTTTGCCTAAATGCCTCTGCTGCAAATGCAAGACATGTTTGATTTTGTGATCGTGTACAATTACCACTCTTTTTGAGAGCATTAAGAATATAAACAGCATTAGAATTTTCGACCTCAAGTCTGCTTTGGTGAGATCCCACAATTTTGTGTAAAACATTTCAAATACACTAGCTTCTTTGGATCCAACGGTGAGATAGCCATTCCACTGTTCTAACTTCTTTCTCCATACTTCTTGATCAAAAGATAGTATTTGACTGTAATTTTTCAAGGCAGATATGAATGGCTTAAAATCAACAAATAATTTGGAGAAGGTGTCCAATTGAATGTCAGACATATGGGTGGTGTTCATAACAGTGGTGTTTGTCTTTGACTTCAATAATTCTTCAATTCTTTCAAATCTATACTTTGTAGCAACATCTCCACCCAAATAATAAGGATATCCAGGAGGTTCGTTCTTTGCATTGGCAGCAACGACATAATGTCTATCTTTAGGATTGCAAACAAAAGGCAAATCTTGGTAAGGAATATAGCCCAAGTATTCATAGGTTCCGTTACCAGATACAGGGAATTGTCCACTGTGACCATATTTTCGAATAGGAATTCTACCAACAACTTGACTACAAATGTTGTTCTCCTTATCAGCATAAATATAATTCAATGGTGGCGAAACAAAACTACTCATAGTATTGTAGAATCCCCACCAAGAATTTTGATACATGGCTCCAATCACTGCATTTAGAGTGGTATCATCTTTTGCTAGTCCAACCCATTTCATTGCTAATGGTTCCGCGCCTTCAAGTCTATACAATGGATTCACTACTGGGCCGTAAATACCTTCTTTCACAAATAATGTGACTCTTTGAGTATTATCCAAGTGAATTTCTTCTTGGAATATGTCATATCTCATTTCAGTTCCATTCACCATGTATGTACTCTCAGATGTCTCATTCATGACATATAAATCTTGAACATCACTACCTGATGATGTAATTCCCCATGAAGTATTGGTGGTACGACCGACGAATACTCCTGGAACAAGTGGGTAGGCAGAGCCTATTACGTTCAAACCACTCTCATCTGAAATTAAATGGAACATAAGGAAAGGAAGAGGAGAAGTCAATGTCATGTGTGGATCATTAGCTAGCATTGGTTTTCCGCTTTTTGTTTTGTTTCCGCTAACTGCCCAGGCATTGGAAGCGAAATATGATTCATATTGTTTCTTATTGAAAACACTTTGAATGCTCTTATAAATCACAGGTTGTTTCAACTCCAATTTTGAAAGAAGCTGTGAAAAAAGGTCGCTTGCAGAATTGCTGTATTGGCTTTTTCTTCGACGTCTATTTTCTTCGTCACCTCCAGTATTGCCACCGTCATCTTCGCCACCATCGTTTGGCTGCGTATTCACTCGAGGAACATAAGCACCATTATTGTTATTGTGTCTATCGTAGAGAAATTCAATTTGTTCATTTGTCACCGAAGTCAAATTCAAATCAGATTGCTTAAACTGTGAAGGCCAAGCTCTAGGATATATTGGAAAGAATTCCATCGCTTCTGAAACTGTAAAATTCTTTCTCAATGCAGAAAATCTCATTTGTTCCATGAAGGCATTCGTGGAGTAATCGAGAGAATTCAACTTCCAAAACAGCAATGCGTCAACAGGTTCAAATACGTGAATTGTTTTTTTCTTATAGAAGAGTCTGTACTCGGGAGGAAGTTTTGGATCGCTTCTGATATAGCTGTTCACGCCATCAAAGAAAGCATTCAATGTCTTGTTGGTTCTTTCGTCCAAGTATGCCAAATTCTTTTTAGCCGATCTCAATAATCCTAACGTTCTGCTCCATACATCAATTTCTAGGGCATCCTCGCCAACGAGTGCTGATAATGTTCCTTGACCCATTCTTCGTAAAACTTCCATTTGGAAAAGTCTCTCTTTTGCAGTCATAACACCCTGTGCAAAAAAAACGTCATAGTCTGTTTTACCATGAATATGCAGAACTTGAGATCCTTTTTCTTTTTCAATTTTCACTTGACTTCGAAGTGATGTGTATATCTCGGTTCCACTAAACGAGGCCAATGTCAAATAACCTGCATAAATTAATCCAGAAAATACTCCAACATAAACTAGAGTCAACAAAGTTAATAAACAAATTGATACCACCACAGTAGCGTTTTGAAATTTCAAAATCAATTTGTCCCTCGCAGGGTTATCCGAATACTTCAATTTCAAATCTTCGTCAGATGCAGCTTCACCATGATATTGTTGATACCATTCATTCAATTTAAAAGCAACGATACTGCAGCATATTAAAATTGTTGCCTCAAACAAGCTCACCACAATAAATTCAATACTTCCACACACAAACAGTAAATGATTATGCTTGTAGAAAATAAGGTATGACAAAATGATAGTGAGAATGGCAATAAAGGTCAACAAGATAGCACTTCCAATAATGAAGCATTTTGTGTGATACCAACGAATTTTACGACGTCGTTTTTTGGTTCCTTGATCATTCACGTCAACAAGTAGAGCTTGTTTGTCTTGTGGTGGCGGCTCCACATCATCTTCATCTTGATGCTTTGCCATTGCTTCATGAATAGAAACGGGAATGAGCCAAGCTTTTCTAATGGATGACACAGAGGAAGGCTTTGCAGTTGAGGAGGGTGGCAATGATGGTTCATAGGTTTGTGTGATTGGTGCCATGACTGTAGCAGTGTTAGAGCTACTACCAGATGTGGATGGGTCAATTTCATGAGGTTGATGTGTTCGAAGGCTTACAAATTGAGGCTGTTGTTTTTGCTGAGAAGAAGAAGAGCCTTCATCATCATCAATTTGGATCGTTTCCTCTTCATTGGTGGTTCTTCTTGTTTTACTTGTTCGGGAAGAGGGTATTGTTGTTGTTGCTGGTGTTGTAGATGACAGGGACGTATTAATTTCGGCACTGCTCTCTAAAGTCGGTACCAAAGTTTCCCATTGACCTGCCATCCGAAGGGTTGATGTTCTCTCACTACTGTCCACTATATCATCATCGTCATTGTTTTCAAATGAAAGAAAATTATTATTGTGTTCCAATTGTTTGAAAATGGCATCATCATCCGAGTCATAGACCTCGTCGTCATCATCATTCTCATGTTCAGAAATTCGGATAAGATTGTCCTCTGTGGGACCAACAAGGTCTTTCAAATCTGCTTTGAACCCCAAAGGAACTCCACTTCCAGCAATGTTGCTGGACAATAAATTAATTTGTGAGCCCATTTGCTGCAACAGATCACGACCCACTTCACGAGAGGCATTCGCTACAGCCTTGAATTGTGAAGACATTTTTTTAAAAGGCTTCACATCCAAATTTGAATTATTGGATAACGAGTGAATTTTTGATCGAAAAAGCCAGCTGAAAGTGTTGAAAACTGTAAACACTGGTTTTGCTTACCTATTTTCAAGTATTAAAATTTCAACACAATTTTCCACATGGTGTTTGACTTGTCTCTTGTCAAAGACCAAAATTTCAAAAAACAAAAATGCGAGCAAGTATCTCCTCGAGAGTAACATCATTCCGATTTCGTTTCTCCCCTCCAGTTCTTACTTTGCTTGTAATTCTTGGAATGATTCTTCACGGATTCATTTCCTTCTATCCACATCTTGAATTTGTTTCCGTTCTCCATTTACTGCAAGATTATCAAATATATATTCGATACTTTTTTTATTTCACCTTGTTTTTGCATGTGATCGAAGCCGGTGCTTGTATCTATCAACTCACGAATTTTAAAAACAAGATTTCCCAAAATCAACTTGTGGATTTGAGTAATTATGAAATGATTTCTGTATTATATGTGATTCAGACATTGATTGTTGGATTTCCTACATTTGAAGCACTTCATAAGGAAATGGATCGAGTCCTTGATGAAACGAGTCACCAAGATTAGATTGTATATTTTCTAACCTAACAAGTAAACTCAAGCGCCACAGTTTTATTCTCTCATTTCAACTATTCCAACAAATTCGCCACCAATGACGGCTGTTGCCTCACAATACAAATTTTTAACAAATGCCCATTTATGGATCTTGAACAAAAAGCAACCTCATCTTTTTCTCTCTAAATCTATTCAAGAACAAAAAGAAAAACATCCACAAAAACCTCTCTTCAACTTATTCTGTGTTCTTACCATCATCAAATTCAACAATGTACCTTCATCAACGACCACCCTCCATTGATTCGAATACTCCTCTCAGTCCCAATTTTTCTAACATGTCACCGAGTGTACCAAGAACATTAGACAAGGTGCATACTATGAGCGGCTGTTGGAATAATAATATTTTGTAGGTACAAACAACCATTCATTTTCGGATAACACAGACGATGTAATATTCAATTGATCAATCACAGTTATCCATGCACAATGAAAATATTCGACAATTCGTGTGTTATTGACAAAATCAGAGTGATCAATAATGTTGACGTAGATGAATGGAAGGAAGTGGTTGCTACTTTATTAAATCACAACCACTCAAACTGGAATATTGCTGAACGGTCAAATAACAAGGTAGGTTCAATTTGATGAGAAATGTACATGGACTTCAAATGAATCAACTCACAGATGGTTCTTACAAAAACTATTGAAGAAATCCCTTTTGAAATCGTCATTAATCAATCCAGCTACACAATGGGAGAGCTGAGATATGAAAAGAATGGCCTTAAAATGTTCATAGATTTTGTGTTATTCTACAAATTCAGTTAAATAAAAGCAGCACCTAAATTTTCACACCTGTCATTGTTGGAGAGAACGTGTTCACTTCGCGCCACATGTCAGCCTCAGCCAAACTGATTACTGAATGATCTTCAAGCATGACGGGCGGTTGTGCTTCTTTCTTTGAGATCATGCTTACAATTTTCTTTCCATCGAGTGAACGAACAGGTAAATTGGATCCTGAAGGAACAACCAAGTTAGACAAAGGCACGTCACCCAAGAAAGTACGATCTTCTAGTCGCTTCTTAATCAAAATTAAGGGTTTTGCATATTTTTCATCCATCACATCAACCTCTCTAGAAAGAGCTTGACCTAAAATACCGACTCCTTCTTCAGGGTCTCCATAAGCCATACAAAGACAATATAAATACTCGATATATTCCTTTGGAGTAAAGAAGTCTGTGAGTTTCTTCATACAATCTCTGGCATTTTGTGCTAGCTTTGGAGCAATATTATAATACTCTTTCCACAATGCCAGCTGTGCTCCAATCATGTTGGTATACATCATAATTTTTGTCTTCATTAGAGATTCAAGTTTGGTGGCATCGATGCATTGTACAGCAGAGTGAATTTCAGTAATTAGAGGCCAATTCCAGTCGTCCATGGCAAATAATTCTTCATACTGAACGATTGCAACCAGTGCAGCATTTTGATTCTCTGACGCAAATGAATAAAATCGAATACAATCGGCAGGATTTTTGTGCTCAACTGCTGGTGCCTGTGTGGAATAAAAACTAGGAGGTTGGAATCCCGCCTTGATAAATAAATTCTCTCGTAGTGGGTGAAAAGGATCCATTTTTGAGAGTAACTTTGCAGCTTCGGCTCTGTTTTTAACCTTTGCTAATACCTCAGCAGCAATATCCCACTGTCCGCATTGGGTGCATGAGTTTGCAAATGACAAATACACAGAATCATTGGGGTTTCTCATCAATAAAGATCTATAAAGAGAATAAGCCAAAATTCCTTCGCATCCTTTCACCAGAAAATGAAGACACTTATCAATATCTCGTATTGATAAAAACGCAGATGCCGCCATTATTGGTTTAGCTTCTTTCATAAAATTCTTGGCCTGCAACTCTGCAATCCTTCTCATCTCAATCGTTATTGGGGCATTATCGTGATTTTCATCGTCTTTTGTACTATCTTGTTTTAGAGGTGGAAGCATTGCAGGTTTTGGATATCCTTCCTCTGAATCTCTTCTGGCAATGATTGATGCGTCTGTAAGTTGATTCTTTCTGATACAAAAATTCAACAGCTTATCAATCTCACCTGTGGCGATATAATACGGCATTACTTCTTCATTTTCATTTTCAGATAAAGTTTTAGCATATCTTGCAGTTAAATCTCTCCAATAATCTAAGGACACAGATGGAGCAACAGCAATCGCTTTCTCCCATTCGCCAATTTCACACATAATCTCACAGTAATTTTTCATCTTTCCAATTTTGAGATATTGTTTTGCTGACTCCCGTAGTTGCTCAGCAGCTCTTTGTGAAGCATTTGAGCTCTTATTTTTGTATCTACTGGACTCTAACTCCTTTGCCTTGCTATACACGGTGTCCGTTATAGTGTTACAAAACAAAACATCAGACTTCAATGAAGACTTGTACTTTTTGCCTTGCGAATAACTATTTGCCAGCTCCCATAAGTTTCTAGTTGTGTATGGGAAGTTAAAGAACTCTGAGAGGATAGTATATTTCTCCACATCAGTTCTTGCTTGAACCATATTTGCGTTCACAGTTTTTGAACCATGTCCTGAAAGCAACATTTCTGGAGCATTATCGTCAAAGGGATTTGATGGTACTCCCATAATATTAGCAAGACTTTGATCTTGAATTGTCCTTACATAGTATTTTCTGACAAGTGGTTCAAGATCCCAAAATCTAATTGTTGTGTCTCTTGAGGTGGATCCAAAAATAAATGGTCTTTCTGGGTGTGAGCTAATACCGTAAACATCTGCATGATGATCGTTGGAAATTGCTAATTGCTTTTCTTTGCTTGCATCCCATACTCTTATTGTTCCATCCCATGATCCACTTAATAACACGTTGGACAGCTCATGATTCCAAGCCAAGGCTCTTACATAATGGGTGTGGCCTCTCAAGACCTTGCTGGATCCATTATCATTATCCCACACTCTTATGGTTTTGTCATTAGATCCTGAAGCAAGTACGTTATTGATGGTAGGATGCCAAACAACATTGAATACCTCAGCGGTGTGACCTTTTAGAACCGATACTGGTTGCTCACCCGAATTATTTATGTTGAAAACTCTCACAATGAAATCATGACAACCAGTAGCAAGGATGTTCTTGTTTTTTGGATGCCAGCAAACGCCAAAAACAGGAGCTGGGTGTTTGTACTTCTTGGTTATTTTACCTTCGTCGCTGAATACGTTACTGAAATATTACATTGATCACAATGTTAAGATTTGAAAACCATGAAATCTTTTAAACATACCAATACGTGTCCTTGGAGGATGTTGCTAGGAGAGAATGATCTATTGGGTTCCAACTGATTCTATAAATGCAGTCTTTGTGGATTTCGGTTTGAAGCTTTGGAATTCTTTTTTGAGCGTCCCAAATAATTACTAAGCCAGTGTTAAACGCTCCTGCAATTTCTTTTTTTGTTGGGTGCCATGCCAAACCATATATTACTCCAGAGTCGTGAGTTAAATTTTCGACAACTTTCATTCTGTGGGTATCCCAAAGTCTAATGCTGTGGTCAAATCCTGATGTCGCAAAAATATCGGGATTAGCAGGACAATAATCACAATCGAATATTGTTTCAGTATGAGACCCTGGTGTAATAAAATCAAATTGCTTTTTTGAGATGTCGTACAAGCCAACAGCACCGTCCTTAAATGCACAAGCGATCTTTGGGCTACCTGGCAGCATGACCAAATCTTGGAAGCCACTATTTTTTCGAATTTGTTGTACTTTTAGGACTGTTGTTTGAGAAACGTTCCAATATCTAATCACTCCTGCCCTGATGTCTGATGTAATGAAATTTCCTGGCTCATTTCTAATCCAAGAAACTGAAGATATACCTGCACCTGACTTGTCAAAGGATTTAATCTTCATGTTCTCGGCTTCTTTGGCCTCTGTATCATACAGCACTGATTGCCCATTTTCATAGCAACAAATCAAGTAATTGGTAGAAAGGGGATCCCATTGAAAATCTACAATTTTGTAATCGGATAATCGGTACTTGTGTACCGTTTTTCGTTTGATGACATCCACAAGAAAGAATTCAGCTCCACAGTTTACAAATAACATTCCAGGATTTCTTGAATTCAATCCAATCATTCTAACATCATCTCCGTTGAATACAGACACAGCAAAGTTGGAATCATCATTGAAATCCCAAACCTTGAGTGCTCCTTTCTTACTTCCGATAATGAGTTGATATCTATCCGTATGACTCCATTCAATACAATAAGGCTTGAACTGAATAGATTTAAGATCAACCACTTTGACAGTTTTTCCATCTGTAATGTCCCATACTCTCAAGGTTTGATCTAAACTGGAGGTGGCTATTAAATGAGGGGTATGAGGTGAAGCAACAACTCCAGTGATGGCCATAGAATGACCTGTTAGGATTCTTTCTAATCTAAAGTCATTCAAGTTGTATACGTAGATCGCAATTGTTGAACAATAAATCAGACGGCCGTGAGTCACCGTTATGATCCTTTTGTACCAAAGTTGTGCTCCCGAAGGTATAAGCCCCTATAATAATAATAGTTGTTGCAATAACGAAAGTTCATTTAAATGCAGAGAAGAGAATTACCATCCAACACAAAATAACGTTATTGCTACGTACGATTTGCTTCATATTTTTTTTCGTAAAGGAATTGCGCCAATTTGTGGCCGCAACGAATTTCCCTCTCTGTTGCTCACATCTCTCACCTAAAACTCTCGATACTCACAACAATGATCAAAGGAAACCTGAACTATATCATCATCTTGGCTTTTGAGTTGACAAGTCTCTTTCTCTCGATCCTTGCTGATCATTTCACCAACAAATCCTTTGTCTTTTCCTTGCACAACCATACAAAGAGTGCCCTTATGCTTGGGAATGACTGTCTCAAGTGAGTGTTCATACACATGTTCCAAAATGACACCAGAGTCAAGTTTTAAGGTACATTCGTATTCTGTTGGTATGTCCAAGATGACACCTTTTTGTAAATAATATTTTCCTTCGTTGATATATCTCACGTAAATGTTTGGAAGTAACCATGTAATAGGTTTCTTTGGTTGTTGTGACTGTGATGTTTGGGCAGCTTGCTGATTTTTCATTTCTCCAATCGAGAGTGATTTGCTTGATAATGCAATGGATCTTGTTGTGGTTTCTGCAGCTTGTTTTTTAGTATCTTGTTGTTCCAATTTCTCCTTTAATTTCTTATTCTTTGGATCTAATTCCAAGTGTTGATACAGATTACTTCCGAGCCCAGCCAGAGGTGGTCTTGGTTGTGCTTCTATTGGTTCTACAATCTTGTTCGTTCTTCCGAATGGTTTTCCTTCTTGCCATCCCATTCCTTTCAACATTGCAACACCAAATCCAGAGACTGGCTTTTTCGGAATGAATTCCTCCTTGTCTCTTAGCATTTTCTCATCATGATTGTCTCGTTTGGCATGTTTCATCGATTGAAAATAATTGCCTTTGCACGGAATAATGTCATCATGTTTTCTTTTTAAATCGGATCTTTCATCAGTGGATGATTCTTTTTGATGTTCTTCAAAGATGATTGTTTTTCCATCAAGATCGCCAACATTGGTGTTCCTTTCCGAGCTTTGGACTTTAAACGAGAGCTTTTTCGAAGACATTTTTTGTTTGAACGAGAGTTGAGTGTGTGGACGAGTGTGCGCAGGAAGGAATTGAAGTGTTTGCTGTTCCGACACGAGGGCAATATTTCAAATCTGAAAAAAATAGAGTCTTGTTTCGCCTCACACAGGTGAGAAGTATCAGCACAGAGATCCCTTCGGCCCTTTTTGAGATACCACCAACAGAAATTTTTTCGGTCTCAGTCTGATTATATTCTCTCGTATTTCAGTTGCATTCTTGCATGATCAATCATTGTTATTCACTTGATTAATCGGAGCAAAAAATCAAACTGATGAACGGAAATTATCCTAACAGCCAAAACAACAACAACAATAACCCGTACATTTTTGGTGATCCAGCCTCTAGTGGTGATAGGAATAGGCCGATGATGAACACAAAAACGTACCCAGAAATGCAACAACCAACTGTACTACCCTCGACGACGCTTGCTTTTCCACCCTATCCTTCCTCGTACATGACGAGTTCGTCTCAAATCACGATAAGCCCTTCGGCATCTTCCTTTTCCTCACAACCATCACAGCAGCATTCAAACGTACTAGCACCTGGCAGCATGCCCAATTTTGAGGCAAACCCACAAATCAACAATACCGTTCAGCATCCACAACAACATGCCATTTCTTCTCATAGTGAAAGCTCACCTTCCACATCTTCAGGCTCTACCCAATTTTCACCCACAACCAAAAAGAAACAGAAAAGAATTACAGAAAAATCAGAACACCCGGAGGAAGCTTTCCAAAGCGTGTTTCAGGCAAATCCCGAAGCTTCCTCGTTGGAAACTGGTCATCCTATTGCATGTGTACAATGTCGTTCAAGACACAAGGTATGTATTTTAAATTTCCTTTCCATGATGGTGACATGTTTGAATTTTAAAGAGATGCGATCGAACCGTATGTATTTCTTTCAAATATTATTTTACAAATACGTTGACATGATCTAATAGTTACCTGCATGCTTAAACTGTGTTAAACGAGGTGTAGAATGTACCTACAGATCTCCCAAAATGAAAGGAAGAAAGGATCAAAAGTTCCAGCCGTATTCGAGTCTGATGTATATCCCACCAGCAAACAATAATGGACGAACCAAAACCTCTTCGATCAACAATTCAGCCAGTGAAAACACAGCAACAGTGGATCAAACGTACGAACAAATGTTGTTGACGTTTCCGCAGGATTCTTCTTTCAACAACACTCAATCTAATTTATTTATCCAAAACAGTTTCTCCGCAGCCCCACACAATCAACAAGTGTCAAACATTCAACAGGTCAATAACCAACGATCACAAAGTTTTTCATCATTGTTAACAGATAATCCACTTTCGACTCAGTTTACATCACAACACAATAGTAATTTATTAAGTACCCAAGACCCAATTTTCAGAACTAACAGTAAATCACAAACGGAAGATAATGACGAAAATAAGAAACAAAACAAATTGGTAGAGGCCAACGTTGTAAATAGTAACCAATCCAATCCATTTTTACAACTATCTAGGGAATCTATTGAAGAAATACTGAACTGTCTAGGAATCAAGGATAATCAAAATGGACCTCTTTTCACCATGACTCAACAACAACAAGAGTTGATAGCTCAACACATTGCATCCGCACTATTGCAAGACTCATCTTTAGCACATCGGTTAAATATGAATGCCTACAAAAAACGGACAGTTCAGCTCTATGAAGAGGTTATATCTATGGGCTATCCAATATTGTCTACTTCTACATTGGAAATGGCTTTTTTCAATGAGGAATCCATGCGAGGTATTTATACCAATGACGTGTTATCACTACTCTACTCCATACACTCCGTTACATGTCAAGCTCTTGGTGTGCATGATGAGGCTGATTTTGCTTATTTAAAAGCAAGAAAGTTGTTATCTGACTGTTTCGACAATGCAGACAATCTTTTTATTGCTGGCACATATTGCTTTTTTGCTCGGTATTGCAGTGGAATTGGTGACAAAGGAAAGGCAAAGTTTTATTTACAGTATGTGGATTTATTCTTCAAGAAAAAGAGCGTCAATTATAGAACTCGAAGGCATTTAAACTATTCTATTGAAGAAGAGGCGAAGAGTGGAGAAAATTATTCTATATTTGCAGGTCTGTCTTTAGATGAAATGTTTTTACTCAAATATCGAGTACTCGCTTCTATTAGTGTTGATAAGTCAGGTGAATTTTTCTTAAACGATTGTTCCAACTTCCCAGGATTTACCTTTGGAACATATGTTGCCAAACTCGTTAGTGATGGTTGTCTATACGCGATTGGAAAAATTCCAAACACCATTATGAGTATTATGGCTCAAAAGATCACTGAGGAAAACCTTAATTTATTTTTAATGATGCTCGAATTTTCTGCCAATTTCCTCCGTATCCATGAAACTGAAAGACAAATTTCTGACACCACACGGAGCATCATGAACTGTCTCCACAACTTGTATTATCATGGATGTAAATTGCAAATGATGAAAGAAGCAAATATTACAGATGAACGCTTGGAGAATGAAGCCAAATTATTTTCCTTGTCAACACTTGTTGGACCTTTCCATTTGGTTCAACCGCTAACATTGGGAGCCATGTTTGAAGCTGCTTCACTTCACTTGAAAATTCTGGCAGAAATTGAGCAAGGAAAACGGCTGATTACAAGTACAGAAGAACTTTGTATATGCTACCAGTTAATTGAAGTTGATTTGAGAGCATTAGAAATTGTAAGAACCAAGAATAAGGAGCTAATTGACCGTATGTGCAAACCTCTGATGGATTTGCTCTCAATGAGAGTCAAACAATTTTCTTCCTCACCCATTTATGCTTCCAGCTCTTTGAACTCATTACTGTCGAAATTTGAAAGTCAAATTCCACCTTCGCATCAATCTAATTTAGTGAAACAACCACCCTCAGAGGCAGATCAAAAATTTGGGGATTCCATCGACCTGCTGATACATGAATTGAATAGATAATTGTGATTTGCAAGTAAACATTCGTTAGATTTTATCCTCTCTCAATTTTTCTGGCGTACGGCTTCCTCATACGCCTTTGCAGCTTGTCCTTCATTACCTTTCTTTCCCACAAAATCATCAACAATAGCAACACACGAACGTGAAAGTTCAGAGTCAAATAAACACTCCTCAAATTCAGACAATGTTCTATCTTGCATTGGCATTTTGAAGTTATATGATGAATCTTGCGAATGCATGTATGCATCTCGTTGTCTAAGACATCTCTCAATACCCTTTCTACAGAAAACAGAGTTTACCAATAAATGATAACTTAATCTTTCTGGGAGACAATTCTTTTTCATGTCCAATATATCAAACTGAGGGTTAGCCGATGGAGAATTTGAAAGTATGCAAACAAAATAGTTGTTCAACTCCTTTCTAGCAAATCTCTCGGAAAGATAATCAACTTTGTATCGTAACTCCTCTATATCTTCTCCACCCTTGAATTCATAACTTCTGAACTTATTTCTATCTTGAGTGAAATTTTGAATGACTTGTGGGAAAAAGAATTTAGCACTACCTGGCTCTTTCCAATAAAAGTATCTCCTATCCGCCATCACAATAGCTTTTTTAAAATCAGTGTCAGAATTGATACAATTTTTAAGTCTATCTCCTTTTTCAAAGAACTCTTCTTCCGAAAGTCTGGTAATTTGGTTCGGATTGTCCAATAAAAAAGAAGAGCTATTTAAATTATTTGGAAAGTAATTTCGTTCAGGTTCTTTGATTGGATCCACACATTTTGTCTTAAATGGTCCGATGGAGTCTTCAAATAGGCCTTCAATTGTGCAAGCAAGAATCATTGTTTTCGCATGCTCTTTGGCCTCGGGTTTAATCTCCTCATTATTCTTGTATAATCTTTCAAGTAAATTGTCCACATAGGAAAAACATCGATGGTAGGCAATGAAGGCACTTTGAAGGTCTTCCCGATCTTCTTCAAAATCGCTCATTTTTTTAATTTTTCATTTTGATTGGTCCACTCAATGAGAATGCATTTAAGGAGAGTGAATTCGAATTCTCGTAATGCAATTTCAAAACTCACGAGTTGAATGAGTTTTAACAAAGATAGCATTCCATAAGTGCATGATTTTACATTTCAAAAAAATGTCCCTTTCAGTTCCTCTCACGCTTCCAACGAACAGCACACGTCCAAGCTATTCAATAACTTTTTACACGAATGCAGAGCTCTTTTATGAACATGCCATTCCCTTTCTGACCAAACATTTGGCTGAAAATAATTTAATATTGGGAGTGAGTAGATCTTGTGTCATCACACCACAAAGATATCCCGAACGATTTTTAATGATCATTCATTCAAGCCATGGAACCGAGGATGATCAGCAACAAGAAGCATGTTGCAATACAGACTCCATTGTGTTGGTCATGGCTTGGACCATTCCACATCGACTATTATTGAGCGCACCAACGCACAATCAAACATTGGAAGAACGACAATCGATATTGAGCGCATGGATGGATCTCGTCTTGAATGGTAGCCTTCAAGATCGAGGGTTGAACGAAAATTCAGAACATAAACAAGCTCCATGTTTCGTGGAGGAAATTTGGGAGGAAATTGAAAAATTATTAAAAAAGCATGGGAGAGCAGTGAGTGGTGTCTTGACAGATAATTCAGAAGCAGAATGGTTTGCAAAGGAATATTGTGAAAAATTGAAGAAATGTGTGAGCAGTGAAGATGGGATGAACAATTTTGAAATTCGAGAGCCATCCAAGTTGAGAATTTATTCACTCAAAGCTCAAGACATTCGACCATGCAGAGATTTAGAAACACAACAAAAACGTTATGAATTTTCATATTTGGATTTAAACAATGAAAAACAACTCGACATGTATATTCAATGCTTGGATGAATTTATGAATGAAATATTTCCAGATCACAAGAAAATGTCCAAAGAGGAATATATGGAAAATCTGATAAACAGAGCGTTGAAGGATGGTTTTGCTCCGTTGTGTTATGAGAAAGATGATAAAGACAAGTTACCTATTTCTGTGGCTTTGGTTAATGGTATTCCCAAAGCAGGAAGGTAAGTTTACACAACCCTTAACAGTATTCCACATACTCATGATGATGAAAACATCCTTAACTACTACTTCAATAGAGTCTCTTATGTGTACACCTCAAAGAAGCATAGAGGCAAAGGTGTTGCTTCCTTTCTCATGTATTCGCTTGTGCACGATGTACTTGTGAATCATGGTGATATTTATGAGGCTCTCTTTTTATTTACAGACCTCTCCAACCCAACTTCAAACTCGGTGTATATGAATATTGGATTTAAACCAGTACGGGATATGTACGATCAAGAAATTAAATATTCGAACCATGATTGAGTCAGAGAATAATTAAAGTTTAATATGTTTTTCATCACTAATTGGTGACTACTTTATCTGATTCTGGAAGTTCATGAGGTTTTAACACATGATGGTCTGGCGAACTCTTGAAAGGATGCTCATCATTAATACATGTATTGTAAATATCGTGAACATCCTAATGATCATGATTCAAAAAAGATATTCAACAAAATAATTCAAATTCCACACTACTTACAGAAACAGCTGATTTCTTGCACGCCATGATCGTGCTTGCAATAGCTCTTGCCTTTAAACATTGTTCCTTACTTGTAAACCCTGATAATTCGTCTGGACTGGAGCATGAACCACTCAGTGAATAGGCTCTCACCTCTGAACAAGCTCTTACTTTACAATAAAATAATTGACGAAATCTACAAAAGTCATATGCATGGATTAATTCATGGACAACAGTATTTTCAAGTTCTTCAGGTTCTCTCTAAATATATTTCAAAATAAATTTGTTCCAACAAATTAATGAATTCAAAAAAACCATGAAATTCTTATCCAAGTATGTACATACATGTCTATTGCAACACACCACTACTTGATTGGCAGATGAAGAATAATATCCTATTTTCGTATAGTATTCAAAAAATCAACAGGATATCACATGAATCATAAAGAGTCAAGTTTGCAAAAATTGTTATCCTTGCTCTACATGAAATCATAGCACACATACCCATCATGCCAGCATCTTCTACAGAATCACATACACGTAGATCCAATCCTCTGGTAACCATTTTACATCCATTCTTATTTTGTTCTTTAATATGTTGTAATAATTTATTTACACGCTTGCCAGTCAATATCGATAACATGTCTGAATGTGCGTGATGTATGTGAAAATGTTCCAATAATAACACAAAATTATTGAAATGATGATGCCATGAAAAAGAAATCGGATCATTGAATATCGTAATGACACATATTTCCGTAATTATTATTATTCATCATCATCCATAGAGATGTAGTCATACCCTGAAAAAATTGTACGGATTTCAAAGATCGGAGCATAAAGTTGTTATGATAATAATAATTATTGGCTCATTGAAACAATCACCGCACGTGCACGAACATCACCATACTTACTTTTTGACATGTTTTAATATCCTCATAGAATTGACTCATTTTTTAGTGAAAGTTACTTGAATCTTGTTGAGAATTATTTCGAAATGAAACTGCATGCACGTAGATGCATGAATCAGTGATGGCTTGGTAACTTGCGGATGTAATTTTTAAGATTTTGAAACAGTTCCAAGGTTCCATTAAAAATTAAAAATGATTGGCAGGATTTTGATTGACCTTTTCATGGAAATACGTAATTTGAAAAGTTGCCACTTGCTTCCAATTCAAAACATTTCAACACCAATGTTGTGTTGTGAAGCAGAACAAACACTCAAGAAATAGGGGTTAGCAACCAAAAACTAAAAGTTTTGGCCCCCTTGGGAATCGAACCCAAGACCTCTGTCTTACTAGGACAGCGCTACTGCCAACTGAGCTAGGAGGCCCTCACATTTAATTGAATTCATTTATGTTTAACAGCTGGTACTGTTGAAAGCTGATTAACTTTTTGGATTTTTGTTCGAACTGGAAAATGGAAGCTTGCAAACTCGCGAATTTTCAAAATGTGAAAATTCACCAAATTCCAACGAGAAACAAAAACTCGCCACATTTTGAACCATCGTGTTGCAGTACCTTCACTGAAGTTGGACCACAACGAATCCTCTCAACAAACACAACAACCAGAACCAAACAAAATGCAACGTCATCATCACACCTCTCTTTCAACAAGAACTACTGCAAGTCATTTGCAAATGAACCAATGTCATGGCAACCACACAAAGAAGGAACAACCTCTTTCTTCGGAGACTCCTGCATCATCCAATCACCCCGAATTGGATACCATGTTATGGAGACCCTCTCTCCACTCCATGCAACATTCCGTCATGTATTCCTTTGCGAAATATATTATGAAACGCTATCAAACTCTCTTTCTCGATCAACAATTACCTTTACCAGCTTTTATGCAAGTACGAATGGAACATGACCCTGTTCTATTCAATTACTTGTTTCATCAATGGTCCATCAGTGATGATCGATTTTGGGGTTTGTTATGGCGTTTTTTGAATATTAAGGCTTCGAGGGAATTTACTCATGTCTTGAAAAGACCATCCATGGCGTATGAAGCTCTTGAGAATGCAAATGACAAGATTTCAAGGATGAATGGTTGTTGTACCGTCGTGTCATCCAATAGTGTGTCTTCTTCAGGTGAAAATACTCGTGAAGAATTTTCCTTTTCCAAACATCCGTTTTTGGGAAGTCAATTCTTTGTGGGTGCTCAAACTAATTATGCACAAAATTTAATGGTGAAATGTTTAGATCCAACTTTTGAAAACTCAGTGGCTTTGGTCTCTCTTGGTGAACAAGGTGTTAAAGGAGTGAAAGTTGAGAGGAGAGAAATCACTTATGGAGAGTTATGGAATCAAGTTTCGATCCTAGCTCATTATTTGAAAAATGAATTGGGTATTAAAAAGACAGATCGATGTGTGGCTCTACTTCCAAATTCCATTGAAGCCATTATTGCGTTATTGGCTGTGACTAGTTTGGGAGCTATATGGTCGAGTGTGAGTCCAGATAATGGAAAACGAATTGTTTTTGAAAGATTCAAACATATCGAACCTGTACTCATGTTTACATGCGATCATTATACTTTTAATGGAAAAGTGTATTCAACCTCTGACAGTACAGATTATTTACAAGAGAATTTACCATCTTTGAAAAGTGTCGTCAAGGTCAAATTCTTGGAATTTACAACTCATGAAAAGAATTTGGAAATTATCAAGTGTGGTGTGAATCCTTCCTCTCAACAACAACAAGAAGAAAGAACCCATTCCACTCCCATTCATGAATCCGAAAAGAATCATTCCATTAGAATTGTTGATTATTCAAAGGATATTATGGAACCTTATTCATCCACTAACACTCTCAACGCTTCTTCTCCACTTGAAATTCCATCTCTCGAGTTTGAACAAGTCAGTGTGGATCATCCTATTCATATTGTCTACACGAGTGGTAGTACTGGAGCACCAAAATGTATTTCTCAAGGATTTGGTGTCTTGATTAATCACATCAAAGAAACTCATTTACATTGTGATATCACAGAAAAGGATACTGTTTTTGTGTATTCTACTTGTGGTTGGATGATGTGGAATTGGCTTGTCTCTTGTCTTTATACTGGATGTAAAATTATACTCTATGATGGAAGTCCAATGTATCCAGACGTGCTCAGTATGTGGAAATTAATAGAACAAGAAAAGATTACCGTATTTGGAACGAGTTCAAGATATTTATCACTCATGGTCACTCATAAGGTAGACTTGTTGAAAAAAACACCAATGAATTTATCTCATTTAAGATTGGTGAATACAACAGGATCTCCATTAGCACCAAGTACAGCCATTTATTTGTATAATCACATGATACCCAATGTTCAGCTTAGTTCCATTTCGGGAGGAACGGATTTGAATGGATGTTTTGTATTGGGGTCTCCTTTCTTGCCAGTTTATCCAGGTAAGTGTGTGTGCATCATGTCATTGATCATCAATTTCTGTTAATATTGAAATTCATTGATGTCCAAAATTATGAAAGGTGAATTACAAACCGCTGGCCTTGGTCTCAATGTTCAAGTTTGGAATGATGAAGGTCAACGAATTTTTGGAAAGAATGGTGAATTGGTTTGTCTCAATCCATTTCCTTCAGCACCCTTATTTTTCTGGGGCGATGCTACACCTCAACGTTATCATGACAGTTATTTTTCACAATTCGATGGAGTGTGGGCTCAGGGAGATTTGAGTGAACAAACCAAAAGGTTTGGATTTTATGTGATTGGTCGTAGTGACGCTACGTTAAATCCTGGAGGAGTTCGATTAGGTACTGGATCGTACTATGATGTGTTGCAACATGTGGATGAGGTTGTTGATTCTGTTGTAGTGGGTCAGAGACAACAAGATGGAAATGAACGAGTGGTATTGTTTGTGCAATTGCAACCTCAATTGGACCTTGATGAAAAGATTTGTGATAAAATCAACACTACGATTAGAACACATTTATCGGCACGTCATAAACCAAGTGTGATTGTGCAAACAAGTGGAATTCCAATCAATGCGAATGGAAAGAAGATGGAGAAATTTGTTAAAAAACTTGTGAACCAAGATAAGGTACAGCCATCAGAAATTAGCTCTTTAAAGAATCCAGAGTGTGTTTCTTGTTTCATTCCTTCGAATTGGAAAACAAGCATTCCAACGATGAGAACATCAAAACTATAAATATGACAAAAATTAATTTGTTACTACGCCCTTAACTTCTTGCAAAGAACGGTTTACCTAATTCAAAACAGGTGAGCAGCGAAAACAAAAAGTTTTGGCCCCCTTGGGAATCGAACCCAAGACCTCTGTCTTACTAGGACAGCGCTACTGCCAACTGAGCTAGGAGGCCAACGAGAATAAAGTTACCACAACCCATGAAGAGTTGCAACGAACTTGATGCAACAAACAAAATTGACTTTGCGTTGATACTTTTTTTTCAAAACCTCCTGTGCTAAAGAATGACGAATGGGCTTCATTGAGTTTGTTCATCAATTGTTACACTACTGCTTTCTTGTGATTTCCTTGCTATTACTTGCTTGGCGTTTTCAATAAACGCAACTTCTGCTGAGGTCAACCCTTTGCCGGGTGGAATTTTCCAAGCAGTTTTTGCGAGGCATTTTGGGTCAACTTGTCTCTTCAGTTGATCTACATCTGCAAATAATGGAGCGTATTTTGTGTATATTTGTTCTACTAAATGATCCTTTTGTTCTGCAGTTCCAAAATCTATTCTCGAGATCAACGAGATGATATGCCTATACAGCTGCCATGGTATTACTGGTAATTCTTGTCTCAACAAATGTTCAAGGCATTCGTAAAGAGCTTGCACATTCTTTTTCGATTCACATGATTTCATAACAATTAAATATATAGATCCATCCTGTTTTGCCTCCATTGTCATCCTATCTCGGATGTTCTCAAAAATCTTAATAACCTTGTCATACTCTTGAGTGTCCTTAAATCGTTTCATAGCTGCTGAAATAAGTACATAATTGTGTGCCTTTCCCTCACAAACATCTTCGATCAGATCTTTCAATAACGAGTCGATAGTGGCTTTATATCGTTCTAATCTGTCCACAATTACTGGATCTACTTTTCCTGGCTTATATAACAGATTGTGCAACTTGGTTTCAATACTCAAGAGACTGACTAATATATGATCGTTGGGATTAATCTTGTCTTCAATCATATAATTCAAAACGTTGAATGCAATAGTCACTTGCTGAATGTCACTAGAAACAGCGTGCAAAATAGCATTGTAGACACTAGGCGACATTTCAGCTTTCCCTTCTCTACGCAGATCACCCAGCTTTTCATAGGCTACTTCAATTCCATGCTTTTGAATAGTATGGAGAATTGCCTCTGTAGTAGAAAATTGGTCTAGTGGCTCCTTCCAATCATATAATTGATTGGCTATCTTTTCTCGAAGTTCTTGGAAACGTGTTGAATGGTATCTAGTGACTGTTAAAAATGTTGTGAGAGCTTTTTGGTTTACCCGTCCTGATTCCATCATGTCATTATAACACTTCATCACGAGATCATGCCCTTCCTTTCCCTTTTTTACATTATTTGATAGATGTTTCACAAGAGTTCCATAGGTCGTTTCATCTGGTTTAGTATACCCTAGTTCAAGAATCTCTTCGAAAAACTCCGTTGCTTGAGGGCTGTTATTTCTGACTAAAACTTCGAGAGCATAATTGTACTTTTGAATCTCTATCTGCATACCGAATCTTCGAATGTTTTTAAAGGATGCAACCAATATGTTCCCATCAAATGCTCCATTCTTCTTCGATTTTGTCTCAACGCTTGATATGTATTCAAAGAAGTACTTGGAGAAATATTTCAGGACCTGTATCAGTCCGCTTTGATTTGTTGTTGGTAATAACTGTACGGAATAATTCCTTTCTATAATCACCGCATTCGGTAGGCTATAACAATCGTTAGGAACAAATTTTGAAGTGCATTCAAATATCTTTTCCACAAAGTCTTCTCTGATGACAGCAAACTCAGGTAATAGAATAAAGGCTGCAAGCAAATAATCGCTATAAAAATCAGATTTTGATTCATAAACTGATTGAAGAATTGGTAAAATATGATTTTCAAATAAGGAAGCACACATTTCTATATCTTTGGTCTCTCTAAACCCAAATGCAAGTTGAATGCAGGGCATATGTAGAGCAGGATAGTTTTTAAATTCAAGCATGCAAAGCAAATTGTAAATGTCTCTTAAAAATTGAGAGTTGTTTTGCACTGCTTTTAACACGCCTTTGGCTACCGAATAGATTAGTGAAATCAACTTTTTTGAAACTCTTCCATTATGTAATTGACAATAGGCCAAACAAAATTTCATCATTTTGAAAAATTCATGAACTGCTTCTTCTTTTGTCAGTTCATTCTTGTGAGATTGGATATATTTATCAATATCATGAATAGAAGTTAACAGAAAATCACTTTCTGTTTGTTTCTTTATCACGGCGTTTGTTTCATGTTTTGTTTCAATTTTTTTCTCTTCATTATTTACCGATTCCTTAGTGTTGTTTGAAGAGGAGTAGCTTCTTCTTCCGTACAAGGATGCATACGTTCTAACAACAATACTAAAAGGATCAGTGTTTGTGCTCATTCCATTGGAATAATTCCAATCTATGTTAGATGAACGTAATGATGATGAAGGAGAAGAGATTGTCGAAACTGTGCCCATTCCAACTTTGATGAGACTTCCCACAGCCCATTTTCTTGTGTTCTTGAAATTTCGGAATAGTTTGGAAGCGAAAAATTGGGATGGAGAAGAGATGTTGTTGAGTAGAGGCGAAGATTCTGATGGAGCCATTTTTTTGTTGAGACACCAATTTTTCGAAATTGATTGAATGGAAAGAGGCTTATAAGATCGTCTCAAGGAATGGATGATGGCCAAGACTGAAGTGTTAAACCACTTGAGTTGTACCCGTCCTTGCAAGAGAATGCATTGTCCATTCAAGCAATTCTTTATTCGTTCATGATGAATAGTGCATCACAAAAAATGTCCTCTTCAAAATCAGCCACTTCTTCTGGAGTTGGAGATCAAAACGGACAAGCTCTCTTGGATTGGTGTCGTAAATTGATCGAGTCTGATGAAAAGAAGGCTTTCTTTTTTAATGTAGTATCAATGAAAGAAATGAAAAAGAAAGGACGAATAGACTCGTTGTTTTATTTTCCATCATGTACACTCTCTCAGGGAACAATACAAATGGTGGACAAGATTAATTCATATATTGAAAAATCCCGTGAATTTGGGCCAAAATATATTCGACAACTAGTAGTATTATTTAAATTATTAATTCCGATCAAATACGGAGAATCGTTAATCCAATTTCCACAATTTTGTATGATTTTATATAATGATTGCATGTACATTGCCCATGAGTTGGACGTCATCTCTGTAAAATATTTTTCTAATACAGTAGAAACCTTACTCTCTGATGCAGCAGCTAGTCTTAGAGTTTTTGCTGAGAAGGAAAGGCAAGCTTTGATCAAGAGACAATCAATCATCCTTCATTCATATCTATCAGAATGTAAAAAATTCAAAGATGTGTATGGTAATATGAAACAAAATAAGAGAGCTATGGAAAAAATTATTAACCAGCTTGACACCTTAAAGAGGCTATGGTGTCAAGTGATTGACGTGTCTAATGGAATCATTTTGTCATCTTTTGGAGAAATGTTGGAACCTATTTTAAAAACCATGACTTCTCAAATTTTAGACATTACTGACATTGGAGAAAATGAATCTCAAGATATTTCAACATTAATGACGTTCTTGATACAATGGATTTCTGAAAACATTCCTTTTGAAAATGCAGAAATTTCGAAATTTATTCCCTCTTGGATGAATTTCAGAGCAGTCAAGACAATCATGACCATGTCATTATTAGAAATTCTAGATGATGCAAAAAAAAGCTCATCAAATAGAAAACTAGCTGGGCTGCCTCCAAACGATCTTATCAAGCTTGTAAAAGCAATATTCCAAGAAAGTGACAAGCGTAAAGAAGTAATAAGTATAATATCGCAAAGCACCGTGGAGTAGGACCTTATTATTGAATCTACTTGTTCCAGATTACGCTCATAATACTTCCCATTGCTACAGTAAATGCTGTTTCGCTTTTGTACACAATTTTCTTAGAGAGAGATGTTGGTACAAATCCCATTTGTTTCAAATGTTGCCTCTCGTGGTCAAATAAATCTCGTTCAGGACCAACTAAAACATTAATGCTCATAGTGCTTGGTTGCTCTTTGTGATGTTCAATTTCCCTTAACAAATTCATCCATGAAAGATCTCCATCCACATCCAAGAATATTCTTCTTTCCATATTGTCATTATTATTTGAAAGTTTGGACACATAGTCAGGTAATGAAATTGGTGATTCGATGGAAGGAGTCCCATAGAATTGTTTCGATTGCTCAATGGCTGAGATCATAATATTGTTGAGACGTTCTTTCTTATTTTCAAAATATTCGGCATGTTGTTGTTGCTTTTTTTCTTCTGTAATGATTGGAATAATATGATTAACTCCCATTGAGCTACATTGATAAATCATTTCTTCAAAAGTTTCTTTTGTCTTGGTCATGCAAATAGAAGCGCTAATTGTAAATTTCTTTCTTTGATTTAAAAGCGTCGTTAATTCTTCATCTTTATCTTTCGGTAATTTCTTTGCTGTTATCATTCTCTTGTCGACATGAACCACTTGAAATAATTGAAAAGTTGAATGTAAATCAAACAATACGAATTGATCTCCAGATTTGAACCGCAAGATAGAAGTCATTCTCTTGAGTAAAGCCATGTCTGTGATACCAATAACTTCATCTGGCTCCGAGCCCGAAATTAACTCTTTCAATTCTTGATAATGCAAAGCAAATACATGTCTATTGTGATTGTGCACTTCTCGTGTTTGTAATGCACAATAATAATTTTGTATGAACGGACGGTTCGATGAAAATTTGGTTAGGCAAAAACGATGAGGAAGTTGACCCATCCATCGTCGCATGATTCTTGCACACATTTTTTCTTCATTGAATGCAACGAGTTCGTGTGGATGATATTAGGAAATTCTTTATTCCAAGTTGTTGTTGTTTCAAAACAAACATGAAAATGACTTTACATTCGCATGATGCTGAAGTGAGAACAATTCGAAATGAACCATTCTAAAAGATTTACCAAAACACACTGGTAATCTTACTAATGAAACCAGTCACACCACTGCCTTGTTCTTCTTTTGGTTGTTGTTGAGAGGAAGATGTCTTCTTCTTCCTCCTTGCTTGTAAACTATTATCTTCACAAGCAACCAAGCTTTGCATGTAGCTACTCTTTTGAGTGGAGGTAGAGTTGCCATGCGACGATGACTTTTCTGATGACAAGTATTGAGGAGTGTAATTCTCCTTATCATATGAAAAGTTATTGTACTCAGTCTCACAAACCGAGTCTGAGATGACACTGGTCACGTATGAATTCTTGGAAAGTTCTTCCAAAATCTTCTCAGTAGAAGTTCTGGTATAAATGGTGACTTGCTTCTTTGGAACATTGAAAGTATAAGAAATGGTTCCTTTCAATTGTAAAATCAATTCTTCCAATCGTTGTCGTTGCTTTTCATTCACCAATTGATCAATTTGCAACACAACATTTCTCTTCTTTCTCTTCTTCTTCTTCTTGGCATCTTGAGAGGATGCAGCAACGGAGGAACAAATCGAACCATTCACTGGAGCTTGAGAAGAGAGTAAATCACTGGGCAACATTTCCAATTGGTCCCGAGAGAGATTGCAATACAAATTATTGATAATGTCCTGAATCAAGACACACAACACATTACTCTTGTCCACCTCTGATTTATACATGGAGAGGAGAGATTCAATGAGAGAAGGCTCTTTTGCCATCAATTCTGGATTATCGGGATGAGAGGATAACATTTTGAGTGTTTCACAGGCAATGACTTTAACGTTCACGTGGTAATGTGGTTGAGAGAGGAATGAAACCAAAGAGGTTGTTACTCCACGACGAACAATGACTGGTTGATTATCTCGATCCATGGCAAGAGTTCGAAGTTTGGTAACCACTCGGTGGACATCAACGGCAACAGTTTCCTTCATAATGATGATGATGAGGATATGGTTTAGAGTTGTTTTTTAGATGAAGGTGTGTACACAGGGGTAGGGAAGAGAAGGAGGACTCTCTAGACACACGAGTTGAATGGAAAGAGTTTTGGATTTTTTTGCGATTGTTTTTTTGAAAATTTAAATGTAACGGTTAGATTTTTGAAATTTGGTGTAACGGAAATTGTGTCCCTCTTTTTTGTTTGTTTACCAGCCTTCTTCCCAAGCTCCAGAATGACGTCTTCTCTCTGATCGTATAGGGTGTTAACCTGGCTCTTCATTTCCACATTTCTTCCTTTTCCTGACCGAATTTTCGTGTATTCCCGCCTTATGTGATTGCTGGCAGTTTCAAATTTGAGAAAAACAAACAGAAAAAATCGATGGCACAACCCAATCAAAGCACCCTTCTTTGCGAAAATTATCCTCGTTCGTTTTTCTCTTCGACTCATTCCTTTCCGAACGGAATAGCATCATCACCCTCACTTTTTAATTCCAATCAACCAAATGATTTCAATTCTTCAAATCATTCATTAGATTTGACTTCTGTCATCATCACTCCAGGACACTACCAACAACCATCTTCTTCATCAAACGTTTTACCATACCATCAACAACAACAACAACAACCACAAATCGATTCTTTTCCATCTTCCTTCTCAACTTCTATACATTGTAATTTTTCATTTCCGAGAATTCGAAGGAGCAATCCGTTCTTACTGTGCGATTCTCCAACAATCAATAATACCACGAACCAACATCAATCGCTTGAACACAACTCCATTTCGAGGACGAACGCAGTTGAATTGTCGTCGACATCAGTCTCTGGTTTCAAATCTAAAACGCAAAGACAAACCTCTTTTTATGGTAAGTTTGAATTTTGTGTTCAACTAATGCATGACGTGACTGAACAATCTGTATTCAGAACAAACATTGGAAAAGATGAAAAAGTCAGCATCTCAACTCTATGCGAATCAATCAGCCATACACATGGACTCGTCTGATGACCACGATAGTGACATGACATTAAATTCAGAGAATGAAATGAAAGATGTTTCATCGATACATTCGTGCAAAACGAAAGATATTCGAAGTTATTTCAAAAAGAAGTGAAATAGCTCTTGAATAAAGAATAATTTAAATCAAATTTATCATTGTCATTTGGTTGCAACATTTTACACAAAATACTTTTTGGTTTTCTTCGCGGGCGAGTTCATGATAATCATTTACTTCTTGTTCAATTGTTCCAATAACCATTCTTCGGTGAGATCTTCATAGTCACGGATTTCATAGCTTCTTGGCACGTCCAATTTTCTAATGATGATTGCAAAAGATATTTTAAATGTGGTCATACAATTTAACAAGTGCAATTTCATTCCAAAAAGTCACATCACGTTAAATTTCATATAAACAATGAACTCGTATCACACGCTTTGATGAATGACTTACCTCACTAATGGAAGCTTCATTCTAGAGTACATCACTATCATGATTCAAATCATAAATATTATGGATAATAAATATTACATCATCGAAATTGTAATCATTATTTTGTCATAAAAAATCATCATTGATGATGGTCTAATTCATCACCGATCACAAAAATATACTACCTACTTTGATCATAGGGATTGGCATGTTTTGGAGTATAGAAAATAAACATCAATGGATATTGAACTCTATCTCCTCGTTGCCAAGCATAAGACAATACCAAATATCGTGGTTGCAAATTGACATCATCCAAATAAGATTGTAAATCTTCAAAAGTAGTCTCATCAAATTGTTCTTCAATCATGACTGAACTGTCTTCCTTATTAATTTTTAAAACCATCACCATCATGTGCTTGCTGCTACTGAGACGGACCTTCTTGTAGGCTTTTAAAACATCGTCAGGAATGGTGCAATCGTTGGTGGGAGCTTCAACAGTGGTGTTGGACATTTTTTTATGTGTTGGGGCGCAAAGAGTCGTTCGGAAATGTCTCAAGAGTTCGTGAGACGATTTTTGGCCAATCATGTTCGTTTTTCGAAAAGATTTTGACGACTTGAAGGCGCTCCAATGACATTTATTGAAATGCGCTTTTTGAGAGAAATATTCTCTACTTCAGATTTATTAGCAGTAGTGGTTAATCAATGAAACGTGGAATGTTTTGAGTTTGAATAGAAATGAATTGGTTCATAAAAGGAATTTTTAAAAAAAATGAAGAGGCTTACTATGAATGCTCATCATCATCTCGTATCAAGATTTCGTTGGTTTCCGATGGTCATGAATAGATGCTCTGGTGTGCAACCATTGTGTGCAGCTCATCTTTCCACTCGTTCTTTGTCATGGCTTGATCAAACGGATTTAATGAACAGAACAAGAAGCTTTCATTCAAGTATTTTCATTCAACAATCCGACCAAAAGCAACAAGGAAATGATCAGCACAGGAACAGCAAAAGCCAACATCTTCCTTTAAGAAAATATTTATTCAATCATTTCTTCTTGCTTTGGGATTTTCATCAATCGCAATTCTTTTAGCACTTCGTCAATATAACAACAACCCTTCTGATTCGATATTGGATAAATTGTTAAGAAATATGTATGGACCATATAGAAATTATGTCCAATTAAAGAGTGAACAGCCAGATATTGAGGAGACACTTTGTTACAGAAATCCTTTACTTTCGTTTGACGTGTCGAATAGCCAGGATCCAAACGACGTTTTGGCTAACTTATTTGTAAAACCAGGATTGTTGATCAAGGAGGAATTGGAAAATGTAGGAGGAAAGTTTGAGGTCTTTGATGATTATGGGCACATGGTCGATTTGGTATGGGTCATGATGAGCAGAGATGAATATTTGGCTTCAAGAAATTCTGACCAAAAAATCACAGGAACTAATAGAGAAGATTTATTAAATTTGAATGACTTGAACATGCTTGAAAAAAGCATGAAAATGGGCCTAAGAGAAAATGAAGAAATTGTCTGGCTTGAGAAGATTAATACCAAGGTAGGTCAATTTCCATTCTAACAGCGTCTCATGCTTGATATTTGTTAAACCCTTTATGTAGGAACTAGTTTCTTCCAAGGAATATTCCAAGCTTCCTGAGAGTATAAAACAGAAACCAAATTGTGTTGTAGCAATCATTAAGGCCCCTGACGTTTATTCTCATCCAAAAGATTATTTTCAAACAAGATATGGAGATGCTGGAAAGAAAGTTAATAGCTCCCCAAATGGAGATCTTTATAGAGGAGTGGTTTTGACAACATACTACAATCAATTGGTTGCTATTGGAAGAACCTATCCAAACCAAATGATTAATTTTGATTTGGCAAGAAAAGATCTCTCAAAAGATGAAATAGAGAAAATATTCCAATTTATTCCAGAATCACAAAAAAGCACATTCCATAGCATTGCGAATCAAAGTACTTCAAAGTCTTATGAAATCATTAGATACTTGAGGGAGGTGTTATTAAAACTTTACTCTGAAAGATTAACATTGAATGCTCCCAAGGATGAGTAAAAGCATTCTTCACAAAATATAAACTCCATTGTTGACATTAATTGGTTAATCTAGCACACACAACGTCCTTAAAGTTAGCTTGTTTTTGGATTAGGTAAAACGCCCTGATACATTCGTACCTAACAGCTTTAAATCCTTCTTTCGTCACACTTTTGGCTGTATTGAAATCAATCTCAAATGGATCTTCTACTTTAAAAGTCTGTGGAAAGTTTTTTTCTTCTTGCGGTATCACAGGTTGAGCTGATTGCCTAATACTAATCACCTTGGTCTTAAAGTCAAATTCAAATGCATAATATTTAAAGAACTTGAATAGTAACAATCCAACGGAATCAGTATTGGGCTGTGAAAACTTTGAGAAAATTTCTTCCTTGGACTCTTCGAATGAGCAATCGTACATGTTTCCGTCCATACCGTCAACTGTTCTTGAAGTTATATTTGTGAAAATTGATTTGTCTTGTAAATAAGGAAGTACTCCATTGAGTTGAAGAAAGTGAATAATCATTAATGTCAGGGTGTATGAACTAAGTGTCCCTCCATAGGGATCGTTGATACATCTTTGTTTTATCCAAAGCTTTAAAAAAAATATCAATTGCCTACATCTAATGTCCGTGTCGCAATATACTCCTACTAGTTTTGTGTTGTATACAGCCAAAATGTTGTTGACACCCACGTCACAATGCAGTTTCAAAGTTGGTTCTGTGAATTTGACGATAGGTATTCTTGCAGTAAATATTCCTTGTACATCTGAATAATGGAGTTTAGATTCCAAAAATTGTGCCAATTGAGAAACATAATTTTTCTTGTGATATTGTTCTTCTGATAGCAACTTCATGAATCTGTTAGAACTTCCTGTAGCCTCTTTTTTTTGTTCTTCTATGAGCTTCCTTTCTTTTTCGATTTCTTTGAAGTTTTTTCTCATTCTTTCTGGTGTGAGTGGTAAAATAAAGCAAAAATCAATGTCACTATTACCTCTTAAAGAGAGGCCATTTGCATAGGATCCAAATGTGAAAAGTTTAGCATCTCCCCATTTGTTAGTGATGGCTTTTTCAAATGTTTTAAAAAATTCCTCCTTTTTCTCTAATTCCTTTTGAGTTGGAAGAAGTTCTGAGTTATAGAGCTTCAAGAGAGATTGCGTATACGTAGTATTGAGAAAGTTATCTATCGATTTGAATTTCTCTGGAGGGTTCTTCATTTCAGAAGTTAATGAATCTCTGTGAGGCCCAAAATTAAATGTTGGTTTTTTGCTGGTTTGTTTTTTTTTCAGCTTTTTGGTGGGCTCCTTGGCTGAATTAATCTCCTCTTCTGTTTTCATATCATTTGGCTCTTCAGTGTCTTGTCTCGTTGGTGGTAATAATACTTTGATGGGTGTTTCCATGGTAGGTTGTTGTGTTTCTAACTTGTCTGTTTTGTCTTCTGACTTTGACTCTCCCAAAAGTAATGATTTCAATGCATTCTCAATATCTTTTGCTGATGTAGCAGATGGTGGTTGCATTAATTGATAACTACCATAGTTATGGTTGGGATAAAAATTGGAGTATGAATTGCTGCCAAACGGTTCGTGGGTTCCTGCATTTGGGTAACTTGGAATTCCGAAAGTATTTCCATAATATCCGTTGTACGAGAGCCCAAACGATGATGGCTGTAAAAAACTATTTGCAGCTCCATAATTCATCATTGATTCATTATTTGTCATCATTTGAGTTGGTACATGATGATATTGCTGTTGTGATTGATTTAGCAGTCCGCCGTTATTAACTCCGCCATTATTTAATGAATTATGAAATTGTTGTATCGGAATTGAGTGATTTGAGCTCATGAACGAGCTAAAGTCATATCCATACATATGGCCAGAGAAAATAGGCAAATTAGCCGGATGTTGAGGGTTCGGAGGAAGAACGAGCCTATCCTGACCTGTTGGTTGGCGAGAAGGCTGTTGTTGCGACATTTTTTTTGCCATAACCTCTGTGAAACAATCAGTAAGACATTTCCTTCGTCCCTTTCATTCATGATCTTTATATTGTTGACCAAGTCGGCAGTGATATTATCCAAAATCCCAAAGTTATTATTTCAAACACATTTACAACAACAATTAAAAAATGAGCAGCAATCAAGATCAGCCAGAGGCTCCGAACTCAGCCATCCTCACATCTTCATCATCATCATTGGCTGAATATGAAAATATGCTTCAGGTCGATAAACACATCAAGTACTTTATGGGACACTTGAATGTATTACCTCATTTTTATGGATCTCAAGATACCAATAGAATGACCATCTTGTACTTTATTGTGTCGTCTTTGGATGTTCTGGAAAACTTGATCAAGTCTTGAATGATGAAAAGAAGAAGGAAATTATTGATTGGGTATATTCAATGCAAATAACGCCTGATCAAAACGAGTCCAACTTAGAGAGATGTGGATTTAGAGGAGGTAATTTTCTCGGACTGCCAATTAATTGTTATCAGTGTTGTCATGAACATCCGTTGACTGAAAATCAGACACGATACGATGTTGGCCATATTGCCATGACATACACAGCTTTAGCAATTTTGAGAATACTCGGAGATGATTATTCCCGAGTCAATAAGAAGGCCATTGTAGGCGGCTTGAAATATTTGCAAGATAAGAATGGATGCTTCAAGGCTACATGTTTTGGAAGCGAAACAGATATTAGATTTACTTTTTGTGCTTGTGCAATTTCTTCTTTTCTTGAGGATTGGGGTGGGGTTGACACTGAATTAGCTTATCAATACATTTTAAGCAGTCGTGGCTATGATTACTGCTTTTCTCATGGACCTGGACTAGAATCCCATGGAGGAAGCACCTATTGTGCTATTGCAGCTTTGGATCTAATGGGAATGCTTAATAGGCTCGATCATCAAGAAGAAATGAAGGAGTGGTTATTGAAGAGACAAATTTCTGGTTTTCATGGTCGACCACAAAAGGATGTTGACACATGTTACTCATTTTGGGTTGGAGGAACTCTAAAAACTCTTGATTGTCTCCAATATATTGATGAGAGTCAAACCACTCTCTTCACCTTGTCATGCCAAACAGATTATGGTGGAATTAGCAAAGTGAAAGACACATATCCAGATGTTTTGCATTCATACATGTCTCTTGCTGGACTGAGTTTAATTGGATTCAAAGGGCTCAATCGTGTTTTCCCATCCCTAAATATTACTGAACGAGCAGCTTCCGGTTTGAAATGTTTTGAATCGAGAAATAACAACTAATTTATTCCTTGAACGTATGACTTTATAGCAGGCTTCACCCTTACCAATGTCACAAGCTTGTAATCTTTGAGCTCCAACTCGATTAAACGTTTGAGACCTTGATACATGAAGGATTTGAACTAAACCCATCTCTCTCGTGCGCCTCGCACTCTCTCACTACTCGTTACGGCCGTTAAAGACCATCGTCATGCGCGATTGCAAAAAATGAATCATGGAATGACACCCGCCACTCCAGCTACAGCTACTTCGGGAATGACCGAACCGTCCTCTCCACCGTTAATAGCCTCACCACTCGCTCACTCAACGAAATTACCTTTCATTCGGAAAGAGAGTACAAGTAATATGATCATGTCAAGTTCTAGGACAAATTCCGGGGGAGGAACGCCTCAAGTTCGAAGTCTCTCACGAATTCGGAGTGGGATTCTGCTGCTAGGGAGCTCTATGAATTTACATGGATCGTTATCTGATGATGACGAGGATGAAAACAATTCAGATAGATCGACTTCAGCTCATACTTTTCATTTGACGGAAGTGGCATCAGCGTTAGTGATGAAAAAAAAGATGAGAAAAACTAAAAAGATAGTGGGATGGACAGTTAAGGAAGTTGAAATTGGCATGGACAGCAAGTTACCGTTTGAGCTTAAATTCAATGCTTTGATCAATAATTTAAACAAGAATATTCACTTTCCTGATTCAGAGGCCAAAGCGATGTTCGAAAAACATTTCGATCCCAACAATGAGCTCAACCGTAGGATCATTGAAAATTCGTTCTGGTTTGTTTTTTCTGTCTTCTTTCAGGATCACTCAGAGGTCTGCGAGAGGTTTATAAGCGTCCTTGCAAAAGATGTTGCAAGATTTTCGTTAACTCTTGGACGCCAAAACCGAGATGTTTTCTTTGAGGTTTATCATTTAGCTGTATCATACTGTATTTTAAAAGCATTTCGAAAACATTTTTCAGGAAGCAAGAAAGAGTTTACAACAAACTTCAAAACTAGAGTTTATGAGCTGATTTGTGAAGTGTTCTTAGGAATTCGGTACAAAAGAGATTTTTTACATATTCAGAGAATGAAATATTTTCCTAAAAAGAGTGAAGATACGTTTCTAGAGAAGCTTATCAGAAAACAACAGACAAAAAAGAACAAAATGGATTCCTCTTCAGGATCCAAAGCAAAAAAGAAAGAAGATTTTACAAGCATGTCGAGAGCGACTTCTCTACGACCAGACTCTCCTCCAGAAGGCGATTTCTATTCATCTTCTGAAGAAGAAGATGAAATTCCAGATGAAATGGAGGAAATTGAAAATGCATCCACTCGTCAAGAATCGGTGTCAGACCCAATACAAAAGTTAGGGCTCGATGAAAATTACCACTGCCTCCCCAAAGAAGTTCTTGAACAAGAAAATGAGGAAATTGAAAATATGAAAAAAAAGATGAAAATGTCAAACAAAGCGACAATTAATCCAGAGACTGGAAAAAAACAAAAACAATTAAGTCCACGCATGAGGAATCTAGATTACGTTAAGCATCTATCGCATTCAGATATTATGAAAGAAAAATATTGGGGTACTTTTTCCATGTCACCTTTAATGATGAGGGCTTTAGGAAAGCCTCCACCAGAGTTTTCGTTGAATTATACCTCCCCAGAAATGGGAAAGAACAAGGTTAGGCTAATTAACAAGGATGGATTTTCAAAACCTGTATTTTTCGGCTCTCTCTCTGACCCTCAAAAGCTTTTGAACAATGTCAAGAAGTTTCAGAAAGTGTGGCATCCAGATAGTTTGGAAGAAGTGGGCAAAGTCAAAGAGAGACTTAAAACAAATAAGGAGCTCAAAGAAAGAAACACGAAGGAGGCCCAGAGAGATATTAGATGGATTAAAGGCAGTACAAAGGAAGAGTTAAAACAAATTGAAAAAGAAAAGTCAGATGTCCTCAAAAACAAGGAAACCATTTCCACGGTATGCTCTCAAATACTTAAGAAGCGTTCCGAAGGTACCACGTCAAGAGTAGAGAAGAGATACCAAGGGGTTGAGTCCCACAACTTTAAGGGAACAGCATTTGCTTCTGTCATCTATGAAAATTACACAGATCTTAATAAGAAATTAACAAGACTTGATAAGTTGTTATCAGCGACAGGGGACAGGTGCTTTATTACAAAGGAACAACATCTCAAAGAAGAGGCAGAACTTCATTATGACTTGGATACAAAAGATCCACCCAAGGCTCACAATGTCTCTCTGTTTGATTATCTACAATGATAGAGCGTTAGTAAAGGAATCGTACAACAGTGACTTTCATTCTTATTGCTTGGCTAGCATCTTTGTCATAGCAGTAACGAGTCTTACCACAGCAGGCATCTCTACTGATCTGGAAGTCTCTTTCCAATACCTAGCTACATCTGCGAGCGAAGAGTTAGTTTTCATTTTGAACTTTTTAAGATTGGTAAAGAGTGTCAAGCTCTTTTTCATCTTTCCTTCAAGAAAGTGGTTTGTCTGTTCATTGAACTGCTCATAATTATTTTCTAAATTCAGTAAGAGGTGTTGTAGAACTCATCAATCATTTTGCATAACCTAACGTATGAATGCTTTAGCTTCCTGTAGAGAGGTAGAAAAATTCTATTCAATTCCTCTACTGCTAGCTCATCTCTGTTATCCACTGCTGATAAAGTACTCTGCAAAAGAACTGACACCAAGAGATCAAGATTATATTTTGAGGTCACCAAATCATTTGGTGGATTGTTAACAATATCTTGGTCAATCAGGGATGTGATATAATTGGTATTCGTTAATCTTAAAAATGGTATGTGAAATCTAAGCGATGAGCGTATTTGGAAACTATGTTCGTTATTCTCAAAATCTATACACTCAACTCCTTCATACTCTGATGGTGGATAAATGTTGAAATCATTCACTATATTCATTAAAGCTTCTATGGTTGAGATGTTGAGAGTGTTGACTTGATCTTTCCAGTGATACTTATTACCAAACTCTTTCCAATCTTTGAGTTCTTTAAATGTATCTAGACTTCTACATCCTTTGAAAATAATTCTTTTGGATTTCTCTTTAAAAACAAAGAAGAAATTAATGGATGTATCCTCCATGCTAGGATAGTGCATTCCAAGCTCATCCCATAATTGTTTGACACGATGTTCAGTGCTATGACTGGATATTTCATATTCTTTTTTCATTATCCACAAATACCACTTTGAGTATTCATCGCTGCATGATATTCTCCACTCTCCATTGTAATAAAAGAGCTGACATTGAATTCCACTTGGATTTTCCAAAATTGTATATCTAGATAAATCAATAGAATTAGAATAATTTTCTCCATATCGAGCGTCTAAATCTTGAAAATTTTCAAAATAAAATCTTGGCACACAAACGGGTCTATATGTGACTAGTGTGTCATCATTATCTGATGAAGGAACGACCTCAACAATTAGGCCATTACATTCCAAAAATAGATCCATTTCTCTAAAACTCACAGCATTTTCGTTGCTCTGGTAAGTGGCGTCCAAATCAAATTTAAACAATTTTGAAATGTTTGGATTGTTCACTTCATTGCTAGACTGAAGAATTGGTGAGACTGAAATCGCAAAGAGGCGAGAGAGTGTGAATGGACCAAAAAGATATTGCACGTCTTCAACATTTGAGCCAATCGTAAAGGTGGAACTCCTTACAAACTTTTTACAGAATGTGTTTAAAAAGTCTAAAACAATCAATGGATGTTGTCTCTTCATAGTCAAACCATTTTTTCTTGCCTCTCTCATCAATGCCTTTACATCTGCCTTGTATTCAACCATCCAGCGATCATACAAGTGCTTGGTGCATGACTCAAATTGTTGCCAGGTTGTGAAATGATCAGTTCCAAACACCAGTTCGTCATACAATGTATTTGTTTCCAAATAATCATAAATGCATCCACCAAAAACAATTTGATAGCCATATTTACAGAATCTGTTGCAACATAACCCACTATTACAGCGTGAATGATGAGATGACTCACCTTATGCCATGGGCTAAATTTTTCTTGACTTTCTTCAAGTAATCTTTTTGTGCTCGCTCAGTTGTGTGTACACCATTTTGTAAAGCCATCCAAAATCGATTGGCCTTGTTATAGCTAAAGTTCAGTTCGTGTAGCATTGCGTTTCTGCTTCTTGGTAATCTTAAAAACCACTTATTCCAATTTTCTCTCCATATTTTCATCTTTTCATCTTCATATAATACAAATCTTTCATTAGGTTGTTGAACTGAAAGTAAAATCACTGGAATTTCTGCAAATGCCAATTCTAAATACACAAATGTGTTCATCATCATAATTTCCAGATCGTAGTCAAGCTCTTGTCCATTTTCATGGTTTACTTTAATGGTTGTATGTAGCATGTATTGCGAATTTCTAGAAAATCCTCCCTCGCTAGAGTTTTCCGTCTTTAAATCATCAGCCAAAAAGACAAAATCAAAATCTGAGTCATTAACATTGGTTTTAAATGTTCTTGATCCATACAAATAAATTCCTCGAACAGTAGAATAATAAACTCTCTCAAGTTTTGATTCATCCTGATTGATATCATGAATAGTTTTTTGGACATGTTGCATTACTTGATCCTTGGTGAACGGAAATACATCATCATTTTCATCCTGATATTTCCAAAATGTACTTGGCTTGGATGAACTATCTTCGTATTTCAAGTTCATTTTCATCGGAGCCACAACAACATCATGAGAACGTGTGTCGTGAGAATGTTTCGATTTGAACATTTTTTTACACTTGGAAATTGCACATCATTTTCATTCTTCGAACAAACTTCACAGCGTTGTTGTTTACTGAATAATTGAAATTCAAAACACGATGAAGTATCAATTCTTTCAATAGAATTTGGCATTAAATTCTTCGATGGTCTCAAAGTCCTTTCCAATTTGCAATTGTGTTGGATAGCCATTTCCTTCCATTAACTTCAACTGTCCTTCAGCATTCTCAATTTCGTAAAGACCATAACTTCCATTCTCATAGTCCAAAGTAGCACCATCATCGAGATAGAGATAATTAGTAAGACAAGAAACTTTTGATCCAAATGATTTAAAGATCATCTTTTCTAAATGCAAGTCATAGACAGCTGTAGTTGACTTTTCTCTCATTGGAATTATTGAGCCACCACGTGCAAATAGTGGTAAATGATCAATTGGAGCTTGAACAGTGATGACTTGTCCTCCTTCATAGGATTGTTCTGGATTAAAGAAGTCATACCATTTGCCTTCTTCAAGCTTTGGCAAATAAACTTTTCTTGATGTTTGTTTTTCTTTAAGAATTGGAGCAACCATGAGACATGAACCAAGCATTCCTTGAGTATCCAAATGCTCTGCATTATAAACCTCCTCGTCATTAGGGAAATCATAAAAGAGTGGTCTAATCATTGGGATGGATCTCTTACTTGTTAAAGCAGCCAATGTGTACAGATATGGCATTAATTGATATCTCAAACGAATAAATTTCTTTGAAATTGCTTCGACCTCTTCTCCGAATGACCATGGTTCTTGTTGTATTGTGAATTTGTCAGTATGAGTTCTGCAATATGGGTAAAACACTGATCCAAATGCAATCCAACGAGCATAAAGCTCAGGAGCACAATTCCATCTAAAACCACCAATGTCAGCGCCAACCATCAATTGACCACAAATGCTTTGACCCATCAATAATCTCAAGGAGATTGCTAAATGTTCCCATGTGGACTGATTGTCACCACTCCATGTACCGGCGACTCTTTGAATTCCAGCAAAACAAGCACGAGCGAAAAGGAAGGAACGTTTGTTGAGCGGTCTTTGGAATTTTTCAATACCCTCTCTACTAGCGACAGCCATGGCACTACCATAAATATTATGCACGTCCTTGTGGAATTGAGGGCTTGGATAGGGTTCATCCATGACATGAATGAGATCATCATCCATAGTTCCTGCTTCGATAGGTGTCACCTTAACATCTGGACTGTTCATGTCGTTCCAAAAACCATCAACTCCGTCTTCAATGAGGCCTTTATACCAATCACCCCACCATTTTCTTACTGGTGAAGAAGTGAAGCAAGGCATGTGAGTGGCTCCAGGCCATACAACGCCTTCGTAGAGCTTTCCATTTGGATGCGCAAGGAAGTGATTGCCATTAACACCTGTTGTGTAGACATCATAATTCGGATCGATTTTAACACCTGGATCAAGTATGACAACAACTTTAAATTTTCTATCATGAAGCCACTTCAACAATTCTCTGGGGTTTGGAAAATCTGTCTTACTCCAAGTAAAGTCTCTATATCCTTCCATATAATCAATATCAAGATAAATAACGTCACATGGAATGTCACGATCACGAAACTCTTGGGCAATTTGTTTGACTTGAGTATCAGGATAATAGGACCATCTACATTGATGATATCCCAAAACCCATAGAGGTACCATTGGGTTGGTACCAGTCAACATTTCATAACATTTAGAAATTTCAAAAGCGTTTTTAGCGCTATTTGCCATGAAATAAATATTGCAAGGTAAACTTTCCATGTTGGCAGAAAATTTGTCATTTGATGTAAGATCCCATTGTTGTAATCCATAATTGTCAATATATATACCATTAAATCTTCTTTCAGTCTTTCCAGGAGCGATCTCAAATTTCGAAGAAATAATTCCAAAAGGTATGCTTTGATATAGAGGATCGGAATCACTGACATAACCAAATGAATCAAAATTCCAGAACAAATACTTTCTTCCGTTCTTTTTGACGCTATTTGATTTTTCTCCAAGACCAAACCATTCATTTGCAAGGCATTTAACTTCGTCACAATAGCCAAATGATACATTAGTTGGTTGTTGATTATTTGGCCTTGTTGCAAACCCAATACCTCTAAATGATGGTACAAATGTGTTGTCACTAAATTTCGATAGAATGTCGATAGAAAAATCTTTTTTGAAAATTTTAACTTTTGTCGCGTCAGAAGTGACCGGTCTGAAAGAAACAAAATTTTCATTTTCTTCGTCAAGCATTACAGCAACATGGTTCACTTTTCCATCAATATTTACAATCAAAGATGGACTGTGTATTGATATCATGTAAATTAAAATCATGGACGATTATACAACACTTACAACTCGACTGTTTCTGGAGGAATGAACGACACCTTCCAGATATTCCCGTCGATACATTGAAGAACTACACGGAAGTTATTCTCTAAACTAAAATTGTGATGATTTCAATATAAAAACATTCATAACCGAAAACCTACTTGATAATAATTTTGTTTTCCTTGTCGTCAACGGAATGAGAAGTAACACTTGTTTTCAAGGCTACATATGGAGGCAAATTCTTATTCATCTTTTCATACTTGTGCACAACACGATCCGATTGTCGTGTCATGACCAAATCATAGAAGGCATTACCAAAGGTGTAAGCCTTGTTCATAAACCAAGAACCGAAACCCATTTTTTTGATGGAAGGATGAGGTCGTGATGGATAACTGCTGCACGTTGGAACCAAATGTGGACTTTCAAACAGAGGTTGATCCAAAGTATTGTTTGCGATTGTAAACCAACCTTCTTTCGAATGCTGTAGAGAAACTAAAATTGTAAAGGTTTAAACAAGCACGTGTTCTCACCTTCTTTTGTTTATTGTTTATTAAAAGCAGATATCAAATCTATATTTCAATCCATTCTAGATATGTTTGGCAGAAACCAAATACTGGTTGAAGAACGGTACCATCTTGCACAATTAAGCAATCATATCTTCTGCATCATCAAATTCAGAGACAACCCTCATTCTCGCCGCACGCTCCTCTCGTTCTTGAAGTTTAATCAACTTGTTAATTCTTCTGAGGTCAAGATATTCATTCCATTTCTCTTGGAACTTTTCATAGACGTGTACGAAAGGTGACGCAATCTTTGCCTTTAGTTTGTCCAGGAACCACTCATCCAGAATATGTTTACGTTCTTGTCGCTTGCCATGAACCCACCAAAATACCATACCAACAAACACGCCTCCTCCAACTGTGTTTCCTAACACAACAGGAAACATGTTGCCAATCAAAAAATCGTACATTGTTATTGGTGAGCCATACATCATGGCAAGTGGAATAAAGAATCCATTCGCAATTGAGTGCTCAAATCCAGAAGAGACGAAAGCAAGAATTGGTAAAAACAACCCAATAAGCTTATCCATTATTCTACTCGTACCATAGGTGGTATACACTGCCAAACATACAAGCCAATTACAACCAATGGCTAAAACAAAATTTCCCCAAAAGTCACGGAAAGCTTTTTTCTCTGCAAGATGAATGGCATAATTGACATATCCAGCCTGTGTTTCTTCTTCAATATCATGTTGTGGTGTTGGCAAAAACATTAAGAAATAAGCAACAGCCCAAGCACCGATCAAGTTAAAAACTAGTGACACAACCCAACTTCTAACAACATCCCATGGATTCACTTTTCCTCTCAATATTGCTGCCATCATGGTCATTGTATTACCAGTGAAAAGTTCAGCTCCTGTCAAATGAATAGTTTGTCATGTATGAACAAAAATATTAATATTACATAACCGTTTGATTGTCATTGACCCTACCTGTAATGATCACCAATGTCAATCCCACTGTAAAAACTCCAGAAAAAATTAACTTGGTCAAACCAGGATTTTCCTTTTCCAAGCCTGGCATATTACCTCCAGTTTTCAATGCAGCTATTGAACCAAACCCAATGAACACACCTCCAAGTAAAGATAACATAATCAGCTGGTCCAGAGTTTTTGAAGCCTTCTTAACGCCTGTATGTGTCATAACTTTCTGTCTCAAATGAGGGTTGCATCGGTATTGTCTCTCTTCTTCTTGGTCATGTTTTTGCTCTTCCAAAATTTTCTGCTTCTCCATTTCTGCTTTTTGTTTCTTCTCTTGTTTTTTTTGATCGGATGAAGAAAGGATGGCCTCAATAGTATGATCTTCGAGGGATTCCTTTCCCAACAATTCATCTTCAATTCTTCTCATTCTTGAACCTTTCTTTGAGTTTGACATCAAGGCTAGAATAGCCTTCTCATAGAATTGCAAACGTTGAGTTAGAGCCTCAATATTAGGTTGTGTATTGGATGCTTGTCCGTTCATTGCTGTCGAGGATGATGGCTCTGCTCAATATCGACGATTGTACTCCCGTCGTTGTTGATCATGGGAGAACCCTGATGAGTGCTAGAGCTAGGAATGGAGGTTCCTCTTTCTTGTTGGGTGGCAAAAGATGCTGGTTGCTCTAAATAGTCTTCCGAGGGTTGTCTGCTAATAAGATTTGAGAAGGAATTAACGGATGCCGAGCTAGAAATTGGTGTGGCACTTGAAACGTTGTTGTTAATGTGCGAGTTGGCCATTTCCAATTCCTCAAATTCATCCTGTAGTTGGGATTTGTTTTTCTTTTGTGATGAATGGAACATGTTGCGAATCTATGCTGACGTCAATCGACGAATGATGATGCAGAGAATTGGCGAAGTGTAATCTCGCGTTCGTTCACAACTTTCAATGAATCTGAGCCAGTTTCTTTTTCGAAATTAAAAAAACAAATTTTTAGCGAAAGCGGTCATGAATACAAATTTGTCAGGGTAGACAAATGTATCGTCTGTACTGTAATCTTCGTTCTGCTAAACTCTTTCAATTATTACAACCAGACCAGCTTCGAATTGCAACAACTTACCGTTTCGAATCGTCATTGGCACAAGGACTACTAGGTTTATTCCAAGATACACAACAATACTCGTTTGAGGGTGTCATTTCCGAATTTAATCCTTGAGTTACAAGATTTTTATTGCTCAATAAAGACAACAGAAAAAAAGTAGCAATCTTCTCAACTCAATAAAAATTGAAGATATTAAGAAAATCCCTCAAACACCAAACATAGGAAGATTGTGCTTGAAAGCGAAATTTGCGATCTTGCCTAAAACTGAAAAGAAAAAATCACTTTAAAACGTTTGTGTGTAAGATTGCACTGGCCCCAAAATTGAGCTCAAAATTACAATAAAAAATAATTGGGCGATAGGAAGATCATCAACGTCATTTTCATCAGCAATAATTTTTGCTGATCAACAGAACAAGACCATTGTGGACATTATTCATCATTTCAATAACTTGCTCCTGATCAGCTCTCACTGGTTGATCGGATTCGTTCTTGACGACAAAATAACATTTGCATCAATTATTACTGGAATTATCGGAATCGAGCACCTTCATTGCACCACCAAATTATTGTTAGCTCCATACATCCATCAATCATTTACGACAAAACATTGTAAAATTATTTTCATCATTATTTCTCATACGATTCATACATTCCGATTGTATTGAAAAGCAACAAAAAGAATTTTTGGTATCATGAGAAAAACGCTTGTGCTTGATTTGGACAATACTTTAGTGGCTTCTTTTTCAACATCCAAACAACAGCTTCTGGAAGTGTGTGATTTAGTAGTAACTGTAGCAAGAGAGAAGTTCCATGACACACTTAAAATTGCTGTTTTCAAACGACCCTACCTTGACGAATTTCTAGAGGTGGCATGTAGTTTATTTGATGTATGGATCTTCACTGCCTCCGATAAGTCCTATGCTCAACCAGTTTGTGAACAACTTTTGAATAGCAAATCAAGATTTAAAGGATGCCTCTTCAGAGAATCACTTTCGAAAGGCGTAAAAGATCTGTCGATATTTAATGTGAGCATGGATCAGATTATGATTATTGATGACGATGAATATAATTATCAATTACAACCAACTAGTAAGTAACGCTTCACTCACATTGATTAAGGCTGGAACTCATGTGATTCAAAATAGACGGTGTGGCTATAAGCTCCTTTGGTTTCGATACCATGTCAATTGCTAGAGAGCAAAAACTTGATTGTGAATTGAAAAATTTGATCGATCTATTGAAAGCTGTTGCTCAATCAGAAACTGTATATGGACCTATTAGCAGATACAAGCAACTACACACAAGTAGTTATTTGAATTGTGATCTTTCTCCAATCACAACAGTGGGAACACCTGCAATCAAATCATTCTCCCCCTTTGACGGAATTGATGAAAGTTCTCCTCCTTCGTCCTCATCCTCTGCCTCAAGTGTTCTCATATAACTTGTCCTCAATACAAATTCTTGAATATAGTTGTACATTATTATTCAATAAGCTGTGTTGTTATTTCAAGAGAAGCAAACATCAAAAAAATGTTCGGCAAGACCAGCCAATCTATCTTTTACAATCTCATTTGGAAGAGAACATCAACCACTGCTTTGTTTGTCGGTTTGGGAGCGCTCGCCTTTGAACGAATTGTTGATAGAGGCGTTGATACCTTCTGGGATAATTATAACAAGGGTGTAAGTTTTGTCGATTAAATTTCATTTTGTGATGATGATAGAATTATTTTGCTTTCGCCTCGTACATTTTCATTTATTTCAATTTATATTCCTTTATCAACAACATAACATTGGTATCATCATTAATGATTACTCTAGAGACAATTCAAGGATATTGAACCAATCTACAGAGAAAATGGATGGTTGAAGGAACAAGAAGAAGAATAACTCCTCTCAGCAACATGAACAAAACTACAATCTAATATCATCACATTACTTTCTTCCGTAAATTGCAGATCCGAGGGAAATGAAAGAGAACCATTTTGCTAGTCAATAAATTTCAAACAAAACTTTAATTATTAAAAGAATAATTGCTCTTGCCGAGGATTGGGCCACACAAAAAGAACAAAAAAAGTACAGCTACATTTTTGAGATTGTCACTTCATAAAACACGAAGAGGCTGCATTAATGATTCTTCAATCCCAACAAGAACCTTGGCACGTGTCTTTCACATTCTTCAGACGCAGATGGCATGATAAGGGACGAGAGATAAATGCCAATAACTAAACTTCGTTTCTCCTTCATGAAAGTGCTCACTCAATCATCGTCTCTAATTGGCCTCTCATGCACACGTGTACACAAATTGAAATTACAAAACCTTTAAGCCAGCATCAACCGATACAAAAAAATGAAACCAATCCTTCTATTCACGCTCCTAGCTATTCTCTTCGTTGCTTCTTCCGTATTGGCACAAGATGATCTCACATCAAAGAACTTTGACGAAAAAGTGGCCTCGAAAGAATTTGCCTTGATTGAATTCTTTGCTCCATGGTGTGGCCATTGCAAGAAATTAGCTCCTGAATATGCTACTTTGGCAGAAAAGTTTGCCAACAACGAAAAAGTCTCGATCTTCAAAGTTAATGGTGATGATGAATCTGATTTAATGACTAAATATCAAATTCAAGGATTCCCAACACTCAAGCTTTTCAAGAATGGTAAATTCTTCAGAGATTATGATGGTGATCGTACTGCTGAAGCCATCGCTCAATGGTTGAACAAGAAGACTGGTCCAGTTGCTGTTCCAATCGATAGTGAATCTGCCTTGCAAGAATTGAAGTCATCTTCAAAGGTTCTTGTTGTTGGTTTTGTTTCATCAAAAGACTCTGACAATTACAAGAATCTCCTCGAGGCTGCTGATAACAGTGATTTGGAAGACTTTATTGTTGCTGTTGTTGTTGGTAATGCTGATTTGAACGCCAAGAACCAAATCACCCAAGACTCTGTTGTCGTGTTCAGAGATTTTGACTCAACACCAGCTGTCTCCGCTAACTTTGATGTTCAAGCTATTGTTGACTTTGTCAAGGAAAATGGTTATCCATTGGTTGATGAAGTTTCTGGTGCCACATTCCAAAGACTTGTTGAAAAGGAATTGCCAATTGGTGTTCTCTTTATTGATTTTGCTGACGAGAGTGCCAAGAAGAAGTACATTGAAGAGTTGACTGAAATTGCTCAACAATTCAAGGGTAAAGTCGTCTTGGGTTATTCCGATGCTTCAATCTATGGTGAACAATTGTCAATTATGGGTGGTAACAAGAATATTATTCCAGGTTTTGCCATTATGGATGTTGTTAACAGAGCTAACTATCCACTCAAGGCCGAATCCATCACAAAGGAGGATATTGCTAACTTTGTTGGTGAAGTTTTGGCTGGAAAGGTACCAAAGTTTGTCAGATCTCAAGAAATTCCAGCTGAAAACAATGAACCAGTCAAGATTGTGGTCGGAAAGTCGTTTGATGACATTGTTATTAACAATGACAATGATGTCTTGTTGGAATTCTATGCTCCATGGTGTGGTCACTGTAAATCATTGGAACCAGTGTACAACCAATTGGCTGAAGAATTGAAGGATGTTAAAGGATTGACCATTGCCAAGATTGATGCCACTGAAAATGACACACCAATTAACATTGAAGGTTTCCCAACTATTTATTTCTTCCCTAAGGGTGGTAAGCAATCTCCAGTTCCATATGAAGGAGATAGAACTAAGGACGATTTGAAGAACTTCTTAAAGACAAACGCTGTTGGTGCTGTTTTCTCTGAGAAGAAAGACGAATTGTAATTTATTTACTCTCCCTGTTGGTTTTGGTTTAATAAACCACATATTCTTCTAGAATTTGTTTCACCTTCCTTGCATCGTCTTTGGCGTCATGGTGAATTAGATCAAATCAAACAGGGATGGCCAAGATACTTGGCACCCAGTGCCACGTCATTTTATAGTATCATCCATCTCTTTTTTTGATCAACAAGGAGACAATCCAGGTGCTCTGAATTCACTAATTAATTCAATGGAATGCTTGAAGCAAACAATCCATTGTTCAAAAAAGAGAGGAAAACAAAAATGTTCATTGTAATAAGAGTTGACCAAGTTTCCCAAAAAATTTGTTAAAAAAAATCGAGATACTTCATTTGCGCCCGCTCGCTGAAGAAATCATCTCTCCAAATCATCATCATCATGTCGAATAGTTTTGCTCTTTTAGAGGCTGCTTCCAACAGCGACCCACAAGAAATCGCTGCCAAGACAAAGGAAGTCAAACAAGATAAGCCAAAATTTGTTGAGGAAAAGAAACCAACCCAACAAAGAAAGCCAAAGCCAACCACTGCTCCATCCGAGCAAGTTGCTTCAACTGAAGAAGGATTCCAAGGTACCCGTGCAAAGGGACGTGGAGGCAGACCACAACATCATCAAGCTCCAAAGAAAGGTAGAGCTTTTGATCGTCATGTCTCTGGTACTGGAGTAAAGAAGGGTGAAGTCAAGAAGGGTGGCGGTGGAAAGGCCAACTGGGGAAAGCCAACTGATGAAAAGGCCGAGGAAAAGACTGTTGAAGTTGCTTCTGAATCTGCAGGTGAACAACAACCAACTGAAGAAAAGAAGGAAGAAACGACACAAGCCGAAACTGAAGCACCACAACCAGTCGACACCAGTTTGACTTTGGAAGAATACCTCAACCAAAAGAAGACTGCTAAAGTTACATTGAAGAAGGAAGCAGGTGAACAACTTGTTACTGGTAAGAATGTTAAACTCACTGGAGAGGAATTCGCTAGATCATCCGAAGGAGTCTTCCAAAAGGAAAAGAAGAAGGTAGAAAAGGAAGAAAAGGCCGAAAAGAAGGCTGAAAAGAAGCCAAAGGCAATTGATGTCTCCGAATTCTTGGACTCTGCCTCACTTGAAAAGATCAAGGAAAGAAGAGATAAGGAATTGTTGGAAGGACCAAAGCAACAAAGACCTCGCACACAAGGATCTAGACCAACTGGTGGTAGACCTGGAAACAATAACAACAAGAAGGGACCAAAGCAAGGAGGAAACAAGGATAAGAGTGCAACAGGACCAAAGAAGCCTCGTCCAGTCATCAACAAGGATAAGGACTTCCCAGCTTTGAGCCCACAAAACTAAATTAGTTTTTAACTCTTTTTCAAAAATATACATAAAATTAATTTAAAATATTTCAAAATTTCATTGAAGTCATGTTCATTTATTGAGCTTGGCCTGCTTCCAAGTTTTCCCCCAATTTTCATCGGTTTGGATGTGCCCTTTTCTTACGTACTTGGCAATATTTCTTTCAAAGTCCTTAGTGGAAAAGGATTGAGTAGTTTTAAGGACAAATCCTTCTAATCCTTCTCGTCCACCAGCTTGGCTGCTTGACTTGTTTTTAATTTGCTCATCCATCCATTGCTTGATTTCTGATAAGGAATTAAATGTACCTAAAGATTGTTCAAATCCAATATTATTAATATCTCTTGTGAATGCTAGTGTACAAGACATACCTCTGAAAAGAACAGGTACTATTTGAATATAATTCATCAGATCATTTTCGTGTACAAAATTTACCATTTCATCCCTGTTGTTGCAATGCAATTTAAAGTTGAAAAAGTTCGAAGATGAAAATATTTCAAATAAAAACACTAGTGCCGTCAGAGCACGCTCTCAACCTACCATCCATACCATCGATTCTCATTCAAATCTAAAATTGCAAATAAATAAAAGAAACTCTTCAAATTAGTATACTCAATGGAATGTACTCCATATAAATTCTCTCCAAATAAGATCAAATGATCTGGTATCAAATACTTAAATTGAGAATATAATTGCTTGATAGGACCAAAGCTTGCATGAGAGGCTTCTTTTGATGTCGTTCTAGCATAAATCTTTCCTTGAAATAATTGACAATTTCCTCCATCCATCTTTTCAGTGATAATGACTTCGGTAGGTGCAATGAATTGTGTGCAATGTTTTTCCGACAAAATGACATCGTCATCGGAATGTTCAGGACTGAATGGAAGATGAGGAGTTCTTGGATACTTTTGTGGTTGAAGATGAGAGGACATGATGATTTCAATAATTGAGCGACGATCACTATGACGTTGTAGTTTGTTGTTCAATTAATTTTTTTCGAGGTTTGTGAAATGACAAAGTTTTGAAAATGAACTTGTTCAATTTCATTTTCAAGACTGAAATTGAAAGTACGAACTTGGCTATTTTTAAGAAACTTAAAAATATTGAAATAATTTATTAATTCATTTCTCCAAATCTCATCCTTAGTGTTATTACATGTACTTTTAGGTGGTTTACATGTTTTCATTCGATGAACAATCAAGTCACTTGTCTCATTTCATCACCCATGTATCTTGAAAAACTTATTTCCAATTCATCCAAATGCATTTTACAACTCTTCCATATCCGTTAAAATTGTTTTCACAGCATTAATGACGTCATTCTCTGGAATGATTAAATCAGAATCGTGATGTCCTTCACCACAAATAAGTGTGTATTTGAGTTTCATATTTCTTGAAAAGCACATGTAATCTTGAGGAAGTTTGCCCCATCTTGTGATTTATAATAAATATTCAAATAATCATCCGTGGTGAAGATTAATGTTTTAAAGATGAAATTCAATAATATAATAAATATTCAAATAATCATTCGTGATCAACACTTACCCCAATTCAATAATTCCTGTACCAGGTCTCGAAAATAATATATTCGATAAGGATGCACCATGAGGAGAAATGAGTATATCACTTTCATAAAAGACTCGTGCCACTTGTTGAATGTAATGAGAAGGTTCTAGTTTTTGAATGATATAATCTCGTACATGATGTTGAGGAAAGGTCTTTTTCAGTAATTGTAAAATCGAGTTGTGATTTTTCACATTTCTCACATACGCATTTCGATCAATGAGTGTAATGATTTTGGATGTTTTCTTTTTCGATTCGAGAATCATTCTTGGAAATTTTCTTGCCATTCCTTCCATGATTTTCCTATTTAAATTTAGATATTCCAAAATATTCATGTGTGGAAAATTATCGTCATCGGCATGATAGAGATAGAGTTTGTTCGCTCTCATGACTGTATTGCGTTCAGTAGTTACCAATGTTCTATTTCCACTGATTACACCTAATTCTTTCATGATGAGATAATAATTCAAAGAAACTGGATTATTCGGCCATATTAAGGGAATATCATTTGGTAATTCAGTGTACATTCGAACAAGTCTTGGAAGAATTTCAACAGGCATGTGACCATTGGCGTACGGTAACACACTATAACCAGGACTTGCGAGTTGATGGAAATGTCGAACTCGGAATGATTTTTTAATGGTTGGTTTCCAACCATATCCGAGTTGAGATTGAATAAGTATTCCTTCATCGTTAAAGGTAGCCCATGAAACATCTGAATGAAAACTCGATTCGTCGACCCATGCACATCCAATTCTAAAATCCATGCTTTTTGATCCGCTAATTTCAATGTAACAACAAGAAATTGATGAAATTGTAAAACGTAACAACAAGAAATTGATGAAATGGTAAAACGTTTCAATGTGTGTTTTCCATACCTGATGCACAAAATGTTCCTGTTCGAAATCTTCTTCGATCTGACTCTCGACATTTGTCAGTCATGTCACGTAAATATTCAAACCTTAATTCATCCACACTATTTTGAGGCAATTTACAAATTTCTTCTTCAGATTTTTGTGACAATTTGTAAGGAATCAATTGGTTATAATATTCTTGATCATTTTCACTCAACTGTAATTCTTTCAAAATTTTAATATATTTCGGAGAAACTGTGGAAAAGACTTTTTTACCTCTTCCATCGTATTGACTGGCAGGAAGTGACCAAAATTTTGAAAAGAATTCTTCTGGAAATGTGTTGCTGTCGAGAGGACAATATGAATTTTCAAGAGATGATGTTTTTGGTGCATCAATGATGAATATTTTCGAAAGAGCCTCCAAATTCATTGTGTGGTTGGATGTTGTTCGCCTAATTCGGGAGAAGAAAATCACGCTCGATAACGTGATGGCAAACAGCAAACCAAGGATGACGAAAGGAATGACTTTTGGCAGGCGACGCATTTTTTTGAAGCAACAAGATCGTCATTTATTTTCATGAATGGAATTACAAACTCATCACGAAGCTACTCCTATTCCATTCGATTGTCTTTTAGATTTTGTGATTCTTCGATTCGAATGTCTTTTGAGTGTACAAATGAACGCACTTTTACAACTTTCCATCTGCTCCTCTGAGTTGAACACTGTAGTCTCTTCCCATCCACAGTAGTGGCACGCATTCATCTCAAGTCTACTTTGCACAATCATTTCTAAACACGGTACACACTTGGAGTTTACTGATAAATTTTCCTTTAACATTTTCAATGGGTATTTTTCACACCCATAAGAAACGAACCTTCCGAAAATACAAGAAAAAGCGAACACTCAGAAATGACAGCTGCAAACTCTTTCAACATTTTGTCGTTTTAGCAAGTACATTTCTGATTCAATGAACACTGCATCTGTGAAACTTCGTCCATGCTGTTGTTGGCGCCAAAATGAAGAACGTTGCTTCCCGCAAATTGGATTCTTCCTTAGAGGGATAGCGCACCTTTTAACGCTTCCAACCGCACGTGTTCCTATTTCTGCAGTGAAACCCAGAATCATCATCACAGGATTCGAGTCGTGTGTGAATCTCATTCTAAAAAAAAAGAAACAACCCGAGTGCGACTTCACATAGACTTGCCAAACAATCTTGCCAAGTGTGGGCCCATCAAGAGAGACTCTCCCATTTTAAAATTTGGTCCAGTATTGAATTGAACCAATAATAATAATAATTTTTCATCTTTTGTGTACATCATTTCACACTCTCACTCTACTTGAGAAAATGTCACATCATCAATATACCTACTTGTCCAATCCTGCATCCTCTAACCTGACTGTCATGTCTACTCCAAAACGAACCAATAACAACACATGCTGTCCTCCTGACCAATTCCTAATTTATAAACAAGCTAAAGAAACACAAAGAAGAGATGCTCACAATGAAAGACTTGTATCGTCCTATCAAGGTTTGAATCAACAACCCTCACAAAAAACTCATCACTCGGTGTGTCGTCGTTTAATATTCGAGGAAGAGGAGGAGTTGTTTGTTGAAAAATCTAATGACAGAATGACAACAACAACAAGCAATAATTCTTCTTTCTTTCAATACTCGATTCAACTTCCACATAACACTCATCGCGTCTCCCATCCTTAACACTTCTTCTCCATTGTAAATATATTCCACCAAGTTTTGAAAGTTTTGTCAAAGAGTGCTTTTCCACACCTAGGTTGCTTTAGGTTTGTGATGATTCATGATCACTTGAAACTCACACAAACAAACCACCATCATGTGGTGGTATTGAGAGGTACCTCCATCATCATAAACATCATGCAAAATATTACGCAATTTGTAAATAAATTCAAGCTCATTCCAGTAAAATTCACTTTAAAAGACAAGTTTTGAATGGACGATTCAAGGAAGTCCTCACAAACGCAACTTTGGAAATTTCCGTCAAACAAGGCATGTCTCACGGAAGGGCAAAAAGCATGAACAACCATTCTTGAATTCATTTTGATTTGGATCTCGTCCCAACACACTTGTTTACAACACAATGAGAATTGTATTTACACAGTTTTAAGACATATACACTGTGAAAACTACATTTCGCTTGTGTTGTTTGTGCATGGAGTCGTGCTATCCATCATAGACTTTCAGAATCTTCATTCTCAAGATGATACATGTTTTCGAAATTTATATATTTACCATTTTCGCTGAAAAATAAAGTGTCATCATTGAGTCTTATGCCCAGGTCAAACAAATTTAAAAATTTATAAGTTTGGTATCATTTCTAACATGCAACTACTTACTTTTCAGCTATGAGTTTGTCACCAGATGAATTTTTGAGTTGAAATTCATCAGAATGTTGCTCTTCTTGTAGGAGAGCATTTCTGAAGTTTGGTTGTTAATGAGGCAAACTACAATCTCCTTATTGCTATGTGTCACCAAATCAATACTAATTTTTGCAGGGAAACATGTCTTGTTTTTGCGAATACACTCTGCTTCGAATAAATAATAGAATTTCCGTGAAAAGCATCTTACACCGGCAACCAATTGGTTCCATACTTCTATTAGACCGTGAGGTGGTTGATGTTTGAGACAATCACTAATGTCATAGTTAGATGTTTACAACTTTGATGTTCTGAAGTGATTGCGTAGGAACATGTGCTGTATGACTTTCCATCTCATGTTTCGAGAGAAATCACTTTCATCACAAATGTAGTGTTGAACGATTTCATGGAATATTTTGAGGTGAGATTCCTTGCTGCTGTGTTGTACTTGTCTCATTAAATGCGAAAAGTGTTCAATTTCTTCATCTGTTATTCGAAGTAATAGACATGAGATGGTGTTTGGTTGTTGTGTGGAAAGCGCTCTTGAAATGAATTCTCGGGCATGAGCTAGAATTCTCTTCGTTTTCACTAATCGAATCACTCCAAAGAGTATGATCCATAGAAAGGGTAATTTAGACGAGAGAGAAAACCATCTTGGAAAATTAGGTAAATCTGATGCAACGCTCACAATAGAGAGGACGTAAAATAATAAGGATTCTTTGGTTCCTCTCGTTATTGGTGCAAGCAATTTTCGAAGAAAACTGGGTGAGAGTGAGTAAGCAAATTCTTCTTCAAATCGTGTGGACTGAATATTTTCTCTACAAGCATGAATCAACTCATGTAATATTAATTCTTCTCTATTCAGAGAGTAATATTTTGGTTTGTGTTTCAAGAGAGTGTGTAGTTGGATAAAAACTCCAAAATTTTCAATGGAAATGCTTACGCCACCACTTGATAATGGAAGAGATGTACTCGAATAGAGACCTGTCACCCACAAGCAGTGATGTATTCCGAAAAATTTGGATAGTTTTTCTTGAATGCCTTGTTCTAAAAGGTGTTCACAAGGAATTAAAGAGCTGTCTTTGTCTTTTGAATAGGATCGTTTGTAAGTGTGTTCAAATTTCAGTAATAATCTTAATTGTCTGATTATGAACAAGCTGTAGTCCATGTAAGATCGAGATTGGCCCCAAAGGAATCCACACTGGTCTAACAAGGCTAAAATATCTAATGGAATAGCATTTTCCTTTTTTTGAATAATATCAAATAGCAAAGTGACTACACTGGGAAGCTCTTTACACAAGGTCAGCATTCTCACAAATTGTGAGTTTTTTGCATCTGAAATGTCACTCGGCTTGAGGGATAATAATACTTTTTTCAAAAGACTAGAATATTGTTTAAGGCGAGGATCTTTCAATGTATCATAAATACTTTGGAATGTTGACATTGTGTCATGTGGGTCCATGATTTCAACCATCTGATGAGTAAAAAATTGAAAATACTCATCAGCATCTTGCGATCCGTCAAAAAGTAAACTCGACAAGTTGCATCCGCTCCTTTCAAAAACGATCAGGATTTTCAACAAATCCTTCATCATAATATTGATTATCATGGTAGAATCTTGTTCCTTTTCATTGCTCGGGAAGGAATCTCTGAAGTCACTGCTAGCCTTCACTAAGAACCCATTCCCGATGCTAATTTTCATTTTTTATTTTGAAAAAAATATTGAAAACCGTTTTCTGCTCGGTACTCAGCCCACATCATCATCATTTCCTTTCGTATTAAAAAACAAAACAAATTTTGGATGCAACGAATTATATAGTTTAAATTATCGGAATTAATGAGCAAAAAGTCATCCAAGTCTAACAGTAGTAAATCCGATCTAACTTCTAATGATGAAGATGTGAAGGTTAATTTTGTGGAGAACCCGTCCACATCGGAGTTGTTGGATGTGGTAAAACAATTGATTTCTAGGGTAAAGTAAGTATCATTTGAGATTTATTTAATATAACAATTGATAGTTCGTTGGAAAACAAAGTTGCTGATCTTACCAAACAATTAGAAAAGGAGAAAGGATCAAAATCTAAGAAAAAGACTAAAAAGAAATCTAAGGATGAAGTCTCTCAAACTACTGAATCTACAACGGACACGATCACTGACACAGTGATAGAAACGCCTACAACCACCTCGGAACACGTCACCGCTAGAGAAATTGTGATGTATGATTTAGATCCCCCACAAATAGAAGAATGTTGTGAAGTTGCATTAGATGCTAATTCATCTGCAATTAAAATAATCGATGATGCTACCTTGATCTCTCAATCAAATAGCTCAATCAAGGCATCTTCCATCTACAGAGATGATATGGATTACGAAGAATTTATATCAAGTGATGAAGAATTTGTCGAGCCAAAAATTTTGCAGATGGACTTTTCACAAGGTGAAGACGCTTTAAGCTCAGAAGAAGACACTGAATTAGCCAATACCACTTTGAAAGAAATTGGAGAATTTGTCCCAGAGTTTATGTTTGAAAAATTATTTCCACACCAAAAGCGAGGTGTCAAGTTTCTTTGGGATAATATCAACAAAGGAAGTGGTTGCATTTTAGCTGACTTTATGGGAATGGGAAAAACACTGCAAACAGCATCATTTCTTCATTTATTCTTATCTCAAGGCAAGGCAACAACAGTCCTTATTGTTTCCCCAGCATCTGTAAATACTCATTGGGTACGAGAGTTTGAAACAATCAAAAACTGGTCGAATGGAGCAACCACGTTTACAATAACCACTCATAGCCTAAGCTCAAAAAGTTCTGCTCCAGAACGAAAAAAAACTGTGAAAACATGGTTTGACAATGGAGGTGTGATGATCACATCGTATGACATGTTCAGAACATTATGTGTAGACAAAGATTTTTATGAATATTTGTCAAACCCTGGCCCAGATGTTGTAGTGTTAGATGAAGGTCACAAAATCAAACACTTTTCTTCAAAAATTGCCAAAACTCTCAATACCGTACAAACAGCCAGAAGGATAATTTTAACTGGATACCCTTTTCAAAACAATCTTTTGGAATATTGGACCATGATTAATTTTGTTTCTCCAAACTTTTTAGGAGAAAAATCGAATTCAAACGAACGTATTCTAAGCCAATTCATAGAGGTCAAGTCTCAACCAATATCAACGAAAAAAGAATTGCAAGAAGAAGAGCATGGTTGTTATACGAAAGAGTTAAATCGTTAATTTTGAGAAGAGATGCCTCCTTACTCAAGAAGTTACTTCCTCAAAAAGAAGAAATAATGTTGACCATCTCAAATAGTGATGTACAGCGGAAAATGTACAAAATATTGATAGAATATTTAAAGAACCTGAACGCCAAAATCAATATTTTTTGGACATATGATGTAGTTATCATGTTGTGCAATCATCCAGACGTTCTACTCAACTATTTCAATTGGAAAACATCTCAAGTTGAAAATCAAAAAAAAGAAAAAGAAAATAAGGAAAAATCAACGAAGAAAGAACTTTTAGAATCCTCGTACTCAGTGGAGCAAGAGACAAACAGTGGAGAACTTTTTGATCCACCAATAGATGAAGAGGAAATTGACAGTTATCTCGACACTGAGGAGAAAGATGATGATAACATTTCAGATGATACAACCATGGATCAAAAAGCTCTATCTATTCTTGAAGAGATATTTTCAAATCCCGAATCTATTGGCTACAAGAAAGGAGAGCTAAACAATGGCGGAAAAATGATTCTGTTGTTTAGCGTAATGTTCCAATGCAAAAGTATGGGTGATCGATTGATAGTATTCAGTCGAAGTATCAACACATTGAATTTTATTGAAGGCACTCTTAAGAGATACAACAAAAAGAACACAGAACAAATTAATTTTATGCGCTTTGATGGTAGTACTCCATTTGAAACGAGACAGTCGTGCATTGACAAGATTAATGATATTAATAACAATATTGATGTACTGTTGGTGTCAACACTTGCAGGATGTGAAGGAATTAATTTAATGGGGGCCAACAGAGTCGCACTAGTCGATGTAAATTGGAATCCTTCTCATGATAGTGAAGCAGTGTGTAGAGTGTTCAGAATTGGCCAAAAGAAACCTGTGTACATATATAGATTTATTTGTGAAAATACGATGGAGGATTTGGTGCTCAAAAGGCAATTACAAAAAGAGAATCTTGCTAATTGGATTGTAGATGACGGAAATACAAGCGTAGACACATACTATACCAAAGATTTATTAATTATTCCTGATGATAACAGCGTGATGGCCGCAAATAACAAACCAGAATTTGTGGATGCTTCAATCAAGGATGAAGTAATTTTGGGAATTGTAAACAAATATCCACATTGGATCAAAAGAGCAGAGATACGTGATCAACTCTTGAAAGATGACCCACAAAATATTTTGACTGAAGAAGAGAAAATACTGGCCCAAAGCGAAAATGAATTTGACACAGTATATACATCTAAACGAACCTATTCAAGGAGTAACAATTCCACAAATAGCACCCAAAAAGATAGTGCAAAAAAGAATATTCAACGAAAACATGCCACGCCACAAGACTCTGTCAGTAGCAATGCAGGAAACAGTACTTGCGGTAGCTCTTCAACACGAGAAAGCAACGAGACCTTATGGCTAAGGAGGCAACAAGTTCTAGTTCAAAAAGAGACTCAAGAGGCAAACAAAATACTCGAGATGCTCCAAGTGAAAGCTCAAGCAACAAGTAGTTCTGTAGATGATACACATGATGGTGGTAAATCTTCTTCCTCTACACCTAGCAAAACACCAACTTCTGAAGGCAGCTCCACAGTGACTCCTCCTTCGGCAGGCACACCCTCTCATCACACACGCTTTGAAAAAGAAAAGACAATTATGATGAAGCAACTAGTAAGCAAATCTAAATCTTCATCAAACAACAATCACAATACTTCAATGGAAGACCCTTATGCAATTGACTTGGAAATTGAAAATACAAAGAAGAGAAGAAATAATTATCGAACGTTTAATTATCATTCAGAACATGGAAAGAGAGAAAGTGAAAGGCCACCAACTCATTATGGTAGAAGCAATGCAAATCGGCAAAACCAAAATGGTGACAATAAGAGATACAAAAAGTATTAAAAACTGCAAAAAGGCTTATCTTCGTCGGTTGTTTCTTGCTTTTGTTCGTTTTGGTCACCTTCGTCATTCGTTCCCATTATGTAGTCTTCTACAGTCATGTTCAAGTCCTGTCCTGTGACTTCCCACGATGCATCTTTTCCTTGTGCCATCGCCAAAATATCTGGAGGTATGTCTTTCTTGGATCCCAATACAGCTAAAGCATGGCCTGTGGACACAGCACCGAATAACGTTTTGGCTGCATGGCTGATATCTTCCACAGTTGCTGTCATCACTTGCTGTTTAAGCAAGGAAAAGTCCTCATGTGTAATGCCAAACATGAATTGCTTAGTTGCTCTTTCGTGTGGAGGATAAACAACAGAATCCCCTAATTCTCTCATGGCCGCTACCTTATAGCTCATCAATTCTTCCTCATCAATTTCATCAATGCCAAAATCAATAAATCGTTGAATTGTTTCTACAACCTCTAAAATACTGACATGAATGGATGACGATGTCAGTAGAGTGAGAATAAATGTTCCATCCATTGTGTACTTTGCTGTTGTGGGCCTTGATGCATCTTTAAACAATTTTCTATTCAATGTCTCAACCAATAGATTAATATGGCCTGCTTTATCTGCAGTAATTGGAGAAGTTGTGTTAACACTTCTACAAATAATTCTATGTCCTTCTGGAATTATGTCATCGTCAATCACAATATATCGGTGTTTGTCTTTACTTGATTTGACAAAAGTGCCATATCCAATGTGCTGCATCGAAGTGTCGAAAGTGTCAGGGTTCGACTCAAGGAAATCCTCAGCCACTTTACAAACAGAATCGAGATGTGAGGAGCTCGTTGTCAACAATAATTTAGTGTTAGACTTTGAACTTAGTTGTCTATAGAATTGAAAAAGTCGCTCTTTCACACTTTTTAAACTACCAGTAGACATACTCTTTAAAAAAGCTAATTGAGCAAATCCACCAACATAGTCATGCAATTTCTGTACAAAACTTTCGTATAACCGGTTTAAAATTAAATACATACCGTAACGGGATTCACTTTGGACTCTGAAGAGAGATGACATAATCCAATCAACCCATGCTTTGAAATAATCTCATCTGAAAGAGTTTGTAAAATATCTCTAATCATGTCATCATTGAGTGCATGAGGTTGCATATTCTTGAGCTCAGAGTCATTTAACATGGCATCTAAAATATCGAGAGCTTTGAATAAGTGTTTTTTCAATACTTGAGTCCTGACAACAATTCCACATTTAACAGAATCCCAATCAAAACGGTCATGCATTATTTCAACTTTGGTTTCGATTCCTCTGGGAAAATATTGTTGTTTAAACGATTCCATGAGGGCATCTGTTGCATCTCTTGCTCCTATTCGGTTGATCAACTTGGCAATGATTGGATAGTAGTGAATGTCGAAAATCTTATTTTCAGTTGCAGAAACATAGATAGGCTCGTATTTGGTCAGTGAAATATCAACTAAATCACCGTTGGCTTCTTGAACATTCAAAAAAAGTCTACCATGTAGCCGTGACTCCACTCGCTGGCTGATGAAAGATGGAGCAATCTCAGAGCTTGGCTTAAAGTCTAAATTTTGTGTAACTTTGGACTCAAGCAATAGAGATCTTTGAACGGCAGATGATTCTTTAGCTAGCTCTATAGGTTTTGTTGCATTGATCATGAATATAATTTTTTCGCTGTTGGAGAGGAAGTATTTTTCTTTGATTGATTGAAAGCATGCAGAAGTGTCCGTTTCAATTAACTTCCTCAGTTCCAATAATGTTTGTGAAATGCCGATACAATTCGAAAATCTTTCAAGAAATTGTTTGGAATTAGTACTGCTCTTCCATGAATGCAAAGAGCCCTCTTGAACATAGTGTGTTGAATAATTGAATAATGTTTGAATCTCCATTTGTAGCTTATCTAAATACAACAGTGCATTATGGACTCGGATATTTTCAATGACATGTTCGAGTCTATTCTTTACAAGTTTCATATTTTGCAAAGAAATCCCTTCTACTCCAACAATAAAGCAAAGTTCGTTCATTGACTCGTTAAGGCCATTGTGGCTAAAAGGCCTAAAAGATAAAGAACCAAATTCCTGATTGATTGTGTCTTCAAGACAACTGCTTAATATCTTTAAAAGAATGTAATCTTTTTGATTCTGAAATAACAAAAGTTAAAATAGAAGGCCAACTTGAGATGACTTACAGAAAATTCACAATTCAGCTTGTAGGCAATGGCAGCCTTTCCTTGATTATTTGAAGGTAGAGATCCATCAACAACATATTCCTCTTCAATGATTTCTCTTGCTGCCGAGTGAGTTGGTTTTTGAAATGCAGAAGCGGTGCGCTTGGAGTATGAATTTGTGAAGAGACAGTTTCGAGAGATGTTATCACGTCTTTAACATCTCCTCCTGCAGAAAGAAAGATACTGTTTGATGGGCTGTAAATTGCTCTGTATTGTTCTTCCAAGTTATCAAGCTTCATACTTGTCACAGAATGAAACATCTCATCGAATGATGGGATAGTTCCATAAAGATGGCTTAAAATACTTCTTCCAAATCGTGCCGATGGATATTGGAGCTCAATATCATGAAGGAATTCATTGCACTTTCGTGGAGAGATTGGAAATATTGATCATCCCATGACGGAAAGAAAATTTCTTTGTTGACAGTATCTACCAATTTTCTATGTTGCACTTCGTTGTTGGTAGTAAATTGAAATGATTGAATTTGTTGGTGTGTGTCGATAGTAAATATTGATGGATATATTTGAGGAGAATAAATAAATTTTGCGTTCAATTTTGATGCAATTAAATTATTCAAATGATGATAGGTTAATAAATGAATTGGAGAAAAGCTGTCGATAG